TTTTCTGGAAGAATTTGAGCTTGAAGGAAACATCCTAAAGTAGCCAACTTCTTAAATTTTGACCTTAACTGCTCTGAAAAAAAATTTATAATATTAGCTTTCCTCATCAGATTTTTTTCAAACGAAGAATTTCTAACTGTGTCTACAACAAGTTTCGAAGAGGCTTTTCTAAAAAATGCGTTGGATTCTTAACGAAATTTATGAACAGTTCTAAGAAGACTTTTTTTACGGTGATCCAAAAATCTGAAGATATTTATTAAAAAAACAATGGCCACTTAAACTTGACTGAAATTTTTTTCTTCTTCAAGCTCGTTTTCAAATGAAAATAGATACGGCTGGAAAGACCCTGACACTGATTTTTAGAATTTGACCATTTGAAGAGAAATTTACGATTTTTCCTTTTCTTTATCACCTAAGAAAGATAATAAGTTTTTTGATTTTTAATGCAATCCAAGAATTTTTTGTTTCCTTTTTTCGCCACCGGAATTTTTCAGATCTAAGATCAAAAAAGGATTTTTGAGCTGAGAAATTATTTTAATATTTAAAATGCTGGGTTTAATGAATGATCATTCAGAGATCCAGAAAAGTCCAGAAAAAAATTTTTCTACAACTTGATCTTAACTAGACTTCTTTTTCAGAAATTGCTTCCATTTTTACAAAAAAACCTTTTTTTTGCTATTTTTGAAGCAAGATACGCAACAACCATTTGGCTGGAGTTCCTCGTTCCCATAATAAAAAGAGCGTTTCGCGAATCTTCCGAGAAAAAAAAACCGACGCGACTCTTCTTTCTTTGAGTAATCTTTCGTGTGAAAATTGTCTTGTTTACTTGAAAAAATTTGGAATTCCAATTTCGATGGATTGACTAGTTTTGATGTGATTCTGGTGTATCAGCTTTGATCTTTTACAAAGTTTTGAAGCTTCGGAAAAGTTTAAAAAGAGGATGATATCTTTGAAGTTTGAAAAAAAAGCTAAAAACAAAGTTTTGACTCTTGAAGAGATCGAACCATTGATGCCGAATTGGTAGACCGTGTTGCTAGCCACTGAGCTAAAATGGCCATCCTTTGAGCGCCTGTTTCGGCTCATTATATCTAGAGAAATGTATGCAATTTTTTAAGCCCACATTTCTAGAGAACGAAAAAAAAACTTTCCCTTTAAAAAAAAGCCGAATTTCTCACGATTTCTGTCTCTTTGATCTCGAAAAATCTAAGTCCCTCCTCATATAATTTTCTGGATTAATATAAAATTTAAGGCGTCGAGCTTTCCTGCTCTAAAGAATCACTCAAGCGACCTTTTTTCTATTATTTTCATGATTTTCCCACATTATCTATTCTATTCTATTTATATAAGACCTCAATTTTTTTTCTCGCAACTTTCAACTAATATTTGTGACCACCAGCGGATTCGATTTTAATTAAAGAAAAAGTTGGGTGGGATTTCGAGGAAGTGGAATTTTGCTTCCAACTCCAATTCGTCTCAATTTTTGATGAGGAAAACAAGAAATTTGTGTTTTCTGCGTAGTTTTCTCTCAGTTGATCAAGAGGAGTTTTTGAACTATATTTTATTAACTTTGCAAAAATGGAATCGCTTTATCGAGTTTTTTTCGGAATCTTTCTCATACAAAAAAATTCAATAAGTATTTTTTTCTATTCCTTTTTTTCATAAATATCAGAGTTCAATGAGAGCTCGAACCAAAATATTTATATTTTCTTGAAAAAACGTTAGAATTCACAATTTTCATCTGCTCCAACCCGAAAACCCATCTTTTCATCTGCCCCAATAACTTGAGAACAGATGAAAATCCAGTTTTTCATGAGAAACTGGGTGAAAAATAGCATGAAATTTGTCATTCTTCTCATGAGCTGCAAATTTTCGCAAAATGTCATGCGATTATTTGCAAGCTTTTAGTTTTTCAAATTTGGATTTTCAGCGTTTTCTCGACTTATACGGTATCAATTTTGATCTTTTGGTGCCCTTTTATTTAGCAGATTATATAAAATCGAAGCTTCTAGTCACATTTTCTTGGCTCCCTCCAGATCTTCTAGACCTCCTTTTTTTCTGGTTTGCACTAAATGGATCTGCCGACCGTAGAACACCTTATAATTATTTAGGAATCGTCTACGCCTCCAGGCCAAACTTACTCAGATCTTTGTTTTAATTTTGAGTTTTCTCAGAACCAATAACCAAAAAGTTCCGGGGGTTCAACCCATGCAACCGACAAAATTTCAAAAATTGCATTCTACATATGAAATTTTCTGTTTCTTCGAGCTGTCAAGATCGAATCTGGATGGAAAAAATCTTTCTGATTTTTTAAATTTTCTTTTTGAAACTAATTTTTAGCCAGGAGTCCAAAATTCGGCTCATTAAGTACCTTAAAGCTTGAAGTTTTGGTTTTGCCGCTAATTTTTAAACCATGATTAAACATTTTTTTGAGATCTGAGTTTTTTTAAATCTATTCTCAGCCGTTGAAGCACAACGATTTGACTCATCCCATGCATTTTTCTGATTTTAAACTCTTGGAAAATAAGTTATAATTGAATAAAAAAAGTTCCGGACTTGTATCTGGTTGATAATTGGCATCAAAGCTTTAGACTAATAATAATTAAGAAAGGCTACTGTAGTGTCCAAAGTGTGTATTTTCAAGTCTGCAATTGTGGCTGGAAATATGAAGGTTTCCGGGTAAATAACTGTTTCAGAAATTTCCGATTTGTAAAAGAAATAGTGTGTTATTTGTCCTTTAAGTTAGCTGTTTGAAAATGACGTGGTCGCACTTGGAATGGCTCAAAAAGTTGCTATACTTTCAAATGCCGCTGCGCGTAAGTCGTTTCAAGTCGGCCGCATAAATAGAAACTCAGCTATTTTTCATGCAACTTTGGGCTTCTAGTTTGAGAAAATGGTTAGAAAACATCATTTATCTGCAAATTTCGATAATTTAAAGAGGAAAATTGCGCCTAAAATTTGAAAAATTCTTTCCTGATTATTTTGTAACTGGATTTTTGCATCTTAACTTCAACATTTTCATTTCTTTTTCATCACAAACTTTGATTAGACTTGTCTTATTTCCATGATGCTTAATCCAGCTTCTGAAAAAAAAGTTTTTTTTTTCGTAAAATCGTCATACTACGTAGAACCATTGCCATTTCTTTTTGATCTCCACGAAAAAAAAATCAAAAAACTTTTCAAACACCTTCTTAGGTACGTCACTCACTCGTCAGATGACTCAATAAATCCGCCGAAAAAAAAAGAAAAGACGATAAGAGAACGGCCGGAAATGGGCTCATCCATTTTTGGCGTTTCTTCGTCCCAGTGGGAGGCAAAAGCTCGTTTTGAACATTCTCCTTGTCCTCGTCCATCATCTTCTGTTTCAGACTTCTTGATTTATCGTGTTGCTTTCGGACTTACCTCCGCAACGACTTCCTGAACGACTTGAAGCTTGAAAATGAGCGGATTTTTCGTTTTTTGAATCCGCAGAGGGACGAGAAAAAATTTTTATTTATTTCCTACCGGTCAAAATTTTTGAAATCATTCCGTTCTTCAGTAAAAATAGAGATTGAAAAAAATAATTTTTCTCTTATTTTTTTCTGGTCTTCTCAATCTGATTTTTTTAACATTTCTTCAAAGCTGTTTGAGAACAAATGAAACGAGAATTTTCACGATTTTTGGTTTTCAAGTCGTTCTGAAACTCAAATCTGAAGAATACGCGACAAATTTCGCTCCATAGATCAATTTTAGAAAAAAAAAGTCTGATACTTTGACTTTTTTGTACCTTTCAATCCCCTCTCATATCATTACAATTCCAAAAAACTTTTGGACAGCGTCGCGGTCAAAATCGCGTCAAAATATACTTTGTAACGCAAGTCGTTTCAAGTCGGGCGCGTTTCAAAAAAACTGGCGTACAATGATTTTTTTTACCAATTTCGAACCTGTTTTTTCTTAGTTTTCAAACCTCTGATAAGCTTTTTGCAGGTTTTTTCTGCACTTTCTTGAGAAACAAACGTTCTTTCTACTTTAACCCACTCACACATGATTAATCTAGCTTCTTTTTTTTCATAACCCCCCTTTTTTCGGCTGGAATAAAATTTCCCACGTTGTCGCTTCCCCATTTCGCGGGTCCTTCCTCTTCTTTTTTCTCTTCTTTTCTTTTTTTGCTGCTGAATCCTTCCGTGTCAGCGACATTGAAACATAAAAGTCACGCCGAGTAGAAGGCATAATGAAAGGGGAAACGTGTAGTTTTTTTGAGGCGTCAGAATTTTTATCCTCTCTGCAAATGATGCGAAAAGTTTTCAGCTCAGTGGTGTTTGACTTTCTTGATCTGAATCTTTGAAAAACCACATCATTCATCATTTATCCGCCTTTTCAAAAGCAATATCCTTGGAGCGCACAATGACTTTCATGACGGCTATTATTTCTCACATTTTTGGTTTTTTTTTTAAATCTTGTCCTTTATTTTCCAGTTTCAGAACTCAAATTTACAAATTATCTTTTTTATCCGCGGAGCGCACAAGAAATCTTTTTTTCGGTTCTTATTTCACACTCGTATTTCATTCTCCTTTGTCTCTTTCCGTGTTCAATTTTTGAAAAAAAGAAATTCTCATGACCGATTTGTATCCTGTTACGTAATATTTATCATTCTCTTTCGTATGAAATTCATTTTTCCCTCCTCAAATTATGTATTCTTCCCGGTTTTATTATTTTCAGGTACATATAATAATTCATACAATAAGTCATAAAAAAGCTTCAAAAAAGTACCTGTGCCTTCTTTTTTAAACTTTTTTTTGTGATGTTACTCGATTTTTCTTATTGATTTACGCTTTTCTTTACTTTTTTTCCCTTTATTCGATTCCGAGAACATTTTTACACATTCTTAGGGTGTCAAAAAGGAGCTTTAGACTCATCTTTCTGCAGTATTTTTGAGACCGTTCGGACTCCGCCTCTGTTGTTTCTTAATTTACGCATTTTTCTTTCTTTTCTCATACTTTCTTATTATTTTTCTCATGTTCAGAATGGCGGAAACGCCATCGCCGACCACAGAAGCCGCCGAATGTTCTAGGAACGAAACGTACGATTTTTCGCGGTACGCCTTGATTGTATACCTCGGGACGCCGATCGCCGTCGCCGGGGTCATTTGCAATTGGATTTTGTTTGTTAGTTTTTTGATTTATTAAAATTTGTCCTTGGAGCGCACAATAGCTCTTTTGACGGCTGTTTTTTCACAGTTCTTTTTTTTCTGTGAAATCGAAATAGTCTTAAAGTTTGAATTAGGACCTTCCTAATGGATTTTATGCTTGTGGTTTAGGTAATTTTTTTGGAGAGTACATTTTAATTAAACATTTTTCCTTGGAGCGCACAATAGTTCTTGTGACGGCTGTTTTTTTCACAGTTATTTTTATTTTTCTGTGAAATCGAAAAAAATTCTTGATTTTGGAACTAGGAACGATCCTAATGCGGTAACTCCTTCAGGTTTAGATAATTTTTTTGAAAAAGTAAAAATATAATTAAATAATTGTCCTTGGAGCGCACAATAGTTCTTATGACGGCTGTTTTTCCGCACATTCTTTTTTTTTTTAGAATCCGGAACTTCTTGATTTTCAAACTAGGAACGTTCTTAGTGCGATTTAATGCTTTAGGTTTGGTAAAAAAATTTTTTTGAAAAGTATTTTTTTAAAAAGTTTTTTTCAAAAGATTTTCAGTGGAAACGTCTTTTTGACGGGGAAAAAAAGGTGTAGGAAGGTAGAAACTTTGGAAAAATACCTTTTTTTCGAAACTCATGAAAAAGGGACAATAATAACTTTTTGAACCTTTTTTTAGTTCATGAAAAAAACTTTTCGATGCTTCTAGAAGACTTTTTTTAATTTATTATTTCCCAATTTCCAGAGACTTTTCCTGAAGACAAAGTCCAGAAAAAAACGCCAGCCCTGTATCTTCTTCTTCTAGCAGTTCTAGGTAATTTTTTTCAAATGCACCTTCATTTTTTTAATTTGAATTTTTTTCAGATCTTTCAATCGATCTTTTGTACATACCCTTTTTCACTGTCGACGCCCTAGCCATTTACAATGAATTGGAATTTTTGTATCATGTTTGGCACTACTACGCCATGTTTCTTTTTGGATTGAGTAGGATGGGTGAGTTTGATCATTTTTGATAGAATATGAATGATATGAAAAAAAATGAAAAACTTTTAATTTTCTTGTATCTCAATCTGAAGAGGAAAAACTTTTCATTTACTTGAAATTTTAAGTCTTTCAGTTGCAAATGGGAAAATTTTTAGTGGCCACTCAAGAGGCTCGTTAAAGACTACTTGGAAAGGACACTAAAGTGGCCACTAAACCCACCTCTATAGTGACCACTAATTTGAGTGACTACTAAAACGTGAAAACCCTATAGTGGCACCTAAAAATTTTTCCCAAAAACCTAAAAAAATTTCTATTGAAAAATTTTTCGAGTTTTAGATTTTCACATGAGGATTAAAAAAACGAAAAATTCTTTTTTTCTGCTGTTTCGAATAAAAATTCCCTAGAAATGCCCATTTCTTTTTCTTTCTAGCTACATTTCCTTGCCAAAAATCTATTTCTCAATGAGAAATTCTCTTATATTTCAAGAAAAAAACTGATCAAAAAAATCAATATTAATCCAAAAAAACTTGAATCAAGTCAAAAAAATCTGCCTTCACGAAAAATTTTTTTAACGAAAAAAATCAAAAAAACATTTAATTTTTTTGAAACAGGAATATACGATTTTTTTCGTTCAAACTGTTCATTCTCCATGATTTCAGTCCAATTCGCATCAACTTATTTAATCGTCTGTGCAACGATTGAACGGTTCATCGTCGTCGCGGAAATAAAATCGCTCCAATTTCTGATCACGTTCGTTTTTTCTAATAATCAGTTTTAAAATGATTTTTCCGTTTCAGTGTAAACGGCCGCTATGCGACAATTTTCCTCACGATTTTGTTTCGTTTTTCTCATGCGTCTTCCGGCTTTTTTCGAATATTTCATCGAATATCGGCCCGATTGTCCAGATTACATGGTTAGTGGCTTTCGGATTCGTTTAACTGTTTTAGAAGTCCCTAAAGTGCTCCATGGAGGAAAAAATTTGAGTGGTCCCTAAAGGGGTTTATAGTCCGATCCCCTTGGCTTGAGTGGTCACTATAGTGGTTTTTGAGTTTTGTTCTGATTCGAAATGTAAAAAATACGTATTAAATGAAAATCAACTATTTTTTTGTCAATTCATACAACGCTAATTTGTGAGTTTTTCCGATTGAGTAACTTTTTTTGAATTTTAGAGGGGTCCCTCTAGGGGATAGAGAAACAAACAGCCCCTATAGAGGCCGAAAAAGTAGTCCCTATAGGGAAAAAACCAAAGTGGTCTCTATAGGGATTTAGGGTATTTTTTTGCATAGAGTTCATAACAATTCGCGACCACCATGTCCCCTATAGAGGCCACTTTCGCAAGTTTAAGTAGCTCCTAGAGAGTTTAATAAAGTGGTCCCTAGAGGGACCCTACAAGGGCTTCTAAGGTTGCCCCTCAAGTGACCACTCTGGAGTTCCTAAGAACATTAAGGAAATAACATTAAAGGGAATATGTTCCTCTAAAATGACCACTTTAGGAGCCACTTCCCCAAGTTTTAGCGCTTCCATGTAGAGATTAGGTGGCCCCAAAGGGGAAAGCTCTTCAGTTGCCCCTTTAGTGACCCCTCTGGCGTTCCTAAAGTTTGTGGATTGGCTATAATTTTAACCAAATTCCAGAGCTACGACTACATTCCCCTTCTGAGCGCTTGGGACCAGTTCCAACTGTTCAACTTCTACGCGATGACCGTCCTGCACACGTTCGTGCCCTTCATTCTCCTCCTCGTCCTCAATATTTCCATCGTCTGTGTGACCAAAAGAAAACTCAGCGGAATCGGCTGGGCCGTCACGACCTTCATTGATATGCCCAAAGTCAGCGAGCTCATTCGGAAAGGTCATCCTTATATCCAATAATTTTTGAACGTTTATAAAAATATATTCATTTTAGAACTCAGAGATTTCTCAATACCTCTTGCAAGTGTTCAAATCTGTTTTCAGAGTCAGTCTCCTCCAACAAAAGAAGACGTGACGAGTTGCGATATGCGACCTGGACGATGGTCTCCATCGCCACGACTTACCTTTGCTGTTCCTCCTTGTCTTTGTTTGTTTCGGTTCTGGAAAACGTCTGGCCGGACAATGCTTTATTGTTCACCGAAGAAGGAAGCAGGTGAAAAATTTTTCAAAAAAAAAGATTATATTTTTTCGAAAGGTTGACAAAAATTCTGAAATTGTCCACCACAATCACATTTCTTAGCCCAATTTTGACGGCTTTGCTGTTTTTCTCTGCGCCCTCCTAATCTCTCGCCGACACTCTCATGCTATTTTTAGTTTTCTCTGACCGATGAGGGAACAGAGAGACGCAGACACGCGAAAAATAAAACTCCAAAGTGATCTCTATAGGGGCAACCTTTAAGACCCTTGGGGGTTTCCCTCTAGGAGCCATTAATGTTTGCAAAAGTGGTCCCTATAGGGGACATGCTAGTCAATAACTGTTATGAACTCTAAGCGAAGCATCTCCATAGAAAAACTGAATAAAAGCGTTTTTTGAAGGAGATTGAGTCAGGTGTCAGTCCCTAAATCCCTATAGGGATCACCTTGATTTTCCTCCTATAGGGGCCATTTTTTCGACCCCTTGAAAAAGAGTTTCCCTTCCCCGCCCCCCCTAACCTTTATAGTGACCACTCTGGAATTCCTGAGTAGAGTAATTTTTTTCAAGAGCTGTTTTTTTCCCGAACCTCTATCATTTTGAAGCTCATAAGATTTTTAAATGTTACTGATTTTTCATTTTTTTTTTGTAAGTATTATTCACCTTTTTGCATTTTTCAGTACACGGTTCTACACGCTGGCCACTGACGCGGTCAGTATTTTGGTCGCTGTGAATAGTTTGCTTCGGATTTTCGTCTACATGCTCTGCAGCCCTAATTTTAGGTTATCCCATCTTCAAAGAATTCTCAAAAATGATAATATTCCAGAAAACAACTCCAAGAAGAATATCCGTGCCTGAAAGCCCTGGCTTGTCATTGCGAGAAGGCGAAATCCATAGAAAAGGAGGAAAAATTCGTCATCGGCTATCAAAATCTGATCATGGGCGCTAGGGCGGACATGCTCTGAAACTCTTGTCTTTCTTCATTTTTCACATATTTTGCGACATTTTACGGTTTCAACTTGTGTTACTTTTTGCATTCATCTACGGGTTGTATAGAATATTATAATATAATGTACAAAAAAAGTAATAATAAATAATTGGTTCTGAACTTTTATTGAACAAAAAAAGGGAAATATTCAAATCTTTTTAAATCTTTTTTTCAACAGTATGGACACCTCAAAATAGTGTTTATTTTGGAGTCTCTCTCTAGAAATATCAAATCCTTCAACTCTTCCAAAAATTACATATGTGAGGCTCGTGGTCGCACTTGGAATGGCTCAGAGATTTTATTTTTTCAAACGCACCCGACCCAAAATGACTTTCGCGCGGTGGGAGACATTTTAAAAAAGGAAAGGATATTTTGAGCAAGGGATTCAGATCCAGCATAAACGAACTCCTTTTTTATTACAGTTTCAGAACAATTCTTTTGAAAAAAAAATTTGAAAATTTCTCAACAATTCACTAGTTAGTACGACTTTGAAACTCTTGGCGTTAAATAAAAAAAACCCCATTTTTTCTCATAAAAAAAACAAATGAAAGTTTTATTTGCTACAAGAAGACTGTGTTTGAACTGGTAAAAGTCCTTCGAAGGAACGAATGAGCTGGTCACAGTAGATAACTTCATCATAGGTCGGGATGGGAGAAGCTCGAGCCGATCCGTCGTGGGGATATTCTGGAAAATCGGGTTCACGGAGATTTTTAAGCTCATTTTTTTTTCTCCGAGTTACAGACCTCTTCCCTTCGAGACACGCGACTTGTCTCTGCGCATGCGCCTTTAATAAAACGGAAATTTGACCAATTTTAAAGGCGCATGCACAGAGACGGGCCGCGCGTATCGAAGCGAGAGGTTCTGTAGATTTAAAAGAGAAAAGTTAGTGACAAGCTGGGGCCAAATAAACATAACTGTCAAGTCTTTTAGATTAAAAAAGCGTTCGAAAAAAAAAGGCTTTTCGTAAGCTATGACTTTCCCTATGAAGAAACAGTGGTGAATAAAAAAGAATTTTTAAAAAATCAACATACTTGATTTCTTTTCCAATTTTCGAATTAAACATATCAAAACTCACCAGGCGGCTCATCGTCAGAAAATTGACAGATTTGCGGAAGATTGTAGGTCGACAGAACTGAAAAAAAAATCTTCCGAAATCTCTGGACAAACTCTTTCAGATACGTTTCAAAAAAGATATTTCTAGAACCTCTTTATTTGTATAAGTTTTCGTTCGTCTCTTTGAATGCCTTGAAAAAACTCGATTTCAAAAGATGGATATTGTTAAGTCGAGTTCACACTGGAGGGTTCTTCAGGCCACTTAAGAGAACCCTCAGTCTTATATTTCTCTATATTTGGAAATGACTTTGGCACAAAAAATTATTCAGTTGATTTTGAAAAAATAAGAGTATTTTTTTAGCCAATCCTCTGAATTTTTTTATAAAAAAATATGAAAAAAATAGGTTCAAAAGCAGCTCAATAAAAAGTCGGGATGATGGATAATGGCCGCTGAAAGGGAGAGGCTCAAAAAAGGCCGCAGAAAGGCAACAAAAAGGGAGCAAAAAGGCCCTGCCTTTTACTTTTTCTTGGATTTTAAAGGCTCAAGGAACGGTAGAAAAAGGAGAGGAAGCAAAAATGGTGCATAAAAGTCGATGAAATGGCGCAAAAAGGCAGCGAAAAGGGTCACCTAGTCACCCTAAAAGGAACATTTTTTTTAGGCCTTTTTGGATTTTTTCAACTTTGACTATGGCGTTTCGGCGTTCAAAATTGAAATTTCGAAGAAAAAAGATCAATAGAGAAGCTTGGTTTTCTATTAAATGACGTTTTTTGACTTCGTTGAAATCCTCGTTAACCAAAAACAACAGAAAAAAATTCTCTTTCCGCAAAAATTTCAAGGAAATTGTTCTTCAAATGACTCAGCAAGGACTTTTGGCAGCTAGGAATTTAATGATAAATACGACTTTTTATCGGTTTGCTTATATTAGACATTCCAGTCCTTTTAAAAACTCCTGCCTTGTCTTTGAAAATTACTGGAAAGGCTCTTCGCCATGAAAATCATAAATCTCCTTCTTTTAAAAAATAGTAACAAGCATCCTCTATGAAAAAACGAACCAATAGACTCCAACTCGTTCTCAATCTTCTCCTCCCTCAATTCACCGCACTTCACGTTCTCCGGCCTCATTCTAACCGCCAATAAGTCGAACTCTTTCTGTTGATGGGCCAGTTTACACAGTTGATATAAAGCCACAGTAAGTAGAAATGCAATAATCAACAGAACGAATACTGAACATAGAGCCAATGTGTTGGTGAGGGAATTCATTTGGAGGAAGAAAATGATTTCAGAAAACGGGGTCCTACATAAATCCAGCCAAAGAGGGGCGAGTGACGGATTTGATTTTAAGCTTCTACGTCGTCGGCATTGATCAACAACCCGTTGATGGCGTAGTTTTTGGGTATCTTTAGTTCTTAATATCTTCGTAGTTTCATCGTAGGTTGACGACATTTTTTTTTTGGGTTTCGAAATGAGTGAAAAATGACGACAACTTTTCACTGAAAGAGTTGGGAATCAACAATGAAGAGAGGCTAAAAGTATTTTTTGAGAATTCCAGTTGATTCAAATAGTCTTTAAAAACACTCAGAGAATTTGGAATGGCTCAAAAGTCACAAAAACCAATAATGAAGCTTTTTGGAAGTCTAAAGTTGCCACAGGTGTGTCCTATTTTACCACCTTCAAAGGTCATGAGAAAGTGTTAAGTGGCCACTAAGAGGTTCCTCAAGGACTATTTGGAGAACACACTAAAGTGGCCACTAAAACGTTTGATCACCATTTAGACCTCTGTAGTGACCTCTATCACGTAAAAACCCTGAAGTGGCCACTTTAATATTTTACTGGTCTTATAGATGCTACCTGAAAGTTTTTTTCATCATATCCTTCCTGAAAACTATAGATTGAAGTATTTCCCAATGACTCACAAGTGGAAAGCTATTGGCCGACGACCGAGTGGTAACATCCTTGCTTAGAATACGAAAGATCGATCCTTGACATTTTTTTTTTTGCTGAATTTATACTTCATGTTTTCCAAACTATCCTGATGTTTAGCCTCAAAGTTTAGTTTCCTGTTTTTTCCCAAGGGAAAATACTTGAAGTAGAGCTTAGTTTCGTGATCGTAAACAATATTTTTCCCATAAAAAATTTTTTCTGGCTACGTCAGAGTTGAGAGAACATTTTTTGCAGATAAATTGTTTTCATGATAATTTAGTAATACTATTTAATTCTTAGAATGAACTTATTCTTGGTGTAAATGTTGTTTAGAAATTTTCGAGAAGTGTTTGTAGTTTTATGCGAAAAGTTGTAGTTTTGTGAGAATTAGGAGCAGTGAAAGTCATTGACGAATCGTCTATGTGATTTTCTCAACTTAAAGGCCTTTGGTCGCACTTGAAATGGCTGTGAAGCTGCCGTTTCGAAGCGCGTCCGACGGAAAACGACTTGCGCATTTGGGCATCGGAAAGTATTGAAGCAAACTGTTAAAACTTCATTTTTAACCTCAACACTTTCAGTTATTATGCAACATTTTTCGAGCTTTATTTTTCACGGCAAAACTTCTTCTTTTATTTTGAAGCCCCCAAATTCAAAACAAGTTCGAAAAACTGACTTTCTCTAGTTTGGCCAGCCTTGTTTTCGGGTCGAAAGGGGATTTTTGCCCTATGTCTGCCTTTAATGAGGATTTCAACCGTGCCAAACAACACCAAATTCTAATTTTCTTTCTTTTTTTTTCCGCCGCTCTCGTCTCAGGTTATGTATCATAGGCGTGAGAAGTCTCCAAAACTTATTTCCTTTTTTTCCGAGCTTTCCGCCTCATTTTGGTTAATTAATCAGTGTGTTAAGACTTTGCTGCCCTCGCGAAATGTGCCGTGATAGGATAAACCAGTTTTGCTCTCCGAGAACCAACTACTATTTTCCTATATTTCTCGATTATTCTCTGATAAATGAAAGGTTTGAGTGAAAGAAACTCAAGTTGATAGAATTTCAAAAAAGTGAACCCTGGAGTTTTGAGAAGTAGAATCTCTTTTACAATTGTAGATTTTTTTCCGAGTTTTCGATTTTTTTATTTTATTTTTATCGATAATTAGAATCAGCACTTGTTTTTTTCATGAGAAAAAAATTTTTCATTTTAATGGGAAAAACTAAAAATATTCTAATTTTTTTAATTTGATATGTCCGCACATGAAATGACGCGACTAAAAGCTTGATTTGGAACGCGCCCGACCAAAAACGACTTACGCGTGTAGACATCGTAAAAACTCTAGCAAGCTGTAAAGAGACGCAAACCGTGACGCTTTGAGACAGTACTTGGAAAAAATAAAGCATGATAAAGCTGCCATAAAAAATTGAAAGCCGCTTCAGAAATTAGCTCTTTTTTCAGATTATTTGTTATCAAGTACTTTTTCTTGATACTCAACATTCTGACTGATTTGATCTGCGCTCCACTGGCCTTATATTTGACCCGTCAGTTCTACAGAACCACTGTGATACATCCAAGTCTCAAATTGATCTATGTCGTCCATTTCTGCACTTTTCAACTTTATGCCGCTGTTTCAATCGTCTGCCTTCTTTACCAGGGCAACATTCTCATAACACCAGGTAACTCTTTTTGTCTTCACGCTCAGTGAACCCGATTAGATGTCTGATGATCGGAAATCAGACAAGTCGAAAAAAAAGAACAATGCCTCACAAGGAAGATAATGTTACTTGGTTGTTAAAAATTCTCTGAAAGGTAGCCAGAATGTAGATCCCTAACGTCTTGACTTACTGATTTTTTTTCACAAGCCGTGAAATTTTCAACCGGGAATTTTTTTTTTTCAACCGTGAAATTTTTAACCGGGAATTTTTTTTTTCAACCGTGAAATCTATCAAAGCATTCTAAAACGAGCAATTGTCAAGCTAGATTCTTTATTTCTCGGTAACCAAGAACTTGTCCAGGTTGAGACCCCCAGAAGCTTCACTATCCAGAAGTATGGAACAACTATTCTTACAGAAACCTACCCGGAAGATCTTTTGATAAACTTCGCCGGCTCTTACAAAATGGGATACATGTGGTCCGCATTATTCTTCACATTGTTGATTATCATCGAGCGATTGGTGGCGACGATAAAAATGAAGATTTACGAAAAATCGCAGAACATAGCCCTTGGCGTTGTTCTTTGCTGTGTCGAGGTATTCAGCTTCATCTCAGCATGGCCCTCAAAAAATATTCAAGAATATTTATCCTTCTAGAGCTCTTTATTGTGTGTCGAACAGTATAAGGAAGTCTATGAAATTGGAGTAAATTAACGTCAAAGTAGGAAAGAACAAAGTGTGAACTTCGTAAAAAATTTCATATTTACCGGAAAACTTGGGGCTTCAACTTTTTTCCTCTGAGTTCTGTTGTCTCGACTTTCTTTGGTTTAATATTCCAAGTTGGATTCATATTTTCATATAGCTATCCTTATCAAATGAAATTATATAACATGAAAATATTCAGCAACTTGCCTCCGGTTACTGCACCTGGCTATCGGTAACCAAATCCTTCGGTACCTTTGATGGCATTTTTATTCTGTTCTTCCTTGTCATCCCTGTTCTGCTTGTGAGTATTTTGATTTACTCAAACTTTTTAGAAAGCTGGGAATAAGGTCTTTACCCAGTTCAAGGAAAACTGTTTATTGCATCTTCGATGTAAGAATACGTGTGCAATCGACTTTCATTGAGTTAACTGTGTTTAAACGGCGGCAGGAGCTGTGGCTTAGGCAGAGAAGTTGTGAATCTTGCTCGTAGAACATCAGGTACAAGAGAGGTCGTAGGAAGAAGTACGGTGCTGGCTTTTCAAAGGACGATGACAGAGATTAAGCCTTTTCGCTGCACGCAGCTTTATCCAATATTTCCAAAAAATTCAACAACTTTAAGCTGGCTCTTTGTGGTGAAAACTGATTGAATTTTTAGATTTTCGCTGTAATTTACCATTTCAACAACTTACAACTGGCTCGCGTCTCCTCTCCTTTCACGTTGAGTGAAAAATATCAAATTATTGAAAATCTACATGTTTTTAAGGTTTGTTCAAACTTTAACGGCTTTAATCGCATCTGGAATGGATCAAAGCGTTGCGGTCACAATGTTTTAATGCATTCATGTGCAAGTTGTTTTAAGTCGGGTGCACTTTAAAGCAACCGCTATAAGTTAGAGCCACTCCAGGTGTGAGCGAAGACTTCAAATTCAGAATGAAAACTTTTCTTTATAAACTATTCAGGCCCTGCATTACATTGTCGGATTATCGGGATTCAATTTATTCATCACAACTTTATTGATTATTGCCACACGAACGATTGATCTAACCGGGCGAAACGATTTATTGCAAATCTTCATTTGCTTCTTCCTCGAACTGTTCCTCTCAATGTAAGTTTCTTCTCTTCAGCTCTTCAATGAAATACCCAATTTCCAGAGTGCCTGTTCTAACCATGTGGCAGCTCAATAGAAACGAATTATTCAGGTTGGACTTCTTTTTCTCATTTGAAGATTATACTTAGAGTTTTCAGAAAGAGCGTGAGAGAAAAGATAATGGCGCGACAGCAGGAAGGAGGCGAATACTACTTCAAAGACTTGCGAGAAAGCTGGAAATGAAAAATGGATTGTGAAAGAAACAAGAATAAAAAGATTTCGGCCTAGACTGTTCCAGAGTCATTGCGATGGATCGTGAATAAAAATTGTTTGAGTGATATAAACAGGGAACTGAGCACCTATGTTCCGTGGTAAAGTGGTATGCTTCTTGTTCGTTGTTAAAGAGATCCCGAGATCGACTCCCGTCTTAGAATGGATCTTTTTGTTTTTATAGGCGTCATTTTACTGATAAGTATGAATTCTTTTGAACTAAAAGAAACCTTTGGAATTACCCTTATTACTTTAATAAAAAAACAATTCTCTGAGTTTTTGAAATATCATACCATTTTTTTATTAAATAAAAATTTTTTTAAGCTTCGATTCTTCCGCGGTTTTATAGTTCTTGCATCATTTTTCAAACAACTTTTTTTTTTCTCACGAAAAATCTAATGTTTTTTGAATGAAAAAAAGTATAAAGATCGAAAATATATAAATTCTCAACTTTAAAGGATCTTTGATTTTTTCAAAAATGGTTTCACCAATGACTTCTAACAAAAAATGTTCAAGAAGTTGCCTAAGAAGTTGTAGCTTCTGTGAAAATTTAGAAAAAAGGCCTATTTTTTGAGAAACGTCTACGTACTTCAGATGTATGAGTAAACGAGACGATCTTAGTGAACTTCAGCAGAAAAAAGTAAGGGATGAGAAGGCGTGAATAGACGATTTTTTTGTAACTCTTCCGCGTCAGTGAATCCAAAACGAGACTTCCTAGTTCGAAATTTGAGCTTTCCATCCTCAAACAGATGCCCGATCTTCAGAGTAATATCCTTTACCTTCCCAGACTTGGCTGGTATCTTCCCATCTATATCGATTACGCTTTGCTTGAAGGAAGGTACGAAATTAAATCATCAACGGACTGAGCCAAAATTGTAAAATGTTTTCCAGACATGCTGTGGCCAAGCACTTCTTCTTGGCAATAAATCTTCTGGCGGTTTCAATCTGCGCTCCATTGGCCTTACATTTGACCCGTCAGTTCTACAGATCCACTGTGATCCATCCAAGCCTCAAATTGGTCTATGTCGTCCATTTTTGCACTTATCAAGTTTTCTGCATCTCTTCGATTGTCTGTCTCATTTACCAGGGCCAGTATCTCATCATACCTAGTAGGTTTTTAGTTTCGAAATTTGGTTTCCTACTGAACCTAGAAATAAGTATTGTTGGCGTCATTGAACCCTTATAACTCTACTGAAAGACATAGTTAAAATATAATCTGTTTTGTTTGAGGTCAGAGTGTTGTAAAATATATCTTCCTGACCTTTTTGAACCTCATTGAGAGAGAAAAGTTACAAAACGCCTTGTTTTTTTCAAGAAACTAACCTCAAAAAGATTTCTCTCACTGATGAGGATTTTAGAAACATTCCCGGAAGATCTGCCGATAACGATTTTCGGTGCCCACAAAATCGAGTATCAGTGGTCGCAGGTCTTTTTCACCTTGGTGATCGTAATTGAGCGTTTCGTGGCGACAATAAGGATGCGAAAGTATGAAAGGTCGAGGAATATCTCTCTCGGCGTTGTTCTTTGCCTTGTACAGGTTTTCCATAAAATGATAATTGACGTTAAAAAAATCATTTTCAGCAAGCTTTGGGCGGGTATCTTGGATACTTGTCGGTCACGAGTTCTCTGAACTTGTTTCTGAGTTTTTTTCTCCTTCTCTTTCTCATAATCCCAGTTTCCCTTGTAAGTGGACACAGAGATTTTGTGGAAAAACACCGAAGTTTCAGGTCTTTGTTTATATTTACAAATTCAACAAATCTCAACTGGTCCGCGTGTTGTCCACGCCGTTCACGTTGAGTATAAAATATCAGATCATCGAAAATTTATACGTTTTCAAGGTGAGTCCCTCTTTTGAAATGAACCGAAAATTTAAAAAAGGCCGTAGTCTCAGACTCTGAATGATATAGTTGGACTATCAGCGTTCTGCTTGTTCTCCACGAATATATTGATAGTTGCCAGCCGATTTATTGATATCGGGGGTCCGTACGGATTCTGGCAAATCATCATTTCCTTCCTCACCGAGCTGATTTTTACAACGTTAGCAATTTCTAAAGATAAATCAGAAGACGAGACAACTTCAGAACGCCAGTTCTTCTCATCTGGCGACTCAATAGGAACGAATCGCTCAGGTTGCGTTTTCGCTACGTAAAAGTTGTACGTGGAGTTTTTAGAAAAAGCGTGAGAGGGAAAACGATGGCGCGACAGCAGGAAGGAGCTGACCACTACTTCAAAGACTTGCAAGAGAGCTGGAAATAAAATCCTTGTTAATAGAGGCAAACTTGATGTTTGATCCAGCTTTTCATCAGCTGATGAAATGAAATATTGAACCTTGTTCTGCGATCATAATCTAAGAAATAAAGATAAGATATCGTATATTAATGATAAGTGATAGTGCTGGAAACGAGCAGATTTTCTCTTTATACTCAATGATCACAATGAGGTTCCTTCTTCCGTTCGTATTTCTATTCGCTACCGTTCAAGCAGGTTTTTTTTAAAGTTTTTGTCATACGGAAGAAAAAAAAATGATGATTCTTTTTTTTCCTGATGTCTCATCATAACTTTCTATCAGATAGCTGTGACCTGACAAAGGAGCCCAAAACCTGGGCTTCAATTTATGCTCACAACGTCGTCTCATATGCCATTCAGACGCCTGTGAAATATCCGGAGCACACTTTTTGTTACCAGGTCTACCCAGTTGAAACTTTACTGACACTGAGACGAAAGAGTTCAGAATGACATGTCGAGCAAAACGATCACAGTTCATTCGCATGTTCACATCGCCCGAAATAATATGGTCTACAACGACACTGTCACTACCGCCCCTCCCAGTGAGTCTCGGCGAGGATTTAAGAAAGAAGCTTACTTAATTATTTATTTTAATATAAAAAAGGCCGATGGGGAAAATTCCAGAATCGCCCCCCACACTGTTTTTGCCCCCCCGCGTTCCAACAAGCCCCCACCAAGCCAAGTTCCGATCTGTGGGGGGTAAAAATAGGAGGACTTCATGTGGGGGAAGAATCGAACGCGGGGGGTGAATATGTATTCTAGAATGGCCCCCCACAGTACAAAAACAGGGGGGCGATTCTGAAAATGCCTAGGCAATCTTTCATATTTGCCCCCCGCACGGCTTTGAAATAGTCCCCCAGAGCTCATTCGAACAAGCCCCCTCCCATTTCAGAATGACCCCCTCTCATTTCAGAATGGCCCCCTCCATTTCAGAATGGCCCCCTCCCATTTCAGAATGGCCCCCTCTATTTCAGAATGACCCCCTCTATGTCAAGTATTTTATTTATTTGACGAATTGTTCACTGTGGCTCAGTTTTTTTTCGAAGCGAGCCACAGTCGGCTTCGCGCTATGCGCGCTCCGCCTCCGTGTGAAGCCTTAAAAACTAAGCCTATTTTTCCTAAGTAATTTATTAATTAATGTGCATGAAAAGAAAAAAAGCAAAAAAATTCTATTCCTCAGAACAATTACTTTATTGAAAAACTAATAAAGTTCATCTTAAATTTTTCTAAGTGGTCAGAGCCCCATAATTTTATGATATTCGTACGTATCTCGGCGAGACGTACCCGTAAACTTCTTTGTCTGACTTGAACTTCTCATGAAACTCGGTCAGCGACCTAATTTCTTCCATGGTCTAAAAAACAAATGACAAAAAATATTAAATTCACAAAAAGAACACGAATTTACATGTGAAAATACAAAAAAAAAACCATTTGAAACAACCAAGAACGACGAATGATACGAAAAAATTAGAAAATAAATTTAAAAATGGAAGCTCTGACACGTGTCCTGCGTGATCGTTGCGTGCTTTTTTTTTCGGTGTGGGGGGTTATACTGGATAGTTCCGGGGGGCTATATTGGATAAGTGTGGGGGCTTGTTCGAACGTGTCGCGGGGGGTGATATCCAACATATGCGGGGGGCTATACTGTAAACTCGGCGAGGATTTAAGAAAGAAGCTTACTTAATTATTTATTTTAATATAAAAAAGGCCGATGGAAAGGATTTTTTGAATGCGATTCTCACTGGGCTGAAGCTATGAGACATTTTTAATTTTCACCACTCTCCTCACAAAGGCTCTTCCCGAGACTTTTTATCCCAAGGTTTTGACCCTTCCTTATTCACCTTTCTGCAGGCGTCTCCAACTGCGCCAACTTCAATTCGCAGCTCGTTTACTGCAAAAATCACTGCATCGACACCCCCGTTTTGAAAGCGATGATCGATATTGCGGTCAACAACAGCCTGCCTTCGGCAGTTTCAAGCGGGGTCTAACTGACATGAGAAGTGCAAAAAGTGGTGGTTCTTCGATAAATGATTGTACAAAGAAACTTTTGGATATGCTGATTCAGACCTCACCAGAAAGTGCAAGTTTCGCTTTTTGGTAGAGTTTTCTTTACAATGTAATGGTACTGTTCGAATTTTAAGGTAAAAAAGCTTGACAGACAAAATTCGCATTTTTCAATGATTTCAAGAAAGTTTCATCGACAACTTTGATCACCATTTTTTGCACTTTCCCTGTGAAACTATGTGACCAGAGCTTTCAGATTTACCAAGACATGGGAGGTCCGCCAGACTGGACCGTGTCCACATTCCAAGTGGACCCATCACCAGCCAACCTTGAAATAGACTACGAATATTACAGCGATCGACGCTTCTGTGCGGTCCAACTCAAGGTGCAAGACAAAAAGATAGTTGGATCATAAAAAGTTTAACATTTTAGGCGAACAACACTCCTTACTCCCTGCTCATAATCGCTGCGGAATTTTATCTTTATTGATTTATTCTTGTGAAAGACACGCATCAAAACTTGTACATTTGGATGAAAAGGATGAAAAATAAACTTTTTTTGAAAAAGAACGGCCAGTTGAGTACAAGAACCATCATGTTCAAGATTGTCAACACACATTCAAGAAAATCGAAGATCTGCGAAACAAGATCATATGAGATTATCAGATTTTTTGACTTCACATTGCGGTCAAAAAAACTGCGAAAGATTCTGAAGATGAAAAAAAAAATGAAACTGAGATACTGGAAGAAAGAGAATTTTTCAGGGGCAAAGATCACAAAACTCAAATAATGGAAAAGCCGTCATAGAACACTAGCCTTTAGGTGAAAAAAAAATTCCTTAAACATACGAAAATCGGTGCACGGCCTTTTTCAAGGAAGACGAAAGGTGAACCCGCCGATTATGGATGAACTGTTTTTGCAAGAATAAAGACTGAAGACTTGGGAAACAACCTAAAAGAACATAATTTCCATTTACTTTACGTTGAAGTTTACTCGGTATGAGTCGGCTATACTTTTCCTCACAGTCTTATGAATTTTTCTCCTCCGTTGATTTCTTAGAAGGCGTTGGGATGATCTGTTCTCGGTCCGTTGGGAGGTGTTTGGAAGGTTTTCAGCAAGTGGTCAAACGCCTCCCAAAAACTTTCCATCGACTTGTAGCTTCAGTTTGCCTTCTATTCTCTTCCCAATACCTTCCCAGACTATGCCTGAGTTCTATATCTCATTTCAAAGTATTCAAACTTGATGTTTGTTCCAGCTTTCCATCAGCTGATGAAATGGAATATCGAACCTTGTTCTGCGATAAAATCTGTGGAAGCAAGATAAGAAACCGTATATTAGTGATAAGGGATAGTGCTAAAAAAGAGCAAATCTTTTTTTTGTAGTTAATAATCGCGATGTGGTTCCTTCTTCCGTTTGCGTTTATCTTCCCCATCGTCCAAGCCGGTTTGTTTTCTTCTTTGAACTTTTCGTCAGAAAGAACCATTCAAGCCCAATTAATCCTTGTTTTCCTTGATATCTTATTGCAATCATCAATTACAGATACCTGTGACCTGAACAAGGAGCCCAAAACCTGGGCTTCAATTTATGCTCACAACGTCGTCACATATGCCATTCAGGCGCCGGCTGGATATCCGGACTTCACTTTTTGTTACGAGGTCTTTCTCAGTTGAAAAATTTCTGACCTCAGCTCTTAGTGTGACTTCTGAATGAGACTAGTCTCCCTATTTTTAATTTTATACGTTAATTCCAAAACCGCTTTTAATTGAAGCCCTATACCTCAGTAAAAAAGCTACGGGCTCTCAAAAGTCGAAAAGGCTCAGAATCAGCTCATTTTAGTGGGTAAAGAGATCGTGTCATCATGGTAACGAGGTACTATTTCTTTTGCAACTTGAGAAAACGAGTTCAGAATGACGTCTCGAGCAAAACAATCACAGTTCATTCGCATGTTCACATCGCCCGAAATAATATGGTCTACAACGACACCGTCACTCCTGCACGTCCCAGTAAGTCTTTTTGAGAATTTTAGAAAGAAACTAACTTCAAGGATTTATTTCAATCCAAAAAATTCTGATAGAAAAAGTGAGCGCATTGCCGAAAAGACTTAACCTATTATACGTTTTTTAGTTTTCCCACTGAGACCTCTCAAAAATAGACGAGAGTAATGATTGAATCATCTGCAGGCGTCTCCAACTGCGCCAACTTCAATCCGCAGCTCGTTTACTGCAAAAATCACTGCGCTGACACGGTCATTTTGAAGAGGATGATCGATATTGCGGTCAACAACAGCGTGCCTTCGGCGATTTCCAGCGGGGTCAGGCAAAGATCTTTGACATGTGAAGTGCAAAAAAAATGATTATTCGATTAAAATTGTACAGAGACAATTTTGAGACGCTCGAAACTCCCCAAAAAAATTTAGAGTTTTTAAGAAGAAAATAGATCCCTCTCTTTTTTTCCTTTAATGGTACATTCAATCTTTCTCGGCTTGGAAGATGAAGCGGGTAGATTGATAAGAGTGAAGCGTTGCGTGCGCGTCGCGGCTCTTGACGAAGAAGTTAAATTTTAAGATCTTTATTCAACTAAACTTTTTCAAATCCATACAAAAAATTTAAAAAAAAGGAACAAAACAGGTGACTCGCCGCCAAAAGAGGCGTCGCAGACGAACCGCTTCCCGCTGCCAATCTACCCATCTTACTTTTCAAGTCGGGGAAACTGGCTGTATTTTTCAAAGTTTGAAGTACCAGAATTTGACTAGAGCGCAAAAGACGCATTTTTCAGTTACTTCAAGAAAGTTGCATCATTTATTGCACTACTTTTTACACGTCCTTTTGGAATTTATATGACCAGAGCATTCAGATTTACCATGACATGGACGATCCGTATGATTGGACTGTTTCCACGTTTGAAGTGGACCCTTCAGCTAACGCTAAGATAGACTACGAATATTACAACGATCGACGCTTTTGTGCGGTTCAACTCAAGGTGCAAGACAAAAAGATAGTTGGATCATTAAAAGTTAAACATTTCAGGCGAACAACACTCCTTACTCGCTACTCATAGTCGCAGCTGAATATTACCTATACTAATTTATATTAAACCAATTTGTTTTTTTGTAAAGAACGCACCAAAAACTTGTACATTCGAAAGATGAAAAAAATAAATTTTTTTCTAAAGCATTTTTCAAGATTGTCACCGATAAAAAAATGAACTGCGAAGAAAAAAATTATACGAGAATTTCTAATTTTTTTGTTATTTGGCCTCATATCGTGGTCACAAAAAAACTACAGAAGGTAAAAAAAGAAGATGAAACTATTGAAAGAATCAGAAATTTCAGGGGCGAAAAATCACAAAAACTCAAACAATTTGAAAGACGTCATGAACACTGACTTTTATAGAAAAAAAGCCTCAATCTTCGGTGGAACATCAAAAAAAAAATCGAATTAAGAAACATTTTTGCTTTGACTGTTCTTGAGTGTAAGATTGCAGTTAGAAAAAAAATCGCATAACTTCGAAAAAATCCGAAAAATTAGAAAAACTTCAAAAACTTTCACAATCTTTTGTAGTTATTGGGACCAAAACGTGAGGTCGAAAATCTCGATCTGTGAATCTCGAATCTTTCTGATCTTGAGAAAAGTCCTGAAACTTTAAAAAAAAGACTGATCACAGAAATCTAGAAAATCAGACATCTAGCATATTTCACTTTCTTTTCTTCTAAACTTTCGCCCAACTTATTAAAAGTCTTCCTAAGAATTTTCTTGGTCCAAATATGCGGATCTGATGTTTGCTCCAGCTTTTCGTCAACTGGCGTAATGATATGGCAATTTCGTTCTCTAATCAGTGTCTAGAAAAGCAAGAAGTAGAAGAAGAGATAAAAGAAAAGCGAGATAAGAGTTCTTATATTAGTGATAAGCGATATGGCTGAAAACAGACGAATCTTCATTTTGTACTGATTATCAAGAAGAAGATGTGGTTCTTGCTTTCTTTCGTGTTCGTTTTCGCTTTCGTCCGTGCAGGTTAGAGATTTCCAATCATTTTTATAAGTTATTTTATTCGGAATGAGTGCTTATCACTTCAAATCTCGGCTTCGTTTCAATACAAATCGTGATTTTTACTACTATCTTTGTCGTCTTTTTGGAGACTCAAAAAAGAATCCTGAAACTTATTCCTTTTTCGTTACCAGCAGTAACAAGACAACTACCTATGGTACCCAGAAAAATAACATTAGCATTGGAAAATGAAGCTAATCGATGATTTTCCAGCACTATTTCATCTATTTGATATAAAAATTGACAGATAATTGTAACCTGAACCAATTCCCGAGCAGTTGGGCCTCTATCAATACAAAAAACGTCTTTTTGTATGGGGTCACGACGCCGGCAAACTATCCGAATACTTCATTTTGTTCGCAGGTTATTTGGATTTCCTGCAGGATCACAAAAATAGTTCAGTATGACACGACGAGCAACTCGATCACAGTCCACTCACATATCCATCTCGCCAGGCAGAACATGGTCTACAACGACACCGTCACTGCTGGGCCACCCAGTAAGTCTTTGAAATAAATTATAGTGAAATCTGACAAATGATTCAGCAGAGATTTTTCTACATCTTACTCTGAAGACTGAATAAATTGTAATTGTAAAAATTGTAAATTGTAATTGAAATCTGACAAATATTCTTCCTCGGTTTTTCCGCTGAATTTTTACATGTATAGTTCATAACCAAATACTGGAAGACAATTGAGTCTTGAAAAGCCAAAAAAAACCGTTTTCTAGGATGTTTCAGTTAAATTACCTTTTTTAAACTATATCATTTCCCTTTCAAACACCCTTCTTGACTTAGTGGTCCCTAGAAATATAGGAGAAGGGTTAAGGCTACCCCTCTAGGGATACCTTCGGGACCTAATTACCTCACAAAAAAGTTTTATTAAATCCTGAACTTAACTCCTTCCTCACGAATCACATATCTGCTCCAAACTTTTGTGCCTAGAGAGGAACGAAAATAATCATTTTTACACAGTTAAACGCTATCATTTCCAATCTTTCACAGGCGTTTCCAACTGCGCCAACTTCAACTCGCAGCTGACCTACTGCAAAAATCACTGCATCGACACGGCTTTCCTGAAGAGAGTCATCGACATCGGCGTTGGGAACAGCCTGCCTTTGGCCGTTTCTAATGCGGTTCTACATTCACTCAGAAATAACCTGACCCAAATTTCCAGATTTACCAGTATCTGGGCTCGCCGCCTGACTGGACCGTCAGTACCTTTCAGGTGGACCCTGCAAAGGGAACCCCCGAGATTGACTACGAATATTACAACGACAAATACTTTTGCGCCGTTCAAATAAAAGTGTCAAAAGGAGGATTTAGGTTGATTAACATTCAATTTTCAGGCGAGCAACGTACCCTACTCTCGACTTATAGTCGCTACGAGAATCATCACTTGAAATGTACTTTTAAAAAAAATGTTTCTAAGATGTCAAACATTTGTACTTTTCAAGTTTGAAAATAAAACTTTTTTTTCTTAAAAAACGGCCAAATTACTGTCACAAAAAATAACGGATAACGAAATCAACTCTCTCGTTGTCTGATTCGTCATGAAAAATGAATACTTCTCGAACAAAGATATAATCTTTCTGGAAAATATTGCTTCAATCTTTGAACATTTACAATAAGACGACAAAATGTTCCATCACTAGTCAACTTTTCTAGTAGATTTGAGAATTCATATGGATAGGTCGCTGCATAAAATCGAGGAAAAAGGCCGTTTCAAGACAATTTTTCGAGTGTTCCAATAAGATTCAAGTTTCAGATTTCTATAGACCCCTATGAAGTCAGTTAGAAGAAAATTTCCAGACTTAACAATTTAATAACGAACAACCTTGAATCAAGAGGGAATTTTTCAAAAGCTTCTTTGAGACCAAAAACATAACTCACCCTAGAAAAAGTTTTTTTTAATGTGAAACCAGCCTACGAAGAAACTGAAAGCCATTTCAAAATGATAATTTTCCTTGCATCCCTAGAAAATTTTCTAGAGTTACAAAAATTTTTCAAACGAAAAAAAATATATAAAAAGATATCAAGGAGGTTTTTCCTTCTGGAATTTCTTTCCTAGAGATATTCCTTTTCTTTAAAAAGACTCTTTCGTCAAGTAGATCATTGGAATCGAAAATGAAGACTTTCAAAAAACAAAACTTCCTTCTACTCATACGCCTCAGACCTACACTTATTTATTTCTTCTTCGTATCTCCTCCCTTATTAAGGCGATGTATTTCCCGAAAAGACGTGACTAGACAAAAAAATATATATAAATTGTTCTTAACGCTCCGTTTCCCCAAATTCATCATATGCGTGAGATTTGGCAAGGTGGAAAGTAGAGTTATTCGGTCTAAAATCATCGTCAAATGGCCGAAGACGAGAGAAATGTGCTTTACATTCCGAGACTCCACTGGTATATTCCCATATTTGTTGATTATTCTCTGATTGAACCGAGGTTCGGTTTTCAGTCTTCTTGTGAAATAGTATGCGTTTTTGGTGAAAATTCTTCAAAATGAAAGGCCTTTTTTGAAATCCAAACTTGTTTCTATAGCCAAAGTACTAAGACTTCGAGCTTTTTGAAAATCATTCAAATCGGCTTCAAAGCTCTGAGAGCCTGATTAAAATATGATTTCTCGAGGAAGTTTGGATGAAATCTTCAAAACGGCCTATTTAGCTATAATTTAGATGAATTTTTTCCCCTTGAAAAGTTTCTTTTTTCACAAAACTAAGAAACTTGAAGGATTGAGCAATCCCAGATATTTATACAAAGGTCATCCCGTTCTGTTTTAAAAAAGTTCGAGGATGTAAAGTAAGCCTGCTTTGTGAGGATTTCTGTCCATGATCTTTCAAAGCTCTCCAGTTTCTTAAAGACTATTCATTTCCTCAAAACTTACTTCTCAAGCTGAAAAAGTCTTTTTCAGATTCTCTGTGACCAAACACTTTTTCTTGATTCTCAACATTCTGACTGATTTGATCTGCGCTCCATTGGCCTTATATCTGACCCGTCAGTTCTACAGATCCACTGTGATTCATCCAAGTCTCAAATTGGTTTATGTCGTCCATTTTTGCACTTATCAAGTTTTCTGCATCTCTTCGATTGTTTGCCTTCTTCACCAGGGCAACTACCTCACTATACCGAGTAAGAATTATTGTTTTTTCACTGCTAACAAGTCTGAAAATGGGCATGATGCTAAAAAAGCAGTTGCGACAAATATGGCTTTGTAGAGTTAGAAAAAGGTTTTGAAGTTCAAAAATTGCCGGGATAAGTGGAAAATAACATGCCTCACCAATTAATATATTTTTTTGACTTATAAAAGCCACGACGTTTCAAAACTCAGTAAAACCAACGAACATTTTTTTTTCAATATTTTTCGGAACTTACATGCGTAAGGCTTATGAAAATGAAAACAACAGTATGAAAAAGACTTCCACTTTTTTTGAGACCTTTTTAACTTTGAAGATTTCAGAAACCTTCCCTGAAGATCTCCTAATCACGATTTTCGGAAGCCACAAAATGGAATACATGTGGTCCCAAGTGTTATTTACGTTGGTAATCGTGATCGAAAGATTCGTGGCGACCATCCGAATGAGAAAGTATGAGAGGTCAAGGAACATAACTCTCGGAGTTTTTCTCTGCATTTTGGAGGTATTTCTGTATAACCAATGATAAAATCGATCAAAATCCGTTCAGCAAGCCGTAAGTGGATATTTTGGGTATCTATCACTTACTTTATCCCTTCCATTACTCGAAACGTTTCTACTTCTGCTTTTCCTCATTCTTCCAGTTGCTATTGTGAGTCTGATGACTTCAATCAGAAAGTATTCGTAAATTTAAAAATTCAGATGTTCGGTTTCATTTTTTATGTAAATAAGTCTAGAATGGCTCGAGTATCAACTTTCACATTGGGTACGAAATATCAGCTTATGGAAAATCTACACGTTTTCAAGGTTTTTTTAAATTAAAAAAATAAGATTGAGTTCAAGAAAGTTTTTTTCCAGACCCTACGTTCTATAGTCGGATTATCTGGGTTCTGTCTATTCTCCACAGATATTTTGATAACTATCACCAGATTCATCGATATCAGCGGTCCGAATGGCTTCTGGCAGATTATTATTTGTTTCGTGACTGAGCTCATCTTGACAATGTAAGATTCTTCTTTATAATAAAAATAAAATAGAAAATTTCCAGGACCCCAGTACTTATTATGCGACAGCTGAATAAAAACGAATCACTCAGGTGGTCCAATTATTCTTTTATGATTGTACTTGAACTCTTCAGAAAAAGCGTGAGAGGAAAAATAATGGCACGACAACAAGAAGGAGCCAATCACTATTTCAAAGATTTGCAAGAAAGCTGGAAATAAACTTGGAGTTTAGAAAAAACGGCAAAGATTTTTAGCCGAAGTGGAGATGGCTTTCACCTTGGAAAAAGTTTTAACACTGAATCAGAAAAAAATTAAAAATCAAAAAAATCGTAGGTTGTTTTCTCAATGTGCAAAAAGTCCCAAGCTCCACCTGAAAAAAGAAAATTTTTCCGCCTTCTCTTTGTGTCATTTCCCATCTTATTACTCATCTAAGTGAATAAAAATTTTCGTTTTTTCGTTTCATTTATTTTCTATATTTTCCATATTGTCTTAAAATTTGAAGAAACTTTAAAAAAAGGTCTGAAACAAAGAGCTAAGATATTAAAATACAAACAGCGAAAATCATGCTCCGGACGTTTCTGGGTGATTCTAGGGATCCCTTAAGAGTTCTGAGGCTACTTAAGTGGTCACTAGAAATGCTCTAACACGTCCGATTCGCGTCCCGTTCGCGTTACCAAGGTCCGAGATTTTAAGAGTGAAAAAAAGAAAGTTGTCCAGAGAGCAACTTTGCTGCAAGTTTCCTACAAATTGAATTTACGCGCTTTCACTGGATTATTGGAATCAAAATAAACTCTTAAAAAAATTTTCTCTCTAGCCTAATTCTCTAATGCTTCAATTATACCAGACCCATATGTGTTTTCTTCTCTCTAGTATCACCCTATATCATATCCTCGCACTTTTTCCCTAGATTCATCAGAGCCGTGGGACATTCCGAGTGGAGAAGAGAATTCCTGCAGCCTATGACTCTCGTTAGATGTCTGAGAATGAACCGAATGTGCTCTACCTTCCGAGACTCCACTGGTATCTTCCTATCTTCATCGATTATTCTTTGATTCAAGAAAGGTTCGACTTCATATTTTCCAGTGGAAAAATAACGAGGAAATGTTTTTTTTTATTTCCGAAAACTTATAGCTCGTTGTTTCTTATTACTCATTTACTGGTAGTCGATTACATCTATGACTAACCAATAAAACAAATAGCAGGTTTAAAGTTTATTAATAAAATATATTCGAAAGAGATTTCGTTTTGTTTTTGTATTTCTGACTGGGAACCAATTGAGAAAATAACTTAGGGAAGCCAGAGGGGTCCCTATGGGGGTCAAGAGAAAAAACAGCCTCTCTAGGGAACAAAAAGCGCCCCTCTGCAACCGATTCAGGTGGTCCCTATAGGTTTTTTTTAATTATTCGGAAGTTAAAAGAAAACTTTGAACACCTTTGATAATAATCGACTAGAATGTCTCCTATATTGGGCCGATTTTGTAAGTTTTAATGGCCCCTATAGGGAGTGATAAAGGGCTCCCTAGAGAGGGTACCTCCTAAGGTTGGCCCTATAGGGGCCACTCAAGAATTTTTAACCAAATGTTGCAACAATTCTTGCGTACATGCGTGTTTTTTTTTGTAAACAAATCATCTTTCAGATACGCTGTGATAAAGCATTTTTTATTGATTGTCAACATTCTCGCGGATGTTTTTTGCGCTCCATTGGCCTTATATTTGACCCGTCAGTTCTACAGATCCACTGTGATTCATCCAAGCCTCAAATTGGTCTATGTCGTCCATTTTTGCACTTATCAGATCTACTGTGTTACTTCAATCGTTTGTCTTCTTTACCAGGGCAACTATCTTATGATACCTAGTAGGTTTCTCCGCTCATTAACTTTGAAGAATCAAAAAAAAACCTCCTGATAGTGCTTTCACAAGCGGTGTTTCCGGCGATGCTGATTCAAAAAAGTTCAAAAAAACGACTTAAAAGGGTGGGACTTCTCTGCGCCCCGTCGTCTCTCGGCGGCCTCTCATGATGACGCGCTATATCCCGGTTTCTCTGACCTCACCGGGGAGGGAACAGAGAGACTCAGACACGCGAAAACTGTCAAGTGGAGGGGAATGGACCTCTAAGTTGGGATTCTACCATTAAAGGGGAGAAAAGAGAGTTTTAGCGTCTTTGAGGCTTCATAACCCACTAGAAGACAAAAATCACACTTTTTCGATCAATTCTGAATCAGCGCATCCGAAAGTATCTCTGTACAAAGTTTGATCAAGATCAATACTTTTTTACTTTAAATAAACTACATTCAGGAACCTACCCACAAGACCTCCTTATCACAATTACTGGAAGTCACAAGGTGGAATATCTGTGGTCGCAGGTATTTTTCACATTGGTGATCGTTATTGAGCGCTTCGTGGCTACATTGATGATGAAAAAGTATGAAAGGTCGAAAAATATCAGTCTTGGCGTTGTTCTTTGCATTGTACAGGTGATTTTTTCACAGATTTGATACTTATATTTAAACTAAATTCAGCATGTTGTGAGCGGATATTTCGCGTGTCTATCAATAACCAACGCTTTGAGCTTGTTCAAAACCCCTTTCATTCTACTTTCCTTGATACTTCCAGTTGTTGTTGTGAGTTTGATCCTGATTTTCATCAAATCTATCGAAAAAACTACGATTTCAGATATTCATTTATATTTTTTATGTGAACAAGACTCGTATGGCTCGTGTTTCCTCCTCATTGACGTTGAGTACAAAATATCAGCGTATGGAAAATCTCCACGTTTTCAAGGTATTTTCGAAGCAATTTTTCTCAAAATCATCCTTTTTAGACACTCCGGTCTATTGTTGGATTATCAGCATTCTCTTTATTTTCCTCAAATGCATTGGTCATAATAGCTAGATTTATCGACACCAGCGGTCCAAATGGCTTTTGGCAAATCGTTATTTGCTTTGTGGTTGAGCTTAGTATAACAATGTAGGCTAGAACATACAAGAAAAATGATATGACAAAAAGAATTGCAGAACACCAGTTCTTATTTTAAAGCAGCTTATCAAAAACGAATTAGTCAGGTGAATAAAATAGTATATTTCTCAACTTTATTCGAAATTTACAGAAGAAGCATGAGAGGCAAAACAATGGCGCGACAGCAAGAAGGCGCCGATCTCTACTTTCAAGGCTTACGAGAAAGCTGGAAATAACTTCCTAGAAGACAAAAATCGATTTTCATCTCGAAGAAAAAATCTTATCACTGGACTTGCCCCAAAAAAAAACTGTTTGCTATCATAAGCTGGAGCAAAAAGTTTGCAAGTCAGCTGGTCAAGTGGTACAGCTTTTGTTTGAGGTGCCAAAGGTCCTAAGACCTATTCCTATCGGAAAAGACAAATTTTTGCCGCCTTCTCTTTGTGTCATTTCTCACCTTATTGATCATAAAAGTGAATAAATGATTTTAAAAGCTTTTTTTTGTTTTATTCATACTTGATTCACTTTCATCTTGTTCCGAAATTTGAAAGGAAATCAAGAGAAAAAAATTTGAAGTATGAAAATCGGTCGTGATTCCTTTCTTTTTTTTTTCATCGGGTCATCACCTGATGCAATATTCAAACACCATTTATTCTCACAATAAAGCTTACTTTTTTTTGATTACATGAACGTGGGAAGAGCGAAATTGACTGGGAATTGAGCTTTTTGAGAGCTTTGATATTCTGAATACGTTGTATGTACTTCAGAGAGTTCTGGGAATTTCCGTGAACTTTCACAGAACTTTTTTTTTTGCTTCTGAGAGAATCAGAAAAACGTAAGCTTTAAAAAATGTCTACCTAGACAAGGATAAATGAGAAAATGATATCTATCGGTGAAAAAAATTAATATATTTATAGTTTTTCGCGACTTGAAAGGACGAGGCTCCTCTGCGCCCTCCTCGTCTCTCGGCGACCCTCTCATGTTGACGCGCTATTTTCATGCTTCTCTGACCTCGCCGGTGAGGGAACAGAGAGACGCAGACACGCGAAAACTGTCAAGTGGAGAGGAACGGACCTCTAAGTTGGGATTCTACTTTTAAAGTTGAGAAAAAGTTTTGCGGCAAATGGACAAAAAGGAAATAATTGAAATAAGTCGTTTCAATGAAAAATGAACTTTACTGGGAAGTTCAAAACAGTTTCTTCAGAACTTTGAATCAGCGTTTTCCCCAATTCTAGGTGTTTTATCTCGAACTTTCTCCTAACCTGCTCATTTACCCAATGAACGCTGTTCAAAACCTACACTTAAATGTTTGTCTTTACCTTGTCTCTCATATCAAGTTGTGTATCATAAACGTGAGAACGAGCGAGTAGACAAAGTATTTTTTTTATTTCTGATCTTTCCACCCCAATAGCTCAAGTTTACCTCAGCTGTGAGATTCTTCTAGTGTGAAAAATTAACCTCGTCTTCACAGATGGCTACTTCACAGATGAGTGAAGCACGAAACGCCTTTCACATCCCGAGACTTGGCTATTATCTTCCCATTTTCATCGATTATTCTTTGGTTGATAAAAAGTTAGATTTCAGGGAAAAAATACTCAGCAAATTGATCTTCTTGCGCAATTTGAATTCACCAGCTGAAAATGTCCTGAAACCCAAAAAGAAAATCTCATTCCGACAAGACCTCAGTCTTAAACATTGGAGCATCTGCTCAGTGGATGAAAGCTTTGAATGTACTCGGACATTGGTAACGCGAAACGGACGTGCTCCGGACGTTTGATTCTAGGGATCCCTTGAGAGTGCTGAGGCTACTAAATTGGTCACTAGAAATGCCCCGACACGTCCGATTCGCGTCCCGTTATTAAGGTCCGCCTTATCGGTTCAATTTATCCATAGAGCAAGCTAAGAACCATTTGCTGATTTTCAAATATTCAGCGAGAAGAATTTATCGAGATTTTTCCAGATACTCTGTGACCAAGCACTTTTTCTTAGCCGTCAATGTTCTGTCCGTTATAATCTGCGCTCCATTGGCCTTATATCTGACCCGCCAGTTCTACAGATCAACTGTGATTCATCCTAGTCTCAAATTAATTTATGTCGTCCATTTCTGCACTTATCAAGTTTTTTGCGTTTCTTCAATCGTCTGCCTTCTCTACCAGGGCAACTACCTCATAATACCCAGTGGGTTTTGATATTTTCCGCTTCTCAACATTGATAAATGAAATATTGTTCAAAAGGTGCGAAATGTGCTCTAGAATATAAAAGAAAAGTCTCTTGAGATCGATCGGGAGAGACTTTTTAAAAAGAACCCTTCAATCTCAGATCGGATTTGAACAATTTCAAAGGCCGCACAAATAATGAAACTTCCAGAAACCTTCCCCGAAGATCTTCTGATCACCGTCTTCGGAATTTTCAAGTTCGAATACCTATGGGCGCAGATATTTTTCACATTGGTGATCGTCCTCGAAAGACTTGTGGCAACGATGAGGATGAAAGAGTATGAAAAATCGAAAAATGTCACTCTCGGAGTTCTTCTTTGCATCGTACAGGTTTTACACAAAATTAAATTCGATATTCCAAAAACCTTTTCAGCAAATTTTGGGTGGGTATTTTGGATACTTGGCACTGACCGAGTCTTTCAATTTATTCACAAGTTTATTCCTGCTGCTCTTTCTGGTATTGCCAGTTTCGAGTGTGAGTTGAGAAAAACTCTTTAAAAAAAAACATGTGGAAAAATCCAGATTTTCGTCTACATTTATAAATTCAATAAATCGCAAATGGCCCGTGTCTCCTCGCCATTGACATTAAGTACGAAATATCAGATCATTGAGAATCTACACGTCTTCAAGGTTTTTTTTCTCATTCTGAAATGTCACCTCTGATTCTAAAAGGTTATTTTAGACACTGGGGTCAATTGTCGGATTATCTGGATTTTCCTTGTTCTCCACAAATATATTGGTTATCTTGACAAGATTAATCGATGTGAATGATCCACTTGGCTTAGCGCAAATCATTATTTGCTTTTTCATCGAACTGATTTTTACAACGTGAGCCTTTTATTTTGTAATTTCCTTAAAGTTTTATGCGAAGAATTTCAGAATTCCAGTTCTCATTATATGGCAACTTAATAAAAATGAAGCACTCAGGTAGCTTCAATCTCATTTTTAAAGTTTATTTGAAGTTTACAGAAAAGGTGTGAGAGGAAGAATGATGGCTCGGCAGCAAGAAGGAGCCGATCACTATTTCAAAGACTTGCGAGAAAGTTGGAGATGAAAGAGCAAAAAAGTTTTGGCCGAGCTGGGGATCGAACCATGGACCTTTTGAACCGTGAGCAAGAGTTTTACCACTGGGCCAGGAACAACTGTCAGCCGAGTGCAGTCAAGTTCAGTTGATATAAGAACCTTAATATATAATTTGAATGGATCAATGGTTCGACTCTACAGATATTTATAGTACAAAAAACTCTCAGATCAATCCCGCCGAAGACTCTTTTCAATTCAAGTTGTGTCATTTTACGATTTGTTTATAATTTACGCTTTAATAAATTATATTAACAGATATTTTTTATTGTGATATCATACTGAAATATCCAAAAAATTTTTTTCTCACAATAAAGCTAATATTTTCTTGACTACGTGGGAGCGGAAAGACCAAAAATGGTTGAGAATATTGTTTTTTATGAGCTTTGGTGTCCTGAGTACATTATATCTTCTACGCAACTTTGGAGCGATTCCAACAAAATGTTTTGGTATAGTCTGTGTGCCACGACATGAAATTTCACGGAACGATATTCCGCTGTTCCGCTGCGTGCGTTCGTGAAGCGTCTTTCGAATCTAGGTCGCGCTTTCCATTGATCGTCATTGATGTGGGAGCACAGGAAAGTAGTGTACCTTAATAAAAGAAAAAAAAATTAAAAGCGCGACCGAGGTTCGCAAAAGCGCGCAGCGGCACAGCGGAATGTCGTTCGGGGAAATTCCAAGTCGCGGCACACAGACTATATTCAGAAGTTCAAGGTGTGGAGAAAATGGTATGTGTACGTCATTTAATGTTCGTAAAAAAAATGGAAAAGATCCGGTCAGTGGAATGGGTTGTCTTACAAAAAGCTCGAAGTTGTGATAAAGTACCTTTTTGAAGAAATGAATCGAACTGTAAAACCAGTTTGTCCCATCTTTGAGCCGCCTTCGGCTTTTTGAAAACAGTGGGTTCTGCAATCAAACAAAATCATCACCTTGCCCTTTTTCTATACTAAATTGCAAGCTTTCTTTATTTTTATCTTGTATCTAGTAATGCTGTGATTTATGAAACAAAAAGGCGTGAGTAGAATGACAATCTTTTTGATCTTTCCGCTCCGATTCGCCTAATTCAAGATAGCCGTGAGATTTTGCTATTCAAATTGCCTTGTAATCTCGACAAATGACTGAGCTAGAACATTATGTTTTTATCACTCCAAGACTTCATTTACACCTTCCCATTTTCATCTTATTCTCAGACTTCTGGAAGGTTCGAAATTTTTTACTCTTCAAATGAAATGAAAAATTTGGTACCAGACTTCGAAAAGGCTTCCTCCTTTTACCACAAAATTTGCTTTCAATCTTGAACTACTGAACAAAACTCTCAAGCTAAACGAGCCTTTTTCAGATACTCTGTGATCAAACACGTTTTCTTGATAGTCAATATTCTAGCAGACGTAATCAGCGCTCCAATGGCCTTATATCTGACTCGCCAGTTCTACAGATCTACTGTGATTCATCCAAGTCTCCAATTACTTTATGTCGTCCATTTCTGCACTTATCAAATTTTTTGCGTTTCTTCAGTCGTCTGCCTTCTCTACCAAGGAAACTACCTCATAATATCCAGTAGGTTTTGATATTTTTGCGCTTCTAAACAAGAGCAAGTTCTCACCAAAACTTTTTCAGAACCCTTCCCGGAAGACCTTTTGATCATAGTTTTCGGAAGCCACAAAATTGAACATATGTGGTCCCAAGTATTTTTCACATTAGTGATTGTCATCGAAATGCTCGTGGCGACTTTGAGAATGAAAAGATATGAAAAGTCGAAGAACTTCTCTTTAGACATTGTCCTTTGCATTGTAGAGGTGATTTGTAAAATCAAAAATTCAAATCAAAACTTTCCAGCAACTTATAAGCGGCTCCTTTGCATTTTTATCATTAATCAACTCTGTCAACATGTTCGCAAGTCTTTCTCTTACTCTTTCTCATCTTCCCGGTCACAATTGTAGGTCGGAACAATGTTTTCAAAAAGGAATTTGAAATTTTCCAGATTGTCGCGTATATCTATAGAGTCAATAAGTCCAAAACGGCTCATTTATCCTCATCTTTTACGTTGAGTACAAAATATCAGATCATCGAAAATCTACACGTTTTCAAGGTTATTTTTCTCTCTTTGAAAAAAATTTTAATATTCAAAAAAGTTTCAATTTGAAGACATTACGTTCTATAGTTGGATTATCTGGTTTCTGTCTAATTTTCACGAATATATTAATTCTTATAACTATCTTCATTGATATCAAAGGCCCGAATGGAATCTGGCAAATTATTCTCTGTTTCGTGATTGAGCTATTTTTCACAATGTGAGTCATTTTCAAAATATTCCATAAGGAACTATTCCAGAACTCCAGTTGTAATACTCTGGCAACTCAATAAACGAATTACTCAGGTTGGTCTTTCCATTTTTCCATAACTGTACATGAAGCTTACAGAAAAGGCGTCAGAGAAAAAATGCTGGCACGGCAGCAAAAAGGAGGCGATCACTATTTCAAAGACTTGCGAGAGAGTTGGAAATAAATATTTGATTCGAAAAGAGAAAGCAAAAAAGTTACGGGCTGAGCCGGGGATTGATCCCGGGACCTCTCGCACCCTAAGCGAGAATCATACCACTAGACCACTCAGCCGACGGAACGAAGCAGCGCGCTAAACGAATATGTCTCCTGGGGAAATTTTCGACAAATGTTCTTAGTTTACGGATAATCATTCGCGGTATTTCATAAAGACTATATCTTTAAATAAGAAATTAACTATGAAAATTGAAGGTTGAAAAATCGTTTTTCATTTTTTTCTTCTCATCTAGCTCTTTATTTCTGTTTCTTCTCTCATTATACTATAACTAAACCAAAGTTTAGGTTTGAAAAGAAAAAAGAAAGTACAAGTCAGAACAAAAATGTTTGTGTTGACGTTTCGCAAGTATTTTGTAGTTCTTTGCTCACTTGCCGCGATTGTTCAACAAGCTTTTTCCAACGTTTTTTCACCCATTTTTTAGGGCTCAGGAAAAAAAAAAATGAAAAGCGAAAAATAAATGTAGCTCGTAAATATTTATTTTGCACGAGCGAGTGTTTGCAAGGAAGAAAAGGTGGCAAATCGGAAGATTTATATTGGTTCTTTTTTTCGGGTGACCAGGAAACGATTTGAGTCATTAAAAGCGAAGTAATTTCAAACTGATAAACTGAAATGATTGCGAAATAAAAATTTTCACTTAAAGATTAAAATACAACTTTTAATTAATAAACTATTTACATTAGCTCTTTTCAACTGAACGTTGCTTGAAATTCATTCAAAATTTACAAAAAGCTCTCTCTGAGGATGTGAACTTTCTTCAAGTAACCAAAAACGTCGAAAAAACCAGTTCGATGCCAAAATTAACCGCTACCGTTACCAGTGTGAAAATTTTCAAATTCGTGGCAGGACGCAACGTTCCTCGCTTTTTCTTTTTCCAATGTTATTAAGGTAAATATCGAAATAAAGTTGCTTTTTCGAAACTCTGATGTTTCATTTAGGCAAATCGAATCATATCCATTAGTGGAAATTCAAAATTACTGTCTCATTGTCTTAAATGAACTCGACAAAAAGTTACTTCGTTTAAGGCTACCGTAGCCAGAGTGAGGTAGTTATTTTTCGTTGCGGGACCTGTGAAATTCGTTTTATCTTCGGGGGCTCTTTTTTTAAGATTCACTAAATTTCGCAGTGCAAAGAGTGCTTATAAAGAAGTGAATGAACATCATTTGATCTTTTAAAACAGAAAAATGAAATAGAATCGAAAAAAGAGACAATCTTTGGCTTTGAAATACTCAAGAAATGCTTTTCTCCAGGCTTTTCTGCTACACAGCCGGTTCACAAAACTTTCCTAAAGTCTTGAACGACTCAAAAAGCTTACAGAAAGTCGCTTTTCGCTCAGAAATATTCTTGAAACTAGCCTACGGTTCTTTTAAAAAATCAGTAATTTTGAACAGTTCTAAAAACCTCAAGGAAAAGCCCAAACTACACAAATCATACTGTCACAGTGACAAGAGCTCTAAACTACCGGGGTCACGTCAAAATCGGAGGTGGGGCCAAAAACTGCCAACGAAATGCGCGGTAAACAATCCGCCGGGAGAAGACGAATTCCCAACTCTCACCGAAAAACCTACTGTCTTGCCAACCCAACAGTTAAACACTCGGCTATTTACTGGGTGATTCACGGGCCTTCGTATATATATAAGTGGCTTGGCTGAAAAGAGCGACTCAATCCGAACTTTTAACGTTTATTTCGACCTCTGCGACCCTTTTTAAAATGCGGGCGGTTATCGTTTTATTCGCGCTGGTGGCTGCATCTTTGCAACAAGGTGAGTAGATTTCAAAAACTTTTCTGAATTTGAAAGAAAAAAGAATGAAACCCGGGAAAGATAGAAAGTGAAGTAGAAGTTCAAGAACTTCTCAAAAAGGATAAAAATCAGATCAAACGAGGATTCTGATTAGAATTCCTCCGAAAGAAACGTTTCGGAAACTGGGTTATCAACTTATTTTTCAAAAGATAATTGGAAAATCTGAACAGTTTGAGAAAAACTCAGCAAAAAAAAGAGAATTTTCCAACTTTTCTAACAATTTCAATTCAAATTTTCTCAACTTTATCAGCTGGAAAAAAAAATTTCTCTACCATTGAATTTCGTACACACACGGAGAGCTCGAAGAAAACCTATAGTTTCAATTTTTCTTGCCTTTTTCTTCATTTGAAATTAATCCAAAAACTTCGGTTTAAAAAAATATCAGACCGAGTTTTGCCTCAAAAAAAGGAGCTTTACTGATTTTTTTATAATAGAAAGAATTATCTGCATCTCTCTGCGCCTCGAAATTTTGCTCTCAGAAGACCTTATGTTCATTTCTTAAAAAAATTTTTCTGTCATTTTTTTGCCCCCCGCGACTATTTATTTTTCAAGCGAAACGTTTCAGTAGCCCGGTACTTGACATATTGAACTAGGTAGTAAGGGTTTTCCTCAAAACTTGGCAGGAAGGTCAATATTTGTTTGCGCCACCGAACATCACCATTCGTATGTATTTCGGGCTCAAAAATTGAAGCGAACTGAGATTTGTTGGTAGTGCTAAGAGCAAATAGTATTGTTACAGCCTCAGTGAAAAAAATTTTTGGGAAAGTTGATGTATGATCTTATAAAGAAACTTATTGACTAGATCTAGAAGCTTTTAGGAATCAAAGAAAGATAAACATTTGACAATTCTGAATGAGATGCTGTTAAAAAATTTATATTGAAGTTGAGCGTGGGAACATTCAAGTCAATTTCATATATGAAAGCCAATTATCGCAGTTGGGATAGTTTAAAGTGTGGTGGCTGATTCTAAAGCCGACCCGACACCCAGAAGCTAGTTCTAGTTAGCTTGCTACTTTCGCGTAAGTAGTATCAGGTCCGGCGCGCTTTGAAGAAGCCTTTAAGCTTCAAGGCAAGAGCAATAAAAACATTTTAATCTAGACAGTTCAAAAAAATCTTCCAAATTCAAAAACTCATTTTCAGCTGCTCAAACCCAAAGCTACAGCACCGTCTACAGCACAAGCTCAAGCCAAGGATCAACTGGCCAGAACAACCAGTTCAATGCTCAAAACCCCAATCAGAATCAACAAATGTACGATCCTAACTCTCAGCAACAGCAGTCGAACCAGTTCGGAACTCCGAACCCATCTCTTCAATTTTACGATGCTAGCAATACGGGAACTCAGGACGAGATTCAAGCTGAACAGCAGTATAACCAACAGAATGGACAACAGGGTGGACAGAACCAGCAGCAGTTTGGAGCCCAACAGAACGGCCAGAATCAGCAGTACAATCAGCAGTATAACCAACAGACCACCCAGTCTTCCGGAAATGGCCAGAACCCGAACGGCCAGCAGTACAACCAACAATACACCCAGCAGAACACTCAAACTTTCGCCAATGGCCAGCAGCAAAATCAGCAGTACACTCAACAGACCACCCAGACCTTCGGCAATGGCCAGCAGCAGAATAATCAATATCAAAACCAGCAACAGTACGATCCTAATCAGTCCAACCAGATGGGAACTCCAAACCCATCTCTTCAGTTTTATGACGCCAGCAACACCGGAACTCAAGATGAGCTTCAAGCCGAGCAACAGTACAATCAACAGAATGGCCAGAACCCACAGCAATTTGGAAACCAGCAAAACCAGCAGTACAATCAGCAGAACCAACAGTACAACCAACAGAACCAGCAGTACAACCAGCAATACAACCAACAAAATATGCAAAACCAGCAGCAGTTCGGAATTCAGCAGTACGACCAGAGTCAGCAACAGAGCTCTCTGTCCAACTCTAATGGAGCTGGAAATACTGGAGTTTCTATCAACTCCTACTCGATCAACAATGGAAACTGCCAGTACTCGGTGAGCCTTTCTTCGAATGCACTACGAAAAAAAGACTTGAAATCAAGGAACCCTCCATTCTTAACCAAACAGCCTAAATTTACCGTAGAACTTATGGAAAAATTCAAAAAATCCTTTTTTTAAAAACAGTCTCTGTTCCGAGCTTATAACCATATTTCAGGACGGAATGATCACCGAGAACGGTCAGCAGCGACAGGCCACGCCCCAGCAGCAGGCCCAGATCGATCAGTACAAGCAGCAAGTCAACCAGTACATGGGCTCCGTCAACGGCTACGTCGGCAGCTGGGTCAACACCGTCCTGACGTCCCTTCCAGTTGGTGCTCCTAACCAGGCCGCCAACTTCCCCACTCTGCCAGTCATGCCTACTTTGCCAACGGTGAGAACTCTAGATTTCTATGAGAGGGAAGGAAGTTTTGTCTCTAAAAATAAAGACAGCAACAGAATTTCGAAAAGTTGTTGTGAACCGAGTACTTCTACGAAAATAAACTAACACGGCAAAATGAAAAAAACCAACGATGAGTATTGCAGGCCCCTTGCTTGTGCAGCCCTCAGAACTGCGGAACGACCAATTCTGGAGCCAGCAGTGGATATAACAGCGGAGCCAGCAGCCCACAATACGATCCTTCTGCAAACCAACAATTTGGAAACCAACAACAGTTCGGCAACCAGCAGCAATACGGAAACCAATATGGTCAACCACAACCTCAACAGCAAACCCAACAGTACAATCAGCAGCCGTACGGCCAGCAGCCTCAACAACAGCAACAATACGGACGCAAATAAAAAACGTAAAATTTTATTGAAAAATCAAAAAGATTCTGCCAAATCTGGTGCCGTTTACATGAAGATTTACCGATTACATGGCCCAAATATTTTCGTGTAAATCTTCATGAATTTGGCCTTTGTATAACCTCCTTGTATCTCTTTTTCGGGTGTATGAAAAATTGAGCTGGTTAATAATTTTTTTCAGAAAATTCTCAGCTCATTTTTTTCAAACATCCTCTCGTTTCCTTGCCTGTGCCATCGATCGAATAAAAAAATTTGTTTTCTTTATTTCAAAGAAGAAAAAAATAAATGAAAATAAATAAATAGAAATACAGAAAAAAATGGTTGAACTTTTTTTCATCAGCGAAAAGTTCGAGAAAAAGATCATGTGCGCCCCATGGACAAAACATTTTGGAGTTTTGTACTTTTTCTTTGAAAAAAAGCCGAAAAAAACTTTCTCATTATCAATAACTGAATTTATTTGATTCTTATTGATATAAGAATATTCAAATAAACTCTAAGAGTCCAAGTTTGAAGGCGCTCGATTAGTTTTCAATTTTAAAAATTATTTTAATATCCTCAAAGCGCACATGAATTTTTTTAAAATTATAACGTTTTTAAATTTAAAATTCCGCCAATAAACTTTAATTTTCAATCATCAAAGTATCCCGTTTTCTTAAGGAAAGATCAATTAAAGCATATGGTTTTATTCTTCCGAAGACGACTCAAGCGATTTGAGCGCACATGACTCCAACAACACTGAAAAAAGAATAGTTCGAGAAAAAAAAAATCAACTTCCGTACCTATCAATTGTTACGCCGCCTAAAGTAAAAGTCCAGGCGCCGTCGGCTCCACAGATCAGTTCAGTCGTGGCTACGTCCGGCGGTAACGAAATTTGTCTAGTCGCCGTATAAAGCTGAAAATGATAAATCTCCATTTTGTGATTCATATACTTCTTCAGAGCTACTGAAACATCTTGCCAGTGATACTTTTCTCGAGTTCAAGTAACTCACGGTAGGCACGAAAGATTGATTAGGTGGTATCAAAGTGCAGATGGCGTTGATTACCACACAGCCTTGGTTCGCGGGTCCTGGTCTGAAAAATCATCGATTCCAAAAGAAATCCAGATCAAACTGACTGGTAGACCGCAGCAACTTCCATATTTATAGGAGCAGGCGTTTGGGTCAGCTGAGCGGCGGAACAGAATCCACATCCTCCTAAAAAGAGAATTTTAGTTAGGAACGACTGGACAGAAGGAAAAGCGAAGAGAAACCAAGTGTGGTGGTAGTGGAAGGAGTAGTGGTGCTAGTGGAGGTTGAGGTTGAGGTTGAGGTCGTAGTGGGTGTTGTAGTAGACGTGCTAGTAGAGGTTGAAGTCGAGGTTGAGGTTGAGGTCGTAGTGGGAGTTGTAGTAGAAGTACTTGTTGAGGCAGAGGTTGAAGTTGTGCTAGGAGTTGTGCTAGTAGTGGTAGGAGTAGTGGTAGAAGTACTCGTTGAAGTTGAAGTTGAGGTAGAAGATGAGGTTGTGCTAGGAGTAGTGCTAGTAGTGGTAGGAGTAGTGGTAGAAGTACTAGTTGAAGTTGAAGTTGAGGTAGAAGATGAGGTTGTGCTAGGAGTAGTGCTAGTAGTGGTAGGAGTTGTGGTAGAAGTGCTAGTAGAGGTAGAGGTCGAGGTAGAAGATGTAGTCGTGCTAGGAGTTGTGGTAGTAGTACTAGGAGTAGAGGTTGAGGTGGAGGTTGTGCTAGGAGTTGTGCTAGTAGTACTAAGAGTAGTTGTACTGGTCGAGGTCGACGTAGTACTAGGAGTAGTTGAGGAAGTTGAAGTGGTACTTGGAGTTGTGCTAGTAGTGCTAGGAGTAGTACTAGTAGAAGTTGAGGTCGAGCTAGTAGTACTAGGGGTGGTTGTACTCGTTGAGCTCGACGTCGAAGAAGTACTGCTCGTTGTTGACGTACCGGGTCGAGTTGTGGTTGTAGTCGAAGACGTTGAGGTTGAGGTTGAGGTTGTGGTTGAAGTAGAGCTTGTAGTCGAATCGGTTGTAACAAACTCTTGTGAGCACTGAACGCCGACGATTCTGTTGTAAAAGGTTACTTTATATTAGTTTAAACAAAATTTGTTGATCTTAGTTTGATTTAAAAATCTTACTGTGACAGAAAAACAATCTCTTTTTAAAAAGACCATATATCTTTCAATATCGAATAAGAAGGCTTGAAAATAGTGCTAATCTCTTCAGATTTCGGTCAGAAACTGATCGAAAACTGACGGGTTGAGTGTAACTCCAGACTGCGTATAAGACCATTTTCCATCGCTGTTACAGATCAACATGGCCGTATCCTGGCCCGGCATCAGAGCTACGCCTCCTCCAAATTCAGTGTAAAGCTGGAAACGACGTCAAAATGATTTTAAAAGAAATTGGATTTTCTCACGAAAGTTAAGAATCCGGAGCTGCCCGGGGCGACTGAGCAAACTGCATTCGCCGTCACGCAGTTATCGTTTGTCGGTGAGCCAAGCCTTCAAGAATTTATTCAAAGTTACTTTTGAATAGGTTTTTCTCTCAGTGAAAGGGTATAAAAGTTACAGTGGTAAAGCTCAAAAAAAAAAAAGCCAAAAAGAAGTTTTCTGTAAAAAGCTAATAGAAACGTCTCTTGCTGGTTTATGACGCTTTTAAGGCTTTTCATAATAATATTTTTCAAAGAAAACATAAAGAAGTGTTGAAAATATGAAGCCGAACAAAAATTTAGATATAGTCTGTGTACCACGACTTGGAATTTCACGGAACGACATTCCGGTGTGCCGCTGCGCGCCTTTGCGCTTTTAATTTTTTCCTTTTATCAAGCTACTCTACGTTCATGTACTCCCACAGAAATAACAATCAATCGAAATCGTGACCTAGATTCGAAAGACGCTTCGCGAACGCACGCAGCGGAACTGCGGAATTTCGTTCCGTGAAATTTCAAGTCCTGGCACACAGACTATAACAGAGCGACTAGAAAGCAGGAAAAAGTCCTTTTTCTTGAAAGAAAACATCAAAATATGAACTTACGACTTTTCCGGTAAAATAGGACTTTTTCTGCTTTTAAGTGAGAGTAGTTCAGGAAAAATAATGATTATGACAGGCTATGAACTGCAAAACAGACAACCTTTAGCTTCAGTTTCCAAGACTGAATCTGTTTTTTTTTTCGAATGGAAGAGATTAAAATTCGGAAGGAGGCCTTTCTTCCTAATAAACTACATATTTTCATTTTCTGAAAGCTTTTGATAACTAAGAAAGAAAGCTTGAGAAATGCCAATTTTCTACTTTTTCTTTTCAAAAACCCACGTGTAAACAGCCGGAGTTTCATTGTTGAATTCAAGCGGAGGCTTATTCAGTTGGCTGAGATCGCATGAACGGCAGTCAACTGAAGTTTAAAATTACAGGGAAACACGTTTAAAAAAACAAACTTGGCGTCGGAGTTGTGGTTGTGGTTGTGGAAACGAACGGTGTTGTTGAAGTTATCGGGATCATGGGGGTCTGGAATCCAAGATCATTGAATAAAAAATCTCTCTAGGAAGTTTTTCATTTATTTCAATGCCTTGATCAAATTAATGAGAATTTTCTGGGTGAAAAGGCTATAAAATTACAGAAATGTGACAATTTTTAATCTTTGATCTCGTAGTGAAACACCAAAATTACCAATTTATTCAACATTCAACATTTTTTCCGTCTATCTGCTTAATCATTTGAAAAAACAATATAGTCTGGGTGCCACGACTTAAAAATTCAAGGAACGACATTCCGCGGTTCCGCTGCGTGCGTTCGCGAAGCGTCTTCCGAATCTAGGTCACGCTTTCAATTTATTGTTATTGCTGTGCGAGCACATGAGAATAAAGAACCTTGATATAAGAAAAAAAAAATTTTGAGCGCGACCAAGGTTCGCAAAGCACGCAGCGGAACAGCGGAACGTCGTTCCGTGAAATTTCAAGTCGTGGCACACAGACTATATATAGTTTTTCAAAGCAAGCTTCAGAGGAAATTTATGATTTTTAAGATAGAACTGTACAAGAAGCTCGGCCTTCAGTTAAAAAAATTATAAATATTCTCAGCTTTGTCAAAAAAAAAAAAGGAAAAATATGACCAACTTCTCAGGCTACCTTATCCGAATAGATAATTATTATCTGCCGAAAAAGGAGCAAAGAAAAGAAGATAATAAATATGAGAAAAGATTAGCCTATTCAAAAATATTAGAGGAAATTGAAAGAAAAAGCTAGACAAAAACTTGAGAAAATTCAATGATGAAAGTTCTTACCGTAGTGGTCGTCCCAGGTACAGTCTGCATACAAGCCCAAGTTGCAGTAAAGAAAAAAGAAAATATAAAAAACAGAACGAAAGTCCCAAACATTTTCCAATCTAATGGCGTCACTTCAGGCCCTCGCTATGTTTCCCGGCGGACATTTTTATAGGACTCATGTTAGCCGTCGGCTTGCCCGCCCTCGGATTCGATCGTAACAGGCGCTTCAACTGTCGGGTAATCGCCGGAATCTGGTCTTGGCAATGATCTTCTCGGAAAAGCCGTGCAAAAAAAGCTGCTTTGTGGGCATTTGCTACTTTTGTCTTTGATTTGGACAGAGAAGTTGTAAAAAAATACTTTTTTCTAGTTTGTTTCTTTTTTCGTTTTCCTATTTTACAGAACAGTTCAGAAGGACATCTTGAAAGTTTATAGCTTTTTGAAGATTTTTTTCAGAGTATCAAGCGGTCAAATATCAAAAAAAAAAGGTTGAAAAAAAGTACATAAGAAGGTTCTCGTTCTCAATTAGATGATAAAAATAAGCCTAAATGAAACATACTGCACCATTTAATAACATTTATAGTAACCTTTTCTTCTTTTTCTTCATTTTCACTCCGAAAATCTTACAAAACTGAATCAAACTTCCCTACGATAAATGCTTACACCCAGAAAAGCAAGACTAAAGCCGCTATCGTAACCCCTGTTGGGAGCTCCGTTTTCGCGGTGAGGTACCCAAGTGGCCGCTTTTTCTGTTTTTCTATTTTATTAACGCAATAACCTTCAAAAAGTCAGATTTTTTGAATCCTCACTATAAAGAAAGAATATTTCAACCTGAAACATTCAAATTATCCAAGTTTTTTCCTGCAGTTTTATTATAAAAATTCGACAAAAATTTACTACCTTCACACGCTACCGTCTCCCCAAGAGTCTGCTCATTTTTCGTTTTGAGAACCGCGGAATGTGTTTAATTTCAAGTTTTTTTTATGCCGTGTTCAAAGTCATTTCCGCGAAATGCAAAATACCCGGTAGAGAAAGGAAAAGATCACTAAATTTTGGAGAGTCAGAGATAATTTTGCATTTCGCGGAAATTACTTTGAAAACGGCATTACTGTGTTATTTGTTGATATTGAGTTTTCTGTATATTATATCATTCAAGTTGGAGCTTGCGAGAAGCCAAATTTAAAATTTTTCCAGCCTAGAGGTACATCACTCCCCTGAAAAACTATAAGATCTAAAAAATTTTCATTTTTTTTTCTTTTTTTTTCTTCTTTAAATATTTTTCAAACACCTTGAGATCGTTTCTTGACTGCCTTCAGAAACACGTAAATTTTGGTTCCATATCTCTCATTGTTATCGTTATCACATGCCGTCTCCCGGAACATCACAATATTCTTTTTTTCAATTGACTGACAAAAAATTAATGCTCGTGCGAACGGTGCCGTTGTGATTCAGCAGAAATGGCACCGCAAAGAAACTTGGTTCCGACCAGATCAATTTGCTGGGAACGTTTTTACCGGCGCATTTTATTGCGCAAAACAATGAGGACGGAACCCAATCACGTCATTAGAATCGAAGGAAAAAAGTAAAAGACTCAAAAGCCAACTATTTCTGCTGAAATTAAAACCATACAAAATTTGATTTTCAGAATATTCTTTTTCTGCATTCAGTTGAATTATTTAATTTTTCCAGTAAAATGCACCAATAAATGAGACAGCTCCGACTTTCCAGCCGGAATTTCCAAAAAAAGTCGTACGTAGAGTTTTCCGAAACTGATTAAGCGCCAATTATATTGCTTGAAAGCCCTTTCTTAGAGCTTAAAAAGAAGAATTTTTAACAAACTCGTTTTTACAAACAAACCAAAAAAACAGCACATACCAGCTTAATAAATGAAAAAAAATTCTCTTTTTCTTCAAAAACACACAACAGGATTTTTTTAACATACTAGTTTATTGCAGAGTGTCTAAGCCAGAGTTACTGACGGGGCGTCCCGCTGTTTTAAGCAGTCGCCCCGGGGGGCCGCGACTCGTTGAGTAGATAAGCTGAAACGAAGTATAAGCGAAAAAAACCCTCAAAGAAATGACTAATAGAGAATCTATTGGTGGAAAAAAATGAGAGTTCGTTCATATCATTGAGTAACTGTGAAGAAATCTTTAAAACAGTATGACCGCTACGCGCCACGGTCTGGTCAGCAGCTCTGCTCAAGCGTCTTGAAAACTTTTATTCCGAATTGCGGACAATTTTTTTTTTCATTGAATCACATTATAAATTGAATAAGGATTTTAAAACGAGTTTTTTCGAAAAAAAAACCCGTTTTGAAATTTCATGTTGCAACATGAAGAAAACCAAAATTTCAAATTTCTAGAGCCAATGGAAACTGCGCTCCATCGAACCAACCGCCAATTCGAAATTCGAATTAGTGACGTCAGTTTTTTTTCTTTTTACATGTGTCTTTTTTTACAAAAAAAGTTTGAAAAACCGTGATTTTTTTTATCATTTATTATTTCAGAGAAATATGAATAAACGTCAGACTCGCGATAAACGCCCATCTCCAGCGCCAGAAACCGAGACAAAGGTCGAAAACTGTTTTTTGAAAATTTGAAGGTTATTTATTATTATTATTTTCAGAAAAGAAAATTGAACAGTGAGCAGCCTGAAGAAGATCCCAAAAAGAATGAGAATGACAGTGGAAGACCGATCTCTCCTGCCTCATTGGCTCATATGGTTCGAAAATTCTAATTTTTGTTTTCATGTAAATCAAAATTATAGCTTGATAAAATGCGCAAAGAACTGCTGGATGATGCGAATTTGTCAAAGGCAGCAGCTCTGGAACTGAGCAATTTTGATATTTCGGTTTGATTATTGGTCGATTCGTGGATATAATTTCAAGTTTGAGGTGGAAACCTGCGATGAGTTCAACAAAAAGCGTGAAAGGATTCGGGATCTGCTCGGAAATACGACTAAATATGATGACAAAACTCAGCTGAACTACGATGAAGTCCTTGTTTTGGGAATATCGTTTTCTAAAATATCTTTTCAGGCGGCAATCGCCGGAGCAAAGCTTCTGGTGGATCAGAAAATCACGACAAGGAGGATCAGCAAGCAGTTCGTTTATATTTTGACTTTGAAGAATTGTTAAACGATTATTATTTTAGGCTCCACGATTGCGGAATCGATGAGAACAGCGTGCTGTACAAGCCATTGGATATAACAAAAAGAGAGACAGTTTCGGCCAGGGAACAGTCCGAGTAAGTTTTTTACACCGAAAATGTTTAAGGAAAGTTCGAAACTATAATTTTTATAGTACAAGACAAGCTTCTGTCGTCGAATCTTTCGTCGATTTCCAGCGTCAGATGCACTTCAAAATGAACGTTATCCAGAACATTGCCGCCAAATCCAATGGTTTGTTTTTGAACTTTTCTTTCGTATAATATGTTCAAAAAACTTGTTTGAGTGTTTGAAAGAGTATAGTTTAATTTTATTTTCGACAAGGTTTTTGAGCATCTAAACACGTCAGAAAATAAAATAGTTGAATCAGGGTCATTTTAAAAATATTTCTGCTGTTTTCCTACGTTCAGATATGCATTTACTTCCATTTCTCCTCGTTCTTTTCATAACTTTTTCTTGATTTTTCGTAATATCCACCTGAGTTTATTTTTCGAAAAAATCCTTTTGTATGAAAAATTAAGCTCTATAGTCCATTTGCAATGTTTTTACGGAATTGCTCAAAGTTATCATTGTGATGAAAATTTTATTCATTAGAGTTATAAATGTCCATTATTTTCAAAGATCGAGAATTATTTTTTTTCAGTCATTTCGAGTTTTTTTCATAGTTCTTTGATACATGCGTTGCTTTCTAAATTTTTTTTATTGAGATTGAAAAAATTTTTTTTAAATAGAAAAAGAAAAGTAAGAACTATTAGTAAAAACGGAGATAATTATTTGAAAAGATAGGAAAAAAGCTTCAAGTTTAATTTCACATTAATAAAAATCATACAGTGTATTTTTTTAATGCAGATGTTTCTTGACAGCCATAGAAACCCGGATATGTGAGTCAGGAACAATCCGCCCTTCCTTATTGTCTTGTAATAAAACCTCGAGAACTCGGAGGAACAATTAGGAATACAGGGTGTTGCAAAAGGTCGCAAAAACGATTCGATGGGCCGAACCTGGCGCTTAGGCAGTCCTAAATTGCTTTTTATTACCTTTTTTTTTAGTTCCTGTAGGGGATTTGGGACGGATTGATCTTTTGACTTTCTGGGCCATAGGTGCGGAAAAATAGGCTCAGGAGAATCAATTCAATTTATTTCTAAATCCAAATGAACTTTTTTTGAAGGTTTTGTAAAGGTTCAAAGAGCGATTCCCGTTGAGATTAGATTCAAAATTCTTTTTAAAACAAATTTTATTTTCTCGAAAAGTAACTTCTGCTTATCTGAAAGGAAAAATTTTGAAATTTTGGCGTTCTTTGAAACCAAGACGAACAAATGTTCATAGAACATCTTTTCTGAAGGTTGCCGCAGAAAACCTTTTGATTAATCGAAAATCCGCATGGAAAGTCTGTAGACGTGTTTCTACCGAAAAAGCGTTGAAGGTTCATTTCAGACGATTTCGATTAAAAATGTTCGAAAATCAGTCGAGACTGGCGTTCTGAGAAAAAAAGGGAATTTGTCAAACTTATTTGCCCCCAAAAAAGAGGAAAATAAAACTTGCTTCACGGTCAATTTTTTCAAAATTCGGTCGACTTTTTTTTGTTAGTGAAAGGGGTTGTTTTACTTTGACTAGGTTTTTTTAAAGGCATATGGGCAGTAAAAAAACGGGTTTTAAGGTGAAAGAAGTACCTTGTAGAGTTTTTCATTGCGAACCGAGTGGTCTACTCAAATTAACACAGATAGGAGTACTTTTGAAGAAAAGTTAGCTTAGTCAGATCTTAGATGATTTTTAGATACAAATATTGTCTCTTCATGAAAGTGTACTCGAGGAGAATGGAAATTGAATTTTTTAGAGATTGAAGGGAAAAAATACCCGAAGAGCGAAGGTCGGAAGCCGATGACGCGAGCTGAACGCGACGCGGAAAATTTGCGAGCTCGTGCGGCTCAGCAGAAGACGGCGCGTCGTGGCCGAAAGCCCGACCCTTTCAGGACCCCCGTCACAAAGTCCAACTTCAACCCGTTGGATGATCGATTGGTGAGCGGATAAAATATATTTATCGAAGAAAATCATTGAAAATTAGCAGATAAGCACCATAGGAGTACGGGAAAAAACATGAAAATCGTGTATATAAAATTCGTGTATATATAGTAATTTTATTCAAAATTTTTCTGAGTAATTTTATTCAAAATTGACGGGATTTTTTGAAGAAAGGCCTATTTTCCTTCAGTGCAGAATTGAAAGAAAACTACTTTAATTTCGAATATTCTCATTTTTCAGATCATTGAAAAGTACGCTCTGGAGGTGGCCTCGGAGGTCCGTGAGGACAGCCAGAAGAAACGACGTCACATCGCCCCGATTCCATTCGACATCACCCTGCTCGACGACGAGAACGACGACGACGAGGCTGAAACCCACTGAAAACCTCGCATTTTTCAACCTCAACCTTTCCAGCTTTAAGCACTGTCGACTCCCTTCCGTTTTCTCCACCCTCTCAATTCCTTCGGGTCTCCCAACTTTACATTGCATTTTGCTGTATGTATTTATTTTTTCTCCCGTTTTTTTGCCTCCCGGTAAACGGCAAGTTTCTCACTCTCAGTCACCATTTATTTGCAATTGTAAATTGTTCTATTCTCAATTTTTTGTGAAATTCTAATTTTTAATGAATTTTTGAAGTTCTAGATTTTTTTTTTATATGTATTTCTTCTGTGAGCATGATATTTACGGTCCGTAGACAGATTTTTCTTCCCATTCGAACTTTTCCTAACATTATCAGAAAACAGAATTTGTGGAAATTCACCATCTGTTTCTGCTGAAATTACTGGCCAGCTTAACTAGACTCGACAGTTCCCCGATCTCGAGACCTTTTTTCAAAATTCCTCCCAATATTTTATTTCATCCCAATCGAAAATCCCTTCAAGTACTTTCTAAACGACGGTGGTGCTTCCTTCGCAGTTGATGGTGGTGTAGTTGACCTCGGCGACGCTTTGTTTGGCGGCCCGAGCGAATCTGAAGTTGACCATCAACGACATCATCTGAAACCCAGACGGACTGGTTGACGGCTTCACAGGAGGCAGAAGGATCCTTGACGAGGAGCTTGACGGCCAGCTTGCCGCCGTTGTTCGTCGCCATCCGGCTGAGATGGTCGCCTTGGGGCAGCTGGACGTTGTTCTCGGCGGCGAATCCTTCAACCTGCAATCAGAAGACGTCAAGAGACAGTCAGGTAGAAGACGTACGGCCGCGTAGATGCTTCGGGCGTTGGCGTCGTTGACGGATGGGTCGAACGGCTTGGTCGTGACGATGGTGACCAGCACGAGAGTTCCTTCAGCAGCTCTTTTGAAGACTCTAGACGGCCCTTCTGCGACAAAGTCCGGCTGTTCTTCGGGTGCTGAAGTTGGAGCTGGAGTCGGAGGACACCCCTTAAGAAGACTTTACGAAACAAGTTTTCTGATCAGAAAACCTGCACAAGGGAGAAAAGAAATACACTAGCGGTGATGAAGAGTTTCATTTCGCGTTTACTCTTCGACCGCTCTCCAGACTCTTTTATACCACGTTCAGTTGCTTTCTGTTTGCTTTTCACAGCAATTGGAATAATGTCGATCATACAAACCCTGAATGAAGTTTCGATAAGGTCCCTGCTCACTGATACGGTTCTCCTATAAAGGGGCATGCAACCTGGAAATTGTATCGAAATGTCCAAGATCTTCTGCTTCCTTGCCGTCGTCCTCGCCTTGACTGAGGTGAGCATCTCCTGAAGTTTCCACTCTAGTCGCTTTTTCCAGGCTTGCGCCCCTCCAGCAGCCACTACCCAGAAACCGACGACCAAAGCGGCGACGACCGTCGCAACGTCGCCTTCGACGACGGTCAAACCTCCCGGAGACTTGCCCGCTCGAGGACCTCGTCGCTTCGTCAAAAGAGCCGCTGAAGGAACTCTCGTGCTGGTCACCATCGTCACGACCAAGCCGTTCGATCCCTCCGTCAACGACGCCAACGCCAGAAGCATCTACGCGGCCGTATGTCTTCTTCTTGACTGTCTCTTGACGTCTTCTGATTGCAGGTCGAAGGATTCGCCGCCGAGAACAACGTCCAGCTGCCCCAAGGCGACCATCTCAGCCGGATGGCGACGAACAACGGCGGCAAGCTGGCCGTCAAGCTCCTCGTCAAGGATCCTTCTGCCTCCTGCGACGCCGTCAACCAGTCTGTCTGGGTTTCAGATGATGTCGTTGATGTTCAAGTTCAGATTCGCCCGGGCCGCCAAACAAAGCGTCGCCGAGGTCAACTACACCACCATCAACTGCGAAGGAAGCACCACCGTCGTTTAGAAAATTCATTGTTTCGGGATTTCTGATGGAATAAAATTTTCGGAAAACTTAGTGAAGCTCTGTTTGTGAGAAAGAAAAGTTACAATGCTGGGGTGCTTGAAGGGGACGTGATTGGATCGATTGGTAAGAATAAAGTTTTGGGAAAACGGATCAGAAGCTCGAGAACATGAAGAAATAGGCTCAAATTGAGCATAACCAAAATAACAGAAAGCTTCTTCTCTGCTTTTTCAAAAATAAAAAGCAATTGAGCGAATTTAAATTAGCTAACAGTCTTTTCAAAAACTTCTTTGCTCCTTCTTTACGAATAGAAAAAAGACCGAAAGATTTTGGAAAGCTTCCTGACATTAATGAAGAATAGAAGAAAGGAAGAAACAGTAGAAAATATTGAAGAAGACTTTCAGAGAGATAACGGCTTTCGAAAACCAGAGATTTTTTTTACGAAATGGAGAAAATGGTTGGAATTTTCAGCTTATTCCTGACTCGAAATAGCAAACCAAAGTGGGTCGCTAAACTAGGAATTCATTTTGAATTGCGGTAATTATCCACCATTCCGACTTTGCCCGAGGTTACTACAGTATACGGTGCACGAGAGAGTTTTTTTTTTAAAAGGGTACGGTATTTGAAAGTCCGCATCTTTCGTGTTTGCACATTCTGAGTGATATCATCTCCGCGTTTTCTCTTTTTTTATTTTAGAACTTTTAGTTTTGAACTATGAAAAGTCAGAATAAAGATCAACTTTTACTATAACTTTCTATTCAATAGAATTTCGACAAGGTTTATTTTAGAGCGTAAACTAACGTCTCATCCTCATTCCCAAAAAAATTAAGGCGTGTTTTCGCTTTTTTTTTTCCCACTTGAATCGCCTCAATATATTCACATCATTTCATATTCTCAAAAATAATCTTTTCAGTTGCTTGAAAACAATTTTAAAAAGCTCTTGTTCTTGAAAATCTCAATATTAAAAAGAGCTTTTTTTGCGGTAAGAAGTCCTCATCGCTTCCCAGACTATATACTTTTTCACTTTCAAAGACCGCAGCAACCTTCTTGGATTCATATTTTTTCTCGCTCTGAATACTTTTATAGGTTTTCCAAAATTTTATTAAATCAGAAATCCCGAAACAATGAATTTTCTAAACAACGGTGGTGCTTCCTTCGCAGTTGATGGTGGTGTAGTTGACCTCGGCGACGCTTTGTTTGGCGGCCCGGGCGAATCTGAACTTGATCATCAACGACATCATCTGAAACCCAGACGAACTGATTGACGGCTTCACAGGAGGCAGAAGGATCCTTGACGAGGAGCTTGACGGCCAGCTTGCCGCCGTTGTTCGTCGCCATCCGGCTGAGGTGTTCGCCTTGGGGCAGCTGGACGTTGTTCTCGGCGGCGAATCCTTCGACCTGCAATCAGAAGACGTCAAGAGACAGTCAAGAAGAAGACATACGGCCGCGTAGATGCTTCTGGCGTTGGCGTCGTTGACGGAGGGATCGAACGGCTTGGTCGTGACGATGGTGACCAGCACGAGAGTTCCTTCAGCGGCTCTTTTGACGAAGCGACGAGGTCCTCGAGCGGGCAAGTCTCCGGGAGGTTTGACCGTCGTCGAAGGCGACGTTGCGACGGTCGTCGCCGCTTTGGTCGTCGGTTTCTGGGTAGTGGCTGCTGGAGGGGCGCAAGCCTGGAAAAAGCGACTAGAGTGGAAACTTCAGAAGATGCTCACCTTAGTCAAGGCGAGGACGACGGCAAGGAAGCAGAAGATCTTGGACATTTCGATACAATTTCCAGGTTGCATGCCTTTTTATAGGAAGAACCGTATCTGTGAGCAGGGACCTTATCGAAACTTCATTCAGGGTTTGTATGTTTGACATCATTCCCATTGCTGTGAAAAGCAAACAAAACTGAGTTCGTAGCATGAAAATAAACTTGAAACTCGAGGAAAGGATATAAGGAAGTGTTTTTTTTTCTTTAAGGGGTTTCTCAAACAATTAAAACGCATCTTTACGATGGGTCTTTGCAGACTTTTTTCCCGAATCCGATCGCAACAATGACGTTAATTATTTTTTTTCCGAGAGGAATTAACGCGGAAGAGTCATTTCTCGTGGGATCTTGATGCTTTCTGTTTTCAAGCCCAAAATTTTGAGGGAAATTCGGTAGAAACCTTCCGAAAAAAACTTTTATTAGACTGTCCAATACTATAAATAAATAAATTTCTTTTATTTGGTATAATAAAAATGTTTGTCAAGGCTATTCAGAAATTACTATTTGCTTCCCTTTTTTTCAAGGTCAAGGTTAGGTAGGGTTATATAAAAAGAGGAATCGGTTCGGTTATTATTTTGGTTCAAAGTTAGGACAATGCTGAATTTATTCTTCTTTGTAACGGTGGCTTCATTTTTGGTGAGGATTTATTTTTCATAAAGTTACTTTTTCTGCTGGCTTCTAACCTATAGTAATTGTTGAATTTCAGTTATTTTTTTATTTAAAAGCTCTCATTCATTATTTTGAAAGTCTAGTCGAATATAAAATAACAACCTTTTTCAAAGCGAAAATGAATATTTCTGCTTTTTTTGTTTTTTTCGAAAACTTAAAATTTGAATGTTCGAAAAGCTGAGAATTCGAATAACATCAAAGGAAATTTTTTTCCTGAATTGTATTAAACCGTCATCTGCTTTTTCAAACTGTGAATTTTGTTGCAAAATTTTCTAAGAATACACCGAAAAACTATGGCTTCATGAATAAAACTGACGGGAAAAACAATGGTGAAATCCGGCTCAATCTTGCATTTTTCGAAGGGAAGCTGTTGAATTAACTATTTTTTATAAAATTTATCCATTTTAAGGCCTTGAATCACGCTGCTTCCCCACCGAACATCTTCAAAAAAGCCCCTCCAAACTCGCTCGTTCTTCTGTCGATCGTAACAAATCTTCCCTTCGCCAACAAGTCCAACAAAGACAATCTCGAGAAGATTTATACAGCCGTGAGGGATTACGAAAAGATTTTTCATTTTTCGAGATCAATTCAAGTTGAAACCCCTGGCCAGAGAAAATTACGTTGAAATGCCGCTTGGGCAGAAGTTGGACAAAGTTGCGATGAACTCGGGCGGGAAGCTTCTCGTCAAACTTCTTTACAAGGATTTTTCGGCCAATTGTGGAGGTGTTAAAAGGTAATTTTTTTACTGGGTAAATCTTAAAAATCTTTTGTTGGTCAGGTAAATAATTTAATTTACCGTAAATTTTATAAATTTATCATCTCATCTCTACCTGTCTTATAACTTTTTAAAGTTATTTTTTCAGTGTCGCCAAAGTGGCCAAGACGAGAATCTCCTATGTGACATCGGCAATCGTCAACTGTGAAGGAACTCGAACGATAATTTGAAACCGACGTGAAAATTGTCCAATAAAGCCCATTCCATATTCGAAAACATCAAAACGCTTTCCGAAAAAGGGCAAGATCGTTTGAGTTGTCGGTACTCTTATGACCCATGGCCCATTAAAAACGATCGGTTTTGTCTCACAGTATTGTTTTGTTTCTTGGATTTTTTTTCGTTAATGAACAACTGGAAGCCCTAAAAAATGAACTATTAACGTTTTTAAAAGTAACCAGGTTTTTTTTCGGAAGTTTTACTAAACACTGTGGTCAATTCAAGATTTTTTAAGGCGTTTTTCCGAAAAAATCAGCTTCAAGGCTCTTCGTTACGAGACCTTTATCAAACTCTTCGATGCTCCTTTAATAACCGCAGCCATGATTTTTGGAAATACTCTACGTAGAGGTGTCGAGAAACTCATGAAGAAAAAAAATTTCGTCGTAGGTTTTTTTCTTTTTTCTTGGAAGTTGATTCTGTTTGGCCTAATTGCTTGGCTCAAGCTTGAAGCCCTACTTGAATATTTCAAAAAAAAAGTATTTTTAAGAAAAAAACTGAAAGATTCGAATTCATTCTAGGAGGTGTCAGTACACTGTAAAAAAGGAAAAAAAAAAATTTTTTTTGCTCTTTTTTTTTGGAGATCTTTTCAGTAGTAAGTTTGACTTACGGCATTTCGGAAGCTTGAAAAATCATTTCTTATAAATCGAAGAAAAACCAAAAAAAAAATCCCCTTTTAAACCAGAAGCTGAGGTCCTTCTCTGTTCCTTGATTTTCGGGGACAAAATGTCGAATTCTCCAAAATGCTCATGATTTGTACACCGCATAAGACGAAAAAACGCGTTTCATCTCCGGTCATTTTCAAAAAATTAGGAAGTCTCAAAAACCATTTCTCATAAATCGAATCTCAAGAAAAACCAAAAAACCCCTTTCGTGCCCGAAGTTGAGGCCCTGCTTTGTTTCTAGATTTTTCCCGACAATATTGTGAAAATTCCAGAAATGCTCATGATTTGTACACCGCATAAGGCAATAAAAACGCGTTTCGTTTTTGGTCTTTTCCAAAAAAATAAGAAAATCTCAAAAATCCTTTCTCAAAAAATCGAATATCAAGGAAAACCAAAAAACCCATTTTGAGCCCGAAGTTATGGTCCTGCTTTGTTTCTAGATTTTTCCCGACAAAATTGTAAAAATTCCAGAAACGCTCATGATTTTTACACCGCTCTCATTGGAAGGCGAAAAAAAATCCATCTTCGGTCAATTCCAAAAAAGGGCAAGATCGTTGGAGGTGTCGCCTAGCCATGAGCCCATTAAAATGGCGCGCACGGTTGGCCCGCAACTACAACAATCCCGTGTGAAAGACGGCTGGCCGGCTGCTCACGGAGAGGAAGGTTTACACTGTTGTCGAGCCGTCGTCGTCTTCTGCCACCGACGCCAGGAACGAACCTCGGCGGGTGTGGGCGGCTGCCACTCTCGTCGTTGTGATCCGCGCCCGCTAAACAACCACCCATCCCCGTGCACTTTTTTCTATCTTTTTATCTTTTTTTCTGAACCCAAATTCATTCCGTAAACTTTAGTAATTGTATGTGAAACAAGAAAAATTTATTGATTGATTGAAATTTATGTGTCTCTTCTTGGCAACCTGTGATGAACTGGAAGGAAAATCATACAGGTTGAAGCAAAAATTCATTCAGATCAGTTCAATTTATCTCAACATGAAAAAAAGATTTTTTTAGCGAGATTATTATTTTATTGATTTTGAAACAACATCGAGCTGTTTTCAAAAGCTTTGAAATTTTACTAAAAATGGTCACGACTGTTCTCAGAAAGAGCACTTTTTCCTTTTTACACTATCTGAATCTCTTTGATTTCCTACCAAAAATCGCGAAAAATCGCATGAAGAAGCTTTCGAAAAGCTCAATTTTTAGCTCAAAGATGGTGTCGACTGACTTCAGAAAGTGTACTTTTTGCTGTGTTATCATTTTTTTTTTCGAGAAGCTCTGAACTGTGAGCAGGAAGACATTTTGATCCACGTTAAAAAATAAAATAAACTTCTTTATCTCATTTTTTAAAAGATGATCTTATTTTTTTCGATTTTCTGTGTCCTTTTTTTCGATTTTCTGTGTTCCCATTAGCGGTGGATTTAAGGAAATCTCAAAATAGTTATCAAAATTATGAATAGTCTTCGCGATAAGTGACCAAAATAGTGCATTTTTGAAATCAATGAAGCGCGCCAAAATCAATAAGTTATTTTGCCTGTTCTTCGACATTTCAGTTAGTGATGCAGCTACAAAAAGCTCATATTTTGATCAGTTTTTTCTTTTAATTTTCTAAAATTTCAATACTATGCTCTTTTTTTATTATTGCAAAGTTTCAAGCGCAAGTGACTAGATTTAATCCTTATACACTGATTTCTTCCTTTTAATTTGCACAAAAATTTTTAAAAGTACTGCATGGGTAAGTTTTCCGTGAAGATTCTGTAAATAGAAACCTTTTTTTTTTTGATGAGAAGAAAATTTAAATAGTCATAAAAATAACTTTTTATCACTAATCACCTTAATTTTTTCCTTATTTTTCAAAATAAAACCTTTTCTTTCTCTCATTCGCGACTAAGCTTCATTCAAAAGCTCACTTTTTCTTGTCTCTCTTTGATTTTACAACGAACGGGGAAAAAAATTGGCAGCCCAGGAGCTGTTCAACCAAATCGATCAATCGGCAACTGTTGTCCGGCTACTGACCTCTTGTTGCAGCAATGTTTCTATATCATTTTTTGCTCCAATCATTTTTCAATCAATTTTTTAAAAAATCCCTAGAAAAATTAAAAATCCATGTTTCGTCTCAGAAAACATCAGCGATTGCTTTTAAAAAGAAAGTTTTTTTCCCTTAAAAAAACATTTGAATTATTATGAATATGTCCATTTTCAGTATTATCAATAAAAAAACACAATCTTTTAACGTTTTGAAACTTGAGATAAAAATCGAATTTATAAGTCTTACTGTACAAATATCTGTAACGCCACGCCGCCGTGTTGTGTGGTGTGAAATTAACCCAGAAAAATTTTTTTGAAAGAAATCTGTTGTTTTACAATATTTTCTTTACGTTTATCATATTCATTATTTTTTTAGGCGTTTTTATTTGTTAAAGGGAGACACCTGTTACTTGGAAAAAAAGAAATCTGTAAACAAGAAAAACTACATATTTCTCCCATTATTATTCTTTTTCATTTTTTTCGTCATTTAAAAAAAGTTTTTGAGAGAAACAGCTTCAAATGCTTTTTTTCTGCACATAAATGTTAACTCTCACATTTTCTTCTTGATTTTCGAATTTCTCGCTTAACATGTGCTCGCCACATTTAAATCGGTTTGTGGGATTTTTTTTTTCTGAAATGTTTTCTTGAGGATAATCGAATTTTCTTTCAGATGTTAAAAACGTTTTCGCATCTTTTTTCGAGAGAGTTTTTGCCCCAAGAACGGGTCTGAAAAATTTTCGGTCCAATTTTTTCATTGCTTTGATTTTTTCGAGATTTTCGATAGGCTCTCTCGCATGGTTAGGCTTAATTTTTTTCGCTTTCTTTTTAAGAAAAAAATATTCCCAAGAAGTCAGATAAATGCATCGCTTTCCCCTGTGTCTCCTTGGTTCAAAAGTCGTTGATTTTTTTATTTTTTCATTCAAACATCAGAAGTCTTTCGGAGGACTCAAACTTAAGTTGCTTTGGATATTGTCTTCTGTTCGCGTTGATAAGAGGGGAAAAAAAGAAAAACATTACCAATTTAAGCGTAGCCAAAGAAGGATGGTGCCAGGAGCGGCGCCTCCGGAAAAGTCGACCGGCGGTGGCGATTTCGCCGCTGCCGGCGACCCTTCCACCACCACCATCTCCACGATCGCCGTCCGAGCCGGGGTTAATGCTTCCATCGTCGTCGCTCTTCTCAAGGTTTATTTCCTTGGTTTGAAATGGGAAATTATTGATCTTTATCGATTTTTTGCTTATTCAAGACGGTTTTCTCAAATTAGGCCATTTTCTGAGACGCTGGAAATTGAAAAAATTAATTGTTGGAAGTAAATTTGTATCTTTGATTGTTCTAATGGTATTTTGCCTCAAATTTGTCTATTTTTTCGTACAAAGAACTCGTCATTAACAAATATATCGCCCAAAAACCACGATCTGTGTATGCACATTTTAGACCAACAGTGTGCCAAACCGGACGGGGTTTTTCGATTTTTTTTTCGACTTCAAGTCATTTAATTTTTTCTTTTCCTTCGTCTGCCTATCAAAATTCTTCTGATACACCAAAAATGCAAGAAAACAAATACGGCTCTAAAATATTCCCATGACTCACTCAAGAACGCAGATTTGACCATTTTCCCATCCACATTTTGTTTATCCAATTGCACAAAATGCAAAACGAGGTGGAAATCACACGCTACGCGTCAGACGAAGATTCCCAGCTGGACGGACGTTGCGTAATACGATCCGACGCCCAGTTTTATGGCCTCCGAAACAAACTCAAAATTTTCGTCGTTGTAAAATGTATGGGGACGTCGCGTGGATCCAGAATCTAGTTCAAAATGAAGCGAATGAGAAAACAAGTTTTGATTAATAGTATAAAAATAATAAGGACTTAGGAACGGTTATTAAAGAAGCATTTTGCATGAAAACTCTTCTTCCCATAAAAGTGCGATACACTAATAATAATAGTTCGCACATGCACAAAGTGAATAGAATGTATAAATTTGAAAACCGGTTCAAGGTCGCCCCCAAAAGAGGTGCCACTCAAGGGAGTAAGATGCTTCTAATGTGGTCCCTAAAGGGGTACCTTCATCAAAAAAAAACGAACAAGATACGATTTTCTAAAAGTGAAAGAATGAAAGTGAGAGTTAAAAAAATTAGAAATTTCAAGTTTTGGGCTTAAAAACGACCTCAAAGTCGATCAACAACCACAGGAAAATTGAAAAGAGTCCTCAAAATCCGAATTTTCTGTAGTTCAGGAATTCGACTTTTTAAAGGTGCATAGTCTCATTTAGAGATTTATCGACGCGAAGAAACATTTTCAGCGCATTTTAAAGTCGTTATAGATATCTGCACCTTTAAAATATTTCGAGATTTTCGAACAAAGGAACTCTGGAAAGTTGATGAATTAGTCGCTACTCGAAAAAAAAAAAATTAAAGAGAAAATTTGAATTTTCAGGACTCTTAAAGGTACCCTAGAGTTTCTCATAAACGTCCGGTTTTCTTTACCGACTCGGACTTAATTTTTTTTCGATTTCAAAATGTTCCTCGAGGAATTTCCCATTTTGTTAGGAAATTTGGAGTTGAACAATTTATGATTTGAGTAGTCTATTTGAACAGTTTTCCAATCCTTGTGAATGTCTGACCTTGTAGAAACCCATAAAGTCGATATTTTTAGTCAGCCGGCTACATCGAGCTGCGGGTCGATGAAATGCGTCCGAAATTGCTGGCGATTGGAAATTCGGCCGAGGAAACCAGTGGATTGCTTCATATTCATGAAGACCTTTTGGCCAGGCTACGGGTCAATATTTCCAAAAAAAAAAGCTTAAAATTGAGGAGTTTAGGAAAAAGACGACCAAGTGCAAGCTCTGCTCTCCCGGGCCGACAGTTTGAGTGGCGAGAAGAAAGATCCGAAAGAAGCCGTTGTTTATGAAGAAATGGCCAAGAGCATGCATCAGGTCCGTTTTTAATTTTCAAAATAAATATTTAAGGGATCAAAAATTAGAAGTGACAAGTCTGAAATTGAATTGTTAAGACGGAAATTAAGCTTGTTATTTATTTATTTTTTTGGACGATAACGATAAAAAAATTTTTTTAATAGTATTGGAACTGTTATAAGATTTTTGATGCAAGCTTTCTTATAGATTTTTTTCCATTCATCAGAATTTTTAATAATTAAAAAAATGCTAGTGATTTCCAAGGTGCTCCAGGAGAGTATGGGTCCGTCTCATTATTTTATAAATTTTTTTCTAAACTTTCGAAATTGCTTTCAATTTTCTAAGATCTTTAGGAAGTCCGTATTTTTCTTGAAATTCATAAAATTATAATTTTTTTCTATAGACTTTTCCTAAAGTTTTTGAAAAATTTCTTTCATTTCTCAATTACATTTAGCCAACTTTGGTCCCCATTTTTCCAAAGTTTATAAAAATTGTCACGTCACCTGAAGCTTTGAACCCCCGGCTTTTGAAAATCTGCCGAAAATCACAAAAACAACATCTTAATTTTTTAGTACAATTTTCACAAGCCGCAAAGAAATCCCAATGAAATGCGGTCCACATGTTTCCGTCGCACTCAATTTTTACGTTTTTCCTGCACCTGGACTCTGGAAAATTCATACGAATCCGATGCGAACGATCGAAGTAACCGTATCTTGTCAGGCTTGGCGATCTTTGAACCGACAGTTGATTCTGAGAAGCTATCTGCTCCGGGAAACGCTTCACTTCCATCAGATGGCCGAGAGTCATGAACTGGTTCGTTTTTCGGGTTTTCTCTCATCTTTGAAGAAATCGTTTAACTTTTTTTTTCAGTTTATAGTGGTCCCTGTAGGGATTAGAGAAAATCGCCATAGTGGTCCCTATAGGGATTAGAGTATATCACCATAGTGGTCCCTATAGGGGTTAGAGAAAATGTCCATAGTGGCCCCTAGAGGGGGACTAGAGAAAAAGGCCATAGAGGTCACTATAGGGATTAGAGAAAATTGTCATAGTGGTCCCTATAGGGATTTGAGAAAGTCGCCATAGTGGTCCCTATAGGGATTAGAGTAAATCACCATAGTGGTCCCTATAGGGGTTAGAGAAAATGTCCATAGTGGCCCCTAGAGGGGGACTAGAGAAAAAGGCCATAGAGGTCACTATAGGGATTAGAGAAAATTGTCATAGTGGTCCCTATAGGGATTTGAGAAAGTCGCCATAGTGGTCCCTATAGGGATTAGAGAAAATGGCCATAGTGGTCCCTATAGGGATTAGAGGGGATAACAGCGCTTATATGGGGAAAAAATGACTTGGGTGAAATTTAAAGTGGTCCCTATAGAGTTTAGGCTCGGACCCCTAAGCTTCTTAAGCTCAAGTGATCCCTGCAGGGGCAGTTAAAGGGGGAATTTTAAGGATTCCTGAGGTCGTCCCTATAGGGACCACTCTGACAGTTTGGTTCCAGTGACCCCTCTAGGGATTCGGTTCCAGGGACCTCTTTACAAATTTGGTTCCAGAGACGTCTCTGAGAATTTGGTTCCAGGGACCCCTCTGAGATTGGTTCTCTCTATCTCTCTCTCTCTTTCTCTCTCATTTTTAATTCTAACAAGTGAGAATGAATATAATTCCAGCTCACTTCGAAAACAGCTCAAATCCTGGGCCAACTCAACGCGTTGAACGGCGAGAAGCTCGTTCCCGCCATCGATCAGCTTATCAATGGTTCATCATTTCCCTAAATCCTGATTATTCTGATTAATTCTTAAGATATCATCGACACGACCGCGGCTGCAGTGGAGTTGGGAACCTCGGTCATCTCTCAAATCAGAACCTTGGGCCAAATCGACGACAACCCCGAAAGACCCAAGGAAATCCTGGAAGCCTGTGTTCTCGTCGAGACCATCATGCTTAGGTAACAAAAAAAAATGGATGAAATATAAATGTTTTTATAATTGCACATAGTCTGTTTACGTTTTGATTGTTAAGTCGTCCTTCAAGCTCCGCCCCCTAATGGCGCGATAAACCAATCAGGGAGCGAGAAAAAAACAGAGCGTTCTTGAGTGACGTCATTGGGCTTGAAATTCGAAATCTGAACAGACAAAATTTTGAAAAATGAGTGAGAATGTTTCAATAATTGACGCGAAAATGGCAAAAATTTGATCGGAATAGAAAAAAAAACGGTTTTCAGAAAAAATAAATTTTTCGTTTTTCCTCATCTTTGATTGTCTTAGATATACATATCAACTTCTTAAGAGTTAAAAAAATATTATTCGAAGCTTTTTGAGTGAAAAAAATTCAAAAATTGAATAGGATATTGATTTTGCAGTTTTTTTTGTCAGATAAGATTTTTTTAAAAGTAAATTAATATTTATTTTTTTGAAAAAAACCTATTTTTCGTGTAAACGCGAAATTCGTGAATTTCATGTCTCCCTGTAGAGAATTTCGCACAGAACCTGCAAAAAGAGTAAAACTATGGAAAGTCCATTTTCATCATTCATAACCGGAAAAAAGAGAAATATTCATAATTGTCCAGAATCGCTACGGAATGGGAAAAAGCGGAAAGTTCTTGGCAAAAAGCCAGGCAACAGCCCCTCCACGCCACCACCACCGAAATCGATGAGCTCACGGTTTTCAATCGATTTTTTTCAATCGATAAATCGATAATTCAGATCATCGAACAATGGCTGACCTACTCGGAGAAGAGGTTGAAGGCCCTGAACGACAGCGGCCAGAAACAGATTTTGAACGAGGGAAATGTGAGATTTGAAGTTTCAGATCTAAGAATGAAAAGTTTTTATTCTTTATTATTAATTTTTTCATACACGACTTCAGCAGACTAATTTAACAAAATGATGAAATTCGCATTTCTAAGGATATTTAGAAACACGTGGCTCGACTCCGCGACCTCTCAACGTCTCAATCCGAAGCCGATACTGGTAGAATCTCGCACCTTTCTGGAAGGATCGAGGAGTTCCTTCACTACTTGAAGACCCGGATGAATAGATCGCAGCGGATTCAGGCCTTCATCCAGGCGGCCAAATCGGTAGGATCGGAAAATGCTCACTCTCATGAAGGCCAGTAGCACCCGCGGATGATCACCCGAAATGCAATTTTTAGTCCCGCATAGAACCCGTTTGAGTCCAGGGGATCACCCGGAACTTAAAAAAAAAACACCAGGTTTTGCAAATTTATGCCTTAGTCCAACAAGTGCTACTGGCCAGCATTAGAGTACTTGGCAAGTCTGACCTGTCTGCTCTCTCTTTTCTCTCACCAACGAGGTCAGGCTTAAGACGAAAAAACCCTAGAAAAAACAAAGCCGGACTGCTTCAAATCGTAGCGAATGAGGGGTCCGCATAATTTCGATGAAACTTCAGATGCTCTCCCAACTGAGTATGATGGCTGCGGACATGAAAAACGCCAGCGCGGCGATCTCCGGCGAATTGGCGCCGCTGGCCAAACAAAAAGCCTTGCCACTGATTTCCGAAGGAAAGGATATTGCTGGTTAGTTTCTTTTTTCACTCTGTGAGGGCTTTTTTGGATTTTGCGCTTTGAACACGCCGTTAAATATGAGAAAAGTCGAAAATTTTAAACATCTGAGAACTAAAGTTGATTTATTGGAAAATGATGCCTTAAAGCAAAAACTGGAAGCTTTTTGGCGCGCAACGGCTGCGGAGTGGATTTCAAATTGTACCCGACCAAAAATGATTTTCGCGCTGAGGCATCCTAAAGCATAGAGCAATATATCCAAGAATTCAGCCAGAATTGGAAGAAAAAAAAATCGACCGCGACGCTTCAAGCCATTCCCAGTGCGGACCCGAGCTTTTTTTTGAAACAAGGAAGACTTTACTCAAAAGTACGATTTCAGAAAGTCGTTTCAAGCTTTTCGCTTTCACAAGAAATATAATTATTTTAAAATCAGACTATGAATTTTGACAAGTTCTGATGATACAGTCCAAAAATATTTCTCCTACTTTTTTTGCAAGCAATTTTTTTCAGTCAAGGAAGCCCTCAGCTAGATTTTTTTCTGAAAGTCGAGACGAAAAAAAGTTGGCTTTTTTTCAGAGATAGGGGGGTGGTTGATTTTTATTATCTTTAATAATTTAAGTCATTTAATGTTTCTAAAAAAACACTTTTTTTCGATCACTCTCTCCATGATTTACACAATCTGTGAAAGTTTCGAGACGGAGAGGTTCGAAAAATGGCAAATTTTCGATCGCTTCGACCGCGTTGCAACGATACGGCCGGTACAGCGCACAGCTCCGCCTTTTTTTCCACTCATGCTTCAAAGAGAATACTTTTTTCCAGCCAAGGAAGTGCTCAACTACGAAGAGCAGCGACTCGTCAGACAACTTTGCGAAGATTTGGAACGGGGTCTCGAAGAAATTGAACAGCTATCCAAGCAAAGACACGCCAGTCAGCAAGTCAATCAGGAGGTTTGTGAACTCAGAAAAGTTCCTTTTGTACTACTGCATCTCTAAAAAAAAATCTTGACACTCCAGGAAAAAAAAAACAAAGAAACCCTCAAAGTTTTACCTTTATTAGATCCAAGACATCCGATCTTGGCTCGACGGTCAGGCGACGGCTTTCTTGGCTCAACGAGGCGACATGGGCGGAAATTTGACCGACGCCAGGGAATTCGTGGCTGTCCACAAGAATTTTGCCACCGATGTCATCGTGAGTGGCTTTCGGGATTATTGAGAAAGTTCTCTTTTTTCTCTTTTTATTCCGTTTGATTGTTGATATTGCCATTAGAGTTCTCAAAATGACCAATTGAAAAAAATGACATTTCTCAAAAACGAAAAATTTTCTTTTTGACATTTCAAACGAATGTCGTTTTTGAAAGATCAACCAAAATTGATCACTTTCATTCTTTTCATTTTGTGACTTTTCAAATAATGACTGAAAAATGAATGGTCATTTTCTAAACAATCATATTCTGACTAGTAAATAAATGTTCGTCCTAATGACCAAATTTTTGAAAGTGAAAAGTAAATGGTCACTTTTTTGACCAAAAACTTTCGAAACGAATTTTAAATGTTTACTTTTTTGACCAAAATTTCCGAAGTGAACTTTAAATGTTCATTTTTTGACCAAAATTTTCAAAACGAATTTTAAATGTTTACTTTTTCGTAGAAAAAATTTTTTTCAACTTTGAAAATTAAATGTTCATTTTTTGGCCGATAATTTTCCGAACCTGGATTTTCCGAACCAAAATCCAAATCTATACTTTTCCTTTTCCTCATTCAATTAATTCTCCAGATAGAACCTTTCTTCCGGTCTGCTCATTTTTAACCGGTTTCATATAATTTTTCTCGTCCTTAACCAACTTTTAGCTTTGCCCTTGACCATCCAGATCACTGTTTTCCAACAGATTTTTAATTTTAACCAGAAATTAGTTTGAATTTCGAAGTAATCGATTCATGATTTCATTTAGAGAAGACTGAGATAGAATTGACTCTGGCACAGATACTGCCAAGTGCCGTAATAGTAATGAATTAATTAATGAATAAATGTTTACCTTTTTGAAAGAAATTTTCAAAGTGAAATTTGAATGTTCATTTTTTTGACCAAAAATTTTCAAAAAGTGAAATTTGAATGGTCACTATTTTGACCAAAAATTTCTAAAAATGAACTTTAAATGTTCACTTTTTTTCGACCAAAAATTTCCGAAATGAATTTTTAAATGTTTACTTTTTTTGACCAAAAAAATTTCAAAATGAAATTTAAATGTTCATTTTTTTTAACCAAAAATTTTTTTTCGAAAAAAATAAGTAATTGTTCATTTTTTTAAATGCTCAGTTATGAAATTTAACCAAAATGAAGTTTTTTTAACAAACGGTTCATGTGAAATTTAACTAATTGGTCGAATTCATCAAACGTTCGGAAAATGTTTGGTTGAACGTTCGTTCAAACATTTACTTTTGAGAACTCTAATTGCCATGTACCCGCTTTTCAGAGGTTAAGAGTGGTCACTAGAGGGTTTAGAGAAGGGAAATCCCCTACAGTGGGCAGAATAGTGCTCCCTAGAGGGTTAAAATTTAGGTGGTCCCAGTAGGAGTTTGGAGTCTGATCCCTAAGCCCCTAAAGCTTGAATAGGCCCTATAGCGGTCCCTAAAATTTTTTTTTGATTTGAAAACGGAAAAGGCGCAATTTTTAAGACTTGATTAGAGTTCATAATTCGAAAAAACTCTAGTGACCACTCAAGAGGTTCATCAGTACTGAGGAAATGGCACTAAAGTGGCCACTGTAGTAGTTTTTAGTGGTCTAGTAGTACTACAAGCTTCTGTAGATGCCTATAAGTATTAGCTACTCAAGTGGCGACTAATCCGACTACCAGAGTGGCCACTAAAATGTCAAAACCCTATAGGGGACACTAAACAATGAGCAAAGAAGGTTACCCTAGAATGGCCACTTTTTCAAACTTTAGTGCCTCCTATGGTAGGAAGTAGGGCGACCCCTTGAGGGAGCCTACTAGACCCCTCAAGATTGCCACTCAAGGGACCGCTCAGGCGTTCTTAAGTGTAGGCCTACGAACTGCTACTCAACTAGTTACTAAAGAGGCAACCAAGAGGTCAAAACCCTAAAGGGGCCACTGAGAACCTTCCCAGAACAATAAACAAAATGTCTCCCAGAATAGCCACTTTTTTTAAGTCTTGGTCCCCCCCTAAGGTAATAAGTAAAGGGGTCCCTTAAGTGGAACCTACTAGACCACTCAAGGTAACCACTCTAGGGACCACTCTGTCGTTCCTAAGTGTAACTCATGAAAAACATGATTCAATCCCGAATTCCCCGTAGAACCGCGACGCGAGTGTCATGACGATCCACGCGAAGCGGTCGCAAATGACGTCAGACGATGAGAAATTCCTGGAAGTCTTTATCAAAGACTACGAAAAAATGAAGGACGTTTTGGAGAACCGCATCCAGTTGGGTACCACCTATGAGCAAGTAACCCGGTGAATAATCACCTGTTTCCACCAGGAATTTTCCCAGGTTCACAAATTCGCCAAAGAACTCGAAGGATCTTTTGATGCCCTTCAAACTTTGCTCGAGAATAATCAGGAGTTTACCAATGAAAAGGTACTTTCGATAAGTCAAAAGGAAAATTCGCGAAAAATTCAGATCGCTGCTCAAATCGCCAACGTTTTCCAAATGATCCAGGAAACGCTGAGTCAGGAGAAACATCAAGGTAAGTGTGAGCTAATATGAGCAATACGTGAACTTTTCGTGAATTAGATACTTTTTTCTTGAAAGTGTCATAGATTTTGAGAGGAAATCGCGAAAGAGCTATTGCTCATGTTAGCCAGGTGATTTTTTGAGAGAAGGTATTGAATAGATTCTCATTTATTGCTCATGTTAGCCAAGTGAAGTTTTTGAGAGAAGTTATTGAAGAGATTTTAAAATATTGCTCATGTTAGCCAGGTGAAGTTATTGAGTCGAAAAGATTATGTTGTAAATTTTTACAAGCGCACCAATTTTTTCGACATGGTTTGCTCAAAAATCAATACAGTTTCAAAATATCTTCATTTTGGATTTAAGTTTTAGATAAAAGTTTGAAAACTCCAGTTTTCAATTTTACATTTTCAGGAGAGAAATTCATTTCGAACGCGACCCAGATCGGCAAAGGAGACGAATGGCTCAACGTCGAGAGGGCCCAGGAAGCTATTCGGAATCTGATAACTGACCATGAAAATCGATTCAAATACGTCAGCCACAAGTGGAACGAATGGCAGAGGAACAAGGTTTCGAGTTTTTTTCAGTCTTTTAAAGAAGCAAAAAAAGAAGTTTTTTCAATGCTCCGCTTTCTAAAAAAATAGCTTTAGAAACTTGTAAAAAGAAAAAAATGAAAAAAATTGTTTTTCTTTGGGCATTTGCGCTCCAATGCGAAATGTTATACAATGTTTCCACTATTCAAACTCGAAAGTAATTAGTTATTTTTCAAATGGAAAATATTCGTAAATATCTCTAAACCCTCTTGTTTTCCAAATCTTTCTAGAAGCTGCTTTTTCAATACCACTATTTCTTAATAATTCAGTGTGGTTAATCAATATGAAGGGTGAGAAAGTAAATATGAAGAGGACATTACTATGAAAAGGTTTTCAGGATTTCTGGAATTTCTTAGAGGAGAAAGGGTTTAAAGATGAGAATATTTTATATCGCGCAGCCGTTTCGGGTCCCAAAAATGGACGGCTTAGAGGGTGGCCCGTTGTCAGCATTTTACCCTCTTGCTTTAAATCAAAAAAGTGTAAAAAGTTTTCACACCTAGGCGCAATTTCAAGTTAATAAAGTTTGGAAAAATTAATAAGGAAAAAGGGAAAAAACTGAGAAATGCAGGGGGAAGAAAAAAAGGAAAAGAGAAAAAAGGGGGGTGGGAATGTAGTCATCCATATCCGATGATCACTTTTTTTTGATTATTTGAAATTGTCAACAATTATTCAAGATTTTCATAAAAAAACAAAAAAATTTTCAGCTGAAAAATCATTTCTTCCATTTATTTGCCAAATTTTTATTTCTGCTCAATTTTTTTCCGCTACTGCTCGTTCATTAGTGGTGTTCTAAAATTTGACCGTTCGACCAACTTGACCGTTCAGTTTTTCGAACGATTACAACATGTCATTTTTCTGACCGTTCGTTTGACCGACCAGTTTCTGAAATTTACGAAACCGACCGACCATTTTAAGAGTGACATTTCGAACGACCATTTTTTATGACATGTCGAAAAAATATTGGTCGAACGGTCAATTTTCGAAACTATATTCACTACCACTTAAAACTTATTAAAACATTCTTTTTTTTGATAAGATATCTGACGAAATATCAAGTTTAGAACTCGGAAACGACCGTTGAAAGGACGATCGAGGAGATTCAAATGTGGCAGGAAGACGTTTTGGAATACGTCGCTAAGATTGACAGGAGCAGCTTTACTACCAAACAGGCGGGTTTTGGAAGAACAGTGATAACTTAAAAACGCCTAAGTGATCCCTACAGGGGCTTTAAGATTCCTCTTCAGAGACCACCTCATTTCGTGAGAAAAACTCAAGAAGTTAGCATTTTTAAAGCAGAAATAAGGATAAAATGATTTTTTGACGTTCATAAAAAATTTGAAGGTTCCTATAGGGACCTCTTAAGGTTCAGGGTCCTAATAATCAAACGCTAAACCCCTTTAGGGACCACTTAGATTTTTTTTCTTTTCTAGAAGACTTTTTTGGTTCACATTGTTCTTGTTTTGAAAAGACAATTGATAACTTAGAAACGCCCAAATGATCCCTATAGGGGCAATCTTAAGGGTGAAGGCTGAAGATTGTTTTTTGGGACCACCTTATCTACGTGCGAAAAACTAGAAATTTTTGAAGGTCCCTGTAGGGAACACTTGAACTTCAGGATCCTATTAGTCACTCAACCCCTTTAGGGACCACCTAAGTTTTACTTCTATAGAGGGTATTTTTTGGTTTCCTAAAAGGCTGTTTTTTCTTTACCCCTATAGTGGCCACTCTGGGATTCCTAGGTAAAAGAAAGAATTTTAGAACTTTTATATGATCCTATGGTGATAATAAGCCGTAAAACTGCCCCATCCTTGAAAATCTCTCATCTCTCTTCTTTTCACGTACTATTTTCATGTCCTCACCGGTGAGAGATAACAGGGCGCAGACATGTCAGACAGTTCCAAGACGTGGCAAATTGAATTTGCTAATTCTGAATAGGGTAATTGACGAGAAGGTTCTCATAATATTCAGAAAATGAGCAAACATGAGCAACAGTCAGAAGTTTGAGAATTTTCAAAGGAGCATTGCTCAGTGTTGTTCATGTCTACCAGAAAAAATTCATTTGAAAACCCTGGAAATCAAAAAAATCTTCAGAACAAGCCGTGCAAGTTTAGGCGAAACTGCAAAGACGTCTGAACCTCCTCTTTTCACTTGCTATTTCGCTAATCGTGTTAAATCCCTAAATAAGTATGTCTTACCGGGGAATAGTCTCCGGTCGCAGTGGGACCTATCAATGAGACCAAGTTTCCTAAATGTAGTTTTTTACGCTGATTCAAAATCTTCTCTCAAAAACTGCCGAGGAAGCCTGTGAAAAAAGTTAGGGACTCTCAAAAGACGGAAATTTCAGTGTTTCCGATTGAGCTCATTTTTAAAGGGTATATAGGTTAGGACTGCATGGAATGTGTTCCAGAAAAATGGAAAAATTATTTTTTCGAAAGCTAGAACAACTCCACTTTATCACAAAAAGTTTGAAAGCTACCCTTTTCAATATTACCTGAAACGTATCAAATCCAACTTACGAGGAAAAAGATCTTGATTAATTCATTTAAGTTTATTGTTGATAACTCTCTGAAAGTTGGCAATATCTCAAAGTACTAGTGATCGGAATAAAAACTAATGAAAACTTTGAGAATTCCAAAAAAACGCTAAGAAAACCGACTTCTCCAGCATACCCTTCAGTACCAGATGTTTCAGGAATCTGAACAAGCCCATCAGAAACTTCAAGCTTTCCGAGAAGCCGCCGCTGAGCACAGCAAACGCTTGGATACCCTCAAAACGGAGACTAACAGTTCGTTTTATGAACAATCTACATTTTCTTGAATTTGTGAATTTTCAGACGATGAACAGCTCAGCCGAATCTCGGTGACGGTCGACAAGCAGGACTATATCAAAAATCGTATAGAGGAGGTTCTAAATAAGGTAATTTTCTCATTTTTTCGAAAATTCTCCAAAGAGCGCAAAAAAAAATTTTTAGCGGCTATTTTTTCCTAAGTTTATTGAAGCTCACAAAATTCATTTTATCCTTTTTTCTTGCTTATTTTCTAATATAACTACATCATATTGAAAAATTTACCCGTGAAATTTCATTTCTTTGCGGCAATTATTTTTGGGTTATTGATTTTGTAATCATCGCAAGAGTTTCAAATTTGAAAAAAATTTTTTTCGAAGCTTTTCATGTTTCCTGTTTCTGCCAGTTTTTTTCTCATTGTAAAGGCTGCTCACTCGCTAATTCTGCTCCTTTGCCGTGAAATAAAAATGGCGTGCTGAAAAAAAGTCGGTCGTTTCCTTATGATGTCTATTTTTTTTAAGTTTTTTTAACTTTCAAAAAGTTACTTTGGCCTTTATTAAGATTTTAACGGTTTCAAAGTACGTATTTCTCCATAGTTTGACCAGTTTCGAAGTCAGTTTCCAAAAAATCTCGTTATTAAGTTTACAAAAAGTCGACTTTTTCTGAATTTTCGTCAAAACTGCTCTCAAATCTTAATGAAAACTATTTTGCAATTAACATATTTTGATTTTAGATCACGTTAAAATGGTTGAAATGAAATTTATTGAAAAAAAAGCACAAAATTCCTATTTTGGACCCCCCCCCCCCAATATTTGGTATTTCGAAACCTAAAACCTAACCAAAATTGAGAATTCTACACATTTTGAACACTCAAAGAGTTTAGAACTGAAAAGGACTTTGAAAAAATCAAAAAATGGCCACCACTATGACTAAAAATTTACTGTTTCAAGTTGGAACTGAGGACGCTTCTCCGGGTGATCGAAGACGTCCAAATTTGGCAAGAAGAAGCCATCGAAATCATCAGATCGGTGGACCACGTCGTCTCCACCACTAACACTACTGATCAGGTTTCTCTTCCAATGAGTCAATGAAAAAAAAAAACTTTTTTCATCTTTTTTGGCGCTTTTCCAATTCATTTTCACAGCAAATCCACGAATTGCGTCGCCGCGTCGAAGAACTCAACGATGAGACGATCAAAAAATCGCAGTTTTTGGAGGAATCCAAGTCCTTGTCACAGAGTTTATCACTTAGTTAATCACTTTCCAAGTGATTATCAATTTTAGACGAGATTTTCCAACGAGAACTCCAAGAAACCATCACCCGTCAGGAACAAATCAAGCAGACCATTGAACAGCTGGACAGCAAGGTGGGAGGCTATTTATTGGAGGGAAATTCGCTCTGTTGAGAATCTCGATTCAGATTGGTTTGGAAATGAAAAAACCTGAAACTCTTTAGATAAAAAAGAAAATTCTAGATAAAAAAAAGCAGTCGAAATGTTTCTTTATGTTTTTTTTTTCTTTGAGTATTAGAGTTGTAAAAAAATTATAAATTTCCTTCAGATCCAAAAATGTTACTGGAAAGTTTTTAGTTGCCACTATAGGGTTTTGACGTTTTAGTGGCCACTATAGTACATAAATTAGTATTCACTTAAAGGGTTAAAATTTAGTGGCCACTTTAGGGGTCAATGGTTCAACATAACTGGTCAAATCTGTTTGTTTTAAAATTATCAGAGTTACTGGAAGGAACACTGGATGATAAATTACTGAAGTGGCCACTAAATAGAGAATCTACAGTACCGCTCAAAAGTCTATTAAGTTTTGGTTTTTTGGGGATAAATTTTTTTTGAAGTGCGATATCGATTCAAATTTTTTTTCATAGTTTTCTGAGAGAGACATACGTGTTCTGGCAAAATTTCAAGTTGCTAGCTCAAAGAATAATAATTTTTTTCGAGAAAAAAACGAATTTTCGAAAAAAATCGAATTTTTTTGCTATTTTCAATTAAAAAAATCATAGCTCAACAAAAAAATTTTTTTATCAACACAAAAACATTGTTAAAAACAATATTCGGGACCTAGTACTTGGTTGCGAAGCCCCTGGCGTCAATCACTGCCTGGCATCTTCTCTGCATAGAATTGAGCAAAGTGTCGATGGTAGACATGGGGATCTGATTCCATTCAGACAGCAGTTGAGCAAACTTCTCGTTGCAATTCTTGGCTCTTTTGTTGGCACAACGTCGCTCCAACTCTTCACAGAGATGTTCGATCGGGTTCAGGTCCGGAGATCGACTTGGCCACCCCATGACATTGACCCGACGGCTCTTGAACCAGTCCTGAGTTTCAAAAACCATACGAATTACTTCTCAATTTTTCTCACCTTGACGAACAGTGAAGTGTGCTTGGGATCGTTATCCTGTTGATAAACACTCCCACGGCCCATGGCTCTCAAGTGCGGCAACATCTGGTTCTGGAGAATGTCTTTGTAGACGTGCTTGTCCATGATGCCGTTCACGCGATGAAGCGGTCCGATGCCACTTCCAGAGAAGGCGCCCCACACCATGCAAGAACCTCCACCATGTTTCACGGTGGGTAATTGGTATTTCGGATGATATCTGGACCCAATTGGTCTACGAACCCACTGAATTCCGTCACTCCCGAAGAGGAGGAACTTGCTTTCGTCGGACCACAGAATCTTGTTCCAGTCTTGACGGGTCCAGTTGAGATGCTCCTTCTCCAACTTCACCCTGGCGGCTCGATTATTTTCAGAAATCAGCGGTTTCTTCACTGGACGTCTTCCCATGATTCCAGCAGCATTCAGACGTCGTTTCACGGTCGAGACGGATGGCGGAGATGGCGAATTCAAGAAAACTTCCCGTCTGATCGCAGGGGCGGTGAGTCTTGGATTGGTTCTAGACGTCTTCAAAATGTTCCTATCGTCATTACGATCAGTGACACGTGGTCTTCCAGTGCGTTGGCTGTTAGTAGAGCCATCTTGAGCTTTCTGAAGCTTTAGGAACTGAGAAATGCCCGCCTCTGTCACGCCGAACATTCCTGCCAACGTCATCATGGTCAGTCCATTTTGACGACCCACAACGATGGCTCTTTTGTCGTTATCAGTCAAATTCTTATTTCCAAAGGTTCTTCCCATGTCTGAAAAACATGAAAAAAATCATATGGCAACATTATTAATTTTAAAAAAATTTAATAAAAAAATAAATAAAAATAAAAAGCATAAAAAAACAAAAAAATGGAATTCAATAAAAAAATGCCTAAAAACGCGTCACAGTCATTGCGGACATGTCTTTGTATACCGTATATGTTTCAAAGTATATTTTACATTATCCCTGAAAGTTATATATAAATCGGATAAGTACTCGCTGAGATATCCCCAAAAAAACCAAAAACTTAATAGACTTTTTGAGCGGTACTGTATATAGTGGCCACTAAAACGGAGAATAGTGGTCGCTATAGAGGTGGACACTTCAGTGTCCTCTCCAAGTAGTCATTGACGAGCCTCTATAGTGACCACTTAAAAATTTTTCCCAGTTATAACTTATATTTCGAAAGTCTTTTCCCAGATTTTGATGAAAAAAATAGTTTTGAGTGAACTTCTGAAAAATTAGAAATAAAAATATTTTTTTCATTTGAAGTAGATAAATATAACTTGTAACCAATTTTTCCGTTACGGCTTTGAGATTTTTATTTAAAATATGATTTTTGAGGTTTTTGAGATAATTTATCATTTCTCAATTTATTTTTCCAATTTCCAGTGGTCACATCTTTTTGATATCGAGAAACACGATACCCTGATGAAAATCAAAAAGAGAATTCCAGTTGGAAGTGACGAATTTGGTGAAAATCGTAGAGGAAGTCCAAATGTGGCAGGAAGAAATGATCGAAATCATCCGACTTGTGGCCAGCACGAGACCTTCTTCAGCTCAGGTAACAAGGGACCTCCATCGGAGAAACCGAAAATCGTTCCGAAATGCAACGAAAATGCTTCGGAAACTCAAAAATAGTTGTTTTAAGATAGTTGATGCGTTTTTTCCAATGAAAATACCATTATAAATTTTATAAAATACGACTTTGAAACTTGTGGTCGCATGTAGAATGGCTCAACGCGTCGCGTTCGCGCTGCGTTCATAGCTAAAATTTTAACTTATGGATCTGTAGCGTCGCTATTATCATAGCTCCCTCAAAGATGGTAAGTATACTCTAGTGATCAATTCAATGATTTTTCCCAAAACTAAGTAAAATTACTTTGAACACGTCAATAAGCTTTCTCATGTCCCCGTGCGTAAATTGTTTTGTGGTCGGGTGCAAATTTCGAAAAAAAAGTTCTTCGCAGCTGTTGAGCCATTCCCCATGCAACCATTTTAGTTCAAATCGAGGCGATTTCCTTTTTTGACAAAACTTTCCAGGAATCCCGAGAAGTCGTCGAGAAGATCCAGGATATGAAGGAGTCGATCGAAATGAAGGCCGATAAAATCGTCGAATTGAAGAAAATGTCGTCAGGTTCAAAAATTAGAGAAAAATGATACAGTAACCTTTACAGTACCCGCCTTTGTTGAGAGGATCGTTAATGTTGAAGAACGGCAGAAAGTCATCAAGAATCTGGTCCAAGAACTCGAACAGAAGGTTTTTTCAAAAAATGCTTATGGTTATTAAAGGAGCATAGAAAAGTTTCAAAAAAGGTCTCGAGACGAAAACTTTTTTTTTTGACACCACAAGAAAACTTTGAAATCTTTTCAATTTTCAGTTCGAAGAGCTCACTCTCAACAAAACCACAGAAGAGATTCAAATGTGGCAAGAGGAAATGATCGAAATTATCAGACTATTGGATAGTACCCCGATGCAAAGTGTACAGGTAACTTCTGTCTACAGTAATCTTCAATTGAAGATGATTGAGAAAAGAATGTCAAGGGGTCATTTAAGGATAACTCCTTAAAGTTTTCAAGGAAGATTTCCCAGTTTTTTTTTTTGGGCGAATTCAAGTGCCTGCTTGAGGGTATTTACCTCGAGGGCCAAAATTCAAGGTGTTGAAGTTCTGAATGTAGTTCTCTCCAGTTGGGATTGACAAACGGCAAAAATACTCAAGTTATCACTTAAAGAAATCCTATAAATCCAAGTGGTTACTTAGGGGATCTCATTCTTGGTAACCTATTGAATTGAGATGAAAAGTCAAGAGTAAAATTGGGATTTCTCTCTTAAGTGGACATTTTAGGGATCTGAATTTGAGCTTGAGCTTAGTATGAACACAACCAGTTTCTGAAGTTCTACGGGGAAATTTATGAAAAATTATTGAGCGAATTTTTTTTAACTGAAACTTCTGGGAAGAGCTGTAGTGGGTCCTAAAGGGAATTTAAGATTTAGAAAATTCTATAGGGAACGCAGAAGGGAAACCTTCAGTAGACCTCTATAGGGGGTTTTTTTTCTCTCTATAGGACTCACTTCAGCATTTCAAAGTATCGGTTTGAACACAGAATACATTTTATAAGTTCCCTTTGAACCTTTTTTCCTAGGAGAGCAAAGAACTGCAAGAAAAGGTGGAAATGGTGAAAAAATCGATCGAAACCCAGCAGCCGAGGATCGACGAAGTCGTTGAGAAAGTCACGGGTTTTCCTCAATTTTTGAGATTTCTCTGAATTTCATCTTGCAGACGAACGATGGCGAACGCAAATTTCTCAAATTGTCGACCGACAGCAGAATATTCGGCAAATGGCCGATAAACTTGAACAAAAAGCCAAATCAGTCACTGTTGACTTGCACTATCAACAGCCTTCCTCCACGGTCGAGCAGACCAAAACCGTCGATTTGACGTCTTTTGAGAAGACGGAAATCACGCTGACCCCTGAGGAAAAGGTTGGGAAAAGTTAGGAAAATAATAATATAGTCTAATCGTCGCAACTTGAACATTTCTCTCTCGGCCAGGCTCTCATGCTCCTTTGACCTTTCCGGAGAGAGAGAGAAGAGACCAAGACAGATAAAAGGCTTGTAAAATCTGTAAAATCTAGAAACAATAGAAAAACATGTTGGTATCAAATTGGCTATTTATTATTTTGCTCTTCTTCTCTTCGCGGATCCCACCTAATCTACTAACATTTTAGTCTATGGTAGCCTCTCTTTACGGCAAAAAAAAATTTTTTTGAAGTAATCGTTTTTTCCCAAAACCTTTTTTTATTCTATTTGAAAAAAAGACAAAAAGGAATGGGCCGAACCGGGGATTGAACCCGGGACCTCTCGCACCCAAAGCGAGAATCATACCACTAGACCATTCGGCCGACAAGATCGACCCGAAAGCTTTTCGTGGAACAGGTGCGCGACTTTTGTCGGCCCCTTTTTCGGACAAATACGGGCGAGAAATGGACTTCCAAGGCGGTTTTGAAGAGAACCTTACAATTTCTGACAAAAAAAAGAAAAAAAAAATCTTTCTTCGTTTCTTTTCACGGTTTTTTACATAGTAAGAGGAGTGTTACGATTTTGATTGACGGCTAATTAGTTTTTTTCAAAGATTTTTATAAAAATGGGGTTTCTTTAGAAAGTGGGAAAAAGGGAAGATTTTCAAGTTAAATGCGTTTTCTCACACGGCTCCATTATTTCAAATGTTCTCTTCTTTGCGCGGATTTTCTGAATTTCATGAAAGTTTACACGTCGCACGAGACTCCGCTGTGTGCAGCGAAGCCAGGCAGCTGGTTGACCGCAATGTGGACTGGCGACTGCAGGCGGCTGAGTGGTCTAGTGGTATGATTCTCGCTTAGGGTGCGAGAGGTCCCGGGATCAATCCCCGGCTCAGCCCTTACTCTTTTGCCATTTTTTATCCCTTTCATTTTTCCTCTTTTCAGCAGGAACTGCAAACTTTGAAGCGAATCATCGAGGAGATTCAAATGTGGCAGGAGGAAATGATCGAAATCATCCGCCTTATTGAGAAATCGCCACCGAGAACTATCCAGGTTTGAAATTTTTTCGGAAATTTGTAGTTTTCTAACTTAAGGAATCGGATGACCAAATCAGGAGGGTTACTGAAATCCAAAACACGGTTGAAGAACAGACGGACCGAATCCAACAAGCGAAAAAGTTCACCAAAGGTTTTTTTTATTCTCATCAAAAACTCAAAAAAGTATTTTTCAGATGAAACTTTCATCGAAGTTGTTGAGGACACGGTTCAAAGACAGCAACTCATTCAGCAATTGGTTCGAGAACTCAATGAAAGGGTTAGTTTTAGTTTTTCCATAGAACCATCATGAAAATAGACAAATTTTGAAGGGTATTTTAGAAAATGAATTTTCAGGCGGTGACTCAAAATCAAGTTTTCCATCAGAAAGAAACACGGAAAAACGTCCAAGCGCCTCAAATTTTGACCCAGTTGAGAGATGCCGAGGTTTGAATGTCTTTTGAAAAGTCTTAATGGAAAAAAAAACGGTTTAAAATCGACCAATTAAAAAAAAATGAGAGCTTCTCAAAATGGGAAATTGAGACTTTTGAAAAAAAAAATGAAATTTTAAAGAGTTTGAATGAGAGAATCACAGACACGAACAAAGTAAAATGATGGAATCTACCTTTTTTCCTAAATTTGCGATTTTTTTTTAGGTCGATGAAGGAAGCAGATTCGAATTTACCGCCAGAATTGAGGGAGAACCGGAACCGGTTATCACGTCGGTTTTATTCTCTGAACAATCAAAAAAAGTTAACTTCCAAATTTGTTTGACAATCGATGAAATAAAAAGCCAAAAATTTTTTTTCGAAAATTAGAGAGCTCTCAACAATGAGAGAGTTGGCGTTTCTCTTTCTCTAATAGCCCTCTTGTCCACCAGTGCTCTCTAGCTTCGAAGTGATCCTCGGACTTTCAGTTGGCTGAAAGACGGCATCGACGTGAAAAGCAACATCGACTACCGACAGGAGTTCATCAACGGCGTCGCTTCTTTGGTTATTGAGGTCGGGGATCGAATTTTTCCTTTTTTCAAGTTCCCTTCTTTGATTCAATCGTTCCTTTCACTAGTCTCTTTCCCAAGAAATCGTTCCTTTCCCAAGAAAGGTCAAAAGTAAAGACCTAGAGTTCATTAATAAATAAGTCTTCAAAAAAATTCTTCCAGAGCTTTTTTTTGTAGATTTTGTCAGCAAAGTCATTTTTTTACAAAAAGAGAATAGAAGTTTTTGTCAAAAAAAGACTAGTAACTATTTCCCTACAAAGCCGAGAAGAGGTGCTTGTTCATAGAAAAAAATTAGGCTCGGAGAATATTTTCGGATTTTTTTAAAGTTATTTTTTTATTCTCCTTCCCAATGTTTTCAAGTTACCGCGATAATATCTCGTTAACTCGCCTATTACATGACGAATAGAGGGAAGCTCTGATTTCAGGTCCGAACTCATAAGAAATCAAGATAATTAAAAAATGTTTACAGGAAAGTTTCATTGAAGACACGGCAACTTACACGGTCCGGGCGGTCAACGAAGGCGGGAAGGCGGAGAACAGCGCCAGATTGATCGTCAAATGTGAGAAAGAACAGAAAGAGAGTAGAAATTGAGAAAACAGGAAGGAAATTGGTGAAAAAATACCAGAAATTAAAAATCTTTCGGGAAAGTGCGCTCCAATGAACTGGGCTCGGTAACACGAACCGGACTCGGACCTTGGCAGGCTTGTGCGTCAGGCCGGGCGGCCCGGGTCGGCCTGGCCCGGGCTTTGGGCCTACAATTTAAAAAAAAGCCTGCGCCGGCTCGGGCCAGGCCGGGCTTCGAAAGAAATCTTAAATTTAATTTTTGAAAAAAATTTTACGGAAAAAAATTATTTTTTTACTTGTTAAGTCATAGTTTCTTATAACTCTATGAGAAAAAAATAAGCAAAAAAATACCACTTTTCTCGTTAAAAAAGCGAAACATTCAACTTGAAGAGAATTTGAGTTTTTTGGGTCGGGCCGGCCATTTTTGCCTAAGGCCTCCCTAGGGCCGGGCCGGGCTGGGCTTGCGAAGTGGCCGGGGGGCCGAGAGGTTGACGGGCCGGCCCTCGCACAAGCCTGGACCTTGGTAACGCGAGTCGGACGTGTCGGAGCATTTCTAGTGACCACTTTAGTATCGTCAATTTTATCCTTAAAGTTATTCAGAAACCTTTGAGGCGCTTCCGCTTTGCGTTAGCAAGGTCCAAAGAATTTTTCGGAATGTTGTGGAGAAATCTGATTTTTCAGTGAATTTTGTTGGACGAATCCTTGAGGGAAATGCTAAAAACGGAAATTTTTCAACGGAAATTTCATTTTTTCTTGTAAATATCTTGTTTTAACTGGTACTTTCATCGTTTATCTGTTTTTAATAGGTTTATCAAGAGAATAGATCAATGAAGGAACTATGTATTCATTATTTCAGATTTTCTTCAAAAAATCCATTTTTGAATCCTTTTCGAAAGTTTCTTTTTACCCAGTAAAAAATTCAGCTTTTTAGACTTGTTCCTTTGAGTTTCTTTTTTTTTTCCTGTTTGTTCTGAAAAAAAATCATTTTTCAGCTCGAAGTGCTCTTTCTTCGACTATTGCTGACGAGGATAAGCCGCGATTCGTGAAACAATTGCAAAATGTCCAAATTAACGAAGGACAGACGGCTCATCTCGATTGCGTTGTCATTGGAAAACCTGAGCCGGAAGTTGTGAGTTTTCCAATTTTGTGAGGGTATCATATCATTTATCAACTAAGTGTAAATTTTTTCGGCGAACATTATCTTTCAATTTTTTTTGCCATGTTCAAAGTGATTCCGCGAAATGCAAAATGGTCGTCAGAGAAAGAAAAAGATAACTAAATTTTGGAGAGTCCGATCATTTTGCATTTCGCGGAAATTACTTAGAACACGGCGTTAACTTCAGGAAAAAAAAGTATTTTTTTTATTTGAATCTGATGCAATCCGCTTTGTAAAATCTAGAAACAATAGATAAACATCATATCGGAGCCAAATTCTTAATTATTTCGCTCTTCTTCAGTTCACAGTTTCAGTTAATCCACTTAATCCACTATTCAGTTTAATCTAAAGTGCTCTCTTTTCTTCTTCCTTCAAAACAATTTTTTCTTAGTTTTTTTCTGTAGCATTAAAGTAGTTTTTTTCTAAAAAAATTTTTTTAATTCTATTTTATAAAAAAATAGTCAAAAAAAGGGATGGGCCGAACCGGGGATTGAACCCGGGACCTCTCGCACCCAAAGCGAGAATCATACCACTAGACCATTCGGCCGACAAGATCGACCCGAAAGCTTTTCGTGGAACAGGTGCGCGACTTTTGTCCGCCCTTTTTTCGGACAAATATGGCCTGAGGCAAGAAATGCACTTTCAAGTCGGTTTTTAAAAGAAGCCCATGTTTTTGGACGCAATAGAAAAGAAGAGAATGATTGTCCTTTTTAATTTCAATTTCGACATTTTTCTGTTTCTGAAAGTATTCAAAACCTGAAAAAAAAACTTTTTTCACTGTCTTGTCTATTCTTATTTCAAGTAAATAAAGAGTCTTGTGTAGATTATCGTTGGTTTTTATTTAAGAAAGATATATTAAATTTTGTTTTGTTTATCATTATTTTGCACAGTAGTTAATTTCATTGATGAAAAAGACAAAAAAGGAATGGGCCGAACCGGGGATTGAACCCGGGACCTCTCGCACCCAAAGCGAGAATCATACCACTAGACCATTCGGCCGACAGATTTTCTTCGAGGCTTTTCTGTGGAGACACTTTTGGAAACATCGCCTCGGGGCATTGCGCAGAAAAGAGAGAGTGAGTGATCGGAGAGACTCCAGAAAGTCAGACAAATATCGCGAAAAGTTCACACTTTGCAATGGTCAGTGGTCAAGCGGCGACTTGTTCGCGATTGAGCTTTTTGAAATTTCTATGAGTCATGGTCTAGTGGTAGATTGCTTGGTTAAAGTGGGAAGGGTCATTGGATCGAGTCCCTTCGAGATTTTGCTTTTTTAGGTATGGTACAAGGAGCAAACTTCGGTGATTGAAGACGAAAGGATCCATTTGCGGTACACTGGCGATCACTGCCAAATGATTATTGATCAAACTGGTAGAATTTCAAAAAAGAATACGTTTAAAAAATTGGTGTTTTAGTGCCCCAGGATACGGGAATGTACACTGTAAAGGCGAAAAACGTCCATGGCGAAGTCGCGAATTTCTGTCAGCTCAAGGTATATAAATTTAATTATTCTATGTTCCTTACTGCAAAGATTAAAATCGCATCACTTCCAATAAAATTAAAAAGAGATTTTTTTTAAAAAATTTTCTCATAGGTCGCACCTAAAAAAACAAGCTCCTCCCACAGCTCCCAAGCCGGTCAGTCGACCTCAATCCGTAATAAAATAAAACTTAAAAATAAATAAATCACTGAAATTTTGAAGATTCTCAAAAAATCGCCTTCCATCCAACCGGCACTTACAAATACAACGTGGCAGGAGGGCGAGACGGCAACTTTGCAGGTTTTCAAATAAAAAAAAATTAGAGTTTTAGGTTCATATTTTCAGGTTTATACACAAGGAGAACCGCGCCCAAGTGTTCACTGGAGGTTCAATGAAACGCCTGTGACGACTTCTGACCAGATTTACATCACTGAAAAGGTTGAAAATACAGCAAACTATCGAGAAAAAAATGGAGAGAATTTCGGAAAGAAAATTTTTCACAGTTGGAGGTGGAATTTAATCCAACACATATTTTTTAAAAATTAGAAAACGATTGGAAAAAAGAAATAAATAAAAAAAAACAACGCAAAAATATGTAATGAAATTTTGTATTTTACGACCAACCATGGGTCAAATACGATAAAAATATGATTTTGAAAGACAGTAATTTTTGTAAGACATCCGATATCAAGGGAAAAAGAGCGTGAAACAGAGTCTGATTCCAAAAAAACACATGAAAAATGAAAAAAAAATAACAACAAAACTTGGGTGGTATGAAAAAAACACCAGCGATAATTCAAACGGCGACTTTTCCGATTTTTTCATATCGCTAGGGAACTTTCCGACGGCCACCTTTCCGACGAATCTTTTTCCGACTTTTTTTCTCGATAAATCTTCGTTTTAAATATCCCTATATAAAGTAGGTAGTTGGTTAATGATTAAAACACAAAGAAATAGAAAAAAAACAATGTTTATAGATGTCTTATAGACCGAAAAACATAAGGGAAAAAAGTCGGAATAAGGATCCGTCGGAAAGGTGGCCGTCGGAAAGTTCCCTAGCGATATGAAAAAATCGGAAAAGTCGCCGTTTGAATTTTCGCTGGTGGTTTTTTCATACCACCAAAACTTGAGAAAGTTAAGTAAAAAATAATTTTTTTGCGCGTAAAGGTACTGTAGCTCTGTTCTTTTGCGCCAGCGTAAGCTGTTTCGCGTGTTTTTAATTTTTTTTTTTCCGAATTCTCTTTTTTTTGCTTTTTGATTTAACTTCGTTTTCTTTTTCAAATACGGATTTTTTCAGGAAGATGGCTGGTCGAAGCTCACGATCGAAAGAATCGAGCCGATTCATGCCGGCATGTACACTGTGATCGCTGAGAATGAAGTTGGAGAAGCTGTGACTGGGGCGACGGTTCACGTCCAGCCGAGCTTCCAGAGAAGCACAACCACGGAGAATTATTTGCAGGAAGTGAGCCGATTTCAGGAAAAAAAAACAATCATTATTCCATCGAAAACGCCGAGAAGAGTCAGTTTTTCAGATTTTTTTGAAAATAAGTTTGAAGATAAAGAAATTATTACTTTCCCATATCCAAGTGGACTTTGAAAAGTTTAGAAAATAGAAATTATCATCATTTTCTTTTGCGAAGACGGTAAGCACACTATCTTTGCTTCAACTTATTTTCGATTAAATTTCTTCTTTTTATGTAAGTTTCAATTATACGACTGTACTAGAAAGTTTTTTTCCACTGTTTTTATGGTTAACGATGGCTTTCCTTCGCATCTTAACCAATACTTACGGTTTCGGAGTGACAAGAAATTTGAAATGCTCTTTGTTTTCATGTTGCAGCGGTTTCAATGACAACAGAAATGAGCAAAAAACATTTATCAACATTTTCGCATTTTCAAAGTACTTATATTTTTTTCCTGTTTGAATATGTTTAAGAGATATTTTTTAACTTTGTCATTTTCAACTTTTTAAATCAGTTTGGGAAGAGTATATGGAAAAAAAAAGATATTCGATTTTTTGTTCTTTTATCAGAAATAAGGTTCTGGCCAGGATTTTAATTTTAGCTCTCTGTCCGATAATGGAAGAAATGAGGAAAAAAAATTATTAATCACAGTGAATTTTCAGCTCTTTTGAGAAAATGGAAGAGTAGGTCTGGTCTATTAATCTTTAGTGGAAAAATCTAGATTTTTTAAAAAAGTTTTTGAAGTTTTTTAGAAGTTTTTGAACTGCTAGTTCTATATATAAATGTCCGATTTTTTTTTTCAATCTTATCATTTTTTCAGGATGTCAACGAAAGAATTGGCCAGCCGGTACAGTTGACCACCATTACCAAGAGTTCTTCCGAATATGAAGTTTGAGGGAATGAATGAAAAAATCATATAAATAATTTTCAGACGAAGGAAAAAGTTCCATTCCCACAACCAAGAACTCCCGCTTCGATTACAGAGGACAAGCGATGGGTTGAGGTCAAAAAAGAATTTGGAATTTAAAAAAAAAGGGGAGTTTAGGTGATTCAAGAACACTTCGAAGAGCACATGTCCCAGCCATCGCCCGTCATGTCCCCGATTCCTCAAGTCACGGAGAGAAGGAAGATCGAGTCCGAACAGAGATGGGTCGATGTGAGGAGAATTGAAAGGAATTTAAGGAAAATGGATTTTTCGGACTGTTTGAGAAGTTTACTGCTATACTTGGGAACTTCAGAGTGGTCCTTATAGGGGCAATCTTAGAGACTCTTGAAGGGTCCCCCTAAGTAACACTTTACCGGCCCCTAGAGGGGCCACTAAAGCTTGCAAAGAGGTCCCTATAGGGTTATAATTAGTGCCCTCTTTAGGGACATGCTAGTTGACAACTTTTATGAACTCTATGCGAAAAATTAATTAAACAAGCGTTTTCAAATGAAATTTTAAGGCCCTTATAGGGACCACTCAAACTTTAGGGCCGAACTTTAAACCCCTATAGGGACCACCTTGATTTTAACACCATAATGACCACTTTTTCGGCCCCTAACCCCTGTAGGGACGACTCTGGGATATGCTTCCTTTTCAATCAACTTTTCGAATTAAATTTAATGGTTTCTATCTAGAAATCTATTGGAAAAGGGGATTTTTACCAGTGGGAATCGAAAAAAAGAACAAGATCATTTGTTCGAAGTTTTTTTTTTCTTGTAACTGAGATGTTGTGATTATCGCATCATTATGCAATTTTCATTTTCAAATAAACTTGAAACAGCCAGTTCTTATTGAAATGCCTTTCCAGAAAATTGATGAAATCCTGGCGCCACGACAACAGCCCGTGGTAGAGGTGAAAGAAACGAAGACGACTACCGGCGAAGAACATTGGAGTTCTCATGTGATTATCATTAAAGTCTTTAAAACGGCAAAAAAGAAAAAAAACACGGTGGGATTCGATCCATTGACGTCTCGAACTCTAAACAAGCACTCTACCACTAGACCATGAGTCATAGAACTTTCGAAAAGCGCAAACGCGGACAACTCGCCGCTTGACCACTGACCATTGCGAAGTGTGAACTTTTCGCGATTTTTGTCTGACCTTCTGGAGTCTCTCCGATCACTCACTCTCTCATTTCTGCGCAATGCCCCGAGGCGATGTTTTCAAAAGTGTCACCACAGAAAAGCTTCGAAGGGAATCTGTCGGCCGAATGGTCTAGTGGTATGATTCTCGCTTTGGGTGCGAGAGGTCCCGGGTTCAATCCCCGGTTCGGCCCACCCCTTTTTTGCAGTTTTCTTTCTTGTTTTTGTTTCATTTAAAGCAGAAATATGGAATATTTCTTTAAAGAAGGATTTTTTAGCGCGTCCATGAGCCTTCTCCCAAACCACAGACCTTCACAACTTCTCAAACGACTACCAATGTCTCTCATATTAGCGTAAGATGATCAGAAAACGTATTGCTTCATTTATTTAATTTTTTTTTAGCAATCTCATGTTCCCATCCAGCCAGATATCCAACACACGACGACGACTTCTGAATCCGTCAAAACGATGAATATCGCGGTGATTTTTGGGTTTCATTGATGATAGGAATCGGATAAAGTTGCATATCATTGAGCAGTTTTCTGGATTCAAAAATTTTTAGAAATCTGGGAAAAGTCGAGATTATTTTGAAGGAAAGATCCTTTTTGTTCAAGTGATCATAGAAAAATTGCTAGATTTTTTTTCCGAGTTCAAAAATCCACCAAAATTCGCAAATAATCTGAAAAAAATAAATAAAAGCTTGTAGTTTCAAAAAAAATCGAATCGAATAAAATGAAGTAAATAAACTCTGAAACGCCGAAAAATTTGAAAAAATAAAATTTTCTTGTTGTAAATCACTGAATTTTTCCAGTTTTCTCATCAACCATTTATCAAATTTCCTCACGAAATGAATTTTTTAAAACTTTTCGATCTTCTTAGTTTTAAAAATTCGGATCAGTCTTAGTATTTTCGGATAAAAAAACAGTAAATTATAGAAAATCCGGCAATCGCCTCAACCAGAAGTCCATGAGGCGAGAACAACTCCAGGACCGACGTCCGAACATGCGGCGGTGAGCTGAAAAAAAGAGATTTAGAAAAAAATATTCATTATATTTTTTTTATAAAAATTTTTTTGCTGGAAAAAAAGGTGGAACTTGAGATTTGAAATTTTGAGACTTTGTGGCCGATTCACGGCTAGCTTGGGAGAAAAAAAGGCGTGGCCTTTTTTATCGTGTCAGGACCCATTTTTGACGGCTGAGGCCAGAATCAGCTATGCTTCTCAATCGTTGAAAACTAGAGAGCGTTTGAAAACGAGAGGTCTTTTTTTCTCTGAGCGCTCTCTTGCTTTGAAGTGCTCTCTAACCAAAAAGCTCGAAAGCTTGAATATTCAGGAAACGGTGATTTTTTTGAAACAATTTTAGGAATTTGATGAAAAGGCCTTTCAAATATTATTTTCATATGGAACCAACTCTAGAATATTTTGAAAGTCATTGAGGTATTCAAGTATTGCCTGTGGAACTGCGATACAAAATTGTTTATATCTTCATACTTCTTTTTGAAGAAATATTTCAGATAATCCGAATTGAATAAATCTTTTCAGACGATTCGAAAAACGCCAGTTCGCGAAATGCAGCAAGCCACACTCACCAAAGCTCCTTCCCTGGAAAATGTCGCGGTGAGAAGGATTTTTCGGTCAAAAGATATATTGGAAAAATTTTTTTGTATGAGAATGATGAGATTTTTCCATCTGAACCTGTACTTGAAATCTTTTTTTTTACAATTTTTTGGGAGAGAAAATCTTCCTATAGACTTGGTAGGCTTATTTTCTCGTTAAAAACATAAAAAAATTTTTTTTTTATTTCACCGCGGTGGGTATTTTTTTTCACAGAGAATCTCAATGTTTCAACATGAAATCTTCATTTTTCTCTCACAGATGGACTCTTTTTCACAGAAAATTCGCCAATCGCCAGTTCCCGAATCCCATCGATCCGTTATCACCAGAAGATCACCTTCAGTTGAAAATATTGCGGTAAATTTTGGCAAAATGACAAGAATACAACTATCTGCTCATATTAGACTCGTAGGAAAATGGAAAATTTACGGATTTCAAAAGGTAATAAGACTAGTAATTTTTTTTAGCAGTTACGGTTTACCAAGTTTTACTGTAGTTGGTTGGTTTGAAAGTGTTTTGTTAATGATAGTGCTGAAATTTTTGTCTTCATCTAGACTTTAATAATTGTTTGAGCGATTTTTTAGAAAATTTCAAACCGAAAAGTAAAATGACTTCCCTCGTGGGAATCGGATATATTCCATAGGTTTATCGAATAGTTTTCAGAAAATCCAACCAGCCACCCAGCAACCAGAAGCCTACACGGCAACCACCAGCGGAGCTCAGCCAGTTGGAAATATCGCTGTTAGTTTAAAAAAAACCCAATGAAATTTTTAAAAGTTCATATAAGACTTTTTCTCAACTCTTGAATGAAATCACAATTTTGGTTTATAGCCTGCTAAATTTTGAGTATCTATCTCTTTTTGAATAGAATTTCTCGACGTCTATTGATTTAACAGAAGTTTTATCCAATATTTACCCTGTGAAAAAAATATATATATATATATATATATTCATTTGTCAAGCAGGCTCCCCACAATAGGTTTCAGTTCCAAAAGTTTTTGTTTAAAAAAAATTATAGAAACTTTTTTTTTCTCTTTTAGAAGTGTTCAGATGTCCTATTTCCAGAAAATCCACGTCCCGAACGAACCGGAGCGTTACGGAACACTGCGAACAGCCCCGAAAATCGACAGAATTGATGTAATTTTATTCTGTACCGTATCGAAATTTCAGCCCGTTGTTATGAGCGTCATTGTATAATTTCGCTACCTGGCGACTTCAAAAATTTAGAAAAAAACCCCCCAATAAGAAATATATTTTTTTCTTTCAATTATTGAAGTGATCCCTTGAAACAGTGACTTTTTGAGAGGAACACTTTTTTTAAAAGAACCCTACTTTTTTCAGGATATTGTCGAAATTCCGCCGGAAGAGCTCGTCAAACGAACGATCCGAACCACTACGGAAATCACAACGGATGCTGATGTAATTTTCTTGAATTTGAAAATTAAAAACCGAGAGCCAAGCCTATAGATAGATACCGATTTTTTCACGCTCAAAGAATCTTTTTCAACTTTTGGGATTATTTTTGAAGCCGTCGGATTTTTTCCTCAAAGCCTGCTTCAATTGGAGTAATTCCAGAATCTTGTTCCATTCATATGGCAATTTTTTCAATCAAAAAAAAATTTTCCAGTGGCTGCTATAGTGTTGAAAACCCATTTTCGTGGCTTTTCACCTAAGAATTTTTCATAGAAGGACAAATGGACTTACCAATGAATATGAATATATGTTTTTTTCAGCAAAACAAACAAGAAATCGCGCAAAGAGAGCCGCAAACTTCAAGAACTGTGACGGAAACAATAAGTGGCGAAGGATGGGTTCAGGTGATTTTTTCTTCATTTTTCATAAATTTATCGAACTTTCAGCACATGCACCAAGACCTCTCGGCACCCGAAACTTCCACAGTGACCGTGAAAAGATTGGATGTCGATGAATCCAGTCATATTCATCAACAAAATGTTGGCTTTGGAGCGTTTAAAAATTGGCAAAAATGATGAGGGCTGAGCCGGGGATTGATCCCGGGACCTCTCGCACCCTAAGCGAGAATCATACCACTAGACCACTCAGCCACGACGCCGGCAGCTGCAGGATTGTGGACAAGTCGCCGCTTGACGTGTGAAGTTGAACTTTTCGCGATTTTTGTCCGATCGTCTGCGTCTCCCCGATCGTTCAATCTCTATTTTCTTCGCGATTCCCTAAGGCGATGTTTCCAAAAGTGCCTCCACAGAAAAGCTTCGAAGGAAATCTGTCGGCCGAATGGTCTAGTGGTATGATTCTCGCTTTGGGTGCGAGAGGTCCCGGGTTCAATCCCCGGTTCGGCCCATTCCTTTTTTGACTTTTCTCGTTTTCAAAAAAGAAAAAAGAAGTTATGAAATCATGTTTTTTTACTCATTCAAAATCTTCTCCTGATCTTGAAAAAAACGTATTGTTTACAAACCTTCTTTGTATTTGTAGGAAACGTTATTTCGTCCGAGAACTTTCGAAATCCCGCCTAAATTCTTTTTAAAAAAACTTCATAAATTGATTTTGATTTTACTTCTTGAAATTTTTTTCGCGAAGGTAGAATTCTGACCTCATTAGTTATAATGAATTTTCAGCAGCAAGCGCAACCTCAAACTCGCGTTTCTACTACCAAAACCGAGGAAGAAGAGACTCGAAACTTGGAATCCAGAATTCCTATCAGGCAAGAACCGAAAACTACAAAAACCGTCACGGAAACGACCAGTGGCGAGGGTTGGGTACAGGTGAAATTTAATTTTTCTTTAACTTAGCTCAATAATTTTCGATTTCCAGCAAGTCCATCAAGACCTGGTCAATCCTCAGAATTCTACCGTCACTGTAAAACGACTGGATATTGAGGAGGATGAGAGGCGAAGAATTGAGGTATAGGGAAAAGGATTTCTGACTCGATAGAGAAAGTTAATGAATCTTGTTTTCAACTTTTTCCAGAGGTATTGTGTTTATGATGATTTTAAAAGCCATTTTTCAAATTTGGAATCCATAGTTTTCAATGTAGTCTAGTGGTTTTCATAACTCTGCTTTTAAAAGGATATTACCTTTAAAAAAACCTACAAACTCACGCTCTTGTTAATATTTGGAAGAACACACTCGTTTTTAAAGTCACTCAAGTATGCCCTGACTTCTGAGAGTGTGTTAGGGAGATTCAGTGTCGGGTTCCATTTCACTCACAATTAAAATAATTTTACTTCGCGATTGAGAGTTCTCTGAAGTTTGGCCAAAAAATTTCAAGATCTTGAAAGTTCCAACCAGCACAACTCTCTACTCAGGCAAATCTTCAAAAGGTGTTGGCAAGGTAACCAGCAGGGGGTTTGAAGGTGAATGGTAGCTAGAAGGTCTTGGGAAGGGTTCCGAAGGTAGTTGGAAAGCCCTTTGGAAGGTAAAAAGGGTAAATACCTGTCAGAAGCTTCCCAGAAACCTGCTGGAGTGCTGCAAGAAGGCTTCCAACAGCCTTTTTTCTAAGTAGAACGCGTTTAAAAGCTATATGGAAAGCATTTGACCAATTGCTGGGAAGCCTTCTGAAGAACAGAAAGCAGAAGCCGCAAGTTTTACCTGAGTTTATCTTAGAAGAGGACGCCTGAAAGACTAAGAAGCTCTCAAAATCTATTAAAATGGACTTTGGGGTTTTGATCCCTCATTTTTCGAGAAGTAGGAAGTTTTGAAGGTCTTTCAGGATCTCCGTTTTTTTGACCACACTTCGGGAATATCCCAACCGCAAAATGAACTGTTTTTTTATATCCTGTGATTCGTATATTTGTGCTCGACTAGAATATACAAATAGATGAAAATGTTTCCAGCAACAACTGGCTCAACCTCAACCTCAAACTCGCGTTTCTACGACCAAAACCGAAGAAGAAGAGACGAGAAACGTCGAATCTCGAATTCCCATCAGACAAGAACCGAAAACCACAAAAACCGTCACGGAAACGACCAGTGGCGAGGGTTGGGTACAGGTGAAAATTTAATTTCTCCTTAACTCTGCTCAATAATTTTTTAATTTTCAGCAAGTCCATCAAGACCTGGTCAATCCGCAGAATTCTACGGTCACTGTGAAACGACTGGATATTGAGGAGGATGAGAGGCGAAGAATTGAGGTATAGGGAGAAGGGAATGAAGCTTTTGGGTCAATAGAGAACGTTTTTGAAAAAATCGCAAAGAAAATTTTTCGTATACTTTCGTTTCTTAGCACCTTTTTTTGGGGTGAAATCGATTTTTCCTCAAATCAGCTATCAATCAAGAAATTGATGCGAAAGTTTCAGAGATTTAGAAAATAACTTTTAGCGAAAAAAAAAGTGGTTTGATCGAATTTTGACAGAGGAAAAGCTTCCATAAGCGCTTTTTGGGTCTGATCTGATAAAAATTTTCAGAAAAAAATTTTTTTTACGAGATTTTTTTCAACTTGATCAAAAATCCATTAATGGTTTCACAGTTTTTTTGAATTTTTTTCTTGAATTTAGTTCAAAAAAATGGAAGGGTTCTTTTCTTACCAAAAAAACAAAACCTTGATCTGTTCATAGACGCATCCTTTATGAACTCAAAAAAGAAGCTCTTAGAACCTTTTTGTTTGAAGATTTCAGTAATCAACCATATCAAAAAGAGTGAGGTCTATGGGTCAATGATGAGTCCCTTTTGACAACCTCCATTCAAAAACCGAAAAACGAATCATATTCTCAATATTTTGAAGCAACAACGGGCTCAACCAAAAACGACCAAAACTGTCACGGAAACGACCAGTGGCGAGGGATGGGTACAGGTAAAAATTTGATTTTGAACACCTGAGGATTTTTCAATTTTCAGCAAGTCCATCAAGACCTGGTCAATCCGCAGAACTCTACGGTCACTGTGAAACGACTGGATATTGAGGAGGATGAGAGGCGAAGAATTGAGGTAAAATCTGAAGAAATCAACTAAAATTGAAGTGTGAAATGGTTTAGCTTTGAACAAAAATGGCACAATTCGTGTTATAAAATGAAAGGGACAGTTTTAAGGATGAGTTAAGAATGTAAGAAGATTTAAAAAAATTTAAAAAAATCATTTTTTTAAAATATCAGTTCGTTTTAACTGCGCATCAACGAAAATAGCTGAAAAGTGTTTCAGAATGAAAAAAGGAAGTTGATATTTGAAAACTTATGTTTTTTTGTGGGTCGTTCTTTGTATTTTTGAGGAATGAATTTTACCAAAAGCTCTGATAGAACTGGAAACTTTTCTTGATTCTCTTGAATTTTTATTTTATCGATCTATGCCAAAAATCACATAGACTGTAGATTTTGAAAAACTAACAGCAGTTCTTTGAAGTTTGTTGCAATACTTTGGGCAAAGTCGGAGTTGTGGATAATGGCCGCTAAAAGAGAGAGGTTTTAAAAAAGACCGCAGAAAGGCAGAAAAAAGAGTTCCTTTATGGAGCCTTATATTTTTTTTAGGGATTTTGAAGGCTCAAGAGAGGGTGGAGAAAGGGAGAGGCAGCAAAATTGGTGCAAAAGAGCCGACAAAGTGGGCAGCAAAAGGAGCCTTTCTCACCCTAAAAGGAAAATTTTCATAGAGCTTTTTTTCCACCCCCTCCGACTTTGCCTATGTACGCACCCTGTAGATTTTTCAAACCAATAGAAAATAATTCCGAAAAAAAAAGATTTCTATCAGATCGCTCGCCAGCAACAGCTTCAACTGGAGAAACGGTTGAGAGAACAAGAATTGGAAGAATATGAACTGCGAAAAGAATCGCGAATCCCAGTGAAACGAGAGCCCAAAACGTCGAAAACTGTTACGGAGACCGTTTCCGGCGAAGGATGGGTTCAGGTTTTCCAGGCCTTTTTTCACGAAAAAATGAACATTTTCCAGCAAGTCCATCAAGACTTGAGAAATCCCCAAAACTCGACGGTCACTGTAAAGAGACTCGGAATCGATGAAGAGGAAAGAATTAGGAATCAGGTAGGCGAAAAAAAGGCCTCAAAAAAATCTAGAGCTCATTTTTTTTATCCTAGAAAGGTGTCAAAAGTTTCTCTTGACCTCTTTTTTCCATCTTCTTTTTTTTTTCTTCCAAAATAAGTAGCCAAGGGAAGTTTTCCAAAAATTTCTTTTTAGATCCATCTGTACTTTGTCCGTGTTTGAGGCAAGTGCGCCCCATGGACAAATCTTAGAATTTGTTGATTTTTAGAAAAATTCAAGTTTTACTATATTTTCTCAATACTTCTGTGCTAATTTGATTGAGAATTAATGGGATCAGTTATTTTTTTCAATTTCATTTTTGGAATTCTGATATTTTCTTTCGTTGGAATATGCGCATTTCTTTAAGGGATAATGGTGATTTTTCAATTAGTAACTTTCAAATATTTTTTTCAACAGTCCTGGGCTCATGTAGTTAAAATAAAAAAACCGTTTTTTTTCAAGTTCAAAAATAATGAATAATGGAGCAGAAAAAGCAAGATTTTAGTGAAATTTTCCATGTCTTTTTTTCCAAGAAATCCATTTTTACTTAATTTTATCTTCAGAGAGTGAGTTTTGAAGTGAGTGTGAAAATAGGGTTTTTTTTTGAAACAGAAAATGTCTGAATCTTTTTTTCTGGTCAAAAACTAAATAACTCGAAATATTTCCAGCAAATAAGACAGCCAACTCAAGAGCACACTTCAAGACAAGAACAGCACGAACAGATCGAAATGCGAAAAGATTCGAAGATTCCGCTGAAAAAAGAACCCCGACCCATCAGCATGGACTCGTCGGTCCGCCAACGGGACAGCTTTGTCTTGGTCGGTTTTTTGAAAAAAAATCATATTTTTTATAACTTTTTGAAAATCGTTCAAGATTTTGTGTTTTTGAAATGATCGAGGACTCGATTCAGGCCTCGGATGTGGAAGGGTTCTGGACGGACGGCGCCTACACGGCTTCTCCCACTCCTCCGCCGGTCCCACCTCACAGAACGACCGCCGAAGATAATATGCAGAGAATCGGTTTGTAAATATCTTCAATTATAATAATCTTAATCCCGATTCAAAAAAAAAGAACGAATGATCAAATGAAAAAAATAATGCGGATAGGTCGAAAGAAGAAAAAGTGAGATTTTCCAAAAATAGGCTGTTTTTTTTTCAACTTTTAGGGTTTCTAGGTTTTTTCACAGACTTTCAAGACAACTTTCAAGGCTGTATTGGATCTATTTCAGCCTAAAAACTTCATGGCATTTTTTGAGAAGAGACTTGTATAGTCTGTGTGCCACGACTTGAAATTTCACGGAACGACATTCCGCTGCGTGCGTTCGCGAAGCGTCTTTCGAATCTAAGCCACGCTTTCAAATGATTTTTACTGCTGTGGGAGCACATGAAAGTAGAGTACCTTAATAAAAGAAAAAGAAATTAAAAGCGTGACCGAATTTCGCAAAGGCGCGCAGCGGTACACCGGAACGTCGTTTGGTGAAGTTTCAAGTCGTGCTAGACAGGCTATAACACATTTTTTTCGTCGATGGAAATCGGAAGAAATTGAAGAAAAATTGCTCCCATTTTCAGGCCTTTCGCGGACAACAACTGAGCCAGAGTTCATCAAGGCTTTCCAACGAGAATACACGGTTGAGGAGGGTGGAAGATTGGTCATCGAGTGTGTTTTGGTTGGAAACCCGAAACCCAAAACTCGGTTCTTCTTCAACGACAAGTTGATCACCGAAAAGACCGAGTTTTGCAAGGTCACTGTTTTTTCTCAATTTTACAAGGAAATTTTTTTGATAACCTCTTCAAAAAAATAAAAAAATCTTTTTTTCTGGCGAAAAGGTGAATTTACTAGTCTGAAAAAAAGCACTCTCACTGTTTCTTTTGGTAAAACGGAAAAGTTCCTTTGAGAACCTTTAGAAATGGCTGGAAAGCTCTGAAAATGATTTTTAAAAAGTGGTGCTACGACAAGAGCGAGTTTTCCATTTGCGAGCAGTACTGTATGCGGCAAAGCGCATTGCGTGCATGCACTCTGCGTGTTTACACTTTTGTGGCGTGACGTCATCGCGCCGTACATCTGCGGGTTTTTTTGCTTGCGGGTTTTTCGGATTTTTGAATTTTTCCGGCTTATTTATTTTTTTCGAAACAAAAAGAAAAACTTTTTATTGATGAAAACTCTGTTTGTCAAGGGGGCAGCTTAGGAAAAATGTTTCTTTATAGATAGCTATTAGGTCAACTCCACAAATATAGAAAAAAAGAAGTGAGCTAATATTGATATTTCAAAGAGGAAAAATATCAAACAATTGCATCATAACAAATACCAGTAATTGAAATAAGTTATATCAAAAAAATAAGAAAAATAAGAAAAATAACAATTTTTTTACAGAACCATCATATCAAACAAAAAGTCATTTTCCCAGAAAAATCTTAAAGATATTTTAAATGTACATTGAGAGACTTGAAGGGACTTGTCAGAAATTTTACGAAAATTGGTTTTTTGTACAATGCCGGTGTTGAGGGTGGAGGAGCAGGGACATATTTTTCCGCCAAAACTTCCTTTGTGATTTCTTGTTGCTTTAAAATTGAGTCGAAAACAATTTCGTTAACATAATCGTCACTTCCCATCCTGAATTTCATTCATAGCACCACTTTTTTTTCATTTCAAAATCTGAACGAGAGAAAAAAATATGAGAAGAAGAAGAACACGAAGATTTTTTTGAGGACAAAAAGGAGCCTTCTTATGAGGTAAAAAAAGAAGTTTTTCTTTTTTTGTTTCGAAAAATATTCGCACAATCAAAATCAAACCGGAAAAATTCAAAAAAATTCCGAAAAAAACATTGAAAAACCCGCAAGCAAAAAAACCCGCAGATGTACGGCGCGATGACGTCACGCCACAAAAAGTGTAAACACGCAGAGTGCATGCACGCAATGCGCTTTGCCGCATACAGTACTGCTCGGAAATGGAAAACTCGCTATTGTCGTAGCACCAAAAAGTATTTTGAGCTCCTTTTTCATTTCCTCTTAGAATCCTTTTCGAATCCCCTACATAGATGAACAAGTACAGAATACCGGGAGGAGAGGTTGGCTTACAAAAAGAAATAAAATCAACTTTCAACCTTAGTGAGGTATTTTCGGCCACAATAATACAAGTTTTAGCCTCAGGAAGGTGATTTTGACTTTAATTTAAGAAAACTTGGGAGAAGGGGTCGGTGCCCTTTATAAATGGTCTTCCCATGTATGATCTCCGGGTTTCTTTTTAGATGCTTTCCACTAAATTTTTTTTTCTTTGATTGAGGATGGAAACGTGAAATGAAAAAGATCTATTAAGGACCCTTCGAAGATCTTTTTTTAAGGCTTTTGAAAACAATTTTTGTTTTTGCCCGAGTAGGTGTTGTTCTCGAAGAGAGTCAAGATGTAAGAATTATAATTTTTCTTTTCTGAAAATGCTTTGATACTAAAATGTTCTACTGAGTTTTTTCAAAGTATGAATATCTCTTGGTTTCTAGTTTTTGAGCTTCTCTGAGCTCCTAGGATTTTATTTGTCTAAAACCAATATTTCTTTCAATGGCTGACTGAAAATATTTTTCAATGATTTTCTACGGCAAGAATGATTTTGCAGATTACCAACGTCAATGATACTTATTTGGTAACCATCCAACCGGCTCGATTGGAGCATGCCGGATATTACAAAGTGATCGCTGAGGTTTGTTCGAAAAAACTGGATCGTTTCAGAAAATAGTTACATGAGATGACGGTTTCTCAGTCTGATCGAATATGAAATGTGACTTTTATGGTATTACTCTAGAGATCTCATGTTTTTCTGCTACTTTTAAAAGTTGGATTTACCTGCAGAACAAGCGAGGAGTGACCGAATCTCTGTCTGTCGTTCACGTTCGACCCAGAGCTCTCCAACAATATCAGGTCAAACGAGAGCCGAAGCCAATCGTGCCGAGACCCAAACCCGCTGAACATACTGTGGTTCGAAACAAAGAGAAACCGCTCTGAATCATTCCTTCCAAGGTCGAGGAAGAATTCGCCATGTTCGAGTATGAACAACGACGGCCGCTGAAACACGAGAGCAGCAAGTTGACGACTCCGCCCCCGGCCAAGAAGCTCCAGCAGACTCATCGCAGCGATGAGGTGGTTTTCGATAGGACCCTGGGTCTTGAGAACCGCCTTTTTTCCTATATCTGACATAACTTCGTAAAAATTGAAAAAAAAAATTATTCATTTCAATTGAAATTTTTGTTGTCCTTGTCATTTCCAATGAGGCCCTATTAGTAAAATCGTGTCAATCATTTTCACATCTTAGGAGCGCTAGAGTGGTCCCTATGGGGACAATCTTTGGAGGTTCCCCTCTAGGGACCACATTAACTCTCCCTATAATGACACTAAAGCTTGCAAAAGTGGCCACTCTAGGGGAGCTTTTTGTCTTTTTTTGAAAGTTTTTTTTATTGCAATTCTGTGAAAAGAAGTGTTTCCATGCGAACAACTCAATAAACTAGCGTAAACAAGCGTTTTCGAATGAAAAAATTTTAACATATGACAAATTGATCAAATTTGGCTTCTCCATTTTCATTCTGAACAAAAAATTGAAAGATCCCTAGAGGGACCACTTTGTTTTTAGAGGCTAAGGGATCGGGCGCTGAACCCCTATCAGTACTACCTAAATTTTACCCCTCAAGGGGCCACATTCCGGCCTCCGTAGGTGCTATTCTTACCCCTAACCCCAAAGTGCCCACTCCAGAAACTCCAAGTAATAGCGATTTTTTTTTCTTAACATCTTCCATTTCATTGACTGCTCTCATTAGTAGATCAGTTCCCACTTGAAAAAAAATTCAAATGTTCATCTTTTACTGTTCAGGAACACTTGGAGCAGTATGATATCGAAGGCAAAAAATCAACTGGACATCCGCCACACTTTACTCAGACCTTGACCTCGACGGTCGCTGCCAGCGGCGAAAATTCGCGATTTGAAGGCGTTGTGACAGGTTCTCCACCCTCTTTTTCGAGTTTCATCAAAGATGAGTTGAGGCTGGCCCGCCCCAACCGTTGAATGGACGGTCGATGGAAAGCCGATCGATTTGCCGGACGTTAAGATCAGCAACATCGGAGGAAGAGTTTCTCTGAACTTCACTAACTGTCAACTCGCCCACTCTGGGAAATATATGTGCACGGCGAAAAATGGCAGCGGCGTGGCCACGAGCAGCGCTCAGCTCGTCGTTCGACGTAAGAATCCCAGAAAAAATGCGAAAATTTGACAATCCGACTTAATTTATTAGATTGAGGTCGTTAAATCCCAACTTGCACAACTGGTAAGTTTTGGAGAGCGAACTCTTGACCATTCACAATATAGCCTGTGTACCACGATTTGGAAATTCCCAAACGACATTTCGCTGTGCCGCTGCGCGCCTTTAATTTTTTTTTCTTTTGTTGAGGTACTTTAATGTGCTCCTACAACAATAACTATCAATTGAAAGCGTGACCTTGATTTGAAAGACGCTTCGCGAACGCACGCAGCGGAACAGCGGAATGTCGTTCCGTGAAATTTCAAGTCGTGGCACACGGACTATACAGAACGTACGAATTTTCAATTAACATGACATTGGGCTCATTTTAGCGGGTTTTGATCGAAATAGATGTTTTTTGCAAGTATGATTTGTCATCAACCTTATAGGGTATGATTCTCCTCTTCCAATCCTGTCTTCTTAATCAAATACGAGTTTACAAACCCAACGCTCACTGATCTAGGTGCCCTTGTCAGTAGGAACAAGTATAATAAGGCTGAACTTTTCAGCCAAGACAGTCGCGCCCGACTTCATCCAACGGCTGATCAGTGAGGAGGTCGAAGAAGGCACCCAACTCAAGTGGACTGTAAAAGTCACCGGAGATCCGATGCCCACTTTGACTTGGCTCCGTGATGGCTATGAGATTCCCGACTGCGAGGAGATCCGGTTATTGGATGTGGGGATTGAATTTTCATTCGAACGTTTAGAAAAAAAAGACCGGATTACTTCAAGTCAACTTTTTCTAAGTTCTCCATGAGAGGTCTCGGAGCGAAAAGCCTTTTTCAATGTTATTCTAGTTGATTCAAGGCTTTTGCGCCTTTGAGTACTTCAGAACGGATTTTTGAACAAACTGTAGATTCACTAAATGGATTTTTTATTCATATTTTGAAAAAGACTCCATTTGATTTCTAGGAGGGCAATGGCGTCTACTCATTGCTCATCTTACGGGTCGAAGCGGCTGACAGCGGACAATTCACCTGCTTGGCTGAGAATATCGCTGGCGAGGTGAAAAAAAAATCAATTAATGATCCTTTTCATTTATATTCGTTTTATTTCAGGCCAGAAGTACTGCTGATTTGGTGGTCCGACCAAGCGGTACCCAGCCAGGAAACTACTTCCACGTCACTAAAGTTACCCAAGAAAGACAGGTAAATAATGAACAGGTACTCTGAATTTATACGATTTTTTTTCCAGGCGAAAGGAACTGAACCGGTGCGCACGAGTGCTTTCTCCATTGAAAACCCACGACAGAGCGAAATGCTTTAATTCATTTTCTAAATTCACTATATTTGCTTCCCTAATTAACACTATATTCTTGTAAAACTGAACTTTGCTTAGATTTTGTTGATTTTTTGCCTACTTTTCTACCAGCGCGAAACCTGCCTAATATCTCGTTTTTCCTGTTCGATGCCATGTATTTCTTTCTCTTTTCTTGTTGTTTAATGAATGATTTTTTTTTCTTAAAACCTTTCGAATTTTGATCGTTTCGAAAACCGACTTATCGAAAAGAACGTAAAAGAAATGAACATTTTTAATGCAACTCACCGGTCGACGCGTTTTACTAACAGCCTTTTCAGGCCGATTTCGACAAATTGGTTTCCTTTTCGAGATCAGAGGAAAGATGATGCTTGCATTCCAGTACTAACAAGGAGTCATCCATTGCGAAGCGGATTGATAACTGGGAGAAGGTTCTGCTCGAAAAAAGAAGGTAGGAAATGTTTTTAATCGTGAAAAAGAGAAGGAAAAAATCGTTCAATTCATCGGAAAACAATTTTCTCAAAATTAAACAAATACAAGAATTATTTAACAATAAAAACGACCTAACTTTAAGAGTCGATTTTTGAAATTTTAACCGGATGCAGGATCTCACTAATATAAAAATCCATTCAAACTAATGCCGTGTTCAAAGTAATTTCCGCTAAATGCAAAATGGTCTCTGACCCTCCAAAATTTAGTTATCTTTCTCTTTCTCTGACGGCTATTATTGAATTTCGCGGAATCACTTTGAACACGGCATAAAAATTAAACGGAAAAAAGTGGAAAAAAATAAAACGAAAAATTTAGCCTAAATCATCTCAAAGCCAACTCTTCGCTGGAGAGTTTGCACTCGTGGCTCCTCATGCGCCTTTAAAAATTCCCTCATTTTTGCACAATTTTTTTCTTTTCTTTCGGTCTTATGCATTTAATTTTCACGGCGTTCCAAAAGGGAACTCGCAAGCGAGCCGATGAGGCGTATCATTTTACCGCGCCCTTGCGTTCGTTGGAGCGTACTTGCGCAACAGAACTTTTTTTTGAAAATTCACAGAAAATGTCAAAAACGAAATTTTAAGAAATTGAGATGTTTCGATTGAATTCAGGGTATTTTTTGTGATTATCATGATGTCCATGGAAAAGTGGAAGCTTTCAAAACATAAAGAAGCAATTCGATGAAGTTTCACTGACAATTATCCGTATATTTGCTTCTCAACCTTTAAATCGGTTTTACGAAAAATTTTCAGCTATAAGCCTATGGTATTCGTTGTTTAAAAGATGAAAGAATGATAGTAAAACGTAAAAAAAAAAATTTGAATGAATGTTGTTGAGAAGTTTTTGACGAAAAATCACATAGAATGATAATGGAAAAACGCTCATTTGTTGCGTAGTTCTGCGATCTTCGCAGGTGTTCTCTAAAAATTTTTCCAATTCTCTAATTAACCATGTTCTTTCGAATGAACCTGTGTGAACATTTTCAGCTATCAAAATAAAAGATTGACCGACATACCACAAAGTTTTAATCTTTCGCGCGGAACACCCAAAATTTGACAAGATTCCATGAAATTCAGTTTAAAAAAATTATTTTTTTGCCGAAAAAAAGATTTTTTTGAACAATTTTAGATTGTAGAAAAAAACTCATTCTGCACATGAATCAAGCAGAAAGATGTCGAATACATGGCATGTAAATTAAAAAAACTCGCGAATTATCATTTTTTTCGTTTTGCCTCAACTAAAGCGGTAAACGGCCAAGGAGCGACATGACACAACCAACTTATATGAAGTCAGAGCTGACGAACAATATAAACACAGCAGTAACACTCAGAAACGAAAATGTAACAAGAAATAGGGTTTTGAATTCCCAATACAAAACTAAACCACGCCCAGTTTTCTGCAATTGAGGCGCGGTACTTTCTGCCTCATTTTTCTCTACTGCGAGGTTCCCTTTTGGAACGCCGTGTTTTATCTCTAAATGCGTTTACTGCAAGTAACTTGATACTCAATGACGTACATCACTTGCTCGTCAATATATCTCGCTCCGAACGCTTTACATTCAACGCGGAAAAAAATTCTCTGGCCGCATTGATCCTCCAACAACTCTTCTTGCCTTCGTCGCTGCTCTCTCCAGCTGTTTCCTAGTCGTTTCAGCTTGAATCCGGAGCTTTTCTATCCCTTTTCTTTGACGTGGGTTTTTTCGCTTTTTTTTTGAGCTTGCGTTCTTGAAATTTTAATTATATGGTGTTTCTTTGTTTTTCAAGGTTCATTTTTTTGAGTCAAAAATGAATTAAAAGTAATAAAAATCTTGCGTAGGTACAGCCAATTTTTTTTAGTTTCTCCCTGTCCTTTTTGAGATTATAATCTTGTAATAAGCTCAAAATTTTTTCAAAGCCTAGAAAACTAGTTCAAAGTATTTCTGATCTCTTTCTCTGACCTTTTTACAAGAGCAAAAACGAAAAGTAGGAAAAATTGCACTTCCTCATATGTCACGCGCAGCTTTTACGTGAATCTTTCAACTTCTTTGCCACTTCCCAAATCTTTCCTTTTCTTTTCGGATTATATGGACCGAAAAATAACAACTTCCAGTGGGAAAATACTCGTATTTTGAATTTGATTGCTGGTGGAGTCTATTCTCACGCTTTTTGCCCTTTTCTCTCAGTTTTTTATTTACTTTTATCCTTTATCGATCAAGTTTTGAGTCGTTTTTTGAAAGAAAATTTTCAAGAAGATTTCAAATATTTTCAAATAATTCTTATCTTTTTTGCGTTTTTAAGCATCTTTCTAAAAATTTGATTTTCGATAGGATTTTAATTTTTCTACCTTGTTTTCGTTAAATTAAAATCATGAAACAAAGGAAAAGTTCAAATTATCTCACTATAAAGTTTTTCTGGACTTGAACATTATGTTTTTCTTAGAAAAATTTCATTTTTTTCACGTCCTATTATTACTAGTAGAAATCAGCCAAAAATTTAATTTTTTTCATATTCCAAAAATTTATACTTCATCTATTAATAAAAATTGAACCCAAAAATCCCATAAAAAAACCAATAATTTTTTTAAAAAAATCTATTTTGAGGGCTTTTTTTGACTGTATTTTTTTCAAATTTTGAAACTAATCTTTTTTTGAAAAAGCGCCCCAAGTTCGTCATTTATCAATAAATTGGAATAATAAACAGAAAAAAAGGGCTTCCCCAACCTTGAAATCACAGTCTTGTTGGGTATAAAGCGCCGAAGATCAGCCGATTTTCACGTGATTCAGATTTTTATTGTCTTTTCTTCTTTTCTGTTTTTTTTCTCCTGTCCCTTCCAAAGAAGAGACCTGCCCCCGTGGACCGTTTGTTTTCATTTCGATGGGTTTTCTTCTGGGTTTCACTAATATTTTTGATTTTGTTACTCGATTTTGAATTGTTATTTGCCTTCCTAAATGATGAGATTTCGGGATTTTCCTGGTTTTTCAGATGAATTCGAAAGGATATTTCAATTTTTCAGTATAGGTTTCCAAACTGTATTCAGAATTTTTTTCTTTTCCGTAATTTATTTGGAGCTTTTTGTCGAAAGTCATTTGAAGCCTGAAAGAGGTCAATAAGTCGATCTTTATTTATTTATTAAAGTAGGCAAACCTTTAAAAAAATATCCCTCTTGCAAATTTCAGCATTGATTTTTCGATTTTTCCAGTGAAAGTTACTTCAGTAATTTGAATTTTTTTATTTTAAATATTTTTCTGATCAATTTTGGTTTGTACAGGTGTCGGGAAAAAGAGGCTAGTGAAAAGAAAATGAATTAAAGTCAAATTTAAAATTTGAAAAAATTCAAATTACCTTTTGAAGTAACCTTCTTATGATTTTTTTTAAGACTTTGCTGATTTTTCGATTTTATTGCGATTTCAAAAGGCCGTTTTTGTGTTCTCTGAGCTTATTCATGACGTTTAAATCTTCAAAAACCTGAGTAAAAAGACTTTTTCTTTGAATAAACCAGCTCGAATTTCAAATTCCATGTTTCCAAACAAGACTCGAGCCTTTTTTCTGAAATGAAAGAGAAAAACCGGCCGTGTTTATAACCTGCCATTAACTGCGTTCTCCGGGCAAGTAAACCAACTCTATTTATCAGTTGGAAATTTCGGACCCACGTGCGCCGTTTTGGACTGAAGTTTCAGTGATATCACTACGTTCATTTATTGCCCGATTTTACATTTTTGTTTTGTTTTCGATAAGATTGTTGTCTTTTTTTACTGATAAATAGTGGGTTTTTCCCTTTCTTTATTGTTTCCGAGGGGAGTTTTTATCTTAAAAGTTTCAAAAGTATCAGTTCCTTCTTCATTCAAAATTCATCTGCCAAGTTCGAAAAGTCGTGGTCGCATTTGGAATGGTTTAGATCGGCTTGGAAAAAAATAAAAATATCTTCTAGTGTAAACCCGCTTAGGGTCTGTTTTTAAAGCAAAGTTCACACGTTGAGCCATTCCGAAATGCGGCCAGCAAAAAAAGTTTTTATAAAAAAATAAATTTTCAAGATCTCTTTTTCGGGAACGTCTCAAAAAAAGTTAAAAAAATGTTTTTGAATCCGGAGTTTTTTTTCAAGGCGTTTTCAAAGAAATTCCCTTATTTTTTTTGATTCCTTTGTCAGGTTTTTTTATGAATGAAGAAAAAGGTAAAAAGGGATGACCCACAAAAAAGACACTAAAAAAAGGGGGCGGAAAAAGGCCCGTCGTTGAGATCTCAGTTTTTTTGACCTTACGAAAGATCAGAATTTTCTCTAAATTTGTTCCACAGTTTTTTTATTTTCTCAAGTTTTTTTCAGAACACTTTTTTTCGTCAATCATATTGCCGTGTTCAAAGTGATTTTCGCGAAATGCAAAATGATCTCTGATTCTCTTAAATTTAGTGATCTTTTTTTTTTTTTGACCATTTTGCATTTCGCGGAATCACTTTGAACGCGGCAATATCAAATTTACTTCATTTCATTTTAGTTCATCTACTTTCATGAAGGTATTGGAATCCTTGAAATAGATCTTGATTTCAGCACAAAATGGCCACGACGGTCTCAACACCAGTCCAGAGGACCCGACGGTGTTCCTGTGGAGAAAATATCGGTGAACCTTTCGAATTAATTTTATTTTATCAGTTGATCGAAGTTGAATTTCAGTTTCCAGTAAGAAACAGAATGAGATAAGAGCATCAATTTTGAGACTATAATTTATTTGTTGAAAAATGTTTGGACGTACTGGGAAAATTTTTAGACCACCTTTATAGAAGCCACTATTATGTCTCTTAGTTTTCACTATAGTGTGAAATCCGAAACTGTCTCTGACTCTACGAAATTTAGTTATTTTTATCTTTCTCTGCCGATTGTTTTGGATTTTGCGCGAATCATTTTGAACACGGCATAGGAGTTTTAGTGGTTCAGGAGTACCACTTGGACCCTTATAGTGGCCACTAATTTCTAGCCCTTTAAGTGGCCATTAATTCAACTACTACAGTGACCGCTAAAACGTCAAAACCCTTTAGTGGCTATTGGAGTATCGAGAAGTAAATAGGCTTGCATTTCAGAAATTTTAGAAGCTATTAAAGTATCAAAAAAAAATTTTTTTTAAATTTTACCAGGGAACGTTTTTTACCCCCCGGTTGAACTTTTGCTGAAACTTTGCTGAAGTGTACTTTAGGACCCCCTGATTGCAGATCAAGAAGAAAAATTTCTCGAAATAGATCTTGTTTCCGAGTTATGGAGCTTCAAAGTGTGCAAAAATAGGCAAATTAGGCCAAAAAAAGCGCTATTTCGGGCTTTTTGAAGTGTCCTAACTCGAAAACGAGATCTATTGCGAGAAATTTTCTTCCTGTTCTGGAATCAGGGGGTCCTAAAAGTACACTTCGGCAAAGTTTCAGCAAAAGTTCAACCGGGAGGTAAAAAACGTTCCCTAGTTAGAATTTTCGCATTTTTTTAAAGAGATTTTGAACATTTTCGTGTTTCCCTACTGAAATTTAATAAATTCAATGAATCCTTAAGATATTAAGTACGAATAATGTCATTGAACATTTTTATTTTGAGTTAAATTTCTGAAAGTTTTGAAATTTCCTAAAGTAGGAAAGGTCCCTTGAGGGAAATCTACAAGAGCCCCTTAAGTTGCCATTCTACCGTTCTCAAGATGTCCGTCTTTTCACACAAGGAAAAAAATTCCAGTGAGCCCATCATTTGGAACGATCGGAACTCCACCAAGGAAATGCTCGAAGATTTTGGATTCCTCCACGACGCCCAAAACTCTCACGGTTCAACATCATCACGAAGATCACTCTTTCATGCGCAATATTTCCGCGACGGTTCGTTTAAGTCAATAAAATAAAGAGTGTACAGGAAAATCTAGACTTTTCGAGTCTTCATGAGCCAAAGAATCATTTTCGAATGTTGATCTGATTTCTCCATTATTCATGAAGAGTTAAAGATCGATATTGGTAGTTTTAAAGAATTTTAGGTTTTTGTTGGGAAACATTTGTATCACAGCTTTTGAACAATAATCTAAAAACGGTTAGTTTCCTGTTTCTTCCATTTTTCATTTCCAATCCTATTATAGCTTTTCTCGATATTTGTTTCATAAGGTCACCGATAACTGATGAATTAGAGATCAAAGCTGTGTTTTTTCATGGTTTTTAAATTATTTGAAGAGAAAAACATGAAATATTTATATCGCAGCTTTCAAAAACTCCAAAAAAGGTCTATTCACCTATTTTTCTGTCTCAAAAGTTTTTCTTTACTGGGAAAATTTTTAGTGGCCTCTATAGAGGCTTACTTGTTGGAGAGGACACTAGAGTGTCCACTAAACATACCTCTATAGTGGCCACTGTTTTCCGTTTTAGGGGCCACTTCAGTAGTTTTTCATCCAGTATTCCTTCCAGTAACTCTGATAATTTTATAACAAACAGACTGGATCAGTAATGTTGATCCATTGACCCCTAAAGTAGCCACTAAAATTTTTAGTAGTGTATTAGTAGCACTTAGACCTCTAGAGTGGCCACAAATTTTGAACCCCTTAAGTGGCCATTACTTTGACTACTGTAAGTGGTTACTAAAACGTCGAAACTCTATAGTGGCCACTAAAAATTTCCCCAGTACGAACTGTAAACTTTTTTCTGAACACAGACAGAAGAACGAGTAAAAATTGTTTGTTTGAAAATTGTGGAAAAATTACTGAAATTTTGAAATTTTAAGTAATGCTGGTCAACTCTGTGTGAGGTTAATTATCCTTCTTTTTTAGGATTTTTTTCAAAAATTAAGATTCAGACTCGGTTTTTTATTTCATTTGCGATCTTTACGCTTCTCGATCGTTTTTTTGATAGCGAACAGGCATTTGGAGATTTTTATGTTTTTATTTTTCCTGGAAAGTTTTATGACAACGAGATTGACGCGTTCTTTTTCTTTGCTTTGATGTATGGAACGATAAAGAGAACATTTTTATTATTGTGTTACATCAAAAATTCGGCAACTGATAACACTTTTTGAATCTAACAAGTAGAACAAGCAGAAGAAAGAGCAAATTTCGAAAAAAAAGCACCAAAAATAATAGCTCGAGCACATTTTTGCGCCCTATGGAGAAAAACGATTAGACTTTTTGGACATGTCATATTTTTTTTATCTTTTTTTCTAATCATATCCGCTGAATTTCATTCATTAAAAACTTTCAAATTCATTTTCAAAATTTGTGAACGCGTACTATGAAGATTCAGTGCTACAGTAATACGCCAAGCCATCCAACTTTGAACAAGTGGTGTGGGATGTATACCATTCTGAACGCAATCTTGATTCGGATACAAGTTTTTTGACGAAATTCAACCAAAATTTCATCCCAAGCTCAAACTTTTTCTTAACCGCATCGCGTTGACCCATTCCAAATGCGGCCCGGAAGTTTCTAGCCTACATTTTCATCGCAATTTTCGATGAGGAGACGGTTTCAAGCATCTTTGAATTATTTTTAAAAGTCTTGAGTTCTAGATGTAACTCCAACTTCTGGCAAAGTTTTAACTTGAACCGCAGCGCGTTGAGCCATTCCAAATGCGACCAAAAATTTAAGTTTTCATCAAATCATGCATACTTTTCTGGAGCAGCAACTTCAAAGCAAATTTTGATTTGAACAAAAAGTTCAACCAAAATGATCTCTGACTTATTTTTTAAGTCCTTCAACCAACATAACCACGTGACTTTAAAGGAAGTTACAGTAAATGGGTACGAAAATTGTCTTCTGACTAAAATCTCGCGGCATCATAAAACGAACCGACATGCTTGCTTTCGTCGGTGAAACCATTAAACCCACCCAGACAACACATCTTCTTTTTTTTGCCTCTTTTTGATTGTCTTTTCTCTTTCTGCACCCATTCCTCTCGGTACACGATGCACCCATTCGATGTTCCGATATCGGAAGGAAAAGTCGAAGAACAAACTCTTTTTTCCGGCAAGGAACACGGGGATTTTCCTCCTTTTGGGAACGGTTCCGGTTCTTGGAAAAATTTAGTTTATTGAGGTCGGATTTAGTGAATTTACTTAAGAAAATCTCTGGATTTCACTTTATGGAACCTTTGCGTAATTGATGGATTTTTCAGTTTTTTTGAGGCCTAATTTTCATGAATAACGGCCTAGTCGCTTTTGATATAGGAAAAAGGGAGGAGAAAATTAGTTTTGATTTTTGGAGAGTATCGAAAATTTATTATTTTTCTAGGCCTCAAACTCATTTCTTTTTTTTAAGCCTTTTTTTTTTACCATGGATAGATTTTTTTTTTCTTTTTTAAGTAGAATATTATCATTTTTTAAGGTTTTGAGCAGAAATTTTAATTTTTTTTTCGAAGCAAGCATGAATTTGTTCACATGAAAAATCGCATTTTGAAAAGTTCGGCTTGATTATTTTCATTCCCTCACAAGGGAGGTCAGTAAATTTGTTCAAATGTTCTTTAAAGGATCTAGATGAAGGGAAAATTTTATTTTTCGCAAATCTGACTTTCCATTGTTACGAAATACAGATTTCGAGCTCGATAATGTGTCATTCACAAACTCGAAAATTCGTATCTCAAGAAAAAAAGAGATCTTTTATTGGACCATCGAAGAATAAGAAAATTTACAGAATTCAAAAAAATTTCTCCAACTCAATCAGGTCTCCATAGTTTTAACTCGGAATCTGGTTTCGATACAGTATAACCAAAGGCGTTCTGTGAGTTTTCGCTCTGATCTTCCGATCGTTGTACGATGGGGCGCAAATGTGTTGAAAAGGCAGACAGACGGCCGTTTCGCTGCGCCGCCCCTTTCTGCAGAAATTTTGATCACCGTCTCTTAGTTTGGTTGATTCTAGGAAGTTTTTGGTTTCATTTTTTTTCTCAAAAGACGAAAAACAATATTTGCTTCGATTAAAATTCAAAATTATTTGTATGCACTTACGGATCCTAAAAATTCATTTATAAGAACTTCAATTTGCTTTAATTTTAAAATAGTATTAAGTTCTAATCTACCTTCGTCTCTTTGTTACCGTACTTTTTTCTCGCTCGATTACTGTAATCAACTACAGTAACCCTAGAGTCATGCCGACGCCGGCGGTCCTCTTTCCGATGGGCGTCGCGTTCTTCCCAGAAGATCCCGTGGTTATTGTCAAAAGTCATATCGAGGTATCAATCTAAAGAAATTACCCGAACTTCAATCAGGATCAATTTATTTTTCCGATGATCTGATTCGAGTTGATATTTTGATCTAATTTTCGAACCGAGAATGATTTTATATCATAATCAGAGGGAGTATCAAGAAATGGAGGAAAAACCGCTCGGACATTGGTAACGCGGAACGGACGTGCTCCGGACGTTTCTGAGCGATTCTAGGGATCTCTTAAGAGTTCTGAGGCAACTAAAGTGGTCACTAGAAATGCCCCGACACGTCCGTTTCGCGTCCCGTTCGCGTTACCAAGGTCTGAGCGAGACTAAGAATGACCTGAAACTATTCGAAATATGTTTTAAAGGAGTTTTTGAAATGATTTTGAGACTCATATCCGAGAAATGGACTAGTAAGTTGAAGTTATAGTCCAAATCATGAATATCGAAAATTATCATTATAAAATTATGAACTGAACTTAAAATCGTCAATTTGTATATCTCTGAAGAAAAAAATGTTTGTGCAGTTTTTTTTAAAATTAGAATCTGGAAAAGGAATTTTCAATTTTCAAAAACAAAAAGACAAATTTATATAACCTTTTGGTTTCCCAAAAATCATTGAAATTTACGCTTTTGTTATTTCAAACTTTTAAATTAGATTTTTGGTTGTTTTTATTTGAAAAGTAGCTTCGAAACAATGGTTTCAATCCACTAAGTTGTATCCCAATGGATCTAAATTTCGAAAGGAAAACATTTTAGCTGCCAAAATCAGTTTCATAACCTTTTGATGTCCAAAAAAATCACTGAAGCTGACTTTTGGCATAGCAAGCCATGTATATTTAATTTCAGGTGGAGTGCCTGTAATTTTAACTATAAACAGAAGTTATTTGAACCCTCAAATGAAAGTTATCAAGCTTTCAGGACCTTGTGGCGGAAGTCCAAGAGACAGCGTCGACCTTGACGAATCTCGGCATAACGTCTTCTTCGTTGCCAGAAGCCAGAGTATTGCTCATCTTATAGCTGAAATCAGTTAATATGCAAATTTTCAAGGTTCTTGTGATCTACACTGGCGGTACGATCGGAATGAAAGCGACTGACGGGGGTGATTTTTTAGATGAATTAAAACATTTTCCGATTTCCAGGACATTTCAAAATGTTTTTTTTTTGGGTAAAAGTCGAACATTTTGACTTTTTTTTTCGTATAGAGCTGTTCGAGCTCGGAGAATTAATAGGAAACTGGAAAACTGGGAATTGCAACTGCACTGTTAGATTTGAGAAAAAGTGCTAAATGCTTGAAAAAATGACTTTTTTATTTTCATAATCTGGCTGAAATTTTGATTTCAAAGCGTTTGAAAAGACCTAATAGGCCGTAAAATATGATTTTTTCGTTGGGAAATTTTTTTAGAGAAACCCATGAAAGTGAACTATTTTTCTCGAAAATTTGATTTTTCATATCTCGGGCATTGTCCAAAAAGCATACACCCTGGAAAAATCGAATTTTTTATTTTTTTAGCTTTTTTTTCCGAGACCCAGACTCATTACTCTTTTTTTAGTGAACCGACACTTCTCGGCTGAATTTTTATAGACCCTTAATTTTCAAAGTTTGCACTGTTTTCATGATAACGATTAGGGTCGATTTTATCAGCTGCTTGCACTTTCGACTCTTCTAGAGTATTTTGAATGATAAGTATAGTGAAGGCAATTGTTGGATTTGAAAAAAAATCGAAGTGTAAAACACTGGAGAAAAAAATGAGGAAACACAACCAAAAATGGTAGATCAGCTATGACATATAACAGGGGTGGAAAATTTAAAAGAGAAGCTTTGTAAAACTCGGATAAAGAGAGTGAAACATTTAAAAATTGATCGTAGAATGAAAAAAATTTTGAAAAATTGAAAAAAACAAGATCAAGTGAAAATTTCGAAATATCTGTAGAGATTTCGATTAAAAAACCATTTTTTACACTTTCTGATTGAGAAAAATCACTTTTTTTTTCTCAATAACTCATCTTTTTTTTCTAAGAAAATCCCAAAATTATCCTAATTTAAGATCAGAAAAATATTAAAATACGATTTTGACTTTTTTTATTTTTCGCATGATCTTTTCTGTCACCCATGAGCACTTTTCTAATTTATCGTGTTTTTATTTTCTTGAATTTGTAATTTTTTTCTGGTCGAGCAGTTATAAGACTCTAACAGTTTTCCTGATTATTTATCTATACAGAAAAGTTAGGAAACTGTAATTTCATTTTGAATGACCCGAAACTAGAAACGAAAAAGAGAAACTTGAGTGGAGTTCTCTTGAATTTTGGTCTGATTTCCGCGTTACGAGTAAAACCTTTCCACGTCAGTTTCACTACAGTAAAATTCCAATAATAAAAAAACTTTTTAACGATTTCGAAGGTCTGAGAATGTCTGGGAGAATTGTAAAGTTCGAGTTTTTCGCCTCATTCGCGTGGCAATTAACGTATCTCTATGTTGGGGTTCTGGCGGTCTCGCGGCGAAAGTTTAAAGATTCCTTGGAATACTGTGGGGTTCATATTGGGCTGGAAAGGTTTTAGGGTTTGAAAAAAAAAAGATAATTCAGATTTAAAGTTCAGAAAATTTAAAAGGAGCATTTAGTCTCAAAAAATGAAAAAAGTGCTCTTTTCCTCTTCCTAAAATGGAATAAAAAAAATTTTTACCGAAACCTTTTTTTTCTATATTTTAGGCTTAGTACTACCTTTTTTTTAGATTAAAGTTTTTTTCAGGAATAATTTTTCTGAAGATTCCCATAACCCATCAAAAGGATATAGTTTTATGAAAGAGTTTGATTTTCAGAAAATTTGATTTATTGATTTTTTTTCCCCAAGATTTTGACTATCCATTATGGTAGTAGAACAATTTCAGTGTACTGCCCAGTTCCCGGTTATCTCCCTGAAGTGATCCGAGACATTCCGCCACTCAACGACCGACACTACATCGACCTGAACTACGCGAATGTCGCTGTTCGGCCGTATTCCCTGCCCCCAGTTAGGCACATGAAGAAACGCGTTGTTTACTGGGTAAATGCCCCTGATAGTTTTCCCCCGGACTATATGAATTGATGTAATCTTTTTCAGATAGTAGAGTATGAACCGTTGTTGGACTCTTGCGACATGACTTTCGATGACTGGATCCGCATCGCCACCGACATCAAGAAGGTCAATAAATAGGAAAAAATGGGAGAGAATTCATACCCTTGAAGATCAAAAATTGGCTCATCCGGAAAAAAAGATTCAGCTCATAATTTCTCATAAAACGCTTTCAAAAAACTAGAAAAGTAGTATAAAAAGAGAAAAAGTGTATTTCAAGGCCTACCACAACTATGATGGTTTCGTTGTCCTCCACGGGACAGACACCCTTGCCTACACGGCTAGCGCCTTGTCTTTCATGATGGAAAACTTGGGAAAACCGGTGATCATCACTGGAAGCCAGGTAATCCCCTGAAAAATCTACGAAATGAAAGGTAGATCCAGATCCCAGTAGCTGAGGTCAGGTCGGATGGTATGGAGAACTTTGTCGGCGCCTTGATCACCGCCGGAAATTTTGATATTCCTGAGGTTTGTTCGAAAGAAATGAAATGGTTAGAAGCCCGACTTTTCGCGACTTGATTTTAAAGGATGCCGCGACGCGAAAGTTGTTTTCGGTCGGGTGCGCTGAAGTTGAACTTGAAAAAGAAAGCTTTTGAGCCATTCTAAAAGCGGTCATAGGCTTATAAATGCTCAAATCAGGTCCAAACTTTTGTCAGGTGGAAAGAGCAGAAACAGAAAGCGAGAGAAATAATTTATAAGAGCCATAAAACTGAGAAAAAGTTGAGAAAAACGGCTTCTGATTTTTTGGCATCAAAAAAGTCGGAATGTTAACAAAAGAAAATACTTTTTTTTTTGCTAAATTCCTGGGGAAAATGAACTTTTCAATCGTTTTTCGCATTTTATTTCGACCGGATTCGGCTTGTTACCCTACCTTCTTTAGATGGGAGCTTTCTTGGAAAGCCCTAAATAATAACAACTTCTTCACAGATCAGTTAAGACCGAGATTCTACGCCATTTTACAACATTTTGCGTCGTGAACTTCAGAAAACGTTTTAGTAAGTTACGTAAAAATTTTAGGTCTGTGTATACTTCAACAATAAACTGATGCGCGGTAATCGCACGATCAAACTCGACAATTCCGCTTTGGAAGCCTTCGACAGCCCGAATATGCATCCATTGGCGCATATGGCCATCAATATTAATGGTGGGTTTTCTAGGAATCAAGCTTCAGATACATCAACCAATGAAAATATTTAGGAATCCCTTTTTATTGGATGAAAATGTTGTACAGATAATTTGGAAGCCATAAAAGCCCCCAAGGGAGAGTGAGAATGGCAGAAAATTTTCAAAAGTTCTTTCACTCAATTGTTTTTGTTCCGTCGAGAAAAGTTGTAATAGAGGAGTATTTCGATTTTCAAAATGGTAGGAAAAATCGAGGAAAAAATCCATTTTCTCTACACAGTTCAAAAACCCTTGCTGGACAAATTTTGAAAATTTTATGGACGAAAGGCCGTTTCGAATGCTTGTTCAAGTCATAAAATACTTCTGCGCTTCCAAAAACCACTAGTTCAGATTTTTAAGTGACCAGCAGACGAAACAGAACTTTTTATAGAATTTACAAAAAATGCATTTTGACTTCAATTTATTCAGTAAATTATGACTCGATCTTCCGGAGTGACAAGGTCGAAGCCTTCACCGTCCAGGAAAATCTCTGCCGAGACGTCGGAATGCTCCGGATTTTCCCCTCGATGACCATCGAATCAGTTTATTCGCCTTTTAAGTAAAAACAATGAGTTTGAATTATTTGAGGTGCGGGCGTTCCTCCAGCCGCCCACTCAAGGCGTCATTCTACAGACTTTCGGATCTGGCAACATGCCAACCCGCAGAATGGACATTATCAAGGCGTTGAAGGTCTGTTTTGAGGGATTTTTTGGAAGTTGCAGGGCTGTGAAAACTGAAATTGGAACGTTTGAAAAAAAATTAAGCATATTTCTTACTTTCTATAAGCTGTGCTTAAGGTGTTTTAAGTGCAAAATTTAAAGCTTTATAAAAAAAGTTCTTCAAGCTGCTTGTTTCTGAGAACGTGGAACAGCGAAAAAAACCTCTAGGATAATTTAAAAATAATCTTTTTCTTGAGAAAAGACTCTTGAAGCGATCGCAAAATAACGGAAAATCGGTAATTTACATGAAGCTTTGCTGTGAAAAAGATACGATTTCTTGAAGTTAGCGTTTTTTTTTTTAAGAAGTCTCATTTTCTGAAAAAAATTTTTAGTGGCCACTATAGAGGCTCGCCAAGGACTACTTAGAGAGGACACTAAAGTGGCCACTAAACCCACCTCTACAGTGACCACTATTTTCCGTTTTAGTGGTCACTTCAGTAGTTTTTCATTCAGTATTCCAGTAACTCTGATAATTTTAAAACAAACAGACTGGACCAGTTATATTGATCCATTGACCCCTAAAGTGGCCACTAATTTTAACCCCTTAAGTGGTCACTAAACCCACCTCTATAGTGTCCACTATTTTCCGTTTTAGTGGCCACTTCAGTAGTTTTTCATCCAATATTCCTTCCAGTAACTCTGATAGTTGGAAAACAAACACATTGGAATAGTTATATTGATCCATTGACCCCTAAAGTGGCCACTAATTTTTAACCCCTTAAGTGGTCACTAAAAATTTTCCCAGTCTGTCGAGTTTCCAAACGTTTTCGGCTCCGAAAGTTTTGCTCGAGGTCAATACAAATTCCTTTCTTCATGAGAACTTCAAAAATTATTGCGAGGTGGTATTCATTTTTTTTTCTTAGGATTTTAGGCTCTTTAGGCAGGATTTTAGGTCTCTTAAGGTTTTAGAGAATTACTTTAAATCACAGTTTCAACTGGGAATCCCAAGTTCTCCTCATTGGAATTTCTTATTGACAATTGACTTCTTATATCATAAAATGCAAGATTTTATTGTCCCTTTTTCTCAAAGAAAACACAGCGATTTCTCTTTTTTCGTATGACTGTGTGAACTTTTTGGTCACTGATACCACTCAAAGTTCTGACAACAAAACAAAAAATTGCAGATTTTCGACTAGAACTTTGATGTTTGTTGCAAAATATCTGATTTTACTGGCTTTTATCACGCCATCGTGCACTGTCCGTGTTTTCGAATCACCCTTTGCTGTTATTTTGGGCGTTTTAGGAGGCGATCGACCGCGGAGTCCTCGTCGTCAACTGTTCCCAGTGTCTGAAGGGCCAGGTCGACGTCCACTACGCTACGGGAAAGGTGAAACATACAGTTGTTTTCAGGTTTTCAGGTGTATCCTTGTTTCATTCGTAAATTTCCTTCACAATTTTCTTTTTGACTAAGACTGTTTTCAATCGAATTTTGATGTCTAAAAGCTGAATTTTGTCGAATTTCTTTCAGATTAATTTATGTCCCTATCTAATTCGAGTTTTTCCTACACTTTCATTTCTTCACAAGGGAGGTCATTATACTTTGCGGTTGGGATTTTCCTAAAAATTGGCCAGAACACTCCTTGATGTACCAGAAGAAGATTATGATTACATGGGGTGAGCATGACTGGCAACAGCCAAGTTCCCCCCCCTCTCTCTCACTGGAAGCCAACTTCTGCCAATAAATTGAATTTTTACAAAAAGAATTTCTTATTTTTTTAAAGATCGGACTAGCGTCGTCAAGCGCGCACTCTGAGCATTTTTTTCACGGTTTTTGCCAACCCCCCGCTTTCTGGTTTTTTTGCCAAGTGCTCTCCCCTTTTTCAGGTTCCACCGAGACTATCCCATGTATGATTATAAAAGCTTCAACCTGCAGAAATTTCTACTTTTCGGAAAAAAAAGGCTGTCAAAATGAGCTATTTTGAGGCTTTAGACCCTTATTTCTTGAAAATTAGAAGATTGTGCAGGTTAAGACGTTCAGAATCTGTTTCTGGTACCTCAAGAAGTGTTCTGGCCAGTTTTCCGGAAGCTCCTGACCCCAAAGTAAAATGACCTTCCCTTCTTCTTCTTCTTCCTACGCCTTTGTACCGCTTGAGCGGCGTCGGCGCCCCAAGTCGATTAGCCGAGGTCCTATCCTGATATCAGTGGACTGGCTCGAGTGACATATCTGTCCTTGTGTGTGATGGCTGGGGATTTTGAAGTCGTGGTTTCCCACTACCAACATTTCTTAGACCCCTTGGTTGGGTCGGGGCGGGGATCGAACTTGTGACCCTGTGGACCATAGACAGGCACACAACCTGTTGCGCTACGGCGCGCCCTTAAAATGACCTTCCCTGTTAGAAAGAAAAAGTTTTTCTTATTAATTTTCTATTTTTCTCCACAGAAAAGACCTTTTCAGTTTTTTCTGACCGTTTTATCAGAAAAGGTGGATTTAAATCAAAAATTTCCCGCGGTCGTAAATATCTCATAACCTTTTTACTACCCTAAAAACGCAAAAATTAATAAGATGTCAAGAAAAATTTCTGTTTTCTTGTTCTAAGTCTGGCCCTTTTTTCTCAGATCCTCTACGACATCGGCGTGATTCCGGGATCTGATATGACTTCTGAGGCGGCGATGGCCAAAATGTGCTACGTCCTGGGCAAAGATTGGGACTTGTCCGAGAAACGACTGGTTTTTCTTGAACGATCTTCTAAAATTGATATTTCAACGATTTCAGATGTTGCAATCGAACTTGCGCGGCGAGATGACCGTGGCGAACAAGGGAGAAATGCGGGAGCTCGATATTAGTGAGTCTAGAAAAAATATAAAAATTATTCGGACTTGCTTTAGTAAGGTTCAAACCTCAGACTTGTTGAAAATCTTTTTTTTTTCAAACTTTTCGAGAACATTGTTGTTGAAGTAAAATATGAACGCAAGAGGGTTGAGAGAAAAGAAAGGAAATTTTTGATGGCAATTGTTTTTTAATCCCTTAAGAGATTTCTTTCCTTCAACCGTTTCTTTGAGGTTTTGAAAAAAATAGGTTTTTTCTTTCAAAAATTTTTTACCGACTTGAAAAGGTCCTTCCCAATAAAAAAATCATAGGAAAAAGCCTTTCGAAGGTTTTTTTCAAATTATTTTTTTGAATATATTGGAAAAAAATTTTCAATTGGTCTAGCGCCACTAGGACTTCTGTGTGGCTACCATTTTTTAGCCACTTAAATCAGGGACCACAGACCTATTTTTTGAACTCAAGCTAGCTCCTCGTTTTTGTTATAAAAACAATGATTTTTACATGTAGTATGCGAAAACAGAAAAGAAAAACGAAAAATATTAAGAATACGGGGAGAAAACAATATTTAAAAGTAATTGAAAAGCAAAAATTTTTGCACTGAAATTTTGGTTTTGCGAATTCTCATGCAATCTGCGCGCACCCTCATTTGCAAGGTCGGCACGGTTTCAGGAGCCAAAAGAGAAGGTTTTACGAGCTGTAATCCCACTTTACCATCACTTTCGTCTCAGTGACTGCACAAATACAGCCTACAGTGCTCTTTGAATCCCATAAAAATGTAATTTCGCCTACTTTTTATTCACCTTTTTTTGTTGAGAAAAAAATTTTTTTCGGCGATCTTGAATTTTCGATTTTATTGCTTTATTTGTTTGATAATTAAAAAAACTCTTATAAATGAGTAAGAAAAAAACGCGTGTCTTCGACCGGGAAATGTTTCAAAAACAACTCGCAAAAAAATTCTCCACCTTTTTTTACCACTCAAAAACAGTACATTTGCTTGTAGTTGTCAACAAGTATTATTTGAGCAATGTTTTTTTCTCAATATGAAAAAAAGCATAAAAAATCTTCCAATACTGCATTGCAATTGAGAAAACAATTTTTGACTTTGCGCGCCTCTCAATTTTTTCGGCGAACATAGAATTATTATTTTTTTGGCTTAAAAAATTGCATTTACTGTTTATAAGTAGTTTTCAAAAAATCAACTTTGTCCGCGACCTAGATGAATATCAAAACGCAAAATTAAGTTTATTTTTCGAACTCGCCTCACTATTTTGTACGACACTCCGTTGAAACACATGGAAAGTACCTAAAAACCTTTTCAACGGAAAGAGGAACCTTTTCCACATTTATGCTGAAATTTTCATCATTTTTCATTGTTTCTATCGGCTGTACGAAACAATCAAAGACGGAATACCAAAAAAATGGCCTTTTTTCCCTCGCGAAAAGGGGCGGGGCTTTGCGGTCGCTACCTTAAATGCCTACTAATTTGCCTACCATAATGGCCACTCAAACCCTAAAGTGGCCACTAGGATTTTTCCAGTACTACTGGGCTTTGCCTTTCGAAAAAAAAAATCGATAAATTTCGGAAAAAAAAAGTGCTCGGACATTGGTTACGCGAAACGGACGTGTTCCAAAAATTTCTAGTGAACACTTCAGTAGCGTAAGCACTCTTAAGTGGTCCCTTGAGTTGCTCAGAAATGCCCTTTTCGCTTTACCAATGTCCGAAGAGAAAAAAGTGATGCAAACTTGATTTTCTACATTTTCAGTTCCCCACATTGCCAAATGTATGCGAGTCTCGTCTTCACACGAAGTTCAATTACTTCGCGACATCATTTTACCGCCTCTCTTTTGCAACGCCGCCAAAAATAACAATCCAGGCCTGTTGAAGACTTTGAAGGTGCGAATCTTTCTGTTCTTGGGTTCTAGAGTGATCACTAAAGGGGTAACTTTAGGGCTCTTCTAGGTTTCTCTCAAGGAACACCTTACCTCCTCCTATAGGGGCCACTAAAGAAGTGGCCACTCTAGGGCAGCTTTCAAATCAGAACACAACTTAAGAGAGCACTATATGGATTACTTAGGCTTTAGGAACTTGAAGGTCAGACTCTAAACTTCTGTAGGGATTACCTAAATCTTAATCTTCTAAGGAGCACTATTTTGCCCACTACAAAGGCTGTTTTCCTCCCTAACCCTCTAGTGACCACTCTGGCGTTCCTCAGTTTATGTTGAAGTTGAAAGACACTTTTCAGTCATTTTTCTCTGTAATTCGTAATTAGTTTCTATATCTAGGAATCGGGCGTGAATTTCTCGACACCCGACTATAACCTGAGGACAGCTTTGCACGTGGCGGCGTCGAATGGAAATTTGGAATCCGTCAAATATTTGTTGAGCATCGGAACCAATGTTCATTTGAAGTGAGTTTCAAGAGAAAAACTTCATTTCAGTGAAAAAAAAGAGGGTTTTATTAAATTTTGAGTTGGAACGATTTTTCATTGAAACCATATGATTTGAAGTTCCAGTTTCAAAATGAGTATCAATGGTAGAAGATCCTTCCTGTGTCATTGGGACTTCTCCGAATTTCTACTGACAGAAAAATTAGAAAAAAATATCTTCTTCTGTTTTACAGACAAATATATATATGTGGCTGGAATTAAAAAAATTGGGTTTTTGAAGGAATTTTGATTCTAAAAAGAAATTAAGAAAAAAATTTATTTTTCTTAGCTGAAAGAACAATAAAAAAATCTTGATCTTTCTTATTTTTTTATATTTAGTTTGAAGCTTTCTATCAAGTTATAAATTTCTAAAAATAAGAATTTCGGACTATATACTATAAAAAAAGAGGAAAGAAAAAAACTTACTCACGCATTCCTGCTCCACGTGTTATCGTCGTCTCGCGAGGCAACTAGTAGCGCGAGCGAGCAGCTACCCCGTCCGCACGGATGGCCGAGTGGTCTAAGGCGCCAGACTCAAGCGAATAGCTTGCCTCGAGTTCGAGGCCTCTGGGCGTTCTGGTACTCGTATGGGTGCGTGGGTTCGAATCCCACTTCGTGCAGAATCTTTTGCATTTTTACATTATGGATACTTGCTTTTTGCTTTTTTTTAAAACATGTTTATGAGTTTTAGTCGATTTTTCATACGTGAACACTTTTGTTGTGAATTTCCAGAGACATGTTTGGCTACAACGCTCTGGTTTGTGCCGTGAAAGCCAAGGCCTACGATTGTGTGGTCGCTATTCGAAACGCCGGAGGCTCGATGGACGCCTATTCGCAGAAAATTGGTAGCCGATGAGCTGCTCTAGATATACTAATCGGAAATGATTTGAGGTGTCGAGTTGTGTCACGGCGCCGCGCATGGCGAGCTGGAGTTGCTCAAGTGCTACGAAGCCGCCGGCTGTTCGATGCAAGAAGTCGACTACGACTCCAGGACCGCCTTGCATGTGGTCGGTTTTGATGGGAAAAAAAGAAGGGGAGTTTTTTCAGTGAGAAATTGAATAAAACTTCATAGATTTGTAGAGAAAATCTCCTCTTCTCGTCGAAATTTTATTCTTGACTGAATGGGTTCTTGAGGGTACCCTATGGTTCTTTATGAAAGAGAACCCGAAAAACTTTACTCTACCCGATTTTGATCATTTTGATTTGAGATAGGAATTTTTGAAGTTTTGAGTGAAAAAATTGACCCAAAATAAAGAAAGATCGATATTTCGAAAATCTTCCTGGAGATTATGAGAAGGTGGTAGCCCTGCACGACTTAGTATTACCCTGAAAATAGCTATTCGCCTTGAGACCTCTATTTAATAAGTCTATTCTTCTTTAAACATGACAGAAATTATGTGTTCAGAGCTGAGTTGATTGAAAAAAAAACAACCAATGATTAAGGTTTCATTCATAATTGAAAACACGAAAAAAATATTTTTTATTGCTTCGTCTAACAAATGCAGCCTCATCAAATGAAAGGAAATTTTTCAAACTGAAAATTCTAGGCCGTCAAACTCAACCACGAAGCGATCGTTTCATATTTGTTGGAACGTCATGTCAGCCCCGTTGCCGTGGATGATTTTGGCATGACGCCAATCATGGAAGCCCAGCGGAAGGGCAACAAGGTATTGAACTGGTTTACGAATAGTTTTTGGCTCAAAAAAGCTCAAAGAGTTAGATGCAAAAAATAGCTGAAAAGAATTGGCTTTTGCGCTCTATGGATAATTTGAATAAAAGTCTGAATCTTGATTTTGATTTGCCTTTCTGGATCTTGTTGTTCTCGCGTATTTATAGATTTTTTGCTCAGTTTTGAGGATTTTTCCATGTTTTGCTTCAAATGAAGTCCCTTTTAAGCGAATCATCATCAAATTACAAAAATTGAAAAATTCAGGAAATGGAAATGCTGCTCCGAAATTACGCGAACGGTCCCTACGACAGCCCGAAACCGGTCAATGGAACGACGCCCAGTGACGCCGTCTTCTACATGGAATAATCCGAAACTCTCTTCACTTACTCACCTCATCTCGCTCACTAATCATCAAAATTCGTGTACCTTATTTAGAGATTCCCATCGTATATTGCCTCTTTTTCCACTGATTGCATAATGATTCGTGTGCCTCGATATTCAGTTGTCAACTTCAAAACGTTGAAAATTAATTATAAAGCATTCCTCTGAACTTTGTTCTCTACGGTTACTGAATCATTGAAAATTCTTGATTGAAATATTTTATTCAATTGAATGTGATTCCATTGAGAACAGTGATAATTCCAAGTTCATATTAGCTGGAATACATTGAAAATTGAGAAGTTATGGGTTACTGTATTCATTCTGACCGCAGTCACAATAATAATAAGCTCGCGGCGAATGCGTGATATTTGACGAGCTTTCAGTTTTTTTGAGTCTTTTCTTCATATTTGTCGATTCATCTCATTTTTCATCATCATCATCATTTATTCGATACGAATAATAATACAGTTCAAGAGCCGAAAATACCTCTAACAAGAGGTTTTTCAAGGTTTTCTTCTCTTTGCTGTCAATCAGACATTGAATTTATCGAAATCAACCCCTCGACTTCGGAAAAGTTGCATTTCTCAAAAAATATAAAGAAAAGACTCAAAATCCACGGAATCAAAAATATTTCATTGAAATTCAAATATTTCTATACTAAAAATGAAGTAGCTAGGAATTTTTTTTTGACTGTTAACAACATTTTGAGTATTTGTTTGAAAAAAATAGGTCCTTGTAATTAATAGATATAAGTTATAAAACTTTTTCTTTCCAATAATCAAAAACAAACTCGAGAAATTTTAAAAAAATGAATGAATTGCGGTTTTGAGAAAAATTTTTTTGTAGAGATTTGACTTTTTTTGGTGGAGTTAGTGAATGATTTTTCGGTATTTATTCTTTGTATTTATTTCTCGATTTCTGGAAACTTGATTAGAATCGGACAAAAAAATACAGGCTTATTTTTCCGCTTCCACTTGTAATTTTTTTGTCTTCAAATGTAAAAAATATTTTTTTGAATGCGAGTTTTTTTGAGAATTGCTGTCAATCAGACATTGAATTTATCGAAATCAACCCCTCGACTCCGGAAAAGTTGCATTTCTCTCCCGCAAATCTCTCTTTTTTTCGCCGCGATGTCCTCCTCGACTCTTTTATAAAAGTTGCTCGATTGGTCTTGGCCGATGGAATTGATACGTCAAAATCAACTTTTCTTCTTTTTTTTCAGCGAATCGTTGAGAGAAAAGACGGCGGGTTTTGTCTGTTTGGGCACAACGGACCATTTTATCCGTTTGGGATGACTCATTTCATTTCTTTTTATTGTCTAATTGATGTCAAGTTGGACTTGATGAGCATGTGCCCAATATGGTTTTATTGAATTTTTAAAAAAGTTAACAAGGAAAATGACATTTTTTCGCTCCGAAAATCTACATTAGGCGGAAAAATCGACAAGTTCAGCTTCAGGATTAAATTTGGGCTTGTCCTCTCTCTTTAAGGACTTCGTATAACTAGGACGGAAAATTTGAAAGTCGGTAGGGAGGTTGATAAAAATAGATGTCTAATTAGATTTACTAGCAAAAATAAGGTTTTTTTTCGGTAAAATTCTAAAAATAGTTCATCTTCTCTTGAACTGAAGCCTGAAAATTCAACAGAAAATTCAAAAACCTTTTCTGGAAGATTTAGTTTCAATAATTTATGAAGTCCGTTTCTTTATCAAATTTTTTTACCTATTGAGGTTGAAATTTTCTTCGAAACGAGGTCCAAAGTACAGGTTTAGACCAGACATTAAAAAAAGATAATTACTAACATTTTGATTGCCAAAATCGAAACAAGAATCCAGTTTGAACACCTTAGCTTCAAAACTCGCAAATCGACTTTCTTAAAGTAAAGGCATCAAAAAAACCAGCATTTTAGAGTCCAACCAACTTTTTTTCAGAATTTTATTCACATCACAATTGTCTGAGAAATGAAAAAACAACACGGTATGTACAGAAATTCGAATAGTAAAAATGGGCGTTGACAGTACCAAAATACGAAGAAAAATCGGAAGCTCGACATATTAAAATTTTAAATATTAATTATTAAAAATAAGATTACGCTTAGAAAGTAAATTAAAGGCCAAAAATTTGGATATGGAAGTGCAAAGTTCAAGTGTCACAGTGGGGAGAAATGAAAGCGATTGATGACAAATTGACACAAAAAAAAGCCTAATCGAGTGCCTAGAATGATAAAAATGGACAGGGGAAAGTATACAAATATATGTCACCGGAATACACAGAAAAGTACAGTAGAATGAGCTAGAAGTTTCACTAACCGGGATTGATTTCAACAGAACGAAAAAATGAATGGAAATGTAGCAAGATGGGGTTTTTTGAAAGAGTGGCGCAAAAGTGTACAAGTTTGGACGGGGGGAGAAGCCAAACGGAGGAGAAAGTGAGGAAATACTTTTCGGTAGGTACGGATATTCCAAGGGACTTTGGCGGTTCTGTTGATAAAACGCTAGTTGGAAGAAATCAAATGCGCTCTAACGAGAAAAAGTCTGTGATTGGCTCGGCACGCTTGTAATCGATTAATGAGCTTCTAAGAGGGGAATCGAGAGTAGAAAAAATCACTTTCACACAAAAAGAAAGTTAAAATTTTGAAATAAATGAAGCTTTCCCAGTCGAAATGATACTAGGAAGGTCAGAAATAATAAAAACAGGCTTGAGAAAGGTTTAAAACTTGTAAGGGTCTCAAAATGATCCGATAAATAAATTCGTATCGATTTTTCGAGGTTCTAAGAAGAATTAAAAGATCTTGCAAAAATAGCGTCTGATTTTGAATTTCGAAACAAAAAGTACAGAACTCGATCCTACTGACGACTGCAATTTTCCCAGAATATCTTCAAACTTCACCAAGTTGCCATAAATCTATCAGAAGCTTGCCAATCCGACCAAAATTTTTTTCTCGCTGAAGCGCACTTGATTTCTTCGACAAGCTATCGAAACCACGACAAAACCGCCGCCTCCACAATGTTTTCTACCTCAAGAAAGCATTACGCGACGCCAGCCGAAAGGGTCGTCGAACCGGTGGACCGACGTCGGAGACGCATCATCTCGGCGATCTCCTCCTTGACGTCGAGCGAGTCTTTGAACTCGAGGTTCTCTTTCTCCTCAACTCGGTGCCAAGCCGCTGTTCTGGAATCAATATTTTCAGTTTCAAGCTTGAGAAATAGAAGGAAAGAAGAAGTTGAACTATTTTTTCCCGAAACCTGTGAAAGTCCAAAGCTCAAAAATGCTGTAATCCAATTTTCGGAAGACTACTCATTTTTGTGAAAGAAAAACTCGCCTATAAACTTTGGTGTGGACGAGTGGAGCGACCTTCATGAAGCAGTAGGTTTCCTCGAAGATTTGTCGATACCAGAACTCCTCGGTCGTTTCGGGGGTTCTGTCAGGGAAACGGTCTGCTCGTCGAGCGAATGCCTCGGCCGGAACGATCCGATCGCAGTGTTGAGCGATGATCTCACCCAGATCAGTTTTTCCTACATTTTCCCCCTTTTCCTCGAGAAATTTCTGTTTTTCCAGTACCCAAAGCCTCGGCGAATCCCTCCTTGCTCCTCCAAAGGACTTCCTCGGGAAGCCATCCTTGGAAGGCGTCGCGGAGGACGTGCTTCTCCAACTTCATCGGCATCAGCTTATAAGTGGGCGGTAGTCGGGCGACGAGGTCGATGAAGCTAAATAATTCAGCCATTTCAAAGTTCAGCGACGTCTCCAACCGCTTGTCGAGGAAAGGAACCCGGATCTCCAAGCCGTGACAGGAGGTGGAGCGGTCGCAGCGGAGGACGTCGTACTGATGGAGATGCTTCATCCGACGGAGAATCTCCTTGTGCAAGTGGAATGCGTTCGGAGCGCGTTGCATATAGGCGTAGCTCCCGAAAAGCTCATCCGCTCCTTCTCCTGAAAACAGATGGTTTTTTTGATCTCACAAGGAAGGTCATTTTACTTTGGGGATCGGGATTTCCTGAAAATCGGCTGAAAAATCCCTTCAATGTACCAGAAAAATATTCAATTTTCAAGCTTCACAACTTCTTAGTTTTTGAGAAACGACACTTGGAAGCCAAAGAAAACCCTCTAATATCGTAAAAATGTGCTATTTTGAGACCTTTTTTTTAAACTAAAAAGCTTTGCAGGTTGAGAATTTCTGGACCTTTTTCTGGTACATCAAAAAGTTCTCCGGAATAATTTAAATAAGAGCCTTTATCACTTAATTCCCCCCAAAAAAATCCGTTAAAATCGAAGGAAGCTATTTAATCGCAAAACCAACTCATTTCTAAAGAAAATCTTGGATTTATCATACATCCCCATATTTCTCGAGATACTCTTCGGCCTTCCCAGAAAGGAGGAACCAAAAAGAGTTCAAACAAAAGCGGGACGTCGCACGCGGTGCTGAACGTTCCGAATTAGTTGGAACCGTGGCTATTTCGGGGCAAACGGTATGTATTTATTTACATCTTTCGAGTGCACGTTTCTCGGAGCTTTTCGAAGCTTCTGCTTCCCTTCGTCCGTGACTCACTCGACGAAAGAAAAAAAAAACAAAAACAGTCGCCGTGGCACTGGGAAGCTGGTTTGTTTTTCCGACGGTTCTGAGTTTTTTTTTTCTTTTTTTTTCCGTTGGGCTCGCGAAAAGTTGAGAACGGAACCTGACTTTTATTGACAAAAGGTGATGTGATGCGACTTTTAGAAGTGTGACTCGATGGGATGACTTTTTTTTTCTAAGCTGTTTTGGCTTGGAAAATGAGTGGATAAAACTATTAAATATTTAAAAATTTCATAGCAACCCATTTCTTACTTTCTAATTTACATGAAGAACAACTCTGAATGAAGTCTTTCAGAATCGAAACCTTATAAAATTGTTTTCCAACAGAAGTATATGAGGATTTTTAAAAGTTCCATGAAGGGTTGGAAGCTTTGAATGGAAACTAATCATAAGGAATTTCAGGAAAAAAGTAAAATTAACTAGATTTTTTTCTTCTCGAAAAATTACTTCATTTCTGATTGGTCGATTCTTAAAAAAAAGTTTGATTTAACTTGATAGATTCAGTTTATTTCCTCACTATGCTCATTTTTAACTTTCAAGATTTATCACTCCAAATTTAACAAAGCAAAAAATTCGAAAATTGTAAAATTTAGCAAGTTCGAGACTATTTTTTACCCTTTTTATTCAATTTTCAAATGGAAAGTGAAAACTACAGTTTTGTCTGCCCTTCTTCATGACTTCATCCCATTAATCCGACACTCAAAAAGAGAAGCCGATATATTGTGAGACTCCTTGGCGGGGGCCAAAAAGAGCCAAAAAGTCAACACGGCCGTCGCCACCGTGTCTAATCACAGCCACTTCTTCTTTTCCCGCTATCTTTTTTTTCCGAAAGGGCAAAGGTAACTGAGACAAGAGTGTTGATACACAGAAAAAACGGCTCAACTTTCTCATGGAGAAAACTTTTTGTTGGTTCAATGGTTTGGTGGTCTTTCGTACTGGCCGAAAGGTTTTTATCAACGGAAAAAGTTACTTCAAAGGACTTACAAGTGAGAGTGACTTACGGAAAATGGTACGAAAACTCCCAGAAGGTACTGTATAAAGTATAGAAGAACCAAGTGAGAGAAAAACTTTTTTTTTTAATGGTTGAAAATCCCAGTCTGAAGATAGAACCATTTTTAAACGTTACATAGGAAATTGGGTACAAAACCTCAACAAATTAAAGCTGATTAAAGTTCAAAAGTTTTTACTCATGACTTAAAAAATGGATTAACTAACTGTTCTACTGTTCGATAATTCTAGAAAAATGGTATCAAGAGTTAAATTGTGTTCAAAAAATTTGCTTGGTTTTCAAAAGAATATGGACGAACTCAATTAAGCCCTCGAGCAATTATTCATTTTCAGATCAAAAAAAAAAACGTCAAGCATCGAGAAAGAATAAAAAGAACTTCAGAACAGACTGTAAACTGAATTGAAAAAGGAACGAACCCGAGAGAAGAACCTTGACTTCGGAAGTTTTGGCAATGTGCTGGCACAACAAATAATGAGCGATTCCGCATCTGATGATCAGGGGGTCGAAAGTCTCCAAAGCGTAGATAACTTCTGAAAAAAAGCATTTTTCCAAAAATTACACTTTCCAAAACCTGGAATAATGTCAATGCACTGGGCTGGAGTGATCACGAGAACTTCATGTGGAATGTTGAGATATTCGGCGACCCTTCGCGCATTCTCCAAATCCGGAGAATCTTCGAATCCGACAGAGAAGGCGATTGGTTTCTGAAAACAAGTCGAAAAGTTACTGCAGGAAAATATCAATAACTTACGTGATTTAAGAACTTCGAGGCGATCGAAGCGATCAAGGAAGAGTCAAGTCCACCCGACAACATAAAACCGAATCTTCTGTTTCCCATCAGCCTTTTCTCGACCGATTTGACCAGGATCTCTCGGACAAGAGTCTAGAAAAATGATTATTTTCTTCAAGAAAAAAGCAAAACCTTGGTATTTTCCATGCTGAGGAAACGATCAGCAATGCTGGGCACGGCATAATATTGTTGAACTGGGATGGATCTGCAAGGAAGTACATTTGAGTCCAAAAAAAGATGAAATTAATTAAAAGTAGTTTGATCTAAGAAGTGAGTTTAGAGAACAACAATGGCCGGCTTCTATACGAAAATTTTTCTCTTTATAAATACTTTCTAAACTATGAAAAAAAGAAGAAAAAGTATTTATTTTTTTCGGAAATTCAATGAAACTTTTTAAATGCGTATAAAAATTAACGCCAACCAACATTGAAAGGCGCAAAACTAGCTCAAAATTTTTGTATTTTCTCCTATAGGAGTTTTATTCATTTTGTTTATTCTCTTTCAATTTTCGAATCTCGCAACATTTTTATGAATTTTTAGAAGTACCACAGCCTGCGCATAATTTTTATTAAGCCCGAAAAAGAGAAAATTAAAAAAAAAAATCGAATTGGAGTTTGCCGTAATTTTTTCTTTCGGAATATCTAGAAAGCTGCTGTGAAACGACCGTGTCGATTCTTACCTGTATCTGTTATTCAAAGGAACAGTCGCGCAACATCCTGGTGGGAAGTAGTCAATTTTGTCGCAGAGTCTTTCGATGCTTTTCACTTCAGAGCCGATTATCAAAGATCCTAAATTTACTGGATTTTTTTTTTGTTGTTTTCCAGTATTTATGGCGGATAATCTATCACTTGATTTTGTTTTCTCCGTTTTTTGCGGTTCTTATTTGTTTGCGTCAGACCGGATTTTGGTTGTTTGATAATTCACGTTAAGGCAAACCGTTGGAGTTGAATCCGTAGAAGAGCGGTCGGACGCCGATTGGATCACGTCCGATGTAGAGATTCTTGCTGTCTGCCATGATGAAGGCGAAAACGCCGTCCAAAGAGGCGCAGGTCTCCTTGAGATCTTGCTCTGGAAGGTTGATAATCATTTTTGAAAAAAAGTTGTTGAAGTTAATGAGGTAGACTGACAAGTCTGACGAGTTTCATGAAATTTTTTCAAAGGGTAGATATTCATAGTGACTTTAATAACAATATAAATTTTCAAAGTTGGCATCCTACAAAGAATCAGGTTTAAAACCAGTAACTTAAGAAAATCACACGTCCTAGTGTAGAAAATTGCGCAAGAACCAAAAGATAGAGAGTTAGAGCAAACCTTTAGAATCGTTCAAACTTGAGAAATAACCAAGAAAATATAAACCAACCATTTTTCAAGAACGACGTGATGATACCGGCGCAGTCGCTGCCGCCGTTCTTCAATGGAACCGAGCAACCGTCCTGAAAAAAGAAATATATATTCTTTGATTGAAGTTTGTGGAATCGTGAAATAATGGAATAAATCAAACCTTGAGCTCCCGATGATTGTAAATTTCTCCGTTGCAAACGACGGCGAGGCCGGCGCCGTGGATCGGCTGCGCACTTGGAGTGTCGCCAGGCTGGAAATTCTCTTTCAAGTGAGTCTTTTTAATTATACGGTAACGCAGAAACAATTTACGGTAGAGCGCACATTAGTTGTGTGTAGATTTACGGAGATTTTACAACACAAGAAAATGAATCATCAAGCCCAAAAAAATCGTCTATACTTGAATTATCAAGTCTCAAAACATTTTTAAAAGAGTTAATTTTTGAGGCAATGCTTAATCAACAGAACCTACGCTACGCTTTTTCTTAGTCAAGGTTAGGGGTTCAGAAGAGGGAGAACTTAAGTTCGAAGTTTGGAAATTTATGAGTTAAAACAATTTTTTTTTAGCTTCTTTCCTTGTTATTTTTCGATTTTTTTTTGCCGGCTCTAATCGAAAAAGATTGCAAATAGGTCTCGCAATAACTTTACCTGAAAAAAAACCTTTTACAGCATCATTTATTTTTGGTTGAATCGAGTCTGTTACTAGATTTTCACTGCTAATTTTAACAAAAATAGGCCCCTCCGAACTCAGACCCAAAGACAATTTGTTGCGAGCCGAAACCAATCGGAGCCCAATACAAAGAAAAGGAAAGTGTAAGGCCATCAAAAAGCCGAAAAACGATTGTCCACTAGAGTGTAAGGGTTCTATGGGATGGGCACTAAATCGGATCTCTGCGAAACGACCTGGCAAAGTATAAGAGAGGAAAAAAGAACCATAACGATGGCGAGGCGGTGGAAGCCGAGGTGGACGTTGGGCTGGACCTCTTCCAGGACGGTGAGATCGGGACCGCGGCCGACGATGCTCATGAAGGCGTTCTGATGGTGTGGCTGCGGTTGCTCGCCGAGGATCGCCCAGATTCCGCACATCGTCGAGTTCTCTAGAGTGTTTCCCAAGGGGCTCTGAAACTTGTTGGTGTTGATCAGAAGGATTGACTGAAGCAGATAAACGACGACAAAATGAGAACTTTTGAGATTCTCTCAAGCTTTTGGGTGTTGATCAGTATGAGAAGGAGAAGAACGGGACGGAACAAAAAAAAAGTTTTTGGTGTTGATTAGAAGAATTTTCTAAAGAAAGACGGAACGGAAGAACGAGAAAAGTAGATAAAAAAGTGAAGTTTACAAATTTTAGGATCTCTGAAACTTGTGGATGTTGTTCAGAGGCTTGAACTGAACCGAGAAGGCGAACAAGAAAAAAATAAATAGGAACTTTCAAATTAATATTTCTTGGTGTTGATCGAAGGAGTGTACTCAAAAACAGGCAGGGATAGCGGAAATAATAAAAATAAAAATATGAAATGCATTGAAACTTGGCGGGGATAAGTGGAATGAAAAAAATGAGGAGACAATAGTAAATTGGCATATATTTAGAAAAAAATTAATAAAAAAAGCTGGATTCGAAAGATTTTAAACTTAAATTTATCAGAGGGTTTGCCCAGCATTTTTTGAGGCTCATCCATAAGAAATTCTCGAATGAAAATTTCACATATCTTGACTAACCATAAGATCTCCTGAATTTGACCCTTTGCAAAAAAAAGCAAACAGGTATTTCAAGGAAAATTTTTCACTTGGTGAATGTTTAATTGTGCCTTTTTCCCCGCAGACTTAATTTTTGCCAAATTTCCAGTCATACTTGTTTAGATCTTCGACGTTTTTTTTTTTTTCAATTTCTCTCGAATTTTGAAAAGCCTCAGGTCGTTTAGCCGAGAAAAGATAGTCTAGCCGTTTTCTGCGGAACCTCAGAACAATCGAAAATTGATAGAAAGTAAGAGGATTATTTAAATTTTTTAGTGGTCCTCAAAAAAGGCTTTTCAGGTTCTTCTTAATAAGACACGGAACGGTATTGCGTGAACTTTGGTTCAAAATTTCACAATCAGGCAAAATTTAATCAAATCCAGAAGCTCTGAGAGGTGGTCTTGGTGTCATAATAGAGAACGTCTAGAAGATGATCTCGATCTAGCCAAGCCTACAGAAGAAACATAAAATGAGGAACTTTGTCTGAAAGAATTTTCAAGAGCTTCCTGAAAGAAAGTTGGTGTTGATCAATATGAGTAGACTGAACAGAAGCGTAAACTAAAATTACTAAGAAAGGTGGTATGAAAGTTCGAGAGAGGAGACTGAAAGTTGGTACTGATCAACTGGAATGTTCTCCAGAGCTTGGAGTTGATCAATCTAACGGAGCAGAAGCACACGTGAAAAGATTTGCGAAAAGTGAGCGACTGCCTAGGGCTTCCAGGAGCCTCGGAGAGCTGGTGTTGATCAAGCCGACAAAAAGGACTGGACTGAACAGAAGCACACGCAAAAATGACTGGGAAAGGTGGGCGGATTGGATGGATGATATGCGTGCAGGCGTCTTTTAAGACTCTCGGGATCGGGAGGGCTGTGCTCGTCGAGCGCTGTGTGTATGTGTGTGTGTGTGTGCGCTGTGTCTCGTCGCTTGGTCGAGCTTTTGGGGTGTGGTGTCCGTCGGCGCGGCCGCCAAGACTGGTTCCATCAAGCCTCGTCTTCTCCGTCAGTACCGTCTTCGGCGTGATGAGTTTGATATACCAGCTCGAGCCCAAACGGAACTTTGAGGCCGAAACGCGTTCGTGTTGAACTCGTCAAACTCGTTGGTAGCTTCAGCGAAGATCAAGCACAGCCATTCCGAAAGGTCTGATAGAAGAACTGTGTAGACTTCACTATGAGTAAGAGATCGAATCTCAATTTTTGATCCGGGATGGGTCAGAAGTTTGTGAAAAGAAATTTTCAGATATTGACCTGAAAGTTTAGATGTATCACCTTCTTGTAAAATTTGAAACTGGAGTGAGAGAAGGACCAAGAAAAAGTATAAGTTTTAAGTTATGTAGCCCCCCTTAGCCTCAAAGAGCCGATCCTCATATCGGAAAGGCAGACTTACTCAGTGAGGAAGGAAAGATTTTATACAGTCTCTGTTCTGTTGAAGAGTAAGAATTCGCGGTTTCTAAGTTTTTCTTCAGCTTGAACTTCTTACCGATCTTGATGAGATCGTTTTGGCTGAATTGAGGGAAAAAGGACTCTGCAAATTGCTCATTCTTTCAAGTAACTGATACTGTAACAGTAGGCAGGATCAACTTCAGAAAAAGTCACTTCACTTCGTCTTTCAAGAATTTCCCTTATATTCAGCAGATCTACAAAAAAAAAAGCATAGTAACCAAGATCCAGAAACATAATGCAGAAAAAGACAATTTTTCTTTTTAAATAGCCAATCTCTTTCCATCAGAGTTCAGCAACCTGATGAACTTCTAACAATGAGCAAGGGATTTCAAATATCCGAAAAGAGAAAATGAACAGCTGAGCGTTGATTCATCGCAGAGAAGTGAGTAATAAAAAAAGTTACCTGCCCTCTTGTTTATAGTCATCAATCCAGTTCAACCTACGCTCTTCATTTTGTAAGTTTTATGAAGAACAGGAATAGAAAAAAAAATCGAATATTTTATTTAAAAACTTGTTGGGATTTGAAAACTCTATTCAAGCCCGAGGTACTTTAATTTTGATGAATTTGAGTTTTTTTCGAGCTAATCTTTTTCTTTTTTTCTTCTGGATTTTTTTCACGACTACAAGGCTTTTCATAAGAAAAACAATATTTTTCTTCGAAATTTAGCGATCAGAATGGCTCAGACAAAAAAAGCTCCATGCTCATCATAAGCTTCATGATTTCTGGAATTTCGAAATACTGAGAAATAACCTGATCCATTCGTTATTGTCCTTGCTTTCGTGCTCCTGAAACTACTCGGCCTTTTTTATTTCATTTTTTAGAGATTTGGTTTTTCAACAGTTTTGCTTATAGAGTTTCATTCCTTTTTTGTAGAACATTTTTAGGACAGGTCCAAAAAATCTTGAAAACTTGACAGCTTTATCGATAAAACTACTTCGAACGATATTTTAACTTCAAAAGTTCTTTTTAGTCAGGTTTTATCTTTATCCTAACTAATAGTACCAGAAGCTTATAAAATCCCCGCGAACCCCAATTTTTTGTCGAGAGGAAAACTTTTTGCATTTTATTTTTCAAATCACCTTCTACAAGATGAAAGTTTTGCGTGGGCCACTGGAAAAATATTTATTTCAAATAAATATGAGCCGATGGACCCGGAAAAATAACCAAAAAATCTTCTCAACTGTTTGCTCTCTGTCTGTGACGTTGAAGATTTCAATAAAATGGATCAACAAATGAACAAAGTCAAACAAAACTGGTGAGGTGCCATCAGAAGACGTTTGTTTTTTTTTTTCAAGAAATTTTTCGCGAAAAAAAAAGATTTTTTCAATGGTCTGGAAAAGTTTGAGCTAGTTGAGCCCTAAAACCATACGAAAAAAATTTTTATTCAGGAGAAAATTTTAGAATAAAAAAAGTTTGATTCCATTCAATCAAAGCTTTCTCAGGACCTATCAGCACTACTAAAGTTTTTTTCATTTTTATTTTGAAAAAGTTTTTTTCAATTGTTTTACGGTTGTTCTCAGCTTTTTTGAAGAATTATTTTTTTCGATCCATTAAAAAAACCAGTTTCACTTCAGAATTTAGGAATTTAGGAAAGAAAGATGAAAATCGTGTTTACTACGAATCTTTGAATTTTTTAATGTTAAGTCTTTCTTCCGAGAAAAAAAAAACCAAAACTTCATTTTGATCCAGTGAAAGAGCTAAATCAGCTTAAAAGGCCGATTTTATTCAGAAAGGATGAGAATTTTGTGTTTGAAGTATTTTTGGAAGTTCCAAGAACAGTCAAATAATTCTTTAAACACTTCAATTTGATAGTGAATCAAGAGTTCTACATTTTGAATTTCCCAGTGGATGTCTTACACAGTTTAAGAACATCATCCGGAAACCTAAAAAAATTTTGAAGCGAAAAAAAAAATCAGACGGATCAAGTCGTGAGATTCCTTTAGTAGTGATCTTAACATATCCCCATAAAATCGAAGAAGCTTTGAAGGAAAAAAAATTTACTTGCGATCCCAAGCCCAGAAAATTCATCCACCCTTAATTTTTTACAGTTTGACATGATTCAGATAGTTATACATTTCCCAACAAGCTCTGTGAGTGGATAATTTTCATTCTGATAGATTATTTATTCTTACAGTCCTGGGTGAATTGTTCTCACTTCTTTGAAAAGGGGTTCAAAAAGTTCAGTAAAAACTGCAAAGAAATGCGGAAGCGTTTTTTTTTTGTTGTGTAACGAGAATTGACGTACTAACTATTGAGTTTCATGTGTACTCCTCCAGATGACCGATAAATATTCAGAAAACTTCTCCAATTGATCTGAAAAAAGAAAATCGGCGCGTAGAAAAGCTATGATTTGCAGAAAGGTTGAACCTTTGGGTACCTAGCCAAATTTAATTTTGGACAACCCTGTCTTTTTTTTGAGAATTTATAGCGGTCAAGAGAGCCAAAGCTACTAAATTTCGAGCTTCGGAGATCATTCTTGAAAAAATATTCTCTGAATTTGATCTACAAACTTGACTATCAACTTCATATGAAAGAGAGGCAAGCAACGGTTTCAAATTGATACGGAAAATCTTCAGTACCTATTTTTCTCCCACCTGCTTTTCTCATTTGAATGAAGAAAGATTGGTTTGTATGCGAAGAGGGATAATCTTATCATAAAAATTTTTAAGAAGTAAGAATCCGCCTGATTTTGAAAGATAAGTCGTATCACTTGCTGATTCAAAATAAAGGAGTCATGTACTTCCTGCCAAGAGAAGGAAGTAGAATTCATTGGAAATTTGATGTAGGAAGTGGTTGAAAAATTCGGAGCGTGTTTTTCGAAGATTAGTCTTATTTTAGGCTTATCCAAGACTGATCCCAAAAGCTCGACTCAATACTTCCTCCCAATGAAGAGGATGGAAGTCTAAGAATGGGATTTATCGAAAAAGTTGAGATCTGCCAAGAAGTTTCTGAAACAGTCGAGAGCTCTGTTGATAAGAGTTTCGGAAAGGTATAGGCATGTATAACGGTTTGACAAGCTCTTGGGAACTCGGAATCTTTACCCGAGGGGGTCTCTCTATCTTCAGACTTCAAGAAACAGTTCTAGAAAGGACGGAAACTGGCTAAAACGTTTAGGTTTAATCTTTGAATTAAGGTTAGGTATACTTATGAGTAAGCTCTATCTCTGGTCTGAAAATCTCATTTCCTGCAGGGAAAGTGAGGTTCAGGTATGAAGATTGACATTCAATTTGAAAACAAGAAGGCGTCTTATACAGTCGAAAGTCTTGGATATGAATCCACGTTCTGACAAGTATTCAACCTACTAATTGATAAGATCCATTGATCAGTCTAAGCAGGATCTCGGATCTGAAAAATCTTCACCGTGCACTTCCGGCCAAGGAAACGTAGATTTGGCAGGAATCAGTATTAAAGCTTAAAAGAAGATCCTAGGACAGTCGGAACACCTACTGGTTCCGCATTTGGAATTGGAAGTTAGACCCAGGCTTCAAGGATCCGTTTAATCATGAGCTTATCCGGATCAGATTTGAAAAAGCTCGACCTTATACTTCCTGCCAAGGAAGGGGGAAGGAAGTCGAAGCATGGAGGTCATTGCGAAAGAGGTCATGGAGCCGCCGAGGGAGAGAGAGAGCCGTCGCGGCGCCAAGACCACGCCCATCTCGATCGGCCAGTGCAAATTGAACTCTTTTTCGGCGGGACTTGGTTTCGGGACGAAATGTGAGAGGAAAAAGGAAAGGACACATATATCAACGGGGTTAGAGGGCATACCGGCAAAGAGAAAAGGGGGGAGAGATGAGAGGCCAAAAACAACACGCCGTCGGCGATGGAGTCGGGCGTTCGGGAAGCAGCACTCCTGTCTTCCTCTGCGGCTCTCGGAGGAGGCAGCATATCAGGACGAAACTCCCCACCACCTTTAGGCGACTCCGCCCACTTTTTCACTCAACACAACACAACACTATAACCTGCCAACCCCGGCAGTCAATCCTTCTCCACCTTCTTCCTCAAACTCGAAATCCTCTCAGGCCATCGAGTATGCATCGTGATACTGGTTCGTTTTCCGATTCTCATTTCCATGTCACTCTTGTTGATTTTCACGTGCTGAACCGTTTCGGCGCCGGCGGCCGGCTCACTCACTTTTTTTTCTTCTTTTTCCTGCGGCTCTTGCGTGTGGCTCCGTCCGGTAGAACCGGTAGCCCTAAGCCGGCTCACGCCGATCTCCTCCGTTCTTGTGACGCGTATTGTCTTTCCGCAGACCCAAGCGGCGGACGGCACCGCCACCACGCGACACGGAACTTTGATCTGCCTTCGGGTTCTGGAGGGATTGAATTTTTTGGGGATCGAAGCAGGACTCCGGTGTGAAATTTCTTGGGAGCTTGGGTTTGAAGAGTTCAAGTTCAGAAGATTTTCTGAGAACTAGGAGGGTAGACCCTAGTATGTACATTTTTGTAGGTTAAAATTTTTTTTTCATGTTTTTTTGAATTTCCATTTGAAGACGTTATGATTCATGATCGTCCAATTTGAAAAATTTTTTTGAATTTTTGGAAAAATTCATGATGGACAAAAATATTTGTTTATGAAAATGTCGGAGTTTCAGTTTTTTTGAACCTTCTAGTCATCTTGTCTTCGTTTCCAAAATTTGTTGGGAAATTTCAAGTTTTGAATAATGCACCATGGTGTCGAAGACATTGTCGGCTCATAAGCCGATTGAGCAAATTTTTGGTTTTTTTCGACAGGCTTTTTATCTTTTGTCCCAAGTATCTTCAGAAAATTCAGTTTCAGTTTGCCATTTACACCTTCGTCCAGGTTTTTTTCTAATTTAAAATTTTTCGATCATGGTCCTTAGACTTTTCCTAGGTCTACTTCCTTGTAGACTCTCTGAGCTTTTCCTTAAGATTTATTAGGTGAGATTCCGAATCAAGTAATTTTTTTATATTGCTCCAGAAGAGTCAGAAACCGAAATGAAGAATCGCTGAAACTGATAATCAGTGGTCAGGTGATAGCAAAAGCCTTTAGCGGGGAAACGAAAGCCGAGCATTCCGCGTTGCTTCTGTTTGACCAACCCCGGCTGACCTCCTCTTGACTTCCCATCCGATTTTTTTATATAGTATTATTTCCTTTCTCACTTTCATATGGCTTTCAATTGATCTTTTTCTTCGATAAGTACAAGGTTTTTGTAGATTTAGAATGGCTGGTGAGCCTCTTAGAGATTTTCGAAGTGCTTAGATCGATCCAGCTTCTCCAGGAGCATCTTCATTTTTCTGTATTTTGAAATTCTGACTGATGATTCTGACCTTCTGATTGAAGTTTTACATTTTTAGAATCAGATCTTTTATTTTCCGTATTTCTAAGTTCAACTGGTCATCATGACATTGAGCAGGGAGAGGCTGGATGAAATAGCCATTTTAAACTAGAGCTTCTTCGCTCCAATGCTAAAAAAATTCGTATTCTAATTTTTTTCTCAATTCTTTGATCCATCTTTTTCTTTCTGTTAATTTTTTTAAATTTTTTTAATAGAAAGTGATAGAAAAAAATACAGTACCATAATTCCAACGGAAAAATCGCGGAAAAAATAAAAAAAATTTCTCTGCTATTTTTGTGTTGGCTATTCTGTGGCCCATATCCTCGTTTATCTCCTCGAAAAAGAGTCCATTAAAACCCCCCGAGTTGTAACAAATCCGTAATCGTACAGCTCTGTGCCTCGACAGCCGTTCCTGCACATAAAATTGATGGAAGAAAATGGGAAGTCTCCATGCGAAAAAGCCCACAAAAAAAAGAGAAAAACCATGAAATATTACGTTACGCTGAAAGGATATATGTTTTCCATGCGAAGTATTTTCGTTATTTATTTATTAAAAATTAAATGATTTGATGAAATTGATAAAGTCGAACTTTTTCAAGTGACTACTCAACATGGCTCATACTCAAAAAAATGATCTCTTTTGATGTTGGAAACTTTTTTTTGATTTTTTTTTCATAAAATTTTCGTGAGTTTGTATCAATTTTTTTGGCTTCAAGATGCCGGTTTCATTTTTTTCTCCTTTATTCACTGAGATCGAGACAAAAAAAATGAGAAAATACATCGCACTTGTCAGTATAAATACTTCGTAAGAAAAAAATTTTCTTGATCCTTCAATTTATTTTTTTTCGAATGCTTTTTCCTACAGTGAACGCTTCATAAACCCGAATTTTTTTCCGTTTAAAAAGTTTTTTTAAATTTATTCTACGTCTATCAACTCTAACGATACCTACTCTATCTCAAAACCCATTTTTCGAAGGTTTTGAAATTTTCGTGCTTTGAAGGTTCATGAGAGCCGTTATCAGTGTTTTTTGAATGATCCAATGATTCCAAGCCTTTGATTATTTCAAAGGTTTTATACAAAAAATATTACCAGTCTTGAGTACCTGTGTGTAAGAAATGATAAATTTTTAATGAATGTGATCAATCTTATCGCCGAATTCCTCTTCCTTCCTCGAACTTTTTCTCGAGAAAAACAGTCGAGGAAAAAAAAACGAAAAGATGAGTCTCGGATTTCTGTGTTGAGACAAAGCCTTCCGTACCATGCAGACAGGGTGGCGGCTCGCGGAGTCCACCGACCTAAGCCTTTCCCTCCGAAAATAGCAACATCCTGGAATGCTCGCCAGAGCAGGCTCTTCCTCCCTCGTTGCGCGCCTTTTTCAGCTGGGAATTTGTTGGGCACAACTTTCCAATTGACGAAATTTGCTGTAAAAATTATTTTTTGAACCTGTTAAAGTTGAGGAAAATCGTCGCCTGGTCTTTCTTATTCATTTTTTGTTCCGAAATCGATCTCATTTTTTGATTTTTCGTTCAGTAAAAAATACAAAAAATCCTATGGACAATTTTTTTTTAGTGAAATCCTCACTTTTCTCAGAAACTTAGGCAAGCGGTGAAATATACAGGAATATCTTGATTTTCATAAAGTCAAATAAAAATCCTGAGAAATGAAGAATTTCAATGAAAAGGTTATCCATGAGCACAGAACCTCCATGGTCCAAGCAAACATACAAAAGTTAAAGAGTAACCGAGACCCAACGGCGGCGATTTTTGCCTGCGTCACACGCGCGCCACCGAACGTCACTTAAGTGTTTGCCGAATGGGGCGGAGTCGTCGGCCTCGAGTACATCTGACAAAATGATACGTATCACGTAGAACACTTGATGGCAACGTTCTTCATCTTGAGAGAATGATGAAGAGGACAAAAAGAAGAATTTAGAAGTGGGTGGTGGAGGTGGAGGTGGACGACGAGAGGAATTTTGGAAAAAAAGGTGTAGAGGAAACTGGAAAAAATAGGTCTTCTGAGTTCGATCTTGTACTTTGGATGTCTCGAGGAAAAGTTCTTGAAACCAGAAATTCAAAAAAAAAAATATTTGATTTCCCTCAAAGGTGTCTAGAAATTTATATGAGAGTTCTTTTGAAAAAAAAAAGAAAAGTATATACAACTTCGTTTAAATTCATAGTGAAGATTAAATAGTACTTTATCCGTTTGGAACATTTTTTTAATTTAACCTTTTTTTCGCCCCCTTAAAGCACAGAAAAATAAATTATGCAAGTTGAAAATTCGGTTTTTAAAGATATTGGAGCCAGTAAGACACATTTTTCGATTTTTCAAATAAATTCAGCTTCTCCTCCATTTCCGATGTTGAGAAAAATAGCATGGGTACCGAAAAAAAAAACTTTCAAAGGGGACGAAAATGGAACTTATGAGTTTCAAGCCGTGACTTTTAAGCCTACCAAGAAGTTGAATATTTTTCCCCCTATTAGTCATGAGTGTTAAAAATATTTTTCCTAAGATTATAACTCCTTCGCATGTATTTCAAATTAGAAAACTGGATGTTTTTTCAACAAGACGTCATTTTTTCAAGTGCCCTCATGATAATGAATCCAAGGAAGCTCTTTCTTGAGTGATTTCGAAAAAGAGCACAAAACAGTAAAAAGCAAGGAAGCAAAAGGTGCTCAAAAACAAATGAGGCGAATACTGACGACGGCTTACGCACGGCCGTGACAAACGTAATTCGCGTTCGGCGGCCGTTTAAGGAAGTCCCAAGGGGTATATAAACACGGTTTCGAACTGTTTTCCCTTCATTATCGCCCAAAATGGTCGTCTACACTGGCGTCGTCTCGAAATTCGCCTCTAGTGGGCTTCTCACGACTGTTGGTCGGTGTTTGGTTGGGATTTCTTCGAAAAAAGCTCTTTTTTTAATGCTGATATGGATTTCGAACACATCTAGTTCTTTATAGCTCTTCTATAAAAATATATTCTTTTTTTAAATTTAATTTTTTTATTCCTGATTTTGCTTCAACTATGGCCAGCTTAGCCTTTTCAAGTAGCCCCAATCTTTCAAATTTATTTCAAAAATTGCGTTTCCGTTCATGAAATTGAGAAGAAACTATCCTTTTAGCTTCAGAGAAAATCTCTTTTTCTAAAGAAAACGGTTCAAATTTGACAAGACAGTACAAATCCCGTTTTCGGATCATTCCACTTTTTTTCAAATTCGTCTTTTCATTTTTTTTTTTTTGAAGATGCGCATTTATTTATTATTATCAAATTTGTCATCTCATTTAAAAAAAACACCGCTTTTATTAGAATCTCCTAATCATAAATCAGACTGTTTTTACTTTTCTTCAATTTTTGATTGATAACAAAAAAAAATGGATGAATTTCAGTTTTTTCCTTCCAATATGTACTCACCGAAATAATTTAATCTCCTAAAATGACAGGGTATTCTTCATTTTCATATCAAAATACCGTATCATTGAACGAAAAAGCTTCTATTTGTTCTGTGGGAACGCTTGACTGACGTCATGTTTACATGGGCTCAGGCGTTCGGCCAACTTTTCATCAGATTTTAATGAGAAAATCGGAATATTTTATTTTTGATTGGGGCAAAAGTTGCGGTGCACCCTGCAGTGTAACCAGGGGTGCACCCCTTTTAGCTTCAAATACCTATTATGGTATTAACTACGTACACGATTTCGAAGTGGTTTGTTCCCCAATATCCCCGCTTTCTACAGTTTCCGTTACGGTAGCCCGAAAATAACTTTATTTCCCGACCGGTTGCCCCCGGAGTGCACCGGAAACATCAACGAAAAGTTCCCTTTTTTCGGGGTACTCCCTCATTTTTGTTTCTCATTTTTGGGTTCGATTATCGAGCTCTAGGAAAAGTTACAACCATTTTTATACCTTAGAACCTTTCTCATGAGAAACTTGAGTTTTTCGTCCAAAATTCAACTCACTGGTCAAAACCAATAAAAGCCAAACCATATTCTCACGATCTACGGGGGAAAAAAATGGACGCGAAAATGGCTGAGCCTACCGGTCCGCGCCAATTTTTGCTCCTTTCATTGGTGGCCATCTCTAATCGGACTCCTAACGGTTCAGTTGTTAGCGGTTATCACTTCCGGTCCTTTCTATTTGTTTTGTTTGAGCATTCACGTTGGCTTTTTCACGTTTTTTTTTCTTCTTTGAATCGGTCTTGGCTTCGGTTTGGATCTCGAAAAAGCATGAAAAACTTTTGGTTGGAAAAAAAACGTGATTTTTTAGAGACACTTATTGATTAATGACTATTTTCGCCATTTTTATTTGATAATTGAAAAATTAAAAATTGCTTACTGGTTTAAAAAATAATTGTAAGTAATTTAAATCGCGAAAAAAACGCGCCAATATTTTTTTCTGTTGAGAAATGTCCAACACGCGTCATTGCATTTCTCGACATTTTTGATATTTCAATAGTTTTATGAAATTTTTTTCCAAGTCGTTCTGAGAAGCCGATGTGACAAGAAAAAAACACGAGAAAAAAAGCGACTTTCAGAGGATGAGCTTGGATTTGGAGGTGTTAGAAGATGTTTTGAAGGATCGGACCAATCATTGAAAAAATAGAGATAACTAAGAAATGGAGAAAGTATGTTCCAACTGCATAAGTTCTTTCATACAACGGCTATTCCTTGGCGAAATTTTTGCTATCAACTTTTGACTTTCTGTAGTGAAAAAAAGATTTTAAAAATTTTCAGAGACTTTTTTCTCTCTCGAATAACTGTTTTTGTTTCATTTCAAAAAAAAAATTTGTTTCTTTTAACTGGTAGGAGTTTGAAAATCTTATCTCTTTTTAGAATTGGAAAGTTTTGCTTTGAAGCTGTCTATGAACAAAAGAATTTTTATCTGCTCACTTATTTTAAAAATTTGAAAAAGTCTGAATGAATTTGTCGAAATTTCAAAAAAACTGAACTTTGATTTTTCAAAGCTTTTTTTGATATTTTATCTGTATGACTGTTATCATTAGGATAACATCAACTCGACTATAGTATATTCAAAAAACGTTTTTTAAAGGCACAGGACCTCAAACCGCACCTAAAAATGCTGTTGAGACCTTTTAAAATTTCGTAACTGCTCCTCAAAGCATTTGTGAATAAGCAAGTGACGAGATTTGACGGAGTTGAAAGTTTGAAAAGCGTCGGGTGAGGGGATGATCTCTGAAGACGAGAGGGTGAGGACTGGAATTTACACGAACCCCCTGGCAACACTTGTAACCCGGATTACGGTTGTGATTTCACTTCACGTACGTGTAGACAGACACACATTCCCACCTTGCGGTCCGCCTGAGGCCCCCTCCGGCGAATTTCCGGAATACCAGAAAAATGCAAACAAATTGGCCACCTTTTGCTTTCGGGAGCAGAGCTTCTTCGCCCGCCTCAGCCTCCCCGCTCTGATATATAATCACTAGACGCGCTAACTATTAATCTGTATTTTGTGCCTCTCGCCACACTTTTGTTGATTTTTTCCTCTGTTTTGTGTACTTGTTGGGAGGTAGTAGAACATGTATTGCTTGAAGTACGGTAGTCTTACTGGTCTGGACTTTGGAAAAATTTGAAAAAGGAAGAAAGAGATTTTTTAACTTTTCTTAGAGCTCTTTTCGAAAAAATTGTTTCGATAGTTTTGACTTTTTTTATGTTATGCTTATAAATAGGTAATTTAACCAGTTTTCCCTTTTTTTCAAAGAAAAACTAGTACATATTTAAAGTTGAGTTCAATTTTTTTGCATCACCAGGCCAAAAGAAAAAAATAATTTTTTTAACAGTTATTTCTTCGAAAATCTTGAGTAACCACAGTCAAAAAAATGAAGAACTTTTTCATTTTCGATTTTGAAGTATTTATTGAGAAAAAAATCATTTTACGGAAAAAGGGTGGTAAGTTAAAAGAAAAAAATAACCACTTCCAGATCAATTTTTTTCAAATTTTAAGTTACAAAAAAACGGTAGAACATTTATCAAAGAAAAATGAAAGAATCAGCTCTATATTTTTATATTCAAAAATATATAAGAATATTCTTGCAGACCAATTGTTACGTTCAATGTCAGCCGTCCATCCGGTGAGCGACGGTCTACCGTCACCGCCACGGCCGCTGACGTACCGATGGTTTCCCTCTTGGCGTCTCCTCACGGCCAGCATGCTCTGCCTCTGCTTTGCCAGGTATCTCAACTGCCAACGCGCCTTGTGACCTCGTCCGCACGGATGGCCGAGTGGTCTAAGGCGCCAGACTCAAGCGAATAGCTTGCCTCGAGTTCGAGGCCTCTGGGCGTTCTGGTACTCGTATGGGTGCGTGGGTTCGAATCCCACTTCGTGCAGAATCTTTTGCGCTTTTTCATAGTGGATTCATGGTTTTTGCTTTTTTTTTGGAGCGTGTTTTTGAGAATTAGGTGTAGTTTTTAAACAAAAAACTATTATTTTTTTCATGTATTTTTTTATTAGAATTGAAAAACTTCAATAGAGAAGGGAAGTGGGAATCTTGATATTATCTGGATTTTTGAAAAAAATATTTTTTTTCCTATTATCTTAACATTATTCCTAGAAAAAAAGAAATTTTGTCCGTTTTTTTCTAGTTTTTTTGATCAAGACTTTTTTTATGTTGTCAATTTTTTTTCTCTTCATTTTCCAAGCTTTTTTTTGGGTTTTTATGGTTCGAATATCGATAAGATTTTAGATTTGGATTGATAAATTTTTTGGAAAGCAATCGCTTTGAAATTTCTGAAAAGTCCGTGTTAACACTTTCACCTTCACTTTGAAAACCTGTATTCAATGGAAAAAAAAACCAGAAAGTTTGAAAATTTCGAAAATCCTCATCCGGATCTTCTTTCCAGTGTCCACATGATGAACAGCAACATGGGGATGGCGATCGTTTGTATGGTCAACTCATCGGCCAATTATGACAACACTAGTCTAGAAAGTTCGGCCCCGCGGTTAGATTGGACGCCTGATGAGCAGGTTTCCATCAAAAAAGAGCTTTCTGTGCAAAATTCAACTTTCCAGGGTTACATTTTCTCGGCCTTCAATGCCGGTCTTTTGGTGATGTTGGTGACGGGATTTCTGGCCGATAAGTTGAACGCCAAGTACATGATCGTGGCCAGTGTCGCCATCGCCTCAGCCGCCAATTTTATGATCCCTGTTTTGTCACCTTACAGGTAGATTTTTGAAAAATCACATCAAATCCTTCCTGAAGTGATTAAAGGATCATAGACATGTTTAGAGGTCTCGAAGCGAAAAGCCGCTTTTAGAGCCATTCCATTTCTCGGAGATTTATGCTTCCATCAACTATTCAGAGACATTATTTTGTTGGAGCCCACTCTAAGGACTTGAAAAGGTGGTCATGAACATCGATAGGATGATTTCGTTAACCTTTTATCGATTAAAAAATCGTTTTTTTTTGTCACTTTTTCTACCTGATACCTTTTCATTTCGAAAAACCTGGAAGTCAAATTTCCCCATCTAGTGTCTACTACGCGATCGCCGGCCGCTTCCTTGTCGGTTTCGCCGACGCTCTTCTCCAGCCGGCGATGAACTCCTTGATCACCAGATGGTTCCCGACCTCCGAGAGGAGTTACGCCTTGGGATTGGCCACCGGAGGACGGCAAATCGGTTCGTCGATTTCAACATTTTTAGAGCAAGATGCTGAGGTTTTTCGAGTCCAGTGAAGTTCCCTTATGGGCAGCTTTGAAGTTCAGAGGTTTCTTACCAGGGAATGGCCTCGGGTGGGACTTCTGAATGAGACCAAGTTCATTAGATGTAGTTTTGTACGCTGATTCCAAATCTAGTCTCAAAAATTGCCCAAGACGTCTGTGGAATAAGTTATGGACCCTCAAAAGTTAGTGTAATTTCAGAACTTCTTTCGTTTGTTTGAAACTTTTCTTCAAATATTGAAATGAGCTTTTGCTTCATTTATTCATATTCTTCATTTGAACCCAAAATTTAATCTCCAGGAACCCTCGCCATTATTCCAACGGCTGGAGCTTTATGCTCCCAGACGGTCCTTTTTGGCGGCTGGCCATCGATTTTCTACCTTTCCGGCTTCGTCGGCATCGTTTTCATCGTCTTCTACTCGATCTTGGGTTTGTTTTAGTTGAATTAGAGTTGGACGACCGTAATGCCAAAAATTGACTTTTTTGTTTCAAAGATTTTAAATTCAGTTTTAGGGACTTTTATTTAGTAATCGGAAGAATGAGCTGACAAGAAAAATTCGAAAAATTGTTTTTTGTTTCAATTAGAATTATAGTGGTTTGATAAGAATCAAGCGAGATATTACGCGAAAAAGAGAGGTTTAGAGCGTTTCTGTTAACTTTTTCGCATGATAGTGATAAATGAAGGGAAGTTAAATTGATTTTGAAAAGATCTGATTTTCACATTTGTTTCAACTTTATTATAGTCCTTTCAGTTCATTCCTCCTTGTTTTTTTTTTCTCAGTTTTTTTAAAAAAAAATCATTTTTGACCTACTGTCAAACCAGTTGAGTTAACCCCAAAAAAATCAGAAAATCCCAATTTTCCAGGAGCGGACAAGCCCTCCAAGCAGACGTGCATTTCCGACGCCGAGCTGAAGTTCATCACCATCGCCAACCAGAACGAAGACGTCGGAAAGAAGAGAACCGAGCGGAAAGTCCCATGGATGAGGATCTTGGAGTCCGGCGCCGTCTGGGCCTCCGTCATCTCCCTCGTCTGTCATGAACTACCCTTGATGACCATGATCATGTTCTTGCCCAGGTGATTATTCGAATTCAGCTTTTGGTTTCTTGAAGGGAAAATAGGACATTTTTTGGAATACAAGGCCTAAGAAGTTTGAAACGTCAGTCCTTCTATTATATCTCATCTGCCAGGACTTGAAACAGTCTGACCTGTCTGCGTCTCTTTTCTCTCTCTGGCAAGGTAAAAAAAAGAGATGAGAGGGTGCAGAGAAACCAGACATTTTAGGGATTGAACTAAATTGCAAATTTTTTTTCGTCTCAAGACCTCGAGAAAATTTTCCATGCGCCTTTAAACAAAAATGGATCCTGAAAAGAAACTAGAGGTTTTAAAAAAGAGTTATTGTAAAAAAAAAAGCCTTCTTATTGATTTTTGGACAGAAAAGGCTAATTATTTTCACTTTTCCACTATTTTTAAAGACCGCCACCCGAGTTTTCCTAAATATTTATACTAGTTTTTATTTTTTTAAGTAATACTACTTTCCTAAGGCTATAACTGGGAGGTCTAAAATTGATTCAAATCCTAATTTTCTAAGCTCTTTGTGAGCCAACCCTTCCTCCCGGCCTGACTAAGTTCTTTACTTTCCCATTTATGATTTTTTTTAAATTACAAACTCTCAATCTTCTCAGTTACCTCCACGACGTCCACCACTACGATTCGACGGAGAACGGAATCCTGTCCGCCCTGCCGACGTTGTCGCTGTGGATCGCCAAGATGGGATCGAGCTACGCCAACACCTGGCTTCAGAAGAACACGGCTTGGAAAAAAGACACCATTTGCAAGGTAACCCTCACCAAGAAGTTAAATTTTTCTCAACAATAGTCCATTCATCGCTGGTTTGAGGGTCTCCTTACACGATTAGCGAGAGAGTGGGCGAAATCGAGAGATTTAGAACACTTAGAAGTTTTTTTATAGGTCAATGGTGAATAGAGAAAAAACGCAAAACTCATTTTTCCAGAGAAAATTATCAAAATTCAGGTTCTCAACTCAATCGGATCGGTTGGCCTCGGATTTTTCCTGATCGCCGCCACTTGGCTCGACTCTTCTCATGCCTGGATGGCCGTTCTATTCCTCTGCCTCAGCATGGCTTCAGCAGGTACTTGAGAAAAAAAGAAAGAGAAAAAAAGCTGGCTCGAGAAGATAGTGCTTCAAAATTTGAATTTAAAGAGTTTTGTTCTTCAAATTATGTTACAGTAGTGTAATGGTGACTATGAAAGTTAGGCGGTCGGTAATTTTTGGAAAGTTAGGCCGTATGAAAAACGGGAGACTTATCAGCTATAGGAATAGAAGAAAAATGAAAAAAATAACATCTAATTATAGTAAAGGCCGTATTTCACAAATGTGAAACACGGCCTAATTTTCCAAAAATTTTCCGTCCTGACTTTCACAATTCACTTTTGATATTACTTTCAAAATGTTAGCAGCCGAATTTATTTAATATATTTATTATACTTTTAAAATTAACCTGCCAAAATGTCATTTTTCAAGGACTTCACACTCCCGGCTGCCAATTGGCGCTGGTGTCCGTTGCCCCCGCTTATTCCGGAGCCGTAACCGGTTTCACCTTCTTTTTCGTCGCTGTTTCTGGAATCATCCACCCGATCGTCACCAAAATGATCGTTCAGGTTGGTTCTGACAGAAAAATCCGGGAAAACTATGGTTTTTTGCAGGAAAGGACAGCTTCTGAGTGGAATCTGGTGTTTTACATTTCGGCCGCCATCGCAGTCTTCCCTATCGTGATTTTCAACGTCTGGGGGTCCACAGAGGTGAATAAATTCGAGGGAAGAGGGAATAAGAGGAAACTTTCTGAATCCAATGAAAAGAAAAGCCTTGAGTTCAGATGAAGTTCGATTTTTTTTTATAAATCAAAGGAACGAAACACTTGAGAACGCCAGAGTGGACCCCAGAGGGGAGAGCTTGAGGCCCTGGAAGGGTCCCCTTTAGAGACCACTTTACCTAAATCTGAAGTTTGCCAAAGTGGCCCTTATAGGGGCCTTGATCTTGACTAAAATAGGAATTTCACAAGATTTTAGGAAGAAAAAAATGTTTCGAGTTAAAATTTTACTAATAATCTGAAATTTTAGCAACATACTGAAATTCATATCTTCTCAACCTTTTCCGTGACAAAAAAAAGAAAAATTCTTCAAAACCCATTCGGAAAAGAGCAAATTCATTCGATACTGATTACAGGTTCAATGGTGGGCCAAATCAACGGCTTCCCAACAAAAAGAGCAGAAAATCAAGGAAAAAACAGCCCCGGAACTCGAATCTCACGGCTCCTGTGATTCCATTGCCTAAAATTACTCTTAAGTTCCGAAATCTCCAACCAAACTTAAATCTAAAAGGCCCAATCGATTGATCTCAAATCCTTCCCCTCCCCCTCTTACCACTGTTGATCAACGTATTATTTCCTATGTTTTCCTTGTCATTATCCAAGTTTTTGAACCATCAGGTTAAGTGTTTCAAATCAAGGAGAAAGAAAAAAAAATTCGATTTTCCTCTTGATTTCAACCCAAAACAGGTGATTTGCGTGCAAAAAAACTCGTTGCCAGGCCTGCCAATCATGTATTTTCTTTTCTGAAACTAGAATATTTTTTGGCTCGAATCTCAACCCAACTTTTTTTGTATTTCTTGACACTATATATTGCCTTTTAATTAGAATGCTTTCCAAACTAGTCTCTTTCTTTTTATTTCAATTCTGAAAGCTTTGACCGCACTGTGAATGGACTAAAGCGGTTTTTGAAAGCTGCAGCCGACCTAAACCGGCTTGCGCTTAATTTGAGATATTTTGAGTTTTTTTTTTTTTGAAATCTCGACGCGTCCAGTCAAAATTAAAATCAGAGAAATGGACTTTTTGGGAAAGCATTTTTGTGAAATTTTGATACGCAATACGTTGGTTACGGGTGTGTAGAAGCTTCAGTTTGTTCCATTTTTTTATAGTTCTCCTTTTTCGATGATAATAAATATTTGAAACTTTGAAAAAAAGTTGATTAAAAAAATACAGATTATTCACAATCGTTATTTTCCATGGAAAAAAAGTTAGATATTTACAAATTCCAGGGAAATTTAATAAGTTTTTTTAATGAATAATAAAGTAAAATTCACAATTTCTGAGGGTTTTTATTAATTTCACAGTGAAGTTCAGTAAAAACAGGGAATTAAAATTATCGCAAAAAAAGGGGAAAAAAATTAAAGATTTGCGGGAATAAACTTGGAAAAATCTTCGGATACGTAAAAATTGAAGGCCAAGCTGACCTCCACGTCTTCTTCATAACGGGAAACGCATCTCTGGAAAAAAAGAGAATTCCAAAAAAGGTCAGAAAAAATTGTATTCAATGATTAAAGTATTCTCTACTGGGAAAATTTTTAGTGGCCACTATAGTAGTCAAATTAGTGGTAACTTAAGGGGTTCAAAATTAGTAGCCACTATAGAGGTTTAAGTGCTACTACAAGACCACTAAAAATTCTAGTGGCCACTTTAGGGGTCAATGGATCAACATAACTGGTCCAATCTGTTTGTTTTGATGTTATCAGAGTTATTGGAAGGGATACTGGATGAATTAATACTAAAGCGGCCACTAAAAAGGAAAATAGTGGCCACTTTAGTGTCCTCTCCAGATAGTCCTTGGCGAGCCTCTATAGGGGCCACTGAAAAATTATTCCACTAAAGTCTTTGAACGATTTAGATTTTATTATTTTTTTTTGAACCTCTAATATTATTTTTGTTTTGTTTTTTTTTAAAGGAAGAACGACTTTTCCATTCAGTTTTTAATATAATTCGACTTTTTCCGATTGATTTCCATTTTTCAATCTAATGAAAATGTTCCAAAACTCAGTTTTCTACTGATATTTCAACTACTTAAGCTCAAAAATCTCAATTTCAAACATAAAATTGAGCTGAAATCATCGAAAAAAATGAACTTAATTTCGACGACTTAAGCTACAGGACTTGCAAAAAAATCAACCTTTTTTTCTCAAAATTCCTCGAAATTTTAATAAAATATTGCTAATAACCATGAGCTTACTTGTAAGAGAAACCTTTTTTCCTTTCTAAAAAATGCTATTTTCCACTCAAAAGCGAGAAAAATCACTTGAAGGGCGGGGAGAAGGACCAAAATGTGGGCGATTCTGAAGGAAGGCTCTTCGATGCGTCGAACTCGACTGTAGTAGATGTTTATTTCGGAAAAGAGGGATTCTCTCGATTTTCGGCAGACTTCTTGGCTTTCTTCCGTCATGTTTTCCAGGCCTAAAAACATGGAATTTTCCAAATATCGATGGATAAATACAAATCAACCAACTAGAATCTCCAAAATCACCTTGATCCCACAAGATGATCGCAACGAGGAAAAAAAATTCGAAACGGTCGATTTTCTCCAAAATCATTGGTTTGATGAGACTTCGGTGAAAAAAATCGAAAATCGGGTGGAATATTCTGGAAGGTCAGAAATATTGGATAGATACAGATTTGATTGAAATATGAGAAAAAATCCACAAAAATGCATATTTTTCACGGATTCAAATTTATTAGTCATTTTTTTCAAGGAAATTACTTTTTTTGAACCTTTTTTTCGTCAAGTTTTGTTCAAATAAAATATCAATTTTTTTCCCTAGACTTATTCGAAAAACTGCTTCAATTTTTTTCAAAAAAATTCTGAGCCAAGAAATCTGAAAAAAAGTATACGAAGAGATCATTACCGAAAAAAATATTAACGCACAAAATTTGAATAAAAATGTTTATTTTTAATATATCTCAAGATCCTATAAAAAAATATTTTTTTACCTATTCACTTTACTTTATAACGAAAAAACTGGGTCACAAAAAAACGCTGATTTTTTTCTAAGTTATCAAAAAAATCATGATTTTTTTAAAAAGTTAGTTATCAGTTCTTTTGCGCATTCAATTTTCGAACTAACATTCAAAAAAAGATGACAATTCAAAAAATCTTTGAAATTTATCCTTTTTGGTAAATATTTGTAAAAAAAAACCCCTCTTAACCAGTTCAACAATTCCAATCGCTTTTTATTGATTTCTAAACAGAAACTTAGGTCCCCAATCTCACTTTGCGGCTTCCGCCGGCGTGATGACTTCCTTATTATCAAGGTCGACGTAGAATAATTCCGGATTGACCAAATCGATATAATCCCCACAAGGTAGCGTTATCCTATCACTACGACCTGAAAATCTTCCCTTTTTCGGTTCAATTTTCAGAAAAAACCAACCACTAGCATAGGTCAAATAGGAGCCCTCCAGTAGGACGTAGGCCAAGTAAAAGTTTTTGAATAAAATTATCTAGAAATGGGGGTTTTTTGGAGTATTTGGAGCTTAAAAATCACCTTTTGATCCGAGGGTAAGGTTGAGAAATCGGGAAAACAGTTGGAAATGAAATCGGCGACGAGAGTCGCCTCTTTTTGGTACATTTCGTTCATCTCGTCGTTATTTGTGGCTCGCGATTGGGATTCCTAACGATATAAAGGATTATTTTCTTTATTAAAAATATTATTTTGGAGGAATAAATTAAGTTGATCCCATTCAAGGCCTGGATAGTCCGAAAATCTTCAGATGCTCATTTTTTTAAAAACCAAAAAACCCTGATTTTTGAAAAAATGGATAGAGTATTCGTTTGCATTACTTCATTGGAAAGGCGCAAAATATTTCGAAAATGGATTCGAAATTCAAAAAATTGGTTTTCCTTCGAAAAATAGCGAAAAAGACCTCTGAGATAGCCGATGAACTGCAGAGAAACGTTGGTACATGAATTTCAAGTTTTGTTTTGAGAGTTGAAATAATTATCACAGTTATCAGACATAATGTGTAAACTTTTAGGCTAGTTACTGTGAGGCTCCGCCCCCTCAATGGGTTACGGTAGGACCTTTAGTGAAATTTTCTAACTTTTTTTCTTAGTAGACGGATAAATTTCAAACTTTTTTTCAAAAACATATATAACGATACTTTTTAAGCATTTTTTTCAGTGAACAAAAAGAAAAAAAGTTTTTTTACACGGAAAAAAATCTTTCTCTAAAAAAATTGTTGATTTTATACTTTTTTTTGGCTCTTTAGACGGTCGGAACCCAAACGCAGTGAATTTTTTTATTTCAAAAAAATCGAAGCTCCAAACCTTTCTCAGTCTTAAAAGATTTACGAATGAACTTCGAAAAAAAGTTAGAAATCGACGTTCATAACTTTTTGTAAATATTTCAAATTTTTCCAGAGTTTTTTTCCCGATAAGTTCATTCCAATCATTGTGAAAAAAATAAAAATGAGAAAATGTTCCTAATTAATTTTTCCCGTTTAGACTGAATTCAAGCCTTTTTTCCAATGATTCAGACTTCAAATTTCCCTAAAAACTTCGAAGACCAGAATTTTTCCGAAGCCCAAATAAACCCTGAAAAGACTGTCTGAGGGACGACGATGGAAAATCTTCCGAATCCCTTCCAATTGCTTGTATGTTTCGTTCAGACGGTTCAAAATCGGTGTGCTCGTCGATTCGGAAATCATTGGAATGTCCTCAAAAACCCGATTATTCTTTTTGATAGATTCCTACCGAAGGACATGAAGGCCCGACGCTGTAAACGAGAGGAAGCGAATCGCTTCCTTTTTGGGATTGCACCTCTGGAAATTATTTAATTGTTCATCAAAATTTGATATTTTTTAAACCAGACGGCTTCATCCCAGCAGCCAGACAACGTGAGTATCTACAGGCTCGGCACAATTTTCGCGCTTCTAGAAATGAAAAAATCAGAAAAAATATAAAATTTTTCGCGATGTCTTTAGAAAAAACAATGATGAAAATCGTTTTTTCAGCCAAAATCCGCTCAGGGGCCGCTAAATGTGACAATCTTCACCCTACGTTCGAAGAAGCAAACTTAATTCCACAGTGGTCCCTATAGGGGTTAGAGGGAGAAAAAACCACTATAGGGGTCAAAACAGTGCTCGCTATAGGAGTAAAATCAAGGCGGCCCCTATAGGGGTTTAGAGTCTGACCCCTTAGTCCCTATACTCAAGTGGACCCTGTAGGGGCCTCTCGATTTCATTCAAACGCTTCTTTATTCAATTTTCCCATGGAAATGCTTCTTTGCTGAGAGTTCATAACAATTATCGATTAGCATGTTCCCTATAGGGATCACTTTGCAAGCTTTAGTGACCCCAATAAGGGTTCATAAAATGGTCCCTTTTTTCATAAAAAGGACCCTTATAGGGACCGCTCTGGGGTTCCTAAGAAGTTTATTATTCATCAAAAAAGTTGAATTTTCGAAAATTTTTAAACAAGACCCAAAAATGGTAAATAATTAAAATAAGCTCTACCTTGATCAGAACCTTCTATGAAAGTCTTTCATACAGTTACAAGTTTTTTTTTTCATACCAATAGACGATTTTAGGTCATTCACCACTTTTCTTGAATATGACATGTTTCAATTCGAAAAACGGTTTGAAAAACAGCAAACTTGCTCTGACGGCACACGGCGTCGCTCCACGACAGGAATAAGTCCGGCCCATGGCCACGCTTCGACGGAAAAAAGCGGCGCACGCCCTGCAACCATATCTCTTTCCCAATCGAAAATGTAGGCTCTGTGTTCCTTGAGTGCTCGTAGTTTATAGCCGAGAACGTTCAAAAAACCACAAGATTATTCCGAAGATTTGATTAACGCCTCCGTAAAAACTTTGAGTGATAATTTTATCTCCAAAAATATTTCGATTTTGGGAAGTTCTAACGGTTTTCATTCCTACGAGCAGCTCAAAAACCTTTTAAAACTAGTTTCGAATGATCATTGAAAAATGGGTATTCCCCTTAGACCTTCACGAAAAAAAAACCGAAAAAAGTCACAAAAAACAAATTTCAAAAAATCAGGCTTCGGAAACCCCACTGAATATTAATGAACAGAAGAATAGAAAGTTCGAAAATTTGAAAAATTCAGAGTGAAACTGAAAATAATGACAAAAAAAAATCACTGAAACACTGAATAAACCATTTATAAAAAAGGAGATTTTTAAAAAGAAAAAAGTGAATCAATATAATGAACGACAAACAAGTAAAAATCCACGAAATAGTCAGAGAAATTTATGACCAAGGAAAAAAAACGAAGTGTAATGAAGTCGAGAGAAAACTGGTATCATAACAAACAGAAAAAAAAACTTCTCCACGAAATGAAAAATCTCCTTGTTTGAACAAAAACTTTTCCTATCAATGACTCGTTAAACCAAAAGACGAATTTTGATCCTTTTGAAACCAAAAAATTTATCAAAAGAGAGCTCTTTGTTTCTTTTTGCTTATCACACTAAGATTAAGAACGAGCAAAATTTTGCAAAAAAAAAAACCTGCAGGCAACGGCGCTGAAATGCAATCCATCTCCGGCATCGTCACAGATCGCGCACCGCTTTAGCATTTTTGCCTGAAAGATACAATTTAAAAACTATATGTCGTAAAGAATCGCGTTTTTAGTGAACAGGACCGAAAAAAACTTCAGAAGTTTATTGGAATTCTTCGATAGTGGATGCCGTGTTCAAAAATTACGCGAAATACAAAATAGCCATCAGAGAAAGAAAATATAACTAATTTTTCAAGAGTCAAAGATAATTTTGACTTTTGCCAAAATTACTTTGAAAACAGAACATTAACGAAGAGAAAATCAAGCGATCAGGGCCCAAGGAAACGATTTATTTTAAAAATATTTAAGTGTTGCGCGTGATTTGAAATGTTTTAGCTCAAACTGTGCATGCAGACTATTATCGTACCGTATTAGTAGTATTAAAAAATTGAAAATGAGTACATTTTTTAAAATATATTCAAATATGATTCTCTTTTTCTGGTTTGTTTATCAACAAAAACTGCTAAACGTACTGAGCGTTCTATTTGAAGGAAAGAGAAAAAAACGAAGACTGAACGAAATGGAAGTACAAAATGACAACTAATGAAATGAATAGTGAAAATCGCCCGTTCTCATGCGTAGTTAGCGATTTTTTGGTTGTTGTAGCCTACAAAGCGGCACAATTTCCTAATGTTTGTCGTTTTAGCGATTTTCTAGTTTGTGTTGTGAGGTGGGCGATAGTTGTTGTGTTCGGGGAGAGAAATAGAACTGCTATTTTGAGATAATGGGGAAAAATGATTTTTGGTTTGGCGGGAAAAAAAAAGTTCCATTTAACGAGGTTTCGAGTTTTGAATGAAGCACCATTTAACAGAGTTTTTCTGAAGATTCTCTGAATAGTTGAAAAAAGGGCTTTCGTCCTACATTTTTCTAACTTTCTCCAACATTTTTTGAATTTTCAGATAATGGAACCAATAATCGATGCCTGCGTCAGAAGAAAATGTGTTAATACCCATGGCAAACTTCGTAAAGCATGGAAATAGCGTGGCATTTGGGGAGGGTCCAGACTACCAGCTTTTATCAAACGAATTGATAAACGGTTCCATTCCATTCTCATGTTGCCATTGTCAATGTCCTCAACTTGAATTTGTTGATCTTCTTGATTTCAGAATGAACACGAAATTAATTCTAGTTTTGGTCGTTTCGGCGTTGCTCATCTTAGAATCGGTGGATTGCAAGAAGGCGAAAAAAGAGGAGAAAACGTAAGATTTTTATGAATTTTCTGAGGAAAGGAAAGTTTTCAGGAAAGCCAAATCGAAGAAGCAAGAGAAGAAGGAGAAGGTTGGTATTTTTTCTTGATTATATTTGAAAAAATTTTGTAAAAGGTTTGATTTCGGATTTTTCGATTATTTCAGAGTATTATTAAAAAGGAAAGTTTCAATTTTTATTTCTCAAGGTTCTTTGAAATTACTGAATTTTTTTTAATTCCTAAACCTCTACTTGAAACTTTTTTCGCTTTTAAAACGGTTGAAGGCGTTGAGGTTGCGAAGCGGTTCAAGCCGAAATTTCGAAATTATTCCAAGAAGTGCCGCTGTAACCCATACGGGAAAACGCAAGTAGTTTACGGTCGGATGCAGTTTCAATAAGGCTCGACACGTAAAACTGTTCCCTATGTGGCCAAAAATGTCTTTATTCTGAATATTTACTTATTTAATTTATTTAATTTAAAGTTCAAATTTGATCAATCCCTTGTTCACCTCTTCTTCCAAATGTTACCGCCATTTCCAGACGCCGAAAGCAGAAGTTGCTGAGCCAGTGGTTCACGAAGAAGTTCACAAAGAAGTTCACGAAGAAGTGCATCATGAAAATCTCAAGCTCCAGGCTTTGGAAGCTCGAGTTGAGCACTTGCAGCAAGAACTTTTGAAGTTGAGCCACAGTGAGCCGGAAGTTGCTGCCGCCCAGCCGAAAGTTCCACGGCCGAAGACGGTCAAGGTTTCAAATTTTTTTAGTTTGGATAACATGATTTATGTTCAGGTTGTGACCGCCTACGACCAATGCAAACAAGAGTGTCGCCGGCAGAGAGAACAGTTCCATGCCAAAGATGTGAGTTTCTGATAGTTTTGACCTCTGGAGGGAAAAAAAAAACTGAATTTTTGAATTTTTCTTTGTAAAATGCGAAAAAATACTCATTTATCGCTGTTCTTGTATTTTTTTTTCTCTCACTAACAAGGTCCTAGAACCTATAAAAAATGACCCAAGCACACAAATTCCAATGAGAAAACAAGTAGTTATTCTCAAATCAAGGGGAAGAAAATATGACTTTTTTCAGTACGTCGAACAACTCCGAGAAGAGCTCGCAGCCGTCGAAGCGGTCATAATCGAAGAGAGCCGGGAAGCTCACGCCGAGCCCGTCGTCGTCATTCCGGCAGCTCCTCCGAAGGATCTGGAGGATCTCCCGGCCCCGGCAGTCAAGGATCCGGCTCACACCGCCGACATCCCTCACGTAGCTCCCACTGTTCTTCATTGACTTGCTTTACTCGTTTATTGCTACCGAAATTGTCTTTTCAACACCTTTCTAGCTTTATATTTAATTTGTATTCATTCAATTTTTCTTGCCAACCTGTTCATGGTCGATATGAGTTTCCTTATGTCGCAATAAAGTAATTTAAAAAACGAAAACGCGTGTCTAGGGTATTTTTATTGTTAAATGAAAGGACCGACTGCAATTTTTTTTTGTTTTTTTCAACTTCCATTTGGAAAATTTACAAAAAAGCTTTTTCTTGACTGAAATTTCATAAAACTTTCGTACTACTCAATGAAAAATAATTATTTTTCAAAAAAGTTCCATTAAACACAAGAAAATGATTCATAACCCAAACAATTGAGTAAAAAAGTAGGGCACAAACCAATATTGACGGGAAACCTAACCAATACATATTGACTTAACGCACTGTGAAGAGCAAAAATTGAACATTTTTTCCCAGTTTCACCGTTTTCGCCCTGCCATGGACTCTGCCCTGCTCATTTTCCTGACTTTTTTTGGAGTTCTTGGCGCTCCCTTCTATCAAAATCCGCAATATAATGAGACTTTGGCTAGAGTTATGTTGAATTTTGCGTCTGGAGCTTATGGCGATGATAGTGATGAGCAGGAATGCGTTGCCAGGTTTGTTTCGAAAAAAAAAAACAAAAGGGAAAGTATTTCTTCATTAATTGAATTTCGAAAAAAAAAATATCCAGGAAATGTTCGAAAAAAGTTAACAATAACCTAAATTCAAATTTTTCAACCTTTATTTTGCAAATTTACAAGAAACAAACATACAGAAATGTTTCACTGAATTCAAAAAAATATGTTTTTTTGCGCGTGTCAGTGTAAGATTGCGTCAGTGTGCAACCTTGGGTTTTTTTAAGCTCGTCAAATTTTTTTATTTTTTTTAAAAATTTTCAATTATTTCGAATTTTTTTATCACAACTGAGTCTTTTTTTCTAAGGCATTTTTGGTACCTGAGTGTGAAAAAAAAAGTTCAACCTGAATAATTCTATTTCAGAACCTTCTCTGGGTCCAATGACAATCAATTTCTCCAATCTTTCTCTCGAAATTGCGATTTTCTCGGCAATCAATGCGAGGGATATGCAAGTTAGTTTTTTTTTCCTAATTTCCAGCAAACTTAAAAAAGTTTTCAGTAGTTTCAAACAGCTTACAACAGGTGACCATCATTTTCCGTGGAACAAAGACTGATGCGAGTTTTTTTTCATTGTTTAGCTGTTATTATATGATTTTGATTTTAATATATCTTTTTCAGCTTTAAATCAATGTAAACTTGGCTTTTTTTAGACCCAACTACTACTTGAAGGATGGACAACTTTAAAACCAACTAAGGATTTTTACGGCTTGGGAAATGTGGGTATCAAAAAAGAACCAAAAAGTTTATTTTTTTTTGAATTTTTTGTAGCTAAGAAACTCAAGTTTCAAAGGTGAGGGTAAAATTTGCAGTAGTCATAGAAAGAAAAAAATTTTTTTTCTTTGAAAGATAAGTGTAAGTCAGTTATTTTTCCAATTGCAGGTCAACATGTACTTTTCGCGGGGACACGAAGTTCTCTGGCCGATAATTTCACAAATTCTATATAATCCGCAATACGCTGTTTGACCTTTTGTCTTGAAAAATTTGATTGATTTGATTTTTTCAGAACTACAACGTCTTCTTCACCGGCCACTCTTTGGGGGCAGCTTTAGCGACCCTCGCGGCGATCAGGACCGTTGCGACCGGTACCATCTCCAAAAAAAAACATAAGAAATCAATGATTTCAGGTCTGCGAAACAGCAACCAAGTCAGTCTGATCACATTTGGAGAGCCGCGAGTCGGAAATTTGGTCTTTGCTCAGAATTTCGACCGAATGATCCCTTACAGGTTGGAATTTTATAATAGTTTTTTTAGCCTAAGTAATTTTACTAGACCTGGTATCTTAATCAATATAGTCACAATTTTTGAAATTTTGAAATTAAAGAAATCACTAGAAAAACATACGGCGCTTTTTCGATGACGCCCCGCCCACTTCTTCTCCGTAAAGTGTCGTGTGTTGTGTGCATGCACTGCGCCGCTCTCGCGCAGAAAAGTTGCGAATATGTGGAGAGAGGGCTAACTGGGAAAAATTTTAGTGGACACTATAGGTCTTTGACGTTTTAGTGGCCACTATAGTAGTCAAATTAGTGGCCACTTGAGGGGTCTAAGTGCTACTACCAGACCACTAAAATTTTTAGTGACCACTTTAGGGGTCAATGGATCAACATAACTGGTCCAATCTGTTTGTTTTGATGTTATCAGAGTTACTGGAAGGAATACTGGATGAAAAACTACTGAAGTGGCCACTAAAACGGAAAAATAGTGGTCATTATAGAGGTGAGTTTAGTGGCCCTTTTAGTGTCCTCTCTAAGTAGTCCTCTATAGTGGCTACTAAAAATTTTCCCAGAAGAGTTCAGAATTTAAAGCCGTATAGGGACCACTCTGTAATCCCTAATACTGAGACCATTCCCTGCTAAATATATTTTAGTTTCCGGATCGTCCACGAGAAGGACATCATCCCTCATCTGCCGGCGTGTGCCAAAGATCCTTCCTTCCAAGATCCTTCAATTTCAAGGCCTTGTGACCCTCTCGGAACTGATAAAGCTTATCATCATGGTATCGAAGTTTGGTTAGTTTTCTACGATGAAAAGTCGAAAAATCCTGTCAGAAAACAGTAAAAATAGATCTGAAAACCGTTTGAAAAGTCGATTTATTTGTTGGATATTCCATGTAGATATAATAAAAATGTCTTTCCAATTTCCTCCCGCTTTTTTTGAAGCTAAAAGATTTTTTTTGACAACCTGAAAGTCCATAATTTTTTAAATTTGGTCAAGAACCAATTATTTCCACCTCTAGGTACCCGAACGGCATGTCGCCAGGATCCCCCTACTTGGTTTGTATGGGACTTCCAAAAGGAGAAGATTTTTCCTGCTCCGATAGCATGAAACTCGACTTTAGCAATACAACGATGCTCATCGAGGATCATCGGCATTATTTCGATGTTCAGGTTGAAAATTATTTCTGTCACTTAGGGCTAAGTTATCCCAAAGTCAAACAGAAGCCCAATTTTTCATCAAAAAGTTTTATTTTTTGGGGAATTTTTTTTAAAGGAAAATGTAAGGCTAAAAATTATTCATTTGACTTTTTGGAGGCCATTTTCCATCAATTATACCCTCAAAAACATTAATAAGAACTCCAAATGAATAGAAAGGACGCATTGGGAACGGATAGGTTAGGATTCTATTTTTTTGGAAGTTTTATCTATTTCATTGGAAAGTAAGTAAAAAGAAGATTCAGATACTTTTTCATCCTTTGTACACTTCAAAGTATGATTTTGAAGGTCCCAAACTACGGGAAAACGGGCTGCGACCCTTCGATGCCCGAGGGCGGAAATCCCAGCTCAAATGGAGACCTCATCGATCGGATCGGCAATGTCGTTTCCAAGATCTCCAACTCTTTTGGCTAAAATCTAAGAAACTAAATGCAATTTTGAAAAATTTCGAAGCACCGGTCATGTTTTTCTTGGTTTTAACGGATTCCCCATCGAAGTTGACAGCTTTAAAACACCCTTTTTCAGTTTTTCTCAAGCAACTTTTTTAAATTCAGAAAAAATAAAAATTATATAAAAGTGTTTGAAGACACGGCGGAGGGTGCATAGGCGAAAATGGAAGACGAATGTTTTTGATAAATGCTTCTCAAGTAATAAGTTGCGGTGTGCCAGTACTCGGATATGACAAAAAGGACGGCCATCGGGTCCAGCCAACAGAATATTCCCAGCAATGGGACGATTATGTGATTGTAGTGACTGGAAAAATTCTCTAATTTTATTATAAAAAAAGTGAGTTTTTGATCAAACAGCGTTCTAGGCAAAGTTGGTATAGTCTGTTCAGATTTTGAAAGTCAAGTAGTCGCTTAAGCTCCGCCCCTAATGGCGCGATGAACCAATCAGAGAGCGAGCCACCCACAGAGCATTTTCGAGTGACGTCATTGCACTTGACAGTGAGAACAGACTATACAGTTTGACGGCTCAAAAAAAAAATCAAAATGTTCAATTCTTACTTTCAAATTTCTCAGGTTCGAAGAGGAAAAAAGCTCTGGAATTGGGGTTTCTGTTGATTGGTTTTGAACGCAAAATGAATATTTAGAGCGACTTTTGAACGAAAATATTCTGAAAAGTCCAAGTAACCCATTTATTAAATCACAAAAGAATGAAATCCGGCTTTTTGTTCATTTAAGGCTATTAAACGATGAAAACCTCTTTAAACTGAAACTTTATTGCAAATATAAGTCACATTTCCTAAAGAAAAGAATCTCTAACGCCGTTTTTCCCATTTCTCTTAAAAAAAAAATTTAACCTCCCGATTTCGTCGTTCTCGAAAACTGGTGTGATCCAAATTACGGAGCAGGGCAAAATGTTCGAAAAGATCGGGATGAGAGTTTGGATAACCAGAGCTCGCAATAATTGACGATGAAGGTTTCTCATCGACGAACTCATTGTCAGAGTCTCCAATGCTCGAACTATCTGTTTCAGAGTTACTTTATTCATATAAAGTAACTTGCATTCAAAAGTATGCAACGTTAAATTTTGGTTTCAACTTCTAGGGGGAAAATAATATTTGCAAGGACCTATTTTTCCGATTTCCACAACTTGGAGTTCCTTTCTTTCAACATTTTTGGAAAATGACTAAATAATATAGAAAACAAACCTTCAGGGTAAGATAAATATAAAGATACACAATTATTAGGACAGTTATGGATCCTAAGGCGACACCAGTCAAACTAGCAAATCTAGTCCACCTTTCCGGACTCTGAAAAATAGAATATTTCTGAGCAAAGTGCGAGAAAAACTTACAAAATAGTACAAACAAATCATTCCGACGTCCTCAACGCGAATAAAATACGTTTTTTCGAAAGATTCCCGCATAAACACCAGCGTCGCACTAGTCGGCAAATTCAAAAGTGAGATTCCGAACCACAAAAATCCATGGGCGAGAAATAAATTCAACCATAGAAGGATGTAAAAAGGCCTTTGGAAATGGTGCATTTTGGTGGGTCTTAAATGGATATTTTTTGAGATTTCGATTTTCAAAGTTATTACCTGCAAACGGCATAATATCGGTAGAAAAAATGGATTGCCAACAAAACGAAGCTCATTCCAACCAAAGAACTTCGTAGAGAAACTAGTGCGATGGAAAATATTGGGGTCTGAAAAATAAAATTAGTCGGATAATTTTGGTCGCATTAGAATGGCTCAACGCATTGGGGTTCTTGTTGGATTGTACCGCTGACGCAAGATTTTTAATGGTAGGAACCGTTTTCGGTCGGTCGCAGCTTAAAATCACCACTTCGTAAGCAGAACAGCCGTTGTCAGTAGGCGTGGCTGACTGCAAGAGCGGCACGGTTTATTGCAAGAATGGCGCAGGGTTGAGAGCCGAATTGTGTGGATTTAGTGGATGTGAAAAGAGTAGCAAATGAGACTTTTTCCTGCTTTTAAATAAGAAATATAATTGATTAGCGTGTTTCTTTTTCCGACTAAATCATGAATAAATGTTTCCTTCGCTTTTTTTGAGCCATAGAAAAATTCTGACAAGTTCAAGAATGTTGCAAATGAATTCCGAAGTTTTCAGTAAGTAAGATCTGAATAAACACGCCTTTCGGGCTCAGGAACGCGTAGCGGTTACTTCGAAGCTGCGCCCGATTCAAAAACGAGTTCAATTAATATGAGTCGGTTCGAAACGCAACGCAGCCGCGACGCATCAATCCATTCTACATTCGCAAATTATCCCGAATTTTCATTCAAATGAAACCTCCGATATGAAGCTCTCGCGAGTAAAAACACAAAAACATGATTTATGAATAAGAACCGCCTAAAAAATATTCATTTACTTCGAATTTCTTTAAAAAATTTCCTACCGTTCCCACGAAGAGCTCAAAAACCGCGTAGCAAATGTCGAAAACAGCGAAACAACTCAAAAGATGCCGATAGCCGCCAATATGCGAGCTCCTCCTTATACGAATAACTATAATGAGTATCACGTTGAATAAAATGGCGAGAATTGAAAAAATTCGCGAAGTCCATTTCGGGAACGCGCCGACGTCGAGATTCGGCATTTTGGAAGGGAATTCTGGGTTTTTGGAGAGAAAGTAGCAAGATAGGACCTCGTCAGGGCTTTTCCCTAGGTACTCATTAGGATGAGTGATAATTATGGGCTTCAAGTTTTGATGTCCTTGAACCAGTTGACCGAGACGATAAAAAGCATCCGTTTAAAATTCAAATAAATAAACAAATGAACGAACTCGGAAAGGATAGGTTAATAATAAAAAAATTTTTTTAGGTTGAAAAATTTTTTTCCTTACTTTTTTTCTCAAAAAAATTTTTTTCCATTTTCTTGGTTGAAAGAAACAATAGAATGATCCATTAGGAGTGCACTGTTTTAAAAAATCACAAGAAAATCCTTCTCAAAAAATTTTTCGCAGTAGAGCGCATTTGTTCCGAAAAAAAGGCTATTAGCTTTTTTCAAGTCTGAAGCTGAGTTTTTTATTATTCTGGGCTTTTTGACCTTACTAAATTGCTCGTTTTGAGATTTTTTCACTGTACTGGGAAAATTTTAAGTGGCCACTAAAGAGGCTGGCCAAGGACTACTTGGAGAGGACACTAAAGTGGTCACTAAACCTCTATAGTGGCCACTAATTTTTAACCCCTTTAGTGGCCACTAGTTAGACTACTATAGTGGCCACTTAAACGTCAAAACCCTATAGAGGCCACTAAAAATTTTCCCAGTAACCATACATATGAATCGAACAATTTCTTCTTTCGAAAATCTTTTAATTTATCGAACTTCTGACCATACTTCACCACAGTTCGATCATCTGAAACACGGAACTTGATTAATATCAATGATAATAGACGAACAATATTACACACATGTCGTATCTTGAAAGAAAAACGGAAGAAGGTTTTTGGTCTTCATTTCAGCAAGAATGATTCTTCTTTGCAAAGTGGAAAATCGAGAACGGGAGTCGAAAAATGTTTGTAGTATGCTTTATGTATGATTCTTGAGTTTCAAGATGCCTTTTAAGTTCACTTCAAAAAAATAATGGTTTCAGACCCCCAAAAAAAAAAGAAACTGAAAAAAGTTTTCCCTGCAGATCACAGAGCTCAGTGAGCCGAACATGCTCCGATCAAATGTCGAGCAAAAAGCTCTTTGTTTTTCGAAACTTCACCTCTGAAAAATATATTGGATGGTGGAAGGCATCGTGTTGATCGCCCGCCCATTGATCACGTGAACATCAAACTTGCGAGACTTTATTTTCTCCAACTGTTGTCGGCGAGAAATTATGCGTCTTTGGTTCCTTCTTGGCGCCGTTTTTGTTTTCTGTGAGTTTTTTTTGTCATACTCTCAAAATTTTAGTTTCTAAAAAAATTATATTATTATATTAGATTGCTTACTTATATAAATGAGGGCTTTTTTTCAGCTTTGATACAAAAAAATAAATCAAAAAAAGTGTTAGCGGAAAAAAATTTTTTTGCGCGGGATAGTTGCGGTATGTGTGTACTTTCACGCCGCCGTGAGCTGACTTGCGCGTTTTTTAATTTTGTTTTTCATAAATTTTCATATTTTTCTTCTTTCTTCTTTCTTTTTCTTTTTTATCTTTTCTTTTATATATTGAGAAAAATTTTAAGTTTTCAAGAATTATTTTACTCTATAAGTCCAAGTTCGAAAACCGTTCTGGAATCGTTCCGCTAGTGGTTCAAAAATAGCGTTTGCGCAGTTTCAAGACCAAGGGAGCGTATCCAATTTTTTTATTTTTTTAGGTATACAAACGCTCCATGGCGGTTTTTGAACATTCTTTGTAATTTTTGAAAATTTCTTCTTTTTTTGCAAAGTTCGTTTATTTTCCAGGTGTAAAATCTCATCCAGTTGACCTGGTTCCTTCGGAAAACAACGAAGTTCCTCTCGTCTACCGTTCCTTGTGTGGGTTCGTGGACCTTCCTGGAGAAGAGGGGGATCGCTGGACCAGAGAAAAACCACAGGACGAAGGCTCCAGTGAGCGGAAAATTTTGAAGCTTCGCGGATTCGCTGTGGTCATCCGGCATGGCGACAGGTAAAGACTATCGAGTTTGAAATTTATCCAAACAATCGGGAAAACTATAGTTTAGAGGAAATTTTTTGAAGAACTTATAATAGTTCAGTACTCCTTTGAATATTTTGGAGGGGTTTTATTTTTCTTCAGGGAAACGATATTTAATTCATTTCAGCTTGTGTCGAGTGGTCCTTCTAGGGTCTAACCCTTAGCCCCTAAAGCTCAAGTGGACCCTATAGGGGTCTCTCAATTTCATTCGGAAAACGCCTTTTTATTCAGCTTTCCTATGGAAATGCTTCGCTTGGAGCTCATAACCATTATCGACTAGCATTTCCCCTTATAGGGAACACTTTTGCAAGGTTTAGTGGTCCCTATAGGTCCCCTCCAAGAGCCCTGATAGGGACAAGATTCTAATATCATCGTTTTTCTTTCATAGATGATTCCAGGTCAAGCCTTTTCAACACCCACGATAACGAAGGATGCCGCAGTCATGACCCTAAAAGTCACAAAAATTTCACGATCCTCAAACAATTATTCGAGTCGACCGACTTCCGAAATTACATTTCCGTCGATGACGTCATGAAGGACTACATCTATTTTCCGGAGGAGTGAGCTGAAATTTTCGAATTTCAACCGGGGAATGATTTTTATTTTAGGTATAAGTGTGTCCTCGGGGAGATGACCGCCGAGGGAATTTTGCAAATCGCGAATCTCGGCAAGAAGTTCTACAATTACTACAAGGACACACCGCTTTTCACCGATAGTTAGTTTATTTTTCTGCAATTTTGCATGACTATTCGAATTTTTTGATGAGTTTAAAATTTTCTATTGAAAGTTCGATTGAAATTTCTGAAAATCGACCTTGTTCGATAAATCTTTAGTGCCTCAAAGCTGGAAAAAAGTCCTTTAGCAAAAAAAAAAAAATAATTTTTCAAGAAATCCTGGTTTTTCTTCTATGCAGGGGTCCGGAAAGCTCAAATTTTGTTCCCAAAACCAGAAATAGTTTTACGATTTTCCAGCCTTTTCCCAAGATTTTTGTAAAATATCGAATTTTGAATAGAAGGATAACTTTGAAAAAAAGTATTTTTTTAGGTTTTCAAATGGATGTTCAGTTGAAAAAAATAAAAAAACTTGATTTTTCCCAATTATTTCATGTTAAATTTGTTCTTAAAAAAACGTTTTTATAAATTTCATTCATTAAAATCCTCAGATTCGTCGAGAATTTTTTCTCGGCTTGGAAATTCCAAAAGATTATTCGTGGAAAAATCCTTTGCAAAACAACACAATCTCTCATTGTCTTGTGCGAAAATCCCTTCGGCGAAGAGAAACGGGGAAATCGCCGAACTGCCGCTTTTGCAGTTTAAAGTTGGAGAATCGCCAAATTCAGCCAAACTTCACTATATGTTGACCAAACATCCTGTTGTTTAGTTTTTCCTTTTTGATTCGCGATTTCGCAAGAAAAAACTTCCATTTTGAATCACTTTCAAGGGTATTTATTTTGAAGGGAAATTCCATTTTTTAGATCGACTTTCATTTTATTTATTTTTAGATCAGTTTTGAATTGAAAAATCACGAGCTTAGGTCATAAAACCAAAAAAAGTTCTAAATTTGAATTGGGGAAATTTTTTTCAGACGAAGAAGAAAAATTATTTTTTTGATAGAAGTGCAAAAAAATGATTTTTTTATTTTTTTAAAAAAAGACTTGGAAAGGTGTTTTAATTGGACTTCAAATCATTTAAACCAAAAAAAGTTCGAAAAAGATCAGTTCCAAAAAATTTTCAAGCCATGAAAACCGAAAAGCGAGTGAAAAATAAGTGAAAAAAGGCTTAGAAGGGTGTTTTTATCGGGTTTCATATCATATAAACCCAAAAAAATCCGAAAAAGATCAGTTCCAAAAAATGTTCAAGCCATGACAACCGAAAAGCGAGCCCGAAATTTGATTTGGAAAGTATTTCAGGCTTAAACGAAGTTTGACAATTTAATTCATTCATTTTAGTGAACTTTCCTATTTTTTCTTTGCAAAAGGTCAAAAGGTGAAGGAAAAATGTGTATGCAGAGTCGCATGCCCTTCACGTGATGGCGTCGGCGTCGCCGTGGAATCGGACGCTTCAGACCGCCCGATCCTTCGTTTCCCAGTTTCTGTACCCAATGAAAGATTACGTACCAAGAGTTCATGTTCAGGTAGAGTTATTGGGAGAGAGTATAGATTCTCAGTTCAAAAAATAAAATGAAAAGGGGCTTGAAACACGGAAGAAACTGATTGGAAAATGTGTATATTTAAAGCACATCTTAGCTAGAAAATAATGAGTTTAGGGTCTTTTTATTGGGTTCATTCGAATTTCTTTACTCATCAGATGAAATTTTATGTTTGGATAGAGTTTGAAACTCTTGAAAGAAAAAGAAAAATCTGAGGATTTTCAGCAAGTTTTGAACTGTATTAGTTTTCACAACTGCCCATGTTGAGGCTAAGTTATTGAAAAAAAGTGGTTTCCTGGATTTTTTCTGGTGAGTGAGCGTTGTAAAAATTGGAGGCAAATCTGAAAAATTCAAGAATTTGGAGATTTTTTTTGACCTTTCCAATTTTTTTCAATTCGTCCTCTTTTTCGTCACAAAAGTTAGTCACGTCAGATTTTTTTCACCAATATTTCAATAGAAACCAGGAGAAAATACCCAAATTTAAAAGAAATTTTCTTTCAGTCCTCGAATCTCTCATACCAATGCTTCGAACAAGAATGCTATTGCCCGATTTCCAACGAGATGCGCTACAAGTTTGAGGATGTACGTTGGGAAATCTACGGTTTATGATAGGAATCCCTGAATTTTCAGGAACGGGGCGAATATTTCGAGCTACATGCTGAACCGAGCTTGATCGCAGAAGCTCATGAAATCAAGAAAACTTTCGCTCCTTTTAGGTGCGTCACAAAAGAGGGACAAATAGAGAGAGAGAATTTTCAGTTCTTTTTGGTAAAACTGAAAAAGCAGTGATAGAAATATTCCTAGTCTTATCACATGTTTCCCAGATTTTTCTATACTTTTAAAAAAGAATATCCGAGTACGAAAAGTGAGAGAGAGAGAGTTCAACAGCGGTCTGAGAAGGCGGCAGAGATCTCGAATTTCCCATCGTTCTCTGACATCTCTTCAGATTCTCGATCTCTCATTTTAGTTATCCTTTATTTAATTTTTATAGATGGTGATCTGTCATTATGCATAAGAAATAAAGAAAAAACGAGATATAACGTTTTTAAAAGAGAGTGCAAAGAAAAAGAGTTTTTCCGAATTTTTCTGGCGTCTCTTCAGGGTCCATTGTTTTTCTCGATAAGGCTAACTGTCACTCCCAGTTTCAATCGGAAGGACTGACAATCGGCTAACAAAAAGCGAGACCGAACTATTTTGAAGAGGCTCCAGAGAAAAAAGATTTCAAGACTTCTCTGGCGTCTCTTCAGCTTTCTGTTGATCTCTCGCCTTGGCTACCTCTGTTTTTTCATGATTCATATCATAAAAGTGATTATTCAGCAAATGTCATCATCCCTTGGCTTTTGTCGACATCGCCCTGGGAAATTTCGTTTGCCGGATGAAGCCGTTGCCTTGTAAGGACGGCTTCTGCGTCACTTTCCCATTTTTGTTAAAGGTTCCTTTTTTTGTCCAGAAGGATCTCGAAAAATTGAAAAAAAGGCTCAAAGAATAGGTTTGAGATGCTGAACTTGGTGTCCACCCACACCCTCGAAATGTGGAACAAGGACGTAGGTCTCGTCCGGAGACTTCAGGCCATCGAGACCTACGCGATTCTCAATTACCTCAACCAAGCCGTCGAGAAGTCTCAGAGGGACAAGGACTACAAATTCGTCAGGGTCAGTTTCATTCCATTTGTGTCCCTTAAAAAAATGTTTTTTTTTTAAATCCCTAATTCTTATATTTCCTGTTCGCCGAGGTCAAACAAGATATATGAAAGAAACCTTAACAAGAAAAAATATTGTGAAAAATACTGAAAAGTCAAAAAACGTGACCCCAAATTGATAGTACATAGAAATTCCACTGTGATCCCTATAGTGGTTAGACGGAAGAGCAGCCTATCTAGGGACCAAAAAAGTGGTCCCTATAAGAGTTTAAGGTCTGACCTCTGAAGCTTCAGTGGTCACTATAGGGTCTCTTATTATTTTTTGTCCAGTTTAGACGTTTAATAAAACTTGATCGACTAAATAAAACTTGATCGACTCATCCCTCAATAATCGACTAGCATGTCCCCTATAGGGACAACTTTTGCAATCTTATGTGGCCTCTATAGAGGTTGGTAAAGTGGCCCCTAGAGTGCCTTCAAGGTCGCCCCTATAAGGACTCCTCTATGAGTTGATAGAGTGATCCCTGAAGAAAACCCTCCGAGGGCCTTTACGGTTGCCCCTAGAATGACCACTCTGAAGTTCAGAGAAAAATATATTCAATTTTCCCAATTTTTTGTACGTTTTAATCATACTTCAAAGCTTGAGTTTTCTTCAACAAGTTTGATTGTACGGATGCTGCTTTTTCCATTAGACTTGACGAGTAAAAAAATTTTATTTTTGTTAAAAAAAGCTTCAAATTCAGTGTTTCCCGTCCGCCAAAAAGTCAGACAAGATTTCTGCGAAAAAAATTTTTGAAAGTACTGGAAATTTAAAAAAAGTGACGCCCTGTTAAAAAAATATTCAATCTTTCAATTTTTTTCCCTCGTTTTCTACTTTTTTTTTGAAATAAAAAAATTTCCTCCATTTATTTTGATCGGCCAAATGTCTTTGTACCACTTTTGTTTGTAAAAAAATCAAAAAAATTTTTGTTTTTTTACTCGGAAAAATGGGGTGAATTTTTTTAAAAAAATGAGATCTTTGAATTTTGAGTTTTCAATTGGTTTTCTGATTTTGAAAAACCTCATTTCAAAAATATTTTGAAGTGTGATTTTTACCTATAAGACTTCCTCAACTTATTTGAGGGCCTTAAAAGTTAAAAATTTCCATAAAATCGATCAAAAGTGCCGGTATGAATATCAGAATCCATTTCCAGATCTATTCTTCTCACGATTCGGTAATCGGACCCCTTCTCCGCGCCATGGGCCTTTCCGTCGTCGACCCTTGTAGTTATGGGGCCAGACTCGTTTTCGAGGTTATTCCCTTCACAAAAAAGGGTCATGAACTCGATTTCCAGGTCTACGAGCACCCCTCCGACGGCCTTTTCGTGCGCGTTTTGTACAACGGCGAGGACATGACGCGGAAGGTCGACTTCTGTCAGAACAAGAAGCACTGGACGCGCCACGGCCTCTGCAGCGTCGAGGCGTTCTCCGACTACGTCCACAAGGTTCTCTTCCAACAGGCCAACGTGAGAAACGTCAAGGAGGCCTGCTACATGTGAATTTAGCCTGTTTCCGATGAAGTAGTTTTTTTATTAAACCAGTTTTTCTAAAACTTCGAAGAGTTTTCTTGACTATTCCAGCTTCAATTTTCTCATTTATCATATTTTTCTTGCTCCTTTCATTTCTGCTTTTCTTCTCATCAAATGGAGTTTTGATGTTCTTTTCCGACAGGCCAAAAATGTCAAGCAGATTCAACTCAGGTCCTACTTTTTTAGCTTGCTAATGCTTCATACAAGATAGAGCACCATTCAAAAAAATCAGAATAATTCGGTTTTCAGCCGATAATTTTTTTATAGAGCTTAATTTTGACTTTTTGATATTTGAAAAAAAATTTTCTCGAAAAATCCTTATTTTTTTCTCATTTTTTTCTTTCGGTTTTTTTATATTTTTCATCTTCTACTCCTCTTCTCATAGAAGAAAGCAACATCCAGTAAATTTTGAAAAAAATCAAAAAAATTTTTTTTCTCTTTTTATCCTGTCTGTATCAAATTTTTGGATCTTTTTTTCTCATTTAAATTTATTTTTTTTCCGATACTTCTTTTTTTAATCTCTTTTTCAATTCTTAAGAAATCAACGTGAAAAACTCCAATCTTCGAATATTCTTATTTATATTCTCCAAATTTTCTGTACTATTTTTTCCTTGTCATAGATTACCTATCGAATTTAGTTCCAACGGGTCTGAATTTTCATTCTCAGTTGTCATCAATAAAAACTAATAATTCAAAGTTCCAAGATACATATAGCACACGTTAATCAGTTACACGAATAAAAATATTAACTACAAGAAAAGTTATATACAAGAAAAAGTGTGTACGACTTCTTGGCAGTATTGTCGACCCGGCTCCATGAACACGTCTGCGAAATTTTTCTGGAAAGGTCGAAAATGATGAAATAATATCTTTTCTATAAACTATAGAATTTTTAATGAGAAAAGTGAGTGAGAGATCAATAGGCTCCTGAAGAGATGCCAGAGAAGTTATGTCTTTTTTTGCGTGTTTTTAGTATAGTGAACTAGAAATAAGAAAGAAATGTGTCTTTGAGAGAAAGAGAAAGAGCAATAGTGTTCTCAAGAGAGCGCAGAGAAGTTAGAGAACCTCTTTTTCTCTTCGTCTCTTCAATAATTAACTGAAGTTCAAAGAAAAGATGGGCCAAAGCGAGAGAGCATTACTGACTGAAGAGACGCCAGAGAAGTTAGAACATTCATTTTTCTCTGGCGTCTCTTCAGGCGCCTATTCTTTCGCTTCCGCTTCATTTGAACCCCTTTTTTCCGCTTTTTGCAGCTTTAATCTTACCTTTTTTTCAAAGGTAAGTTATTAATCTTGAACTTTACCTGGAAAACCAATGAATACTTTTAAAATCTAAGGGATTCATTGCGAAGTGAACCTCGTAAATCAGTAAGAAAAAGTTGGATTTTTTTGAAAAATCTCCGGAATATAGATTATTGATTGAAATTTAATAAAATAAAAAAATGTCTTTCTTTACAATAATAAAGAAAAACGGCTTGATCACACATTTTCCGACGTTCCCAACTCACGAAATTAAGAGCAGCTGAAGGAAACTGAGCTTCGATAGAAATCCCTTGTTCGGTCCATACGAAACGCCGTTTCTGCCAGTTGTTTGAAGGAATTCTCCAGCGTATAAATGAGCAACTGGATAGGATGTACTGATGTCAAGCTGGATCCCCGAAACGTCGGATCTCAACCTAGCAAAAAAGATTTTTTGATTATTAAAGATCCATTTGTTGAATGAAATATGGTTCCTTAAACTTTTTTTCTGGACTCAAAAAAATAAATTGAAGAAAAATTAAAAAAATTGTTCACTTTATTCAGTTAACCGTTTCAGGACTTTTTTTATTCTTGAAAAAATCCTTCAATTTTTTTCTGAATTATGTGTTTTAGAACTTTTTTTCTGAAAAAAATTAATCAAATAGATCTTTTTCAATACTTACCTAACACAATGGGGGGAGCACTGATTGACCGGATCCAACAATAAATCATTGTCCAGCCTTATCAACTTGTTCTAAAACAAAAAATAATAATTTCTATTTTCAAATTTTCTTTCACCTCATCAGCCAGAGAAGCCAGCGATTTCGGCGATCTAAAGTCAAAATCGGTGTTTTGGACGGTTAGAATCGCTCCTAAATCAGTTGAAATTTTCGCTAGGCTCCATTATTTTCAAAATTAACCAGTTGGACAGCAAGTTTCATCAACAGGAAGGTAGGAGGAAGCCGAGACCTCCAAAATGTGATCGCTAATTGTTTCCTCAAAAAAATTCACTCAAAATTTGGTTATTTTCGCAAGCTATGGTCTATGTTAAAACACTTGATTTTTAGCTAAACTTTAATTTTTTGAATTTAAAGAGAACAAAATGAAAACTATTTAATTTGCTTTCTAATCTTCCTGAAGACAATATTTTTCCTAGAACTAACACTTCCATCCAAGTTCCAATAAGCATGATTAGTGAGAGCTAAAACTCCTGGCTTGGTACACGTCGCGAAATGTTCGATCACGAGTTGATTCCTATCGTTTACCGTGTAGGTAACCTGAATTTCGAGAAAAATTAATTTTACTCAAAAATCTATGCAAACTTCAATGATAGCATCGCCGGGAAATCCGTCGGACTCGTCGTCGACTTTTACTCGCAGAGAAACCGACTTGTTTGAGTGCCTCACGACTTCCCATTCTTTCTAGAAAAAAATTTTTTTCAAAAATTTTTTTACAAAGTTCATGAAAAAAAGATTCCTTGTAGAACATCAAGAAAATTTAATTCCTTTACTAAGCTAATCTAACTCACAAAATACTTTTATGTTTTTAATCACTTCAGTTTAAAGGATAATCGAGAAAAAAAAAGAAAAAAAATTTGTAGACTTTGCGCGTAAAATTCTAAGTTTATGTGTTTATTGTGCTTGCGGACTTCCTTACCGTAATCGCTTCGAGAAATTTAATGCCAGCAGTAATACGATATCATATTTTCGCGGTGTTGAGAAGCTTCGTAATTTCTAATGAAGTTACACCAAAACGGAAAAAATCATGTAACTTTCTAACATGATTTTTACACAAAAATTGCTCATAAAGCCCCCAAAAACGCACAAAAGCGATGCCTTTCGATCCACCGTGAAGGCTGTGCGGCGGATTATTCGCCTCCAATTCAAACTTCTTTCCTTGAAATTCGAACTCGGCATTTTTCACTCGATTCGCCACTCTTCCAACGGTCCGACCAATGTATGCCGTGTCCTTTTCGTAGTCTCAAAAAAACATTTTTCTTCAAAAATTGATTTTGATAGACCTTCCTTCGTCGCAAAACCCAAAATCAGATCGATTGGTTTCCCATCTTTGGCTGGAAATTGGATTGAAGCCAAGGTTGCTCCGTAGGGAAGTACAAAGACGCTGAGACCGGAGTCGTTTCGGATCTCGATGAAATCACTCATCGTGTAGGAAAATCACTGGAAAGAAACAATCCAGAATCAAAGTAAAAAACAAAAATGATTACGACGGAAGTTAAAGTTAAGGATTTACAGAACGAGGCAAGAAAACTCACGATGAAAAAAAAATTCTAAGAAAACGGCTTTTCGAACTGCTTGATAAGAAAATGGGCCTTGTAATAAGCTTATTAGAGAGGCTAAAAAATTGAACTGAAAGTCGAAATACGCTAGAACATTCAATCCTAACTGATAACTCTGCAGGCAGCTCGTTTATCAACAAAGTGAGCTGATAAGAAACTTACCAATTAATTTATTAGAACAAACACCTGCAAGGGGTAAAGTTCATTTTTTGGATACTTATGAAGGTCCAATTTTAAAATCAAAATATTTTCAAAAAACTTGCTAAAGAACTTGCTCCACTTATCTCCCGAACTCCCAAAACTGAAAAACATTTTGAACAAGGTTCAACGGAACAGGACATCAGAAAACGTCGTCTTCCTTTGAAACAACAAAAAAAACCGCGTTCTGCAGATTAAACAAAACAAAACTTTGCACTAGTAGTGACCAAAGCATGTGGACTAGCAGGCGCCAGATCGACGCAAACAAATGTCCCTAAGCTGTGTGATAAAAACAGGCTGCTGTCGGGAAAAAAAGTCAGCCATCGCACGTTCAAGAATCAATTACGCTGAGAAAAAAGAGAGGACGAAAAACTGAAAAACAAAGGAAGAAATTAAAGTTTCAAACGTGTATGAATTGTTTGAAGCTTTTCGAGATTAACATTGATTAGCAGCTCAAAGGAATATTGCCGATTATCTAGTCACTCAATTGAAACTACTTTGAACAATATATAGAACAATGAAAAAATAAAAACGTTTATTTCAAAGGGTAAAAATGGATAAAACAAACTGGAAGCTCAGCTCAGGGTCGTTCGCATTTTTCGATTACTGTAGCTGTCTAATACGTGACCGGGTTTCTCAAATATTTCTCAATGGAGCGCAAAGTACATTGACGATTTACGACGATAAAATATTTTTTTTTCAGTTTTCCTCTTTTTAAACATTATATTTTTATTTATGCCGTGTTCGAAGTCTTTTAAAATTCAGAATAGCCGTTAGAGAATGAGCAAAATAGCTAAACTACGGAAAGTAAGAGATAATTTTGAATTTCGCGGAAATAACTCAAAAAAACTATATTGAACTTTTATTTAATACTCTGTCTCAAAGTATGAAGAGTCCCGTCGCTTATTCATTTTTCTATGCCTATTTTTCTTTGAAAGTCGTATAAATTTACAGATAACATGGGGAAGGCCCGGAAAACAGTCAAGAAAACGAAAAGTACTACCTCAACACAAAATGTGCAGTGTATGTGGAATTTTTTAATAAGAGTTAATTCCATAAGTTTTCAGCGCTTCCATTCAACACAGACAAAGGTCAGCACATTTTGAAGAATCCAGGGATCGTAAATGCGATTGTTGAAAAAGGTTTTTTTGAAAGCTAAATGAAGAAAAATATATTTAAAAAAAGTTCAGTCGGCCTTGAAGTCCACAGACACAGTGATGGAAGTTGGTCCAGGTACAGGTAACCTGACGGTGAAAATGTTGGAAGTCGCGAAGAAGGTTATCGCTTGCGAAATCGATCCCAGGATGATTGCCGAGGTGAAAAAACGAGTTATTGGAGGGTAGAACTCTAATTTTCGAATAAGATAAAATAATTTGTTTCAGACCATTGCAATCGAAATTGGAAGTATTGTCGGGGGATGTTATGAGGATGGAATGGCCGGTTTTCGACGTTTGTGTCGCCAATTTGCCGTACCAAATTTCTTCGCCTTTCGTTCAGAAGTTCCTTTTGCAAAGGCCGGCGCCAAGGTCTGCATTTTGAACTTGAAGAAATGTTATTTGTTTTTTTTTTTGAGTTTTATTGAACAAGTGGTTTTTTTTCCAATTTTTTTATACACAGCGCTCTAATCAAAAACCACCCAATATTTTTTAAATTTAAAGCTTGAAAGTATATATTTTTACATTCGAAACAGGAGCCTAGTTTTTAAGCCGAGATTCAGTCGGTTCCATTCATTCTGAAACTTTTTTTGGAAACCATTTAATTAAACTAATGATTATTGGCAGCAGGAAACTTGAGCTAAATTTATAGCTGATGATTTAAATTTGTGCTAAAAACGCAACAGATAACCTCTTCTTTTTTTATTATTTTTTCTTTTTTGATAATTTTCTTTTTTTTTTCAAAATCTGACACGGAATGGCCTATCTTCTTTTCTTCAGATACGCAGTGCTGATGTTTCAAAAAGAGTTCGCGGATCGGCTCGTCGCGCGCCCCGGCGACAAGGACTACAGTAGACTGTCTGTGAATGTGCAGCTCCTGGCCCGCGTCGAAATGCTGATGAAAGTGAAGAGAACCGAGTTCCGACCGCCGCCGAAAGTCGACTCGGCCGTCGTTCGCATCGAACCTCGAATTCCACCGCCTCCTATCAATTTTGAGGTGAATAGAAGTAACGAAAAAATGAAGTTTAGAGGCTTTACCGAGATTTTAAGGTCTTAATTTAATTGAGAGGCAAGTGGAAGTTGTTTTTATCGCTTTTCGATCCCACTTCTCACCTTTTCGAGAGAACTGCGCAATTTAAACGATTCCTATGAAGAAATCGAGGTCTCTAGAGTTTCTCAAAGCCTTTGAGACTATGTCAGAAGCTTATTAAAGCTTTTCGAGAATTTTAATTCTGTATGTTTTCTAGGAATGGGAAGGACTGTTACGATTGTGTTTCCTGCGCAAAAACAAGACTTTGAACGCGATTTTCCGGTTATCCAACGTCACTGAACTCATTGAGAAGAACTATCGGAAAGTTTGTAGCTTTAAAAATAAGGTTTGTTTTTTTTTCCATTATAGTTATATTGAAAATAATTGTTTAGCCAGTGCCAGCGACTTTCAATTGTAAAGCAGCTATCGAAAAAGTGCTGAGCGAGGCCGGATACGCGGAGAAAAGGGCCAGAAGCATGACCGTCGAGGATTTTTTGGCCCTTCTGTTGGCCTTCAATAAAGCCGATATCCATTTTATTGGTTGAATTTGTGCATTTTTGTTGTTTTTTGATTGGAATGTGTGTTTGTTGTCTGTTTTGCACGAAGAATAAATTTTATTGAATTCGATAGTTTTTCATGAAAAATGTCGAGTAATCGATTTTATACTGTTTTTTTTAATTTTTTTTTTTTGTATTTTGACACTTTCAAAGTCGTGCGGTAGATTGGTTATGGGGCGTGGCTAAATGCAAATGGGGCGCTGCTTATTGCAATAGGGGCGCGATAGTGAGAGCCGATTTTTGTGCATTTACTGGATAGAATTATAACGTAAAATAATTTTTTTTTTCAAGGCCTCTTTGAACTTGGATACAGTACGTATGATACTTTCAAAAAAAGTTTTGAATTTACAAGTAAAGAAAATCGCGGACTTTACTGACAAAAATGTCAGAATTGAATAATCCAGAAATTTCGGGTTTTTCGTCAGAAAAGTAGACAGACAACAACAAAAAAACGAATTTCAAAAAGAATTTCATACCAAATAGTTAACTAACTTGAAAGAAGGACAACAATCGCATTTTTGATTACCTAAAAAGTTTTTTACTAACTCGTTTCTCTCGGCTTTTTATTCCTCTGTTTCTGGAGCATATTACGATATTTTTTTATCTCTTGAAAATTCCGTTTCAATAAAAGTGGAGGTCTTTTAGAGACCTTTATGAAGCTTCATTTTTGGTATTTTCCAACTCTGCCCGTGATAACTATAGCTTATTAGTAGAAAAAATGATTAATTAAAAAAAAATCTTTTCTTTTAAATCTCAGATTACGCTGGTTCTACCCCGTCGATGCTGTTGGCTCGCATTTGAGCGTTGTTTTTCGACGCCTTCATCTTCCTCGACCGTCACCTTTGATGAAAACTCCAGAAGGAAGTTCCTCCAAGTCGCAGTCATCGGAGCGCCGAACGTCGGCAAATCTCTGCTGACGAACAACATTGCCAGAGCGGCTCTTTCGGCGGTCAGCAGCAAGATGGACACTACTACCAAGGTGAGAAAAGACCACGAAAGATTTTGAAAAATTTTTTGAAATATTCAAAGCTTTTTTCCAGTTCAAAGAGATTTTATTAATGAGAATGCGTCAGGTTTTTGAGTGGGGAGAAAATGACAAAAAAAAATAATAAGATGGAAGTTTTTTGAAAATTGCGCAGTCTGCACTTTTTTGTCTCCTTGGTCGCGTTTTTTCTGGAAAATCAGGAAATTTCGTTGAATTCCGAGGAGATATTTACACGACTTTTTTTTTCTCCGTAAAGTGCGGTGTGGCGTGTGCATGCACTGCGCCGCTTTCGCGCAGAAAAAATGGGGTTTATGTAGAGAGAATTCGATTCGTTTCCTCTGGCATTTCGGCCGTCTGCGCCTTTAATTTTCCCTGTTATTTACGCTCCTAGAGCCGTGACGTTACGTCGGAACGGCTAAGGTTTTGACTCGCCAGCCGTTTTTTCGATTTCGCATCTTCTTCCACTTACAAAAACGCCGTGATTGGCTCCAAACAAGAATTCTAATAAACTGAGACGCCCCTAAAGGCGATATTCTATCCTGTACTCCTCAAAACCGTCAAAAAGGAGGTTCAGAATGTACATGTCAACCTGACGGAGAGCGACACTCAGTTGGTGGTCGTCGACTCTCCAGGAGCCGTCAGCACGGGGCATGTCAGACAGACGATGCACCATCAAGAGGAACGAGTACTGACTGATGCCGAACGGGCTCTCCACAAGGCTCAGCATATTCTGGTCGTCCAGGTGGGCTCAGAGAAAGGTTGTGTAGTGGAAGCTGAGGTGGTCCTAGTGCACGTTTTACCATTTTCCAAGACCTCAATGATTTACCAAAAACCAAAATTTTCTGGAACTTCAGCACCCTAGAAACACCCGAGCATTTTAAGTTCTTGTCTTCCAGATAGCCAAAATGTTTAGAGAATCTTGGAAACGTAGCGAAAAGCACTAGCAAAATTAGGCATTCTTCTTATTTTCGATGATTTTTTGACCAGGCACATGAGTTAGGCCAAAAAATTGCAGGACGCGACAGCGCCCGGACGGTACATCCACCACCGAGTCCTGCACATGCTCCATCGCTACGCCCACGTCCCGAGCACTCTGGCGATCAACAAGATCGACCTGGTCTCCAGGCGATCAGACCTGCTCCCACTCGTTCCGATTCTGACCAACGGCCGGGTCGGAGACGCGCCGATCCCCAGCTCCGGCGCCACGGTCAGAAAAATTTCCAGATCGATGAAAAATAGATCGGGTCGGGTCATGGAATTTAAGTCCACACCTTTCAGCTCATGATCCAAAGAAAATGCGCCCCCTGGATAATGTTCTGTGAATTTTTCACTTCTTCGGTTTTTCCATGTTTTTTTTTCGTTTTCAATCACTTGATGAAAAAAGTGATAAAACTGAGAAAGGCATAAAATTAAAAATAATTTCTCAAAGATCTCAATAACTTTGAAGTAATCTACGCTCTGTGAATGGCTCGCTCTCTGATTGGTTTATCGCGCCGTTAGGGGCGGAGCTTGAGCGGCGACTTGACATTCAAAATCTGAACAGACTATGTTTGATACGGAGATCTATAATTTAACGTCAAAACTCGAAAAAGCCCAAAAGATCGGATTTTTTAGCGATGATCGTAGGTTGATTATTTTTTTCACGGGGAGTGAGGACCATTAGTTGACGAGTTTGAACAACAATTTTCCGAAACTTCACAGAAAAACGAATTTAGGCGCTGTTTTTGTATGAACCAGCTCTTCAGATCGGTCGACTCGGCAAGGTCGTCCAGAAGCCTTCCGAAGGCGGCGACGTCTTCGAGAATCGCGACGACAAATGGATGGCCAGCTACCGGGATATGATCCAGAAGCCGACGCACAAGTGTGGCTACGCCGCCACGAGACATCTGTTCCGCGACGTCAACGGCTGGAGCGGATTCGACAGGGTCTTCTTCGGTTAGAGCTGAAGATTTGATGAAATTTCGCTGAAAGGGACCTTTTTATCACAGATTAGTCAAGGCCCAATGTAAAACTCGTCTCTTTTTGAAAATTTGGAAGTCCGCATAATGGAGACATTATTGCTCTGGATTTAGGAAAACTAGAGTGGTCCCTATAGTGGCAACCTAAGGGACCTTTCAAGGTTTCCCCATAGGGACCACGGAAGCTTGCGAAAGATGCCCCTATAGGGAAGCATGGTATTGTGGTCAGAACCTAAACCAAACACAGAGTGGTCCCTATAGGGGCAACCTTAGAGATCCTTCAAGGTTTCCCTTTAAAGGCCACTAAAGCTGGCAAAAGTGGCCCCTAAAGGGGAAGCATGGCGTAGAGGTCAAACCCTAAACCCCTTGGGGGTCCACCTAACCTTCACCCCTATAGTGAGCCCTCTGTTTCCCCTATAGAGACCCCTCTGGCGTTCCTAAGGATGGCTAATTTGGAGACGTCAAAAAACGAGACGGTTTATAAATTCCATCTGAACGGATCTGTAATAAAGATGTCCTGAAGTACCTCTCAAAAAAGTTTCGTCAAATTCAATCCTTTTGCACGTCCCTTGTGAAGAAGCTTGAATTTGAAGTGTCGTCCTTGACGGGAGAAGGGATCGACGACCTGAGAAACCATCTCAAAGGCGTTGCGACCAGTGGGGAATGGCTCATGGAGGCCGATCAGCTCACGGATAAGGTATAATATGCTTTTTGGAAGGTGTTTCAAGTATCTTGTCCTTATCATTTTTGGAAGGCAGTTCATCTGGCTAGTCACTGAGAATAACTGCCGAACGCGTCGTCGGTGGCGATATCGCAAAAGTGCCGAGCCGGACTTGAGGGCGCGACCTTGCATTTTGAGTCCGGCGCGGGACTTTCGCGATATCGCAAATTTACCGCGACCGATCGCGCTTTTCTCCGGGCAGTTGTCTTTAGTGACGTCACGATTTTTTTCGAATTTTCAAAGCAGTTTATAAATCGAAAAGCAATGAGTGTACTAAAACTTCCACATGCTACGAAAAAGAAAACCCTTCAGACGCCCCAAGAACTGTGCACGGACGCGATCCGGGCCGCCGTCCTGGACATGGTCCATGGCGACGTCGCCTACACGGTCCGAGTCGGCATTTCCGAATGGGTCGAGCAGGGAGAAGTCCTCCAGATCGTCGGCGACATCCAGTGCGCCAAGCATCGCGACGGAGTTCTGATCATTGGCAAGGTTCGAGCTATGGATTCCGGAGTGGTCCCTATAGAGGTCGAAAAAGTGGTCCCTATAGAGGTAAAGGGACCAACGCCACTATAGGGGTCGAAAAAGTGGTCCCTGTAGGGGTTTAGGGTCTGACCCTTTAAGCTGAGGTGGTCCCTATATGGGTCTTTCAACTTCATTCTAAAAAACGCCTAACTGTTTAGTTGCTTGCATGGGAAGGCTTCTTCGCATAGTTTATAAAATTGTCGACCAGCAACCCCTAGAGGAGACTCTCCAGGGGCTCCTATAGGGGCGACTTTGAAGTTTCCAAGATCCAGGGATTTTTCTCGTCCAGAAACTTAGAGAATTAAAGCACTGACTAAACTTTAGAAAATTAAAGATAATTTGAACGTTTCGAAAAGTATTTTAATAAAAAAACGATTTATATTTTTAATTAGAAACAGAAGCGAATTCCAGGGAGGCGGACGAATTTCCGAAATCGGCCGACGCGTAAACGCCCATCTCCACTCGCTTTTCCAACGCCAGCTCTACGTTCGGCTCGTCGTTTCTCACAAGGGAAAATTGATTTTGAAATGAGAAAAATCGATTTATTTAATGTAACATCTGAGGATTTATTTTCTTAACATAATTAGTTAGATTCTTGTTATTGTTATCATTTCACGCTAGCTTGTCACGTTCATTTCCCGCCAAAAAGTTACGAAAGTCTTTTTTTAGTAGGTTTTCTGAGCGAAAAAAAACAAGACACTCTAGCGCGGAATACACCTTTGTTATTATTATAATTGTTGGAATCAAATGAAATTTATTATTCTGTACACTATAATCACAAGCCGAAGCTCAATCCGAGTCGGAGCTGGTCCCATAATCCGCTATCAATTTGATCGAGGAGACGCCAGAAGACGAGGAAGGCTCTTCCTCCTTCTTGACGTCTTCGAGAGAGGCTTCAGAAGTCGAGGCGACGTCAACGTCGACGTCTTCTTTCTTGACGGCTTTCTTGACGACGATTCCAAGGGCCGAGGCTTTTCTTTTGGCTCCCGAAGCGAAAGGAGTCGAGGAGGAGAACTGGAAGAATGAGAGATTATTTTTTCTTCATTCTTTCAGAACCTGATCGTTTATCTTGCGATCTCGCTCCCTTCGAACCGACGCCTTCAATCGGTCAGAAGCCGTGGAGACTCCTGCCGTCGAACTGGTCGATGGTTCTTCGCCGAAAATTCGACGAGCTCCAATTTCTTCGCGGATGTCTTCTTGCACGTCATCTTGGGCTGAATTTGACAGTTTGTCATTATGTAGTTAAATGAAATTTGGATTATTTCATGACCTGTCGGATCAAAACCTTGATACTGGAGGGTGAAACAAAATCCTGGCAATGGGTTCAAGTCAAGTAGTCACGTCTTTAATGCCAATAAACCCGTATATATTTTGGCGCGAGTTTTGCTTTACCTAAATTTTTTCTGCTGTTTTTTCCAGCTTTTCACTCTTTTTTGCTGTCATTCAAGCGTCCTAATTTCATTAGCCAGTTCTTAATTTTTTCCTTTAACGATTTATAAAAGATTGTGAACGGAACTACATGCAAATATTGAAAGGTTTCAGTAGATAATAATAGGGCACAGGCTAGAACCTTTGATGTCGCGATATCGCGTGAGCATAGCGGCAACGCGTTCGTCTTTCGGATCAGCCGGCGCCAACTTCATCAGAGGGATCGAAAGACGAGAACGGAGGCTGTCGTCATGAGCTCGTTGCTCGCCGAGGTGCTTTTTCTCTTTCTGAAGTTCCTTTGATCCTTTTGAATTTGTTATTTGCATCATAAAATTACTAATAAGAACTTTGACAAAACTCTTTAAGCTAGTGATAAAAAATGGCTAAAAACCTGGAAATCCTTTTAAAAAACGAGCATTCATCAGCAGAAACAGGAATTTTGAAGTTATCCCTCTAATATGGATAGTTTTCGAAACAAAAAAAGGAATAAAAACTTTTTCATTGGAGAAAAAGTCGAGATTCATTAATTCCAGTGGCTTTTCATGGTTTATATCTACACAGGCAACGTCCAAACGGCCTCAAAAAGAAGAGTCTAAAGCTCCTTTTTGAGTTCCTGAAAAGGTTGCTTTTTTAGGAATCTCCTTCTCTCCGCCTTCTTTTTTTACACCTCCTTGACTGACTTTTTCAGAAAAAGTTCTAGAAAATTTTTTGGGACTTTGCCTGTGTAGCTAAGGGCACAGAAGAAGAAAATCGAGCTTTACAAAATGTTCTTTTTTTACAGTAGAACTTTAAGCATCCAAAAATACTTTCTAGACTAAAAACTGCTACTTTCATCTCCCTACTCTGTTCCGAAACTACTACTGAAGGAATTCTCCTCACAAAAAAGCTCTAAAGAGGAAAAAGGTCTCATTTTTCAGTTTTTCGATGGCGTGTCGAACAAAAAGCATATTTGTTTTTTTCTTGCAGCTATTTTCCCCCTCCGGAATAATTCCCGAGTCAAACGGACCCTAAACTGCGCTCTGAGGTACTGATTGGCGGAGAAGTCGTCTCTGCCGCGCTCCTGGATCCACTCGAGTTTCTCGACGCGCGACTCCTCCGAGGTGCCCTTGTTCTTGTCGGTCGCCACGTGCTCCGTCTTGAACATGGCGTCGGCGGCGAGCTTCTGGGCGAAGCCGCGGTCGACGGCGCCGAGTTGGTCGATCGTCGAGGGGTCATAACGTTTCTCCTGTCGGGAGCAGCCTTCGACCAGTTCGTAGTCGAAATTCTGGAAAAAGCAAGCTTCATTTCAACGCAAAGTCTAGTTAGAATATTCGTGGCTATTGATTTTTCAAGTCTTTAACTTTGAGAAGGTCTTGTTGGGGATTTTAGATTGGTCCCTATAGGGGTTAGGGGGAAAACAGCCACTCGAGGAGCCAAAAAAGTGGTCCTATAGGGATGAAATCAAGGTGATCCCTATAGTGGTTAGAATCTGACCCTGTCAAAGTTGCCACTATAGGGACCACTCTGGAGTTCCTAAGTTGGCTCATTCCAAACAAAAAAATCAATACTTTAACACAGAAAAAATGAAAATTGGATGTTTTTTCAAAAATGTTTTCTCCTCGATGTTGAGAAACGCATTATTCAACACAGATATGTTTGATTTTTACTGATTTCACAATTTTTTAGGCCGTTTTTAAAAAATAAAAGACGCTCCTGCACAGTTTTTTTGGACAAGATTGCCCAAAAGGCCTAAAAAAATTGAACTTTCCAAATTTTCATTTCAAAACCCTTTTTTTTTCGTTCAAACCTTTGGATCCGTCCGAATGACGAGATAATTATCGCAAAGATGACACTTCATTCGGAACTCGTACAAAGGCGTCGTGTAGTACATTCCAACCTGAAAACATGGAAAAAATAAATAATGAAAAAAATAATTTTGGAAAAATAATTGACTATACATGGCTTCTAAAAAAGCGATAAACCGAAAATTTGAGAAATTAAAAAAACTGTAAAACTAAGAGAATAATTTTCTATGAAATTTACTAATATTTAAAAAAAATTCTAGTTGTGAAAAAGCCTTAGAAGTTGAAAAAAAACACCAGAACTTAAAAATTTGTCCGACAAGGGAGGTCATTTCATTTTGCGGTTGGGATTTTTCTGGAAATTGGTCAGAACGCTCCTGGATGTACCAGAAGACGATTCAGAATTTTTTAACTCGCTCGTTTTTGAGAAAAGTCAAAGAAAAACTCTCAAAAATCCATAAAAAAATAGGCTACTTTGGGACTTTCATTTCAATTTCAAGTGTTTATTCGCCATTCCGCAATCTGCACGACAAATACAAAAAAATAAAACATCAAAAAAATCACATAAATCTAACAGCTGATCTGTGTGGAAAGCCTTTTTTTCTTGAGCCTTTTTTTTTCTTGAAAACTAGGAATTTGTGCAGGTTGAAACATTCAGGATCTTCATCTGGTACATCAAAAAGTGTTCAGGACAATTTTTAGAAAGTTCCCAACCGCAAAACGACCTCCCTTGAGAGTTATTTTTTCTCTAAAAATCTAAAATTTTTTCCTCAATTTGCTCACTTTTTTCTTCTCCGCATTATACCGAACGCCCATTCCGATGTGATTATGGCATCCCAGGCACCAGACATTGAACGGCATTTCGAATCTGAATTCTCATTCATTTCTTTCTCTTCATTTTTCTCAAAAACCTGATGATCAAGATGCCTTGATCGATTTTCTTGGCTCGTTCCCGCAACGCATGGGTACCTGATCAACCAATTTTTCTTATAAAATAAGTTAATGATAAAATTACCATGGTACCCATTAAGGGTCTTATGTTTTCGGTAGTCGAAATCCGGCGGATAATAGAAATTCTGTCCTTTTCGCTCTCCCATCTTCGGAAAATTGCAAAGATTAAAGGATTTCAAATTTTCAACAAAGCTTCAAAGTACGCGAAAATGGCATAAAACCAAAAAACAACAAGAAAAAAACGGAAAAAAAATTTAATATTTTATTCTATATTTGGTAGAAGAAAATGACACATGAAAACTGTTGTAAAATGCAAATTGTCACCGGTAAAAAATTGATGCAAACGTGGAAATTGGCAAGAAAATGATACAATAATCAAGGCCATAATATGGAAAAAAAACTTTTAAAATCTCTCGTTAAGCACCAAGAACGGGGTAGTATAAAATTAAGTAGAGCTGGGTATTATTAAATATTTACAGCATTCTAAAAATTTTAACTTAAAGGGACAAGAATGGATCAGAAAAGAACATTCGAAAAACCTCCGTGTCACGAGCAAAGTCCTTTGTATGTAAAATGAAAATCCAAGAAGAGATATGATTGAAAAAAAAAAGAGGAACAAGACCCTAAACCTGCAAATGCACGTTAAAGACCCGTAAAAATGAAAATAGGATAAAATCAAAGCTTTTCCTAAGAATCATTAACAAGACTTCATCTTCGAGATTGACATATGTTAAAAAAAGGTTTCACTCCCTAGAGTGATCACTGAGATCGATCAAAGTGACCACTTCAGGGGTTTATTCAGCTCTACAGGAAGCAAAATCGAGTTTCTTTTTTGTTCTAGAAGTGAATTTATCGGGAATTCCCTCAAAAACAGCTTCATCAGGGAAAATTTGGACCTTTTGAAAAACCCGTTTAACGCCAGGTTCAACTTAAAAAATCAATTACTGTCATCAAAAAAGGGTTGAGAACTTTTTTAGCCCTAAAGTTAACCCTTGAAAATTCTCAAGAATCCAAATCCATACCAAAGAGCTTCCATACTGTAGCAGGGCAGATTAAAAACTTATCCCAACCCTAAGAGACTATATGCGATCAATTCTAAAGCGATCAGCAAACCAGCTCTTAAGTAAACCCTTGGGTCTAAACTACGGATCTACAAGATCGATTCCAAGCGCATTAGCTTCAAGAGGCAAGAACTCTTCGATATTCTTCGGGTACCGTTCCAACATCTTTTTCTTCTCCTTGGTCAGAGTCGGTTTTTCAGTTCTGGTGTGCCAGACGAACACTTGGGAGCAGGACGCAGCCAACGGTTCCATATTTTTCCGGGAAATTCCGAGGCCTTCGAGGAAGGTCGACTCTTGGTAGCCACGGGGAACATCGTAGGAAAAGCCGGCGTTGGGGTTCTGGAGGACCAACGTCAGGTTGAGGGCGAAAGCCGCCATGTCGATGGGGAAAGATCTTTCCGGCTTCCAGACGGCATTGAACGATTCGATGGAGCCTGTGGAACAAAGATGAGGATGAAAAGAGCTAACATATTAATTGATATGATGTATTTTCACGGTTTTAAACACCGATGTGCGGCCTCTGCTGTGTGATCTAACACTGCGGACGTTCAGAGCCCTACTTTCACCCATTTTAGTCCCACGGACGGTTCGCATTCACGGGAGCAAGAAATGAAACCTTGGAGCAGCATCAGAATGTGTGCAAAGTAGTCGCGATGCGTTTGGCGCAAATTCAAAAAAAAAAACCGATTTCGTAGGACTTTTTAATGGAAATTGTCTGCATCTAATGAAAAATAGCCATAGAACTTTTTTGTTAGGTTTCTGACGGAAACTATTCAATTTCAAAGACAAAAATTATTGACTATAATATCAATATGCGCAAAAAATGCATCGAGACCGCTTCAAGCTGAGAAAAATTGTACTAAAAATCGAAATATACAAACTTTTTTGAGAATGAAATTTGAATTCCCAGGAAAATAGTACGTTTATGCCGCGTTTAAATTATTTTCGCGAAATGCAAAGTCATCTCTGAATTTCCAGAATTTATTCATCTTTTTCACTCTCCTTAGTAGGAATTCATTAGTGGTCCCTATAGAGGCAACCTTTTGGGACCTTTGGAGGGTCTCCTCTAGGGACCATTTTTTGCAACCCCTAAAGCTTGTAGACCTCATAGGAAATCAGCTAGTGGCCCTTAGAAGGGTCATGCTAACAATCACTATAGGGGTTCGTTAGCGACCGCTCTCGGGAAGCATGCTAGTGGTTCCTAGAGGGAAAATTGAAAAGGAGTCTCAATGATACTATCACAAGTAATCGTCGTATAAAAGTTGTGCGTGACTTCCGCGGAACACTTTGTAACACACAATTATGTTCACCTTCTACGATTTCGAAAATTCGCTCCAATAAAAAAAAAGAAAACTACAGATAGACAGAAATGGAAGGTGAAGCTTGTTCTAAAAATTTTTAACACGAAGAAGAGTTCTTTCCCTATTTTCAAAAAAAAATTCTCACCATTCGCGCCAATCTTCGGCGTTTCAACGAACAGCCCACCAACGATTCCAACCGGCCAAACTCCCGCTTTTTTCACTGAAAATTAACAAAAAGCTAAGAATTTCAAAAAATGATGACGAAACCTTTGCGAATCTCATCGAAAAGTCGAAGATCGTAGGTATTGTCATCATCGCCAAAATAAACTGCGCCTGTTGTGGCGTCCGAAAGTTGGGTCCTGGAAGAAAAAAAGTATTTTTTTCAAGTTCTGTTGAAAAATTATTTTTTTATAAAAAAATATAGGAAATGCAATTTAAAAAAACACTATAGGATTGAAAGAAGTTAACTATTTTTTTAAATTAATTAAAAAAACTCAATCTTTGTTCTCACTCTCTCTACGGAATCTACAGAACAAAAAAAAAATTAAATAATTAAAAATTATATTTTTTTTATTGAAATTTTCTGCATTTTCCGCATCCCAACACAGCGGTCATCAAAAAAATTTCAAAATTGCGAAATTCATGATGGAAGATCACTTCACTGTTTCAAAACGAACCGGATCCAGGCCAAGGCGGCATTTCTCTGATCAACTCCTCTGGGAAGCCGCCAATTCGGATCCGCGTACTTCATTTTCATGTCAGTTCTTGTTTTTGCGAAAAGGTGGGTGGCTTTAACTCGGCTTCTGAAATCAATGGGTTTTTTTTTTGGAAAATTTGAATTTTTAGCAAAATTCCACGCCAATTAGTCCAAATTGAACTTACAGGTCTCAAAGCGAATGAGCAAAAGAAAGATTTTTTTTTTTTGGAAGATCAAATTTGAAAGCTTTTTCAATGAAAATGCAGGAAAAAGCAAAAAAAAAGTGAGAGTGAAAAAATTCCGAAAAAGTTTCCGGAAACCTGTTAATGACGTCGGACACACATTTTGAGGGCTCAAGAGTGTCTTCGACCACAATCCAATGGAGATTCGGGACATGGGCCAAGGTGTAGGAAAGCCGGGTGAGGTCGGCCCGTTGAGCCGGCCGAAAAGCCGTCGGCGTGATGAAATAAATGACCGGGTCGGTGGCTCGGCCTCTTGGCATCAGAGAAACTCGGTCGCGGATCCTAAAAATTCCTTTTCTGTTTCGAATCTCGAAAAGAAAAACTTTTGTTGAAAGAATTATAACTTCATGAATACGAAAATTTTAACTATGATTTCTCGGAAATTACAAACCTTTTTTTGTATAAAAAAATTCCCCAGTTCCCCTCAAAGTTCGAAAAAAAAACCTGCGCAGTTAAATTTTTGAAAAATAGAAATATAATCTTCAAATATCTCTCTATAGAACTCAAAAAGAACAGAAAAAAATCTCCTTTTTATCAAAAAAAGCCCTTTTCTAGTTTTTTTGAACATCCCAGGACGTATTTTTTTAAAAATATTAAACGCCTCTAAACTTTTCTTCGAAAACTTAAAAAACGAAAAAAAACTTGCTTTTGGCTCAAAAATTGTGAGAAATAGATGAAAACTGCAAAAATTCTACTGTTTTTTTATATTCAAAAAAATTCGGAAATATAAAAAAACCTTCTGTTTACAGAATATAAACTTTAAAAAAAGTCCTTTTGTTCTCAGAAAACCAAAAATTTTTTTGCCGCCCAGTTTCACCTGCAATATTTTTGCAGACCAAAATCAAATTAGCTTTCATCTTTTTTGTGATTTTTGGAATAACCGTGTTCTTTCAACTTCTTTTCATTTCAAATAAAAGGATGAAAAGAATAAAATTGAAAATAGAAAAAAAGCCCCTTTTGAACTTTAGTTAGCAAGCGAGTAATAACATTTTAGCAGAAATAATAATTTTTAACCTTCGAACCTTTTCTTTTTCATGCACAGTAGAAAAAACAAGAATTGTAGAATAAAACCAACAATAATTCCAACTGATCGGCTCTTTTCTGCAACCTTATTTTATTTCGTTCCTTGTCCATTATATCCATTCGTAATTCATCGCTTTTCCGCTTCAGAAATTCAATCTAAAACTCTTTCATACATAATTTAACACACTTTTCAAAAAACCTCAGCCTGAAGCGTGACTTTTTCCTCATCTAACGATTGAACTCGAGAAATAGCGTACAACAACTGCCAAACGAAGAAAAGAAAGAGCGCGATAAAGGCCCTGAGCCACCATTTTTTTCGAGAAGCCGCGTGTCAAATCCATTCATTTCTCGGTCAATTCACCCTAAACAAAAATGAACGTGAAAAAAATATTTTAATACTAAAATAATTCAAATTTTGTAAAAAAACGTGAAGAGTTTTTCGCGTGACCGGCATTTCCAAATAACCGATTTGGAAAAATCCGGTCACGTAATCGCGGTTAACGTAAAATTTCAATTCAGGGTTCAGGAAAAAGTAGATTGGATTATTTTTGATGAAATTTATAGCATTGACAGGAAAAACAAAGTTATTTTTGATTATTATGGAAAAATGCCTTCTAAGGCCAACTTATTTTTTTAATTTCAAAATAATTCAATTTTTTTAAAAATATCTACTGCAAAGTTGAAAAAAACGGTAAAAAGAAAAAAAGTGAGAATAAAAAAATTTTCTCAATTAAAAAAACTTCTTCAATTTACCATTATCGACCCGAGTAGAAAGCTATGAATAAAATATTTATTTAATTTTTTTCTATCTCCCCCGTATTCTTATTTTTCAATTCATATTTTTTTATTCAAATCTAAGCTAAGATAGAAAAAAATAAAAAAATAAAAAAACCGAGTGGTAAAAAAATCAAATAAAAAAATAAATAATGTAAAAACCGTTATTGCGTACCTGTGTATCCTGAGTGAATACCGTAAGCTTCAAAAAAAGAAAAAAATTTTCAAAAAAATTCTCACAATTGGAAAAATATCTCGACAATTGGAAATTTTTTTGAAATAAAAAAAGGCAATAAAGTTGATTCTTTTTAAAAAAACTAGTCCGGAATTGAAATTTTTCTTTTTTTGAACAAAACATCAAAGTTCAATGACTCATTGTTTAAAAAATCTAAATTTAAATTTCATTAACTTTGTTTTCAAAAAATGCCTTTTTTACGCATTTGCCACATCATGCCAAATATTCCCTTTTGCTTTCGCTTGGAAGCTTTCATGGCTAATCATTTTGTTAGTCATATTCCTTTTTAGCAACCGAACGAGGTGTTTTCAGCTTCTGACCAACTTCATATTCGATTTGCCAACAGAAATCACTTCCAAATGAGTGCTAGCGATATATTCTCCAACGAAAGACCAACTATTTATATTGTCACTGGATATGTGATCGCCTTATTTGGCCTGGTTATAAGTTTTTTCTCAATGTATCTGGTTCTGAACAAGCTTAGTCCTACTAGTTACAGATATCATTTGCTGTTATACATGGTAAGATGACGAGTTTCAAGGAAACTTGGAAAAATTCAAGGTGAACTCATCATCAGCCGAATTATTCACAATTTTATGCGTTTTACCGAGACCTTTGTTCCCCGTGATTGGGGCGAAAGTCTGGAGCCCCGTTGTTATTCATTTCGGATTGGATAAGACTCTAGCCGCCGTGAGAACATAGTAATCAGTATCAATATCGATTAGATAAAAATTTTAGGATATACTTTTCGTTTTATTGGAGTTGACCTTGTCGACAGTAGGCGTTTGTTTCATTTATCGGCACGACGCCGCTGCAAAATTGATCAAGGTTTTTCCTTCTCATTACTTCATAATTTTTAAAACCCAGAAAAAAACTGTTGGGAGATGGAGGACGCTCATTTTCTTCTTGTTAACTTTTGCTTGCTCCATAATCGACGGTTTATTGATGCGTCATTCGGCCCTCAGCCTATCTGAGCAGCAAGAAGCTATTCAAAAAGTCAGTACACGTCAAATGAGAAAAAAAATTTTGGAAATAAAAGTTCATACCAACTGATGAAGTGGCGTTATGGAAAAGTTATGTTTGGAAGTATATTAGGAGCAATGGTCATAAGATAAAACCTCAAAGCAAAACAAATTTGGAATGATTATCCATAGAGCACAATATTTTAACCCCTGAAGGCTATTTCTTAACACATTTGGTTTTTTAAATATTTTTTCAATGTTCTCCAACGCTAAATTTTTATGTTAAATGAAAATAGTTTTGAAAAAAAGCCCTCAGAACGGACACTATCAAGGCAATAATCCAAAAGTGAATTATTGAAAGGAAACATTTTCGAAAAGCTGTGAGAAAATAGCCTCGATCGTTTCAGCTAACGCGCTCCACGGACAATAAAGATTCAAACTCACATTTTCCAGTACTATCCCCAGGCCGTCAATATGTCTCTGGAAAACGCATATTTCTACGATCACCGGGTAAACGACATGATTTTGTACACCCTCGCATTTGCCTACACCTTTGAAACTATCGGGATTTTATTTCTGGTTTCACTGGCCATCAGAACGATCAAAATGCTGAATAATGTGACGGGTATTTTGTCGAGACGCACTATAACTATACAGAGAAACGTCCTCCACAGCTTGATCGCTCAGGTTTCTTCATTAAAGTGTTTTTAATATCAAAAAATAATTATTCCAGACCATCGCACCGTTGATTTTCATCGGCTTACCTGTGTTAGTTTTCTCAGCTGTCATATTCTTCCAAATCTTCGAATATCATGGTAATTTTCTCCTCTTACCTTTTCATTTTTAGCTTACTTTAGGATTTGTGATAGCTGGTGCGATTGTGATGATGTTACACGGGACAGCTTCAAACATTGGCATGATATTGACGAATCCCCGCTTTAAAGAATGCATTAGGAGTTTTTGGGTGACTGAAGCTCGTAAAGAGTCGACGCGAGTGCGGATCTTCGAAACATCCAAATTTTGAACTGATTTTGATAATTTTTTCTTGCTTGATGTACATATGTTTTTTTTTCTTTATTTTTTGAATACTTCATTCACCACTAATTGGAGCAATCTGACGTGTCTGCGCTCTCTTATCCCTCATCACGTGCTTAACCGATTTTTTTTGTTATTGAACCGGGAGGGAGACAATAGAGACATTTTCCAACACTGGAGATACTATTATAATGGAGCCATAGTTGTCATGAATGTTTCTCAGAACTTCGATGATCCTCTCTAAAATGTTTGCTGACATATTTCATAAATCCTTTTCATATTCGAACGCAACTTCCTTAGGTTTGTTTTCAATCAATCTCAAAATTATTTCACACATGAACTCACTCCAAAAGTTCGCTTATCTTCTCAGCTTTCGCTTGAAAGATTTCCAGTCTATCGATCTACGTTTTTCACATCTCTCCAAGCAAGTTCTTCACTTTTTGTTTTTTTTTGCCTATAAACTATATCACATTATCGTTGTAATGAGTGGAACATTATTTTCCAACGAAAAACCGACGTTCTACATCAGCACGGGGTACTTCCTCGCTTTTATAAGTATGATAACGAGTTCGTTTTCAATCTATTTGGTTCGGAAAAAGTTCAGTCCCACCGCATACAGATATTACCTTCTTTTATATATGGTCAGTGGAGTTAATATGAAAAAAAAAAATTGAACCCATACTCAGGTTCATTCGACAACGGCTGAACTTTTCGCAGCTTTGTGTGTTTCAATCAAACCTCTGTTCCCCATTATGGGCGCAAAAGTTTGGAGCCCGATAGTCCTGAATCTCGGACTCGATAAAAATCTGGCTGCGGTAGGAAACAAATTCGAGATCATCATAATTCCGTTGAAAACTAAGGAGATCGTGTTTGTTTCATTCGAGTTGATTATGCCGACGATAGGTGTTTGTTTCATTTATCGACATGATGCAGCCGTTATGCTGGTCCAGGTAAACTGCAGTTTGGTCGCATGTGGAATGGCTCGATGTGTTACGGTTTTGAAGCGATTGCTTCAAGAGTTTTTTAAATTGTTGAGTAGGCTATAGACCTGATTTTCCCAACAAAACAACTTCAAGCTTTAGCCATTCACCGTGAAGCTAACAAGGAAGGTCATTCGATTTTGCGACTGGTATTTTTTTTTTTGAAAGTCGTTTAGAATACTTCTTGATGTATTCCTGAAAATATGAACTTGCACAATTTTCTAGTTTTTGAGAGAAAGGTCACCTCGAAGTAAAAAAAAAAACCAGCCACGAAGTAAAACAATCTTCGTTGTAAATTATCAACAAAGTCCGAATTTTGTTCTTATTTAATCAATTAATTCATGAAACCATTGTATTCTTTTTTTAGTCATTACTCATAGTAGTAATCAACTTTACAGGGAAAGACCGTTGGAAAATGGAGAACCCTTCTCTTCTTTCTCATCACATTGTCCTGTTCGTTGATCAATGGCTTATTGATTCATAAGTCTACGCTAACGTTATTCGAAGAGCAGGAAGCAATTCAAAAAGTGTTTATTTTTTTAGAAATGCTATAATGCTTTTTGTAACTGATTCACGGCTGGCTCGAGCCCTCGAAAAAGGTTCCTGTCACGAAAAGAAAAGAGACCGTGTTTGGTTGCAGGGCCACGGCTTAAGCTAGCCTTGAATCGGCAATTAAAAACAAATTGATGTTTCAGTATTATCCACAAGCGGCCAATATGTCGTTGGACAACGCCTATTTCTATGAATACAGAATAAATGACACGATTGTGTACGTTGTCGCTTTTGCTTGTGTTTTTAAAGCAAGTGCGGCTATATTTCTGTTTTTCTTGGCTGTGAGGACATTTCGAGTACTGAATAATGTGACAGGCGTTTTTTCACCCCGAACTGTATCCCAACATCGGAATGTTCTTCATAGCTTGATTGCTCAGGTTCTCTTTCTTCTTTCTTAAACAGTTGGACTTTAAATTAATTCTTCTTCTTCTTCTTACGCCTTTATACCGCTTGAGCGGCGTCGGCGCCCCAAGCCGATTAGCCGAGGCCCTATCCTGATGATCAGTGGACTGGCTCCAGTGACATATCGGTCCTTGTGTGTGACGGCTGGGGATTATGAAGCCGTGGTTTCCCACTACCAATTGTTCTTGAACCCCGTAATTGGGTCGAGGCGGGGATCGAGCTTGTGACCCTGTGAACCGTGGACAGGCCCACAATCTTCTACGGCGCCCCTTTAAATCAATTACCAGGAAAAAGTCCATGATCTCATCTCAGTTTACAGACAATCGCGCCGTTGGTTTTCATCGGCATACCCATATTTGCGTGTTCCTGTGTAGTAATCCTTCAAACCTTCGATTCAGAAGGTACTTTCTTCGTTCACGATTTTGATCGAAAAATCTATGGTTCCAGAAGTTGTCGTGGTTTCGATGGCTATGATGATGCTCCACGGGACAGCTTCAAACCTAGGAATGATTTTGACAACTCCTCGTTTTCGAGAAATCATCAAGAATTTCCTAATGGCTGGTGTTCATAGACAGACGGCACGGGTGCAAGTTTTGGGCGCCCCTAGATTTTGAATTTTCCAAGAAAGCGATCATTTATCTTGTTCATCACCATCATTTTTTTTTCACGTATTTCTGTTTAAATTTAATAAACAATTTTAAAAACGACCAGAAAGCAATAAAAAAAACCTCTTTTTCTACTGAATTGAGTTAAATTGATCTAATATCGCTTTTGATTGGAAAAAGATCGAAAATCAGCATTTTCAAAAAATTTTTTCAAATTCCAAAGGACTTTCTTCACGCGTGACCTTTTCTCGAAATTCGCTTTACTACTCAGCTTCCGCTTGAAAGATTTCTAATCTGTCTCTCGGGGTTATTTTTCTTTAATTTCGAACAACTCCATTTCTTCTACTGATAAATCCTTTTATTCAGCTTTAACTAAACTTTTCTAAGTTTAACTTTCTCGAAAAATTGAGTGACTGTAACGATGAGTGCCAGTCATATATTTTCCAACGAGAAACCGATTTTCTACATAAATACCGGTTATTTTCTTGCAATTCTAAACGTTATGACAAGCTTATTCTCGATTTTCCTGGTTCTGAAAAAACTCAGCCCCACCGCATACAAATATAACCTTCTTTTATACATGGTAAGACTTACCATGAAGATTTTTGAAAAGGAAAAGCTCAGGTGACCTTATCATCCGTCGAGTTGTTCGCGTGTTTGTGCCTTTCGCCAAAACCTCTATTTCCTGTGATCGGCGCCAAAGTTTGGAGCCCGGTGATCAATCATTTCGGATTGGATATTCATTTAGGAGCGGTAAAGTGATTTCAAGGTGTTAAAATAAAGTTCTGTGAGAGAATAGGATATCCTCTTTGTTTTTGGCGAGTTGATATTACCAACGATAGGCCTTTGTTTCATTTATCGACACGACGCAGCTGCCAAATTGATCAAGGTTTTTCTTGGTTGAAGATCGCTTCCGATTCTAACTTTCAGGGAAAAACTGTCGGAAAACTGGGAACGCTCATTTTCATCTTAGTAACCTTATTATTTTCTTTTGTTAGTTGTTTCTTGATCCGTGAATCGAAGCTCACGTTATCAGAAATGCAAGAAGCCATTCAAAAAGTGAGTATTTTCCAATATCTTTTAATTTCAAAGCTAGATCCTGGAACGAAGAGCTCAAAGACCTCTATCTTTAGAATCAGCCCATAAATAAGCTCAAAAAGGGGATTTCTCATATGGCAGAAGTATGACCGAAGATTTTTCAGTACTATCCTCAGGCCGTCAATATGACCTTAGAAAACGTGTACTTCTACGAATACAGGATCAATGACACGATTCTGTACACCATCTTGCTTGTTTATTTTTTCGAAAGCATTGGAGGACTGTTCTTGTTCATTTTGTCTATCAGAACAATCAAAATATTGAATAATGTCACGGGAACTTTGTCTCGACGCATTGTAACCCTGCAGCGGGATGTTCTTCATAGCTTGATGGCACAGGTTTTTTTTTTCTTTGATTTTTTTCAAAACCGAACTACAGACGCTGGCCCCGTTGATTTTCATCTGCGTACCCGTAGTTTTCTGCTCTTATGTGGTTTTGTTGCAAAATTTTGATTTGGACGGTAATTTTCTTGTTTTCTGTACAACAAAAGCTATATACGACTTCAGCAATTGTCCTAGTCTCTATGGGTATGATGATGGTCCACGGAACCGCTTCGAATATTGCCATGATTGCGACGACTCCTCGCTTTCGAGAATTCATCAAAAACATTTTATGGGCTGGCGTCAACAGAGAGCCGAATCGAGTGCAAATTTTGGGCGTACCTTGATTTTGAAATTTTTCAAGATAATATTTAATTTTCAAATTATTCATCGTTTTTTCATGTTTTTCATTGTTTCTCCGTTTATTTCAGTTCAATAAAAACTTCTTTTTTTGTTATAAAATGAGTCCCGAGTACCACCATGAGCTAGAAAGTTTTTTTTGCCGTGTTTCAAAAATGAAAAAAAGAAGTTTCAGCTTTTTTTGACTTGTGAATTTTCGAAGAAAAATAACATATTTGAATGAAAAAAAGACATACGTTTTTTTAGTCAAGCCGAATGCCGTTATTAAAGTGAAAAATAGAAAAAAATGCTAGGGATATTTTATAAATTTTAATTAATAATAATTTTTCTAGAAAAACTTCCCCCTTTTTTTCTTCAAAAACAAAAAAATTATTTCAAAAAAATTTTGACCTAATTTCCGCGCACGCCAGCTTTGAACTTTTTCGTTAAACAACCCGAAAAAAGCCTATTAATCTATGATTTTCAAAAAATGCTCTTAGACAGACTAGGTTGCATTTCCAGGCCTGGGAAAAAAATCCAGGTTTCTTCCTTTTTCCGATTATGAAAAAGTTTTGAAAGTTGCTTTTCCCACTTTTCATTCGAGAAAAGTGTCTACTTTTTTCTCACAACTCGCTTGAAAGATTTCATGTGTATTGGTTCTCTATTCCTTCCTGCTTTTCATAAACTGATCTCTACGTTTTCGACACCAAACGTCATCGTTTTTCGTGCCAACTTTTTTTCAATTCAATTTTAGCCTTATGAATGTCGGTGACCCATTTTCAAACGAAAGACCAACTTTCTACATTGTTATCGTTCTTTTTATTGCTCTATTGGGCATTTCGACAAACTTCCTCTCAATTTATTTGGTTTTCAATAAACTACACAAGTCGACGTACAGATATTACCTTCTCACTTACATTGTAATAAGAAGATTTCGATTTAAAACGAGGAAGTAATTAAGGTGAACTCATTGATCGCTGAAGTGTTCACATTTTTCTGTCTGTTACCGAAACCTTTGTTTCCAATCATCGGTGCGAAAGTTTGGAGTCCGGTTGTCACTAATTTCGGGTTGGATAAGTATTTAGCCGCGGTAAGATCTCTCAAACTTGTTCCTTCACTTAAAATTCATAGGATTTACTCGTTTTCTCCCTGGAAATGGTTTTACCGACAACAGGTATTTGTTTCATTTATCGACACGATGCAGCCGCCAATTTGATCAAAGTGAATTTCGAAACTATTTTCCAAAAACTTGCGAATTTTTTATTTCAAGGGGAAGACAGTCGGGAAATGGGGGACGTGCCTTTTCTTCACTGTGACTACAACATTTTCTGTTATAAGCGGTTATTTGATGAAATCATCGGCCCTTACTGCATCTCAACAGCAAGAAGCTATTCAAAAAGTTTTCTCCATTTTTTTTTTCAAATAAAGCGGAGGCTGTGAGAAAAGAGATCCATCGCATAGAAACAGATTGAAAGAAAGACTTTCCCAGTTGTCTAGTGATTCCAGAAACATTTCTATAAATCATAGAAAAAAAAATGAATTTTTCAGTACTATCCGCAAGCCACCAGTATGTCTCTAGACAACGTGTTTCTATACGAATACAAGATAAATGACATGATTTTGTACACTGTCGTGTTCGCTTATGTTTTTGAGACCATCGGAATTTTGTTCCTGGTCTCACTGGCCATCAGAACGTTCAAAATATTGAATAATGTGACGGGAATTTTGTCGCGACGGACTATCCTCATACAGAGAAATGTTCTGCAGAGCTTAATTGCACAGGTAATTTGTTTCAATAATGTTAGTAGTTTTTCAAAAGTTATTTTCAGACAGTCTCCCCGTTGATTTTCATCTGCATACCTTTAACAATATTTTCTATAGCGGTGATCTTCAAAATCGACAATTGGAACAGTTTTTTAAAAAGCGTTTTGATTTTTAAGAAATTCTTATTTTAAGGAACAATCATAGTGTTATCATTCATGTTGATGTTACACGGATCCGCTTCAAACATCGGCATGATCTTGACAACTTCTCATTTTCGACAAACTATCGGCAACCTTTTCAAACCCGAGCGAATTTACTCAAGCAGAGTAAGAAACTTGTCCAAAATCTGAGCCGCATTATTTTTTTCAAAAAAGTCGGGTATTCCATAAATTTTTTTATCTTTGTTTGTGCAATGTGTTTTTTTCAAAGACAACCACATATTTTAAATGAAAAAATACGAAACACAACGATTAAAAAGAATATATTTTGAGGCTTTTTGTGGACGTAAATTAATGGTTGTTTTTTTCTTGATATTTTGCTCATTTTAGTTTTTCTCTGTTTTTCAGGTCTGGGAAATTTTCAATATTTTTTTGAGCTTTGGACTTGAGAAACTTTGATCTCATCTGTTTAACTTAAAGAAAAGTGTCTTGAGGCTCAGAAAAGTTTGAAAATGATCGTGTTTCTCAATCCTAAAAAAAATCAAAAGCTAAAAAAATAAAAATAAAACTACTCCTTTTTAGTTCCTCGTCTAGAACTTTTTATTTCTGCGTTAAATACTGAATATTTTCCGAAGAGTAAAGCTTAATTTAATGTGTTTTTTAAAACGCGACCTATTACTATGTGGAAAATTGGAATTGCTCAGAGCGTCGCGGTCGCGTTGCGGTTTGATTCGTGTTAGAGCTATATTAATGTTCAATTGCTTTACGATGTCTCCAAGCGCAAACCGTATCGGGTCGGACGTGAATCGAACCAAATGAACAATTTCATCACGTGCGATTATGAGCGTAGTCTTCAGAAAAACCCTGAGAAAAAGACCTTCAATCGTTAGGAATTTTCTCAGACCTAATTGTATTCTGCCTCCTGGGAGCCGATAAAAATAACGAAGTTTGACTTCCTCTTTTTTCGATTATTTTCGCACTCTAAGGACACACGAAAAAAAATCGTCTACTTTTTTTTTTCAATATTCCTATTCCACTTGAAAGATTCCATGCGTGTTGAATATTCACTTTTATCTTTTTTCGATTCAAAAACAGATCACGCTTTTCGACTTCCACACTGACTATGTTCTGAATATTCAGCAGCAGCTGCTTTCAAATCATATATTTTCTGGATAAAACTCAGTTTCTACTCTGATGAGTGTCAACGACACATTCTCCGACGAAACCCCAACCGTTTTCATTATTCTCGCACTTCTAATCGCCCTTCTTGGAACTTTAACGAGCGCTTTTTCAATGTACCTAGTTTTGTACAAACTCACCAATTCGACTTACAGATATTACCTACTCACTTATATGGTAAGGTAACGTATTTTGAAAAGGTAAACTAGAAATTAAGGTAAACTCATTGGTGGCCGAAATTTTCGCAATTTTCTTCGTCTTACCTAAACCTGTGTTTCCGATTATTGGTGCGAAACTTTTGAGCCCGGTTGTTACAAATTTAGGCTTGGATAAGTATTTAGCCGCGGTGAGGATCTTACAAGACATTTTTAAAGAAATTCAAGTTGAGAATATTTTAATTGTTTTATTGGAATTGGTCTTACCAACGACTGGAATTTGTTTCATTTATCGACATGATACAGCAGCCATGTTGGTGAAAGTAACGTTCTTTTCGAAGTTTAGGAAGTTCTCAACATTGAGTTACAGGCGAGAACTGTTGGGAAATGGGGAACGTTTCTTTTTTTCGGAGCTACTACAATGTTTTCCTTTATAAGCGGCCGTTTGTTGCATTTTTCGGCACTTACAACTTCACAACAGCAAGAAGCCATTCAAAAAGTTTGCCATTTTTAATTGAATATACAAAAAAATACTTGTGGTGGAAAACCTACTTCATGAGAGAAGAAATGGTCATTGTTATAAAAAAAATTTTCGGAAAAATCAACAATCTTTTAGGTTGTTTCATCACGGCATTTTTTTTGGAAATTATCCATGGTAAAAATTTTCAAAGGGCCCAGTCTACAGAAAAATTTGAATCTTCGAGATTAGATGAATTTTGATAATCTATTTGGGGAGTTTATGAGGGACATCAGGATTAAAACACAAAATGACTTCCACAGCCAATTTTTCATCGCCCTAGCACTTTCTATGCACTATTAGAGCATTGGAAAGTAGGTTTCTTCGCGCAGTAAAAAAAGTTTAAAAAAAGAAAAAGCTTGTGAATTTCGACTGTCACTAAAAAAATTCTGTCGATTTCATGCAAAAGTTTTTTTCTCAAATTTCTTGGAAAAAAATGAAGAAAGGTGAGGCCCTAAATTTGAAGTTTTGAACTTTCAGTATTATCCACACGCGGTGAACATGTGTTTGGACAATGTGTTCATCTACGAATACAGGATAAACGACATGATTCTGTATAATATCGCGTTTGCGTATGGTTTTGAAGCTAGCGGGATATTATTTCTGTTTTTCTTGGTTATCAGAACGTTCAAAATACTGAAAAACGTGACGGGTATCTTGTCGCCCCGCACAATATTCATACAGCGGAACGTTCTTCGAAGCTTGATTGCACAGGTTTTTCTGTATGACTTTTGTCTAGTTATAAATCTGATTTTCAGACAGCGGCTCCTTTGGTTTCGATTTGCATACCCCTGGTCGTATACACAACTGTAGTGGTACTGCAAAGCGATGAGTGGAACGGTATTTTGAGCCATTTTTTGTAACTGAATAATCATAGTACTGCTAGGAGTAGTCACAGCTTTCACATTGATTCTTTTGTTACACGGAACAGCTTCAAATGTCGGCATGATCGCGACGACTCCACATTTTCGTCAAGCCATCAGCAATCTTTGGAAAGCTGAGCATTCAGAGTCGAATAAAGTTCGAATTTTCGAGCGATCAAAAATTTGAAATTTTTCAATTTCTCAAAAACTTCGGGTCGTTTTCTACTCTTTTTCGATTATTTGTTTTTGCCAATTTTTTTCCTTTTTTTAACCGTTCTGATGCAAATAAAGGACTGGGAATTTCAAAATTCGACTTACAATCACAATTTGAAGAATGAAATAAGAAGATCTTTGTGTAAAAATAGAAGTTTT